AAATTTTTTATAGAAAAGATGTTCCTGGAAAATCGTCGCAGCCCATTTGCTTCATCAACAAGAAAGGACTCATCCAGCATGCAAAACCACTGGCAAAATTGTGTTCAGGAAATTGAAATGTACTACCAAAAGTTGTGTTCAAATTTGGATGGAGAAGAAGATTATGAGCAGGAAACTGGTAATTCTCAGCAGCCTAGTCCAACAGAGGCCATAATGCTGGAAATTAATGCCAACCCTAATATGGTAAGATAAAGATGAGTTTCAAATTTCTATAGAGAAACAAGAAAAAGATTTAAATGACTTTCTAACTGATGCATGACAAAATTTTGGTACACTTTCAGAGCCTTGCAGAAAGAATCGAGTCTCTTAGAAAAAAAATAAGTGAAACTCATGAGAGAATACGACTGAAGAAAAAAGAAACCAAGGCAAATGTCGAAAGGCATGCAAAAGCAGAACGAGTCATTTGTTTATGCGAGCGCAGGGTAATGTATACAACGAGGAATACTTTTTAAAGATGATTATTTGATTTGTTATGTTGTAAGATGTGTTTTATGACAGCACATTCGGACATTATTTTTCTTAATCAGCTGTCATAATTCAAAATCTGACAACATAACACGTCAACCTGTAAAAAGCTCGGTTTTTTTAAACTTATTCCTTGATTTCCATTTTAACACGTTGGGGTTTTGTAGGCTCAAGAGTTAGAGGTTCAAATTAAAGAAGAGGCTGGAAATCGAACAGAGTTGAACAAAAAATTTGACACAGAAAAAGAACAACTCAATGAAGTAATAAACGACATTGAAGAAAGCAAGAACAGGATAAAGTCGGTCATAGAGCTTCAATCTGAGCTTTCACGCAAGCTCCATCTTTCCAAAATGGCAATATCACAAGCGGAGGCCCAGCTACAGAATGAAGTGGTTAAACGTGCAGAAATGGTGAGAGAGATTCAAGTACTGCGGCGCGGAAGAGATGTTTTTCGACGGAGGATTGAGTTTTGTAGAAAAAAAGATGGCACAGGAATGGCAGCAAGGTTGAGTGAATTGAGCTGCTGTCTTAGGGAGTACACAGACGAGGAGATCAAACTGGCCACTGATGATTTTTCAGAGCTTTTTAGATTGAAATCGGGAAGTGATTTGAGCAGTGTTTATAAAGGGCGTATCAACCATGTCACAGTTGCTGTCAAAGTTCTTAACCAGGCTAATGGACTGTCCCAAGAAGATTTTCAAGCTAAGGTAAACAACAAGAAATGCTAACTGTGTACTTATTTGTTTCCTCAATTATTTGGAAAATATTCTCTTGCTAAACTAATATTATCTGATAGATGTTTTGTTGTTTGACTTTAGATCGCACGTCAAGAAATAACATGATTAATGTTATAGACTTACAATCTAACAACACAATCCGACAAGATTTTAAAGCGATTTTAAAAGAAGCTATTTAAATTGTTTGTCCATAACCACGTTTGCCCTGTGCCTCATTAATTATTAAATAGGTTTAAGAAGAATGGTGGAATTTTCAATCTAACAAAAAATTCTACGTATGTGTAGGTGAAGCTCATCAGCCACATTAGACATCCTCATCTCCTTGCCATGATGGGCTACTGCTCCCAGCCGAGCTGCATTGTCTTTGAGTACATGCATAACGGCAGCCTGCGGGATATCTTAGGCAATCGGGCCAGGGCCCTCTGGTGGCACGGCCGCGTCCGCATTGCGGCCGAGGTTTGCTCCGCGATGTGCTACCTCCATATGGCTCGGCCCAAACCCATTGTTCACGGTCACCTCAGCCCATCCAACATCCTCCTGGACCACAACCTTGTCGCCAAAGTCAGTGGGCTTGGGCTCAACCAATACAACTACGACGAGAGCCAAGTTGGATGGGACATACGGGCTTTTGGGGTTTTGACTCTCAATCTTCTAACTGGGAGGAATTGGATTGACAATGATATGCTCATGGACAAGGCGGGCCTGGTCCGGGTTTTAGATGACAAGGCTGGCCCATGGCCATTGGATTTGGCAGAGGGACTTGTGGGCTTGGTGTTAAGGTGTTTGTCCATAAACAATGGACCCAATAAGGATTTAAAAATGGTGACAATAATGGAAGAGCTTCAAGAAATCAGAAAAAAGGGTGATGCTCTAGTAGCAACATGAGAGGATATGGTTGTGTAGATGGAGACGTCTCCATTGATGTCCCACGTGTTGTCCTCTGCCCCATATTTCAGGTAAGATGAATAAATAACCATTTAGGAAATCTTCCACTTTGCAACGGGTTTATACTTCAAAATAGTAAAAAATATTTATTTTCATATCGAGATTCTAGATTTGATTTCCCCCTCCCAAATATTAAAAATTTTAGACCCTAAAGTATCTGCTAGTTTACAAAAGAACTAGACTCGCCAATAGACTCTGTTTGTTACAAAAATGCTTCTAACATCATTTTGTGGTAAACTGAAAATTACTTACAGGTCATAAAAGTGCTTTGTGAAGAAGCTGGTCGTTTAATAAATTTTTTGATGTGCTTATAATAAAATTGTTTTTGACAAAAGCACTTATGAGCGAAAAGTGTTTTCTCCATAAACAATCCCAAACATGTTCTTATTCCCAGTTTCCCACTTGTATTGGTAAAAGATAATGAAATTAAAGTGCAGAGCCAGTACTTGTATAATGCTCCTTGGCAGCTGTTACTTACTGGGTGTGTATAGTAGCGGTTTTGTGTAATTTTATTTATCTAGAAAGAAATAAGAAACAAATAATTTAGAAGCAAAATATTCTTCCGTAATTAAAGCAGAAATGCAATCTTTAAAAAAGAAGAAGAAAGATTGCCTCATTATTTTCAAGCTTGGAGAGTCGTCAAAAGAATTTTCAAGAAGCATATTCCTAAAGATTCAGAGAAGCAGTTGGTAGATTACGTAAAATTTTTGTAATTCCCCATCATCCCTAAATTATATTCATTTTCTGAAGAGACTGTATGCTTAGCCGTAGCCGTACGTAATTGGTTTCTACTATTGTCAGCGAATATAGATGGGATTCGCATGATGCATGCCAATATTTTATAAAGGTCAACCTTCTATATTCCAATTGCATTATCGTTTATCACACAACAAAACTGATTAACTATATTAAGAATTATCCAATCACCCATTTAGACCTACCCGGTAATATAGTTTCATGATTCGGATCATTTAATTTTTAGAGTATTTTCACCCATTTGTTATGGCAAAAGGTAAGGAGAGGCAAATGTTGTTACTATTCACATGAATAGTGCATGTCCTAACAATTATTTTGTTGGTTTTTCACCCATTGTCATGGCAACCTAAAGACAATCACTATTCACATGAGATATGAAGAGAGGAATTTGTATAGAGTTTTGGTGTGGGAAGTGAAGAATATAACTAGGTATTTATATATTTTTTGATATTTTTTTCAATTTTTTGTGGTTATTTAAATTGGCTGCTGACGTCACAATGACGTCAGCATTGGTCAGCTTGCCCAGGCAACAACCCATGCAAGTCTTGCCTTTGAGCTTGCCTAGGTTGGTGGAGCCCAACTCTTGCCCTGACAAGCCTTCGGTGGTGAAAACTAGATTGGGGGCCTCTTACCTAGCATGGGGGACGGTCCCATGAACATGTTAATATGGGCTATAGCCCGGAAGGGTTTTTGGTTTTGTTATTAATAAAATAAATAACTCTAGGCATTCAGCTGACTGACAAGAAGAAAGAACAGAAAGGAAGAAGAAAGAAAGAAAAAGGAAGGGAGGAAGAAGAAGGACAAAGGAATAAAGAAAGAAAGAGAGGATGAAAAGGAATTAAAAAAAAAAAATAGAGGGGGAGATGAAAGAAGGAGAGAGAGAGAGAAGAAATATAATAAAAAAGGGGAGAGAAGAGGAAATAGAATAAAGAAACGGATGTGTGTGTTGGGATGAGATATATGTTTTTATTTTATTTTTACTTCAATTCCTTCTAAATATTTTCTACATGTGTAGCTCTCCTCTGTTTTTTCTTCTTCTTTGTTTCCCTTCAATCCCTTCCAAATATTTCAACAATCTTATCTTCAATCCCTACCAAATATTTCAACAATTCCAAGATTTTTGTCTGTTTCAAATGTCAATATAATAAAATAAAAAAATTTCTAAAGATGATGAAGAAAATATATTTAAAAAAGAGGGCTTATAATATTTTTTTTGTTTAGTAACAAACAAGGGCTTATAATTTACCCACAAAAAAATGAAGAAAAAAGTGGCCCACGAATTTAGCCCATGTCATTTTCAAATTATGAGTTCTTTCTTGGCTAGGGCCTCTCGCTGGAACTGCTCTTAGATCCCAATCAAAGATCCATACAAAAGATCGATATTCAAATTAGAAACAAAGTTGTCATCTAATTATAATCGAATAAGTAGACGAACACGGTAAATTCGTAGAAAAACTAAAGAAATTATAATATTAATAAAATTAGCTAATCGATTTTTGATTTTGATGATTGTTGAAGGAGAATATAAAAAATGAGCGATTTGGATCGGAAAATAATGTTGTAAGACCCCAATAAAGTGACTTGCTTTGCCATACTTGTATACTTGTATGTTAAATTACTTACATTGTCGTAGTGCGAATTTGAAACTCACATTCAGTATTGATTTACTGTGGTCTGTCTTTAAGATTGTGGGCATGTGGGGGGTGTACTGTCGAATGTTGATTTGTCATGCCCTCTAAGACACAAGAAAGTCCAAGGCTGACCCTCCTGCTGTCGTGAAAAGATAAAAGGCGAAAAATCTTTTTCTAGTCCATTTGACAATCCAAACAAACCTTGAGAAAATAATGGATCTCCCCCCCCCCACATTCCACATCAACTTTATCTTTCCCCTCAAGACTTACTGATTAGATATATTTTCTAATCCTTCTCTGCTGATTGGTGGTGTATGTATTAATTTATGCAGTTAAATGCATATATAATTCAGGGAGGGTCTTACTGTTTCCCAGAAACCAAACAGCTGATTTGAGGTAGCAGGCAATGGATACTCAAGCAGAGAAGGTGTATGTTGCCCTTGGAAATGATATACAAGATGGATTTAAGACCTTGCAGTGGACACTCAAGAAATGGAATTCAAAACCAATTTCCATTGTTATTCTCCATGTAACTTACAATATTTCCAAGGATTTTGTGTACACTCCATGTAAGTTGCAGAAATGGCTTTCAATTCCCTTGATTTTCAGTATGATTGGAATTTAGCATCTTTTGAATTTGTTGTTCCTTCTGTGTTTCTATCAGTTGGGAAGCTCCCTGCAAGTTCTATGAATGATGAGAAATTGGAAGTTCTTATGAAGTATGAGCAGGAAAAGATTGACAAGTTGCTGTCCAAGTACATATCATTCTGTGGGCAGGTTAGTTAATTGCTTAATTTGCTCCTTTGATTGCTGCTGGAATTGGTTCTTATACATCCAGAACTTTGTTTCATGTTCATAGGTGAAGGCAGAATTGCTCAAAGTTGAAAAATGTGAGCAACCAATTCATAAAGTCATCATTGATTTGATTTTTACACACAAAATAACCAAACTGGTGATGGGATTCACATTCTTGAAGACTTCATCTTGGTATGGCACAGCATCTACAAATAAACTTTCCAGAACAATTTAAACTATTATAGTAATTTATTGTTCTTTTTTATTTTGTGGAAATTATGATGTGAATTACTTGTCCTTGATTGTAGGAGAATAAAGAGTGCGGTAAGTGGATCATTTTACGTTCATCATCACAAGCCCGATTTCTGCGAATTTTTCGTAATTTGTGGGGGAAGACTGGTTTTCCTTAGAGGAGAAAATAACAAAGGAATCATGGAGGATGATCAAGGGGTGATGGTTGCAAAAGTGAGAGAAAAAGGCAGTTTCAAAGGTTGGCTAGCAAAAATATTCAATGAAAATTCAGCAGATTCCCTAGACACAGTTTCTCACCCCTCTCTTAGATTTTCAGCAAATCCCAACTCCCCAAATTCACAGAACCAATGGGAAAGTTGTGTCCAAGAAATCGAAAACTATTTCCAGCATCTGTTGTCTTTGAAATTAGATGAAGAAGAAGACTTGGGGCAGGGAAATGACAGAGTGCAGATCAGTCCAATGGAGTTGGCTAGGCCGGAACATGAGGATTCGAATATGGTAACTGTTAGCTAAATATCAAAGACATTTTCCTGCTACAAAGTTAATGTTAATTGAAATATTTGTCTGTCCTGATCTCTAATTTTGAAGTAGGTAGAGAATGATGCATATAAATTCAACGGCTCCACTAGGCTCTCTTGCTTTTGTACCAAATACCAAATATTTTTCTTTCCTCTCTCATCTTTCTTTTTGACCTTGGAAGCATAAGACAGTGATGGTTATATTGGGATGATAATTTGGGTGTGTTTGGTGCTTAGACTTTGCTGCCCCCAACTTGAAACATGACAAACCCTTTTTATTTTTTAATGAAGGGACAGCCCAAATTAAGTATTATAAAGTTCCTTTGGATTTGAATTTGCAGATTGCTGCAGAAGACTTGGAATCTAGGAAGAAAATGTTAAAGGAAGCTCAAGAAACAACCAAGTTGAAACGAAAGGAAGTCAAGGCCAATGCCGAAAGGAGCACTAAAGCAGAATGGACCATTTCTTTATGCAATCGTAGGGTAATACATTTATATACAAGTTAAACCAGTTTTGTTTTTCTTATTTTTAATCTGAACTTTTATGTTGGATGGTTAAAGTGATTTATGATTTGTAGGCTGAAGAGCTTGAAGCAAAGATAAAAGAAGAGGTGACCAAGCGAGAAGATTTAAAGAAAGCATTAGATTCTGAAAAGGAACAGCTGCATGAAGTTATAATGGACACTGAAGAAAGCAAGAGTAGGCTAAACTCACTTATGGAGCTCCAGTATGAACTCTCAACAAAGCTCCACAATTCCTCATTGGCAAAATCAAACAGAGAGACCCAACTAGAAAAGGCAGTTAGCACCCGGGCAGAGATGGTGAGGGAGATTGAGGAACTGCGGCAGCAGAGAGAAGTTCTACATCGTCGAATCGAGTTTTGTAAAGAGAAGGATGCCATTGGAATGGTTGCGAGGCTTAGTGACATGAGCTGTGGTTTTAAGGATTACACAGCAGAGGAGATCAGATTGGCAACAAATGATTTTTCGGAACATTTGAGAATTAAACCAGGAGGTGACTGGACTAGTATGTATAGAGGGCGCATCAATCATGCCACAGTTGCAATCAAAATGCTCAACTCAGCTAATGACATCTCTAAGCAGGATTTTCAAGCTAAGGTAAACAGTCTGTTGGGAACGTTTGTGTTCTGTTTTCTATTATGCGATATTGCTAAAAATGTGCAGTCCATGTTCATAGTTCATTGACATACGTAATATACCAGACTGTCCGACATAAAACTTACTTCTGATTGTTTCAAATTGAATGAAACTGTTGATGCTTTATATATGTAGGTGACAGTTCTTAGCCACATTCGACACCCGAATTTGATCACCATGCTTGGATTCTGCACTGAGCTAAGGTGCATTGTGTTTGAGTACATGCACAATGGTAGCTTGAGAGACGTATTTTTAAGGGACATATTGTTCTCCTCTCACATAAGCTCTAAGACAAGAAAGCGGACCCTAGGGTGGCACGACCGTGTCCGAAATGCTTCCGAAATTTGTTCAGGCTTGGGCTTTCTCCACACGGCGAAGCCGAGGCCCATTGTTCATGGCCGACTTTCCTTGTCTAACATCCTCTTGGACCGCAATCTTGTAACAAAGATCAGCGGTTTCGGGCTCTCCCTAAGTCATGATGAACAGAGTGTCCGATCGGATATTAGGGCTTTAGGGGTTTTGATGATGCATCTTCTAACTGGAAGGAATTGGGCTGGGCTGGGCCAGGCAATGAACATGGATCAGGCAGCTGTAGTCCGGGATCTAGATGAGATGGCTGGACAATGGCCGTTGGATTTGGCAGAGAAGCTTGCGGGCTTAGCCTTGAGGTGCTTAACAAGTAACCGTGGGCCTAGTAGAGATTTGAAGCTGACAACAGTGATGGAAGAGCTCAATGAGCTGAAGAAAAGAGCTGATGATTTAGTTGCAAGTGAGCGGGCCATGAATAGAGATGTAAAAGCAAAGGACACCAGTGATGTACCCAGTTTTTTCCTCTGCCCCATTTTTCAGGTTAGTTAAACCCTAAACCCGAAATCCTGAATCAGAAACGAATTTACACTTTATGTCATAGACATAGTAAGCATAATTTACTGTGGTAAAGTGTAAACATGGTTAATTTTGCAGGAAGTGATGAAGAATCCACATGCGGCAGCTGATGGGTTTTCATATGAACTAGACGCAATAGAGGAATGGCTAAGAATGGGGCATGACACATCGCCCATGACAAACTTAAGGCTCAAGCACACATTTCTTACCCCTAATCATACTCTTCGTTCCCTCATCCAGGAATGGCATAATAAGAGATTACTTCCACCTCCATAACACACACTTACACACACGCACATATATATATATAGTAAATTCATATTAGAGAGTTATGAGGCCCAAAAAGAAGAGAGGGAGAGAGAGAGAGAGAGAGAGAGAGAGGAGAATTGAGCTTTTTTTGATACTTTGTTCATAAATGGACTGGTGTACCTCTTGACATTTGATTAGGATGCTATCTTGGTTGTATTTGATATGAGGAACTGTATTTGAACTAAAAAAAATCTGTTGTAGATTGTAAGAGCGATTAGCTTTACATGCTTTTATTTTTATTGTTATTTTTATCATTAATTAATTTTGATTACAGTTGGCGTGAAATTGAACAATCTTATGTAAATTATAATGAATCAGAGAAATATCATTTTCTCAACACTCCATCATATTTCAAATTATTTTCACAAAAATCTTTCTATTAATTGTCCATTCAAAATTGCTGATGTCATTAACAAAAGAGTAAAGTGATCGTTTTCTCCCTTCAAATATGACCATAATCGAACTTAATTCTCCGAACTTAAAAATCAGTCAATTTATTCATTGAACTTATCAAAACAGCCAATTTAGCACTTGCCATTAAATTTTTCGAATTTCATCCAATTTTCCGTTAATAATAAAGGTAAATTTATAATTTCAACTAAAATGAAACTCAAATACATAAAATCAAAAGATAAAATAATAAGGTAAAATAAAAACAATTAAAACTAAGATAACTTTATTATAAAATTTAAAAAGAAGAAAGAAAAAAAAAGAAGCAGCCTTGCAGGTCCACCCTTCGTCCACCCACCGAGAAATGTGGATGCTATACATGTTCTATCAAAAACCATATCCACAATCTAACAAGAGTATTATAAAGCTGAAGTTGATTTGTAAGTGATGATAAGGGGGTCAGAGTCAGACTAGTCTTGAAAGAAATAGAAAAAACATATGAAAATTGCCAGCACCCTTACATAGAAAAAATCCATACCATTTGTTGGCAAATTTGGAGTCAACAAAAATAAGTTACCTTTTCAACAAAAACAACATGATACCTGTGCTTTTAGTTAAAATTTATCTCTATGATTTTTTGGAATTCGCATGGAAAAATGAGGAAAAAAAAGAGGAGACCTTTACTCAGTTGTATAAAATGGCAACCTCCGGATGAAAATGTGGAAATTAAACTTAGATGGTACTGTTAAAAATACTGGTTATGCAACAACTGGTTTTGTCATACGTGAGTGGCATGTTTGTGTCAAAGTAGCAGGTTCTTTTCCCGTAGGTTTTACTTTAGTTCTCCAAGATGAATCCATGGCTTTAAAATATGGTTTGACTAGGGCAAGACGTTTAGGACTTTCCTCAATCAGTCTGACATTGTTTGAATTGGAATTGGAATCCCATGATTCCAATTCGATTCATTTCAAAAATTAGGCCTACGTATACACACATTCTATGGCAATGACATGTTGGCTTCTTTACGGTAATACTTAGGTCGGGTTTTAGCGGGTTTGCAGTGTTGCGATACAAAATGCCAGTCCTAAATATGGTATGATTAGAACATCATCAAGGGAGTATGCAAAAGAATATATTTCTATAATAGAGTAGGCATCCTTTTTTTTTCTTTTTTTGGGTCCAAAGGAATGAAATTTCATTGCCAAAACAAAGTTACAACTCATAAGAGCACTTCCACCCATTGTGCCATGGCAAAGGGCAAGGGCAAGTGAGGGCAGACATTTTTCATGTGAATAGTGACTGCCATAACAATTTTTTTGATGCATTCCCACCTATTGCCACGACAACCCAAAGGCAACCACTATTTACATGAGATATGAGGAGATGAATTTGTATAAATTTTGGAATATGAAGTGAAGAAAATAGCTAGGTATTTATAGAAAAAAAATTCTGAATTTTTTCTCTTTTTTTTTCAAAATTTTTTTGGTATTTAAATTAGTCGCTGACATTAACATGACGTCACTTTACCCAAGCAGCAGCCCAGGCAAGACTTGCCTTTGAGCTTGCCTAGTTTCATGGGCTCACTTTTTACCTTGGCAAAAGGTGATGGGTGGAAGTTGTTTTTGGAGCCTAGGGCCCCTTTTGCCATGGTAAAAAGTGATGGGTGGAAGTGCTCTAAGGGAGCCCAAATACAAAAAAAAAAAAAAAAAAAAAAAAAAAAAAAAAAAAAAAAAAAAAAAGAAAAAAAAAAAAATAAGCTCAAAACACACAAAACCCAACCTAAAATACCAAAATAGGAGGCCCAAAACAACAAAAGCCCACAACATACAAAAACCCCAACATCTAACTCTAAACAAAACAAGCTGCTGTTGCCACCACCAGAAAAGTTGCCGTTGCCATAAGAAGAGCAAGGTCCATGTGAACCAAGAAAGGAGATGTGAAGAGTGTGGATTTGGGGGAGCAAGCCACCATGTATACTCAAGCGATCTATCAAGTAGTGATAAAGAATGACCATAGATAAACAGTGCCCACAAGTGCATATCCAAGTCTTGGATATGAGACATGGATGATGGAGTAAAACAACTGCACCAATCCAGTGGCAAACCAAGTAAATTTTAGGGATAGAGGGCATTTGAGTTTGAGATTTGGTGGGAGGAGAGACATGGGTAGATGGAGTCGTGGAAGAGTGTTTCTATTTCCACCCACCTGTCCTATTTTTCCACCCACCTTGTCTTCAAAATTTTAAAGACAAATTTACCCCTTTATAAAATGACTTCTAAGGACCTAAGGAAAAACTCTCAACACACCTATAACCTCCGCAACCGACAATGTCTTATCAATGTTCTCATGTGCTTTCGAGAAAAAATGTGTACTATCCAATATTCAAACAAACCCAATAAGTAAACATGAACAAATGCTCAAAATTGTGAAAGAAATTCAAAATCCCAACATTTCCTGAGAGATCCGTTGTTTGGTCACTAAGAAATTAAAAGAAAAAAAAAAAGAAGAAGCTCTAAGACCCATATTTGGTTCTATTAAGAAAAGTAAAGGCCAAGTCAAAGTCAAAGTGAACCAAAACTATTGGTTCCATATTATTATTGAATAAGATTTTATGGCGGCCCAAACAGAAAGTTAGGAGAAGACCCACATAGGTAGGACGCATGGAGGTTTCAAGTGCGGAGAGGAAGTGGTCAAAGGAGCTTAGAATGGAAATGATGCTGTTAGTGATGGTTTGGCTCTTTCGCAGTCCATCTTCTTCTTCCTCCTTCCCTCTTCTTTTGCGTTGTTGTTTGAGAGTTGGAGAGAAAAGGGATTGAATTTAATTGCATTATTAATTAATTAAAGGGTATTTTAGGAATAATGGTGGGTGGAAAGATAAGATTATGTTTTTTTTCAAATTTACATGGTGGATGTGAAGATAAAATGGGTGGGAAAATAAGATAGGTGGGTGGAAATAGCAGTACTCGTCGTGGAAGGGAGAGAGGAAGAGAGATGGGGGAGAAGTGATGGAGCAAAGGGAGAGGAATTTCAGATGGGGGAAGTAAAGGATTTATGGGCTAACATGAGAAAATACAAGAGAGGAAGGGCTTTCAAAGGGAAAAACTGAGAGGAAAGGAAAGAAAAAGAGCCACAGAATAAGGAGGCAGAGTAGCCACACCAGAGGTGGCAGGGGAGCTGCTCCGAAGGGCTAAATGTGAGGCACCAGGAGAGGACTGTGGAGATGAGAGAAATTTTAGAGAAATAATAGAGTAGGCATTCAAGTAGGTAAAATTGACCTATTCCATCCAATAAGGCAATGTTTTTTTTAAAATGAGGATAAGGCAATGTTGGCTACTTAAAAAACAATAGGCATATTGGATCTCTCATTTACATTTTATAATATAGTAAATTTGGCTTACACCCTTCAAATTCAATTTGCCGTACCTAAAACCCTTCACTTTTTGTTCATATAAATAACACCCAATTTGTATAAGTAAAAACCCATGACTAGGATTCAACTCAGCAAGTTACCTAATTAAGCATAAAATCTGATTTATTGTACTTTTTAGATTCCAAAAATACCCCCAACTAAGCCATTATTGCATTTTGTATATTAATGTAGAAATCAATATGGAAACAGTTTTTAATTGAATTGTATATAATGACAGATGTTGAATTTGGAAAGATCTCCAAATGGTTGTAATGGATGTAGGAATTAATTTTGAAACATTTTTAAAAAAAATTTAACAATAAATTCAAATTTGGGTAATCGGTTTGTTTAATAAAATGTTTATGTTATTTTCTTTTTATGAATTATACATGACTAATAATCCACTTTATAATTGTTTATGAATAAAACTATACATACTAATTATGTTGAAAAAATAATGTACCTATTACTTGTTTGTTTTATGAAAAATATAATTTACCTGTATGAAAAGTGTACATAATTATCTATTCCAATATACCTACATTATACGACATCCAATATACCTACATTAATTTTAATGTACTTACAATTAGGATTTAGGTATTATATGTCATCCAATGTACCTACCATTTGAATAATATACCTACTACGAATAAAGTACCTATTATTTATCTAAATAATGTACCTATTTTTTATCTAAATAATGTAATTTATTTTTTTCTATAAATAATATAGCCTTTTTTCTCTGAATAAACAATAAAGTACCTATTATTTGTTTTATTAAAAGTAATTTTTTTAAATGAACCTATTTTCTCTCTCCAAATAACTTACCTATTTTTTTCCTCTAATAATGTACCTATTTTTCATAGGTACATTATTGGATATGTAATTTATTGGATACCTATATTTTATATGTATATATTTATATTATAATTTTCATAAGTACATTATTGGATATGTAATTTACAGATTTTTTTTTGTTTGCAATTTTAGGGGGCGAGATGTGAGAGGGAATGACAACTATAAGAAATGGGGTGATTGATATGCTATTAATAGGGAGTATATTAATTACAATTATGACAGTTAATGAAATGCTTGAAATAAATTATAAATAAAATATGAAGTTTAGTGGCAACGATGTAAAAACATAGAAATACTACGACCTCTTATATTCTACTGGTCATTTAAATTTGAAATTGGGTTTTACACATAGATTTATAGAGTGATGGGTATATGTCTAGGAAATAGAAAATGTATGGATCTATATTGGACAAGCCATTTATAATAAAATGTCATCTTCTGCACCTATTTTTTATAAAAAGATAATAAAAAAAGTCAATGCAAAATATAAAAATAAATAATATAATAATGGTTTCTACGATTGCATGGTCTATTCCATTAAAATGACCTTTTTTTTTTCCAGACAAATAGATAGGTAAAATGTCACTTAGGTTGTCATAGTACACATTTGCATATTTACTCCCCTTGAGATGTTATCTTTGTGTTGTACTGCGTCCACTAGTCCTACCTATTTTAAGATGGTCCCTACACTGATACATATAGAACGATGCACCTACATAGTAGACTAAATAAATAATGATAACCATAAATAGCTTAGGAAATTTTTTAGAGTATATATTATTGGAAAAGAAAGTAATTAAACTGTAAGGTTAAAACAATCTAGTTTTGGATACAAAAAAGATCCAACGGTCACAATTAATTATGAAATACAATTTTTTTAATCAAAGAATTATGAAATACAATATATATATATATATATATATATATATATATATAAAGCAACTGTGTATATCCTCCATTGGAAGTCAACTCATCATCAACATTAATATTGTAGTAAGTGTCATGCTAATTAATCTTTCTTCTTGTTGAACCTGCAGTTTCACATCAAAATTCCAAATGGGTAGCCTCAAGTTCGATCATCCACATGAAAACAACAGTAATTCTTCACTAAGCCACTTCCAGTTGAGCCCTTCCAGATGCTACGAGGAAACGAGGTATGAAGGCATTTTGAGGTTGAGGGGGCATGTTAGAAATGCAAATCAATCAATGCATGAATTGGTTGGTGAAATTGGACTGTTCTCCACCAATATTCATTAATTTATCAAACTAACATCTTTGAAATAGGGTAGCTGCTGTCTTTAATTTTTCTTCAGACAGCTTTGAATGCTATCACTATATAGTGAGTAGTAAAGTCCCTCGTAAATAAAGATCTTGTTCCTTCCTTTATTTGTTTGATAGAGGTGTGATATAGGTGTGCACCGGAATTATTTGGTATTAGTTTGTTCATCCTTCAGTTTCACATCCAATATTCCAAATGGATAGCCTCAAGCTCGACCATCCACAAGAAAACAACAGCAATTCTTCCCCCATGGAAATGACTAGCGCTCTGGATCCTGTGGAATTCAGGAGGCAAGGCCACATGATGGTAGACTTCATAGCAGATTATTACCAAAACATAGACAAGTACCCAGTCCTAAGCCAAGTCGATCCGGGTTATCTCCGAAAGCGCTTGCCGGAGTCCGCCCCAGAAAACCCAGAGCCCATTGAGACCATCCTCCAAGATGTGCAGGAACATATTGTTCCTGGCCTAACACATTGGCAAAGTCCTAGCTTCTTTGCATACTTTGCTTCAAATGTTAGCATAGCAGGGTTTCTTGGTGAAATGCTTAGTACCGGGTTCAATGTGGTGGGCTTCAATTGGATGTCATCTCCAGCCGCAACTGAGCTAGAAAGCATAGTCATGGATTGGCTTGGAAACCTGCTTAGGCTTCCCAAGTCTTTCCTTTTCTCTGGCAATGGTGGTGGTGTAATCCATGGGAGCACTTGTGAGGCCATTGTTTGCACCATGGCAGCTTCCAGGGATCAAATGCTAAGCCGAATTGGTGGAGACAACATAGGGAAGCTAGTTGTGTATGGATCAGACCAAACACATAGTGCACTTCAAAAGGCTTCCCAAATTGTTGGAATCAACGCGAAGAATTTCCGGGCCATCGAGGCTACCAGGTCAACAACATTTGCACTATCACCCGAATCTTTAAAATTGGCAATATCTTCAGACATAGAAGCTGGGCTGGTGCCATTGTTTTTATGTGCCACCGTTGGAACAACCGCGACCACTGCGGTTGATCCATTAGGCCCACTATGCGATGTTGCGAAACATCATGGTATGTGGGTTCACGTGGATGCGGCATATGCAGGGAGTGCATGCATTTGCCCCGAGTTTCGCCATTTCATTGATGGCATTGAGGGTGTGGATTCATTTAGCTTCAATGCACACAAATGGTTCTTTACTGGACTCGATTGTTGCTGTCTCTGGGTTAAGAATCCAGGCTCATTGACAAGTTCACTCTCAGCCAATCCGGAGTTTTTGAGGAACAAGCCGACAGATTCAAAGCAAGTGGTGGACTACAAGGACTGGCAAATAGCCCTAAGCCGGAGGTTCCGGGCCATGAAACTATGGCTTGTGCTTAGAAGCTATGGCGTGGTTAACCTTAGAAACTTTCTTAGGAGCCATGTCAAAATGGCCAAGCTTTTTGAAGGGCTTGTAGCCATGGACCAAAGGTTTGAGATTGTGGTGCCTAGAAATTTCTCCATGGTTTGCTTTAGGGTTTCACCATGGGTTGCAACAAGTAAGGGCGCTCCAACTTCAAATAGTTTTCATCAAAATGGTATTGACATTAATGTTGAAAAATGTACAAATGAAGTCAATTGCAAGTTGCTGGAGGCCATCAATGCATCGGGTCGTGTATTCATGACTCATGCCATGGTTGGAGGTATGTACGTGATACGGTGCGCAGTGGGTGTAACCCTAACAGAGGAAAAACACATAGCCATGGCCTGGAAAGTGGTGCAAGAGCATGCAGATGTCATCCTCAAGAACCATGGTGATGATGGTGATGCAAATTTGAAGCTTCCATTGTTGGACATGATTGCATGATAATTAGAATATCTCAGTGCATAGAATGTATGAATAATTAAACCATACAAATTTGTAATGTCCATGTTTTCCTTTTTAATTTGGTCCATCTGTATTAATTTCTACGTTAATGATGGTAGTTTTGGTTTTTGTTTTTGTTACTTCGACAAAATAAAAAATGTAAACATGTTATGAATTGCATAATTATGTTTTTTTAGGATATTTTCTTTTGAGAGAGGCAATAACATATTAATTAAACTCACACATACTATACAGATGCTAGAAGATTCGAATTCAAAACCTTTCTTGCGAGATTAATTGCTCCAAATCACTACACTAATAGGTTCTTTACGATTGAATAATTATGTTTCGATTGGTAACGTGTGATCAAATATTTGTTAAAGTTAATACTTGATTGACAATAAAAAAAAAAGGTTAATTGATTGTAATGTTTTATGTTTTGAAATATTTTGGATTGCATGGCAACTAGAAGGCCATGTTTATGGTAGGTTGGTTGTTGGCCAGCATAAAGCCTACTGCTCTATTGAAGTGGAGATGGTGAGTCAGGTGTGATGTATTGAACCATATATCTTAGAGCATCTCCAAGGGAGATGTCAAATACCAAACATCAAATTTAAATTTGATGGCTGATGTGACAATTTGACATTTACACAGTTTTACACTCCATCTGATATGTCAAATAAATAATTATTGTAACAGTCAAATCATTTAAGATAAAGAAGAAAAAAAATAAAAAAATGAAAATAATAAATGAAAGTAACAGCAAACTATCTTTTAAAAATAATAAAATATTCATTTGATATCTTGCTTTTGGGATGTCAAAAATAACATCTCAACCTCCAACTTTCATTCCACATCAGCTTTGACACATCGGTTGGAGTGATGTAAGATGTTATTTCTAGCCGTTAAATGTCTACGTGACACTTTTGGCACATCGGTTGGAGATGCTCTTATGAGATCAATTATGTCTCTGTTTCTAAAGTGGCAACTCAAAATTCTAAGCATAATTATGCTAAAATAATTTGTCACGAGGTTTCGTTTCTATTAATTATGCTAATTAGTTATTTATTACATAACCTTGAACACATGCAAAGTGTTATAATAAAATATTGGGGACATATTGAGATCAATGCCTGAAAAATGGACTACGTACCCGAACGAAAGCCACCGAGATCCTGTCTTGATTATGAATTATGAATTACTTTTGACTAAAATAACAATCAAACAAGAAGATTGCAGCTATAATTAAACACCACCCCCGACCCCCCGGGTCGTCCCTTGTCATTTTGAATTAGACAGATCACCTCCTAGTCGAGTCACAAGTTCACAACACAAGCACAGTCGATGCATTGAGTTTACAATGCAGCACATGAGGAGGCCCTCCTAGCTATGTTGAGATTACTGAAATTATCTGTAGGATGACTAAGAATACCTAAAGAGAGGTGAATATGCCAATTTAAAATTATAATCAATAAACAAAAAACAAACTTCGGTAACAGGATTGATATGGCTTATCGATCCTAAAACGTTGTGAGCATAAAATAAAGGAACACGCAGAGAATTATTCTACGTGGTAAAACCCCACCTCTGGGTGGAATCCACGGGACTTTTCAATCCGATACAAATCCATTATAGAACGATGATTACAAGAAGTACTCACACACTTATCCTAAACATATATTTTAGATAATTTTTATTGACTTCTTCGTAACTCAACTTCTATCATAGGATGATCTTTCGACACTCCTTATGTTGAAGGTAATACTGGTCACGATTACTTCAAGCTCGCCAGAGGAAAACCGCCACTATGGTCTTGGTGCCCTCAACCGTATGAGTCACCGAACATGCAAATGAATGAAATATGAATGATAAAGGTGTTTGATAAATCACCAAGTAAACATGGAACACTTGATGATTTATCTCAAAGATATCACTACTACAATTTTGTTAAACTACGACACTCAATAGATGACCCTTTATATAAAAACTGTCGTGGTATTTTAAAAGACGACGAATGTTATAAAACCGTCGTGGTAAGGTACCTAATACACCAATGTGTTGGGTTTATTTTTAAAATTACGACGATACCTTATTAGGACCGTTGTGTTTTTAGGAGGCACTAAACAAAAATTCATTTTAAGTTCGCGAGCGCGGACCATTTCAGAAAACCCTCGCTCGCTCAAAACCCTCTCTCTCACATCGATGAAGCACATCTCCCTCTCATCGTCCACCGAACTAGCCCAGATCTCCATCTCCGTGGACATCGAGTTCGACGAGATCGCCATCTCCGTCGTGCTGTTCAGTCAACCAAGCTCGTCGCGTTCGCCATCTCCCTTCCTCGTCGCGACCATTTTTAAGCCCCCAAATGGATTCCCATATTCCATTTTACGAGCTTTAGATTAGATCTTCTTTCTCGTAGACCAGAAAGGTACGAAGCTACTTTTCTAGGGTTAGCTTATTATGGTTGTTTGTTTGAGATATAGGGTTACGATTTGTTTGTTCTTTAATTTCGGTGTGTATTGACATATATACGATTTGTTTGTGGTTAGATCTGACTTGAGTTAAGCTGTATATAGTTCAGCAGTTGCATTTAAACCTTTTTGCTTTTATTTTGTTCAAAAATTCTAGTTCATATGTTTTTTTTTGTACCTTTAGTGCTTTGTTGTTGAGTTGCAGGGCCTGGAAAGTTGCTCTGGTTTTAAGATTATGCATGAACTGCATCAACTTTAGCATGAACCGATTGGATCAACATGTCATTCATATAAGTGCTAGAAGCATCACATGAGTGCTATTTTGGTTTGTATTTATTCATTTTTTGTAAATTTGTTTGTGAATTTTGGTTTGTATTTGTATATTTTTGTAAATTTGTAAGTTGGGTCATTTAGTTGGTGCACAGATTAGCTATAGCCTGGCCTTGTTCTGCTTAAGTTGAGGTTTGGGCTATTGGGTTTTGTAGAATTTGGAAACAGGGTTGGTTAAAGTCCCAGTTTGCTTGCAAGAACAATGAAATTACTGGTTGTGTTTGGTCAAATTTAGTTTACTGGGCAGTTTTTGTGTTTGTCAAATGTAGTTTTGCCAATGCGAAATCCCGGATTAGCATCTTCTTCTACCATGCATTTGTCTCCTCTGTTTAGTTGTTAATGAACAATGACCAACTTTGGAGAATTCACAGGTCATGTAGTAGGTGTAGTTCTTCTGATAATATATACTGCCTATTTTGCTAGGAAACTTGTGATGCTTGTATTTATGATTTATGTTTTGGTTGTCTTCTGTAGAGTTGTATTAGCACCATTGACTAGACAAAGATCATACGGAAATGTTCCTCAGCCATATGCCATCTTATATTACTCTCAGAGAACATCTAATGGAGGTCTTCTCATAGCTGAAGCCACTGGAGTTTCTGACACAACTCAAGGGTAATTTGAAGAAGAGCAGCTTTCTAGTTTTGATGTTTTAGTTTAAGTAACTAAGCTTCATTTGAGGGTGCTTTCTTTATTTAATGTTTGATGTCTCTTTTGTTTCTTTCATATGCGAAGGTACCCAGATACTCCTGGTATATGGACTAAGGAGCAAGTGGAAGCATGGAAACCCATTGTTGATGCGGTTCATATGGTAATTTATAGGTTGGAGAAGATATAGTTAAAAGAGCTCTTAGTTGCCAAGAATGCTGGTGTAAATGGAAGTGTTGTCAGTGAGAAGGTATTCTCTCGTTTGGCTTTATGTATTATGTTACTATCTGATTTCTATGTTTGTTTAATAAGTTGAAGTCTCCTTTTCCAGGTGTTGCAATTCTATGTGATCCTTTTCATAGGATTTGTTTTTTTTGCTGCCTTTTGTGAAGTGTATGTTGATATCTGACTTTTGTTACGCTGGTGGTTTATAGTTTAAGCTTTTCATAAAGAATTTTGTTAGTTATGCAATTTAGGATTGACTAGCCGTTTGCTCTTTGAATAAGCTTGCTCTTCTATCTGATAAAGCTTTCTGTTTGATGTTCTTATCCTAATTAGATTAGCTCTTTTTCAGTTTGTAAGAGAACAAGACTATAGAGGTCTTAATTGCACTACTGTGTAGGAAGAGAAGTTAAGGAGAATAATAGTCTCCTCCTATATTGAGAGAAGGAACAAAACAGAGAGTTCAAGAAATGGCTCCAGTGTTTTTTTTTCCCTTCAGCTTTCTTCTCCTTCTTTATTATGCTTTGAGTGCTTTAGTTAGATAAAAAAAAAACTCCAACACTTCTGCTCTAGTTATTGTTTTTGTATTTTTTTTCCTGAATTAATTGTTTATTGTCATGTAAATGTAGGATTGGTAGAGCTGTACCATAATGGCAGCCATGGTGTGGACATTGAAGGTCCAGCAGAAGTTCGCATCGAAGGGGCAACATTTATGAGCAACCACATGTACTTCCTCTTTATAAGTATAGGTTAAATGCTATGGATATGGTATTTTGTATGGATATAGTAGGAATCAAGATTGGTAAACTATGTAATTACTATTGAATATTCAAGTTTTATGAAAGAAACAATGTTATATACATGTATGGTGTGGGTAATGGTAGATTTGGACTTGAATTTATGAAAGAAACAATGTTATGAAAAAAAAAAAGTAAAATCACTACGTCAATTTTACAGATAATACACGACGGTTTTTTTTGTAAAAACCGTCGTCTTTAGCGTTAATAGACGACGGTTTTTTAAAAAACCGTCGTCTTTACATTTAATAGATGACGATTCTTTAAAAAATCGTCGTTTTTACATATAATAGACGACGGTTGTAATTTGACATTCAAAAAGATGACGGTCGATTTAACGACGGTTTGAAAAACACGGTGTTTTCCCATCGTCTATTTCAATTTTTGTAGTAGTGTATGCACAATAGCTTTTGTTTGGAAATTTAGATGCTCAACCAAAATATCTAAAAGCTGTGTCTTAAACAGAGCATCACGTCATCTTTTTATATGGACATGTTCTCCTCTTTGCAAGTAAAGAGCATACCCAAACCCAAAAAAAAAAAAAAAAAAAAAAAAAAAAAAAAATATAGTCATTAATCACCTTTAATTCAAATACGTCAGCTTAGCACAATATGAGAAGGTAAGGATGGCTTTCAATACAAGCAATTGCTATAGTAGGAAACAATATATACCAAGCTGAATCAATGAACCCAATTAAGGTATTAAAAGAAACATGCTCTCCAAGTCAAATATGAAAAAGGATATGTGTACTTAAACCAAAATAAGGTCCAACTAGGAAAATAATAAAATTTAATCCTATTAAAAATAGAACTAATATAAAAGAACTTAAGTGTAAATAACTCCAACTAGGAATCCTATAATGAATGCATGATTATGTCATGATTTACTTGAAATCAGTTTCCCTACATCGGAAACTTAACAAAATAGAAAGTCTCATATAATAAATGGTTTCACTTCTAATAACACCAATGCCTTTTGTGATAAAACCCCAGACCAACTGGGCTTTATAGGTAGTTAAGTTGGAGACAATATCGATGTTGCAAGTAGTGGGCCGATGACCCGTCTCTCTGAAATTTAACGAAGACAACATAAATGATTTTATTGTACTTCATTTGTTGACCTAAAATTGTTTTTATAACTTAAGTAATGTATATAACTATGATTCTTTTGGTCCTATAAGATGATAAAGGTTTATATTTCCTACTTGACGAGATACATTCCATCGCAATTCCTCTACAAACAACTTGTAGGCTGAACTGTACCTGCAGCTGTTCCATCTGCATGGCTACATGAAGCTTCAGATGGTTGGTTCTTGTAAGTGAGCTTCACATCCTCCAATCTAATCCCCGTACAAGGATTCTTGGAACTACAATCGAAATTCACTGCAACTTCAGTTGCTGATGTACCGTGGATGTCTTCATACGTCACGTCGGTAATTTCGATTCCAGAAACCTGTTCAGACAAAGTGTTATCGAAGATGAACACAAAATTAGCTATCAAGTAACCAAGTATATGGTGCAAAATGTAGCAAGTTTGACGAACAGAAAAGATGAAGCCCAATCTTTTTTTTTTGGTCGAAAACCCATGAAGCTTTTGATACATTTCCAAATTAGACATTATATTTGGGTGATGCCAATATTTTGAAAAATTCAACTAGCTATATGTGATTGTCTGGGAAAACAAAAAGCTTGTGATTGAATTTACAACAGAACTCTTATGATATCTTTACCTGACGAGGGCAGTCTTTGTTGTTAGGGCAGTAGTTTTGATCAATAATGATGGGATTTTTGACATTGACCATTACGGCATGTTGGAAGAGAATGTGCCTAGCAAATCCAGTGCTAGGTCTACTCCAAGATTTAATCCTGACACCATTCAAGGTATTCTTAAAAGTAGCAGTTTTAACTGTTACATTTTGCACACCGGGCTCTTGCATCTCCCACCCTAGACTTCCAACGCTGCAACACCAATCAAATCGATTCAAAATTTAGAAGTAAATCAAAAAACCCAAAAGGTTCTTTAAAGTATACTAAAACATATCCTTGTATGCTAGTTTGATTAGCTTGATTACAAATGCATGCCCTATTTAATTTTGACGTACCTAATTCCATGGCCGGGTCCACAAGTAACCTTTTCGATCCACAAGTTAAAGGTGCCAGGGCCAATTGAGATACAATCATCACCGGTTGAAAAATTAGAGTTGAAAATGGTGATGTCTGATGACATTTGAATGTGGATGCCATCGGTGTTGGGGCTTTTTTCAGATGCAGAAACCCTAATTCCAAGCATATTCACATTGTGACAACCTTTGATGATTATGTGGACCATTTGGCTGTTTCGTGATATCAATCCACTCACCACAATGTTGCTCGAGTTGAAGAAACCCAGTGACTGCACATAACCCACGCAAACACACACTTCATATGTACATGCTCTATATATGTAACTTCCCTAAGCTTAGGTACTTAAGTAGTTAATAACTTAATCTAAACTCACAAGGTTTCTATATGCATTTTTTATGTTTTAGTTGTGTCGATTTTGACTCACATTTAGTTCTTTTAAATATAAACACTAAGGGCCCATTTGGTTCAAAGTTTAGGCGCTCGGAATGGGTTTTAAATTGCATTTCTATGTTTGGTAAGTGCACTATTGGGAATGCAATTCTGGACTAATGGGTATGAACTTCCTATGTAGGGAGAATTTCATACCCTTGGCTCACTATTTCCCCCCACTTAGAAAAGCAATTAATGCAATGTTTTTTTTACTAACTTACCCATGTTATTATTTCTAAATACCATTACTTTTGACCCTTAAAAAATTGTTCATATTAATAACTTTTAATGATAAAAAACCAAGGTTATTGTTGGAAAACTGAATAAATTTTCATTCATAATACTGCACTAACCAAATATGAAAATGAGAGAAAATAGCGTTCCCAAACATAAGAATGAACATCATCCATTCTCATCTCGTAAGATTAGATATGAGAAGTTTATTCCCAATAAATTCAATCCGCAAACCAAACGAGTCCTAAATAGTATTAAATCCGAAATTCAAAATGCTTAACCTCTAAAAGAGAGTGGGTTAATAGGTTAGAAATACAATAAGTCAAAAATCTGATTCCCTCCCAAGAAAACAAACAAAAATGATATCGTTTGGAATCACTTAAGCACAAAAAGATAAAACTAGAGAATATTTCAGTTAAGTGAAGTAAAATGAACAGTAACCACAAACTGACCAATCAACAATACCCACTAACAACACCAAGTTTGTACGTACTTGATGGATGGTGCATATTATTTTAATAAAATTCTATATCTTGTATATGAATGGAAGGTAATTTATTAGCCGCCGCCCATCAACTAAAAGTCTAAAAGGGTACTTAAATTATGGACAATAATTTGGTGATCTGAATTAGTAATTAAAGTTACGTACGATTGCTCCGGTAGGGCAATTACTCTTGCCTAGTGGTGAGGCCTTGCAATCCCACAAACCAGTGCCTTGGCCATCAAGAATTCCGTGAGAGCTAGATATGTTGAGGCCGTGCACATCCTGAAACGAAAGCCAGTTACCAGCATTTCCAAGGACCCGGTAATCGGATGGGGCAACGAGGGTGCCTTCGGCGATGCGAAAGGTGGTGGCCTGGTTGTTGCATGGCCCTTTGAAGATGGCATTGCCTAGCAAGAACGTCCCGCGCGGGACGTGAATGACAGCTGGCTTCACGGAGGCACAAGCTTTGTCCCATGCAGAAAGGAAGGCTTTGGTTGAGTCAGTCTTGCCATCTGGTTTGGCTCCTAAGTTGACCACACGGTAATTATTAATACCACTGGACGCTAAGGCTGATGAGTTGTTCATGAAGGAAAACACAAGTACACATGAGAGAATAAGAATGAGGCTTCTAGGACATGATGACTTTGCCATTGATTTGGGCACTACAACGTACTTGGGGGAGTTTTAATTTGTCTCAGCTAGAGAGAGAGAGAGAGAGAGAGAGAGAGAGAGAGGTTAATTATAAGCTGAGGTGGAGAGGAAGTTGAAACTGTTTAAGGGGTATTTATAGGGTTAAACTATTTACTAAGGGTACGGCACCAAGAAGGGTTTTGTGCCTTTTGTGACATACAAAACCAAACTATTTATGGAAACGATTACTCGTTGTTGGCAAAACCTATTCCACCTATTGTGCCCATACATAAAAAAATAAAAAAAAAAACAACATACTAATATTCTAGCCCCAAATGGTTGAACCCTAAAAAGATGCTAGCAAGCTATATCATCAATTGGTATACTTTTGCCCTAGAGGTCTCTTTGATATATTTTTATTTTTAAAATTTTAGGATGTTTGTTCCGTCCTTGTTTGGGTGTAAACTCCAAAAGTTCTTAAAAACCAGAAAAAGACTAAGAACATCTTTTGAGCCCATGAGAGAGAAATATATATGGATTTTGACGTGGCAAGTCATTTTGTACACATAATGATCAAATGGTACAAGGTAAACAAAACCAATATAAGGCCAGAGTGGCAAACCTTATCCTGATGGATTCTGGTGTGCGAGAGTTGGGAAAACCGCAGGATTCTAAACCTTATCATCTTGGAGTGATTTATGCTTAACGAAACGAAAACGAAACCAAACCACAGGTACACAAAGGATTCTCTCTACGCCTTACTTAGATTCTGTACGTACTTCTAGTCCACATATGAGAGGATATATTGTATACTACAAAAAAAACGTGGCAACAGTCACCATTATTTGGTGGCATTTGGTGACATTTGCTGGGTTTTTGGTGACTAAAGCCTTTAGTCACCCCAGCAAATGTCACCAAATAATGGTGACTGTTGCCACTTTTTTTTGTAGTGGTACCTGGTGCTCCACGTATAGTTGTACTACTTGCTTATAAGATACATTGTATATAGAGATATTTAGTAATATACCCATTCTTAGCACTAAAACTATAAATAAACCCTACATCATTTCATTTTTATAGACATACCCAAAAAAAAACCCAAAAAATGACAAATTGTACTATTAAATTTAATTTTAATTATTAAATTACTTTGATATCCTATTGAGTGTTTTGGGCTTTTTTATGAAATTTTGGGTTGGGTTTGTTTTAAGAAATCAATGGCAATTTTGTAATTTAAAAGAAGTTAAAAGCCTTTTTGTTATGTTATAAATGGGTTTTGGGTGTGTTTATAAATTCCATTTCATATATGGTTTTTTTATAATTTGGGCTCCTATATTGGGTATATTAGTGAATCTCCCTTGTATATATCAGAGCCGTTTGTCTATATCTTGTTTTAAAAGAAACGTTGATATAGCCAAAAAGTTATAAAACCACAAACCAGCAAGGCTAGAGGAGGACGTTCATCGTATAGGCAGAGCAGACAGACTGTACTATTCACGGAATTAATGGAATTGGACGGATCAATCTGAATAAGACATCACGATGAGAACAGGTGAATAAGTGTGTGTTTACATCCTATTCACGTTATGTTCATTAGAACAGAAAATGACAGTTTTTTTTACAATATTTAGTTAGGCAATATTGTAATTTGAAAGGTGGAGGGCCAGTTATATATAATTTACACATAAAGGAAGGGGAAGCATACGGTGTGGGGTGTAGGATACTAGGATACGATATGATAGGCCTGAGCATGGTTCGGCTTGGTTCAGTTTCGAGTCTATTGACAAGGTTACTCTATTGACTCATAAAGACAAGAGCCCCGAACAACGTTATCTAGTTTTTGAAATGCACTGGTAGAATGATCAACATGTCAGCTTTCCACTTAAGCAAGCAGAACAAACATGGAAATGCAAATCAGATGAAAAAGAAATATTCGATGCCAAGGAGAAAATCTAACAGCTTGTCCAAGATAAGCAACTGAAGGTAGAGAATGGAGAGAATGCTTCAAGGGTATAAATTTCATTTTACCAATGGTTTGATAATTTGATTGTCAATTTGACCTCTTGTTTCAGATTCAGAGTTCATATGGTATTCTGACTCTGAAACTTTTAAATGGTTGGAATCAAGGGCGGATTCACGTATAGGCTAGAGTGGACTTTGTGCTCTCAGGTAGTATTTATAGTAATTCTTCCACTAATGCAAGAGTCAGTTTCAATAAACTTTTATTTAGAATGAATAACTATCTGATGGATTTACATATTACAATGAGCTAAATTGTAGCCCATATAAAACTGTTTTAAGTCATTCTACAATTGGAATCACAATGGTTGCAAACTATTCTCTAACATGGCAATTGTACAACATTTCCAATTCGGTGTAGTAAGCTATTGCTATGTGTCTATATCGTGTGATTATCATTTCTCTTCACTCCAGCTTTACTATATCCACTCTTCAGTGCCCCCAAAATCTACCAAGTGCCTTTGCATTTTCACATTACTATAAAATATCACACACCTAGATGTTTTTCCCGGCAAAGACATCTGCAAAGTTTTCTTGGCAAGGAATAATCTTCAAGCAAAGATGGATCGGTTGAGATGTCTTCTGGACGTGACCATATATAAACCCCTCGCTCCTGCCGGCTGCCTGGAACACTGTTTTCTAGTACGAATGCTATTAGAAATGTCACCACCATGTTCAAAGACAGTAGTCCATTTATAATGAAGTCAAGCTGCCAGGCATTGAAACAACAATTTAGCTCATATCTAACTTAAGAGGACATAAAACAGAACTTGAAACTGTACATGGAAGAGGCTAGGACAGTAAACATGCGTGCCTGTACATGTTAAAACATGGGCCCTAGAGTCCTAGAATGTCATATTTTGATCATATTTATCAGTCCCCAAATATGATTTTAACCATCTTCAGAAACCAGTTCATCAGAAAAACTGTTCTTTTTGTAACTTACAGTATCTGGGCTCACTACCTTGGAGGTTCCTTGATTATCAAGTCAGCAGGAAATTTTCAATGTGATGGTACTTTAAAATAGCATGTTGTCATTTGATTCATCACTATTCCGGTAGAAGTTCCTCTTTTTTTTTTTTTTTTTTTTTTTTTTTTTTTTTTTTTCTTTATTAGTTCTTAGGAAGGGGGAAGTGAAGCTCTGATTTTTCACGTATTTGTGCATTTAGAATCCGTAAGGAAACAAGGATAAAATAGTTTTCTTACTTGTTTAATGCCCGTATGGAGTGGTCCATTAGATGCTGCTCCATAGGGAACAAAATAGCTAGGCAGTATGAGGCTGGATTCGGGTTGATACTGTTGAAAATACGCTGGGATAGATAAACCGAGGAACAATGAAACACCAACGATCATTATGTTTCTAAAACTTGCTGCTTGACTACTATTCTGCAAAGTTGAGAGACCCAATGCCACAACAAGGGCCCACGTGAAGCACAGTACTGAAGCAGCCAAGGCCAATGGTATAGAGGCAAGAATGGCACCCACTTTTCCTACAAAACAATGAGTGACAAAATACATTTTTTAAAAAGAAAAATTCCTGAAGTATCCAACAAGGGTACATGCAGTATATTGTCAATTATGACAGCATCCAATACAAAGCATAATTTAACACAACAATAAAACATTACTTTGTGCTTTTGACAGCAATTCAAACTTATGGGGTTTTGAAGTACTTTACCTATAAACGAGAAAAAGATTAAGAAAACTGCTCCAAGTTCCACGGCCCTGCGATTTGCCACCTTCGTTATGTTAATCGTATGTACATTTTCTGTCAAGGTTGTTGACCCAGTACCTGAACCCCAAATTCCAGCCAATATACTGCAGAAACCCTCCAATGCAATTCCTCTGCTGACAATTCCTGGCGTTGGAGGCTGCAAATTAATACGCACAGATGCAGTGTGGTATGTTCCAACCTGGATAAGTTTTTACACCCTGTGCGTCAGTGTCATGCTGGTAATTTCATATTTACATTCATTCACTGCCCTTGAGTACATATATAAGTTTTTAACATTAGTAAGAAGGGGAAAAAAAGGACTTCCAACCAAAAAAATATTATAGGACAGGGATGAGTGCTATTGTGCAATCACAAAGCCTTCACCATAGCCCAAAGTCATAGCACTATTGAAGGATGTTTAAATAATCCCACTATTCAAAGGTCGAGGCATTAGCAGCTTAGATGCTCCTCTCACCAATGACATGACATAAGCAGCGCTGGTGTGTGCGAGAACACAAGCATGTGACATCATACTTATAACTTATTTTCAGTTGCATTTGAATTATAAGCTACCCACCGAATCAACTGATGCTACGAGCGACACAAAAATCATGATAATGGAAGTCCTGAAATGGAAGATAGGCAGACCCCACTGTAAAGGGTATGGAATCCTGACCCATGCAGCAGTTCTCCATGCATTTGAAACATCGGTCCTGCAATGTGTCATAGTATATGCATGCTTTCTGCAAGCATCTATTAGGATATTTGAACTAGGTATATCAGGGCTGCAGCCTTTGTAATCGTATGCTCCACCGGCTGTCAAAAAGAATGCATAAGTCCATATGATCATAACACTTAAGGGAACCTGCAATAAGAAAAATGTCAGCAAGATCAATTAAGTTACAATATCGACATGTACCATAAATTATTAGAAAAACAGTTTGAGTGCTACCAACAGAAAATGAGAACATTAATTTTAATGCTAATTTTTTTTTTTTTTTTTTTTTTTTTTTTCATTTTAGAATTTGGAATGTCAGGACAGTCATTGGCAAGACACTCACGTCTAACCGAGTCCAATAATTTATGATGGCCATGAATATATATATTACAACAAGATTATCCAGCCAGGATGGTGATTACTGATGTCACTGTGTAAACTAAATGTTTGAACCTGGCAGTATTATCTTGTCCCAAAATGCTGAATCTTATATAACATTTGGGGCCTTCTCTGGAAAGATGTTGGGAACTCAACTTGCCATGAAAGCACAACAAGTGGATGGTAGGGGTTCTTTAACCCACCATAAGACTAAGGAAAGTATAGGACAGGGTTCAGTTACACATAGGAAACATTGAAATCTTCCAGGTCAAAAGACTCCAAGCAAAACCAATATCTAATTTAAAAAATAATATAGCTTTCAATGAACCAAGATGTTGAAAGGTATGATACCTACCGCATAAATCTGAAAAAAGCGATGCCCAAAGATGGATACGCCTCGAAGGTACTATAAACATAGCAACAAAAGTAAAGTAATTAATATTTGTTAACACTTAGCCAAAGCATTTAAGAATTAAGAAGATTAAATGTGGAAGACTTCTTAAAGACAGCTGTATAGAACAGGCTGCATAGGCATATTTAGTACCACGCACTCACTTACCAGGGTGAATATGAGAATCAAAAGTATCTGCGGAACACTAATTTCCACACAACTCCCAGCTTGTGGAAAGCCATAGCTAAAAAACGCTAAACCTACTGCAGCAACTGTTGGTGCAACAATAATGGGATGTATCAATCTGCAATGTGTTATCATATAGATCAGAAAGAGAAATGGCATAGTTTATACAAGTACTAGCAAAAACCAGAATACAAATCATGATAGCTGCTGGCAATGATTATTCAGTTTTAAAATTACTAACCATATCAAATTCACTAAGACTTTTGATGCAACTAAATGGGCAACCACGATTTGATTTATCAACAACAAACATTAGGCCCCCTATTATGTTTACATGTAGAAAAAATATATATTATTTCCAGTAGTGCCAGCGAAATCCTCTTTGCCCCAGCTCCAAGACATGGTTATGCAAGCCAAAAATGCAAATATGTTTCCCTAAGTTAGTGTTATATTGCATTGTCATAAATAAACAAAATGAATGACATGATATGTGTGTGTGTATATATACACACACACACACATGAGAGAGAGAGAGAGAGAGAGAGAGAGAGAGACAGAGACAGAGAGACAGAGAGACAGAGAGACAGAGAGACAGAGAGAGAGACAGAGAGAGAGACAGAGACAGAGACAGAGACAGAGACAGAGAGACAGAGGATTAGGAGCAGAACCAATGTATCCAAGAAACCCATTTTTATTCCAGAAAATACATATTATTTGTCTTTTTAATAAACATCGAAATATCGGCAAAATGAAAATTTTACAAGAAATCTCTTGAATTACCTCAGCAATAAAGACATTAAACCACTAAATCCCAGGAGGCTCTGAAATATCGAACCAATAATTATAGCTCCTTGCAGTTCTCTCATTATATGCCTAAATTTCTGCAATGAAATTAATAGACAATGAAACTATGAGGTCAGTGATACATTTGACATGAAATTAAAGGAAGTCGCTTCATTTCAAAAGGGTATAATTTCCAAATCCTCAAATATGTGGCAAAACATACTGATTTCAAGTAGGAAATTGTACCTGGATGTTAGAACATTCCAGGTAACAGTGAAAAATCTCAAGGATATTACAGTTGATAGAATCTTAGCCCTTAGTTACTGAACTTACATGCTCCGTAAGATTTCGAAATTCCTGAGCATTCATGATAACTAGTGCCGGTGCCAAGTATACAAATGAACTTCCTTGAACTAATGGAAGTCGAGTTCCAAAGTAAGTGTGCAGTATTGTTGTCATTCCAGAAACCAGCAGCATTGTTGAAATCACCGTGGAGGTATCCTTCTATGATCATTTATGCAAATGATATAAACAGTGAGTTTTCCCGCTTAAGTTATAAGACAAAAAAGAATGCAGGAGAATACATGCTTACATCTGTTCCACCCATGGCCGGTACAATGATCAGGGGGATGAATATAAGGGACCCAGCCAGTGATAAATAGTGCTGCAGACCGTAATACATTAGTGGAACTGCCATGAAAAACAATCAGATGAGAGTAAGGAAAGAAAACTAATTTTTTGTGAAGCCAGATTCAAGAGTGGATATTCAGTCTTGCTAAGATATTATTTGTGTAATAGAAATGCCTTTTGGTTACTGATCACCAACCACAGCCAGACTGAATCAATCAATTTATTTTAAGAGAACACCACAACATTTGTTCTAGTTTTGAAACCTTCGTCTAAACAACATAAGCTGAAGCAAACTTGCACTAACCCATCAAACTTGCACTAAAGTTCAGGGTCAGGAGATATCAATGTTGAAAGGAACGTTTTCAGCCATTCTTCTCTGGAAAAGGAAGAAAAAGAATAGTAGATTGCATTACAAGCTTGTGTTCTTTCTCAATGCTATTTCCCCTTTACAGTGTTCATCTTTCCCTGCCACCTAAGTGCTAGCCCATATCTGTTGCACTGGTAGCGTTTGTTCCAGGGAATGGGATTTCAAGAACCCCATACCCATTCCCATTCCAAGGGTTTTTAGAAACCAAAGGAATGTAGCATTTGTATTCAAATGGGAATAGTTATCATTACCATGTATCATAAAGCTAGAACTAGAACATAGGAATGAGAAACCCACCCTTCCTTTCTCATGTTTGCACCTACCAAACCTAAGAAAGGAATCTCAGACCCATTCCTAACCCCTATTCCAGCAAACAAATGCTATGAGAAATGGGAGGTGTTGCTTAAGGAAATCATGCCTCCCCTATCACAAGATTCAGCCTATTTTTTATTTACCTGGCCTTACCCATATTGAAGAATGAAACATTGAAAGTTTAGCTTCCTCGTACCTACTTTTCTTTTCCGGAGCTTTAAAGTACTGAAAACATAAACTTAACAAATCACCAGCTTTGTTTCATCAGCATCAAAATTTTACCGGCTTTTAAACTTTCTGAAGACAAAATTTTGAATGACTACTTTTTATTAAGATGATAAATTTTGCTATTTTTGCCAGAAACCCTTTCTTTCCTAAACAATAGTATTTTTAACTCATTCTGTCCCATGGTACTATATTGAAAATCTCTTGCCTAGAAATAAAGACTACAAATTAACTATACAACTATCACAAACAAAAAATAGCAATTGCCTAATCAACAAATTAATCCGATTTAAAGATTGATCAACAAATTAAAACAAAAGGAATGAAAGTAAACTAACCAAAACCCGGATTTTCTCTCAATCCAATCTTCATTGCAGACGGTCTCCCCCACCCTCCATGAACAGGTTCTTCACCATCTGGATAATTCATCTCTACATCTCTTTCATATTTCTCATCATCAATTATCTTCGGCTCAGCTGCTGAAGCAACTGGTGTGACTCCATGCCCATTCCCATTCCCACTTCCATTCCTATTCTCATTTCCATTGACACAGTCTCTTCTATCATCATCTTTAGCACCCAAAACAGGCTCATTCTCAGTCCTCCTCCTCTTACTCTCACCCCGCACTGTTTCATCTCTCTCATTCCTCACCCCTCCATGTCCAGGACCAGTAGCTGGCTCAATCTCAATCCCTTTACTGGGCTTAGTTCGGCCCAAAACCGGATCAATCTCGATTTTTGGAGACGACCCGCCACCACCTCTCTCATCAAAACCCGTCTCCAAACCAAACCCAGCACTATCATTTCTCACACTGCCACTAGTAGCTGTCTCCCCAGAGAAATTAGAGACAAACCCAGTTCTTTTGGCCCAAGATCTCAGCTCTCTTGGATTGTGATCCCTCCTCGGCACAAAAGCCGAGATCTTGGGTTCAACAGAGCCTATTGCAGCACCACCCCTCGGTCCCCTCTCCCTCTCAGCCTTGTCCAGTGGCTCTGAGCTCGACCCCGGTTCCATTAAAGCTTCCTTTCAACTGGGTACCAGTTTTTTCAACAAAAATAAGCTTCAAAACTAAAGAAGGTAAACAGCTTGCCTCAGTTTCCTACCCAGAGAGCAGCACCAAGAAGAAGCTCAGCAAACTATAAGCACGAGAAGAAAATAATGTATTAAATTAGAGAAAGAGAGAGGGAGAGTGAAAGCAAAGCAAGAAAGAATGAGTTGGGTTTGTTGGGATGGGAAAAGGTGTGTGAGAGGGTGAACAAGAGAGCTTCATCATTTTTATTAGTGCTAATTTCTAACTGTAATGATGCGAGTAATGGTGTGATCGGGACGACTGTTGCTTGAGATAAGTGTGAGTGAGCTTCATCTTCTTCTTCTTCATCTTTTATTTATTTTTATTTTTTCCTAATCTGTTTGCCGCTCGCTAGTTGCTTTCAGTTTAAGTTTTGCTTTTTTGCTGAAATTACTGAAGCGCCCCGGTTTTCTGGCCGTTGTGAGGAAACGTAATGTATAGTAAGTAATGTACTAACGATATTTGGAGAGGAAGAATCCAACACAACACAAGACCTCGTAACGAGTGCATGTATTGGCAGAGCTAGGATCCTTAGCATGGAGGGGCCAAAATTTCAAAATTACTTTCACATAGGTTTTTTATTTTCAATTGGGAGGGTCATCACTAATCTAATTGCAGTAATTGTATTGCTATAACATATATTTTATAATATATTACAAGAGATTAAAAATTAAATGGGGAGCTAGGGCCATGACAGGCCTCGTTATGGCTCCACTCCCGAGTGCATGATAACTTCTCCTAATCACTTGAACTATAAATTCATATTCTCATTTTGAGCTTCACAATTTCCCTTTTGTATATTCATTCACTTCCTCCTTGTTCTTTATTTTAGAGATTTTGAATCCCTCCAATTCATCAAAACTAACTTTTATAAAATTGCTTTTTTTTCCCCTTTATAAGTGTATAAGAGTAGGAATATCAAAGAAAGACAATGAAGTATGGATTGAATATGAAAGTTGAGAGTCAGGCCCATTCTGTCGCCTTCGCTTGGACTTTGTAGCCTAAAGACAATTAAAGATGTTATTTGTGAGTGTATCTTTTTACTTAAATACAATTAAAAGATTACTTAACTTTGTCGACTGTCACAAAACGGATTATTGGCAGGATCTGTTTCCATGCTTTATTCTATCGGAGTTTGAGGAAAAGATATAATTGGCAACTTTGTTCTTTTTCTTTTGCTTCCTCTTATTTTTATTTTTGTTTCTCTAAAGTATGTTGCTGAGTTGGTAAGAGTATTTTCAACAAGATGAGCAAGCAGCTTTCAACATATCGGAGGTTGCAGTTGTGTCAATACTTTGAAAATCAGTGTTGATCGTTTTTGTGCATATTATTATAATAATATGACACGTTTGATAGCAAAACAGTGTTATCTCATCGTAACTAAGTTTTCTTGTCAAATGGGATATAAGTATAACTCCAACTTCAGGAGATATTATTTGGGGAGCAGAGCTGGAGATTAATATTCTACCAAAAATAAATAAATAATTTTAAACTTTGAGGACAATGACAATCTTGCCCTCCTTTGATTGTCATCTCTATATCTAAGGTCCTTGGCTTAATCATTTTCTATCCATACTTGTGAAGGTTATCGTGAAGTAGAAGGATCATAAAAACGATTTATAAGATTCCATATCTTTCTTCTGGCCAACCAAAAAGTCATTTCGGCCAACAAAAGCAAAATCAACTGCAAGTCCTGCCAACCTTCAAAAGGAGAAAGTTTAAGACTTTTTGGTTCTTTGAATTCACTCGACTACAAAAGAAAAGAAAAATATGGAGGGGAATGATTCCAAAATCCCTAGTGGATTGTGATGCTTAAACCCCCAGTTTCAAGATCATGGAAACCACAAAACGACATGCAGTGTAAATTGCAATTTTACTAGGTTATAGGAGAATATTGTAGCCTTTGAGCCTTAATAGCCCAACAACACATTTCAACTAAGCAGATTCTGTTTTACCCTGCTGAAATTGCAGCTAACAAGCAGATAGCACTGGACTTTTGGCCAGGCATTCCACTTCATTGTATCAGAATAAAGAACAGAAGACTGAGCCAAAAAGATAGAAATTTTGTTAACAGTAAGGTTGAATATAGATAGTAGATTCCAATTTTGATTGTTAATAGTTCCACGAGATTTTAGAAATATTAAGTTAGAGTTTATGTTAATCAAAACCGCACGTAAATTAGTCTATTTAAGAGAGCAGAAATTTCACAATCTTCCAGTGAAAAAAGTTCTACTTCTTATTCAGTTCCTAACCCACTTAAAATTATAAGAGCTCAAGTTATGAGAAAAAAATATCAAAACTCTCAACAGTTTAAACTAAGAGCTAAATGCAAAGCTCCTTAGTTTTGTATCCACTATCCAACTGCAACCTATTTATCAATCCAGTTACTGGTGTGAGCCTATTTTAACAGACTTGATCCATCTTCCCTCAAATCAGATTCATTAAAATGTTACAAGTAATAATATATATACAAATAGTCTAACTAAGTGAAAGAAATCAACTGCATATTAAGAAAAGAAAACTCAAAGCAGTCATAACTTGATTATTTTTGTTGAGTTAAGCACCATTTTGCAGATAGCTTAAAGTTTACATATATATAGCATTTAAACCTTAAATCTCATCCTTGTTGCTCCCTAGTTTGGGGTCTGTTTTCTAATGAGATGACTTCTTGGACCAAAAAAAAAAAAAAAAAAAAAAAAAAAAAAAATCTTCAATCTGGTAAGTGAGATAATTTTCTCCATTCAACAAAAGCCCATTTCAATCCACAGCCATAACCAGTTCTACTGGTAACAAGTAAGCCTGAGGGCTGGTTAGGAGATGCCTATCAACTTTCTCCCCTTTCTACAAAGTACAAAGACAAATATCCACACAAAAAAGGATTTCCTTTCAATCCATAGCATGTGCTCATAGTTGGGTTAGAAAATGTACCTACATGTTTGATGAAGAGCCCTCCAGCTTTTCTCCTCAATTGAACACAATGGCAACTTAAAAAATTGTTGTGAATCCAAAATCTCAAATCCACACTTTAGTAGAAACAGACAAATGATTCATTAACTAGCTGCTGATCACTAACCAAATGGGCATAAACATATGCTCTCTAAAATATATGAAATTTTGCATTCCGGTCACTCCAATTTAACAAAAGAATCATGAAATAGAAAATCAATGGCACAAAAATGATTCCAGTATCCAAATTCCAAACAACAGCAAATCTACTAGTTGTTTTACACTAGATAACTATCCAAGTATATATCTTGTTCATCAATAATCCGCATCACATTGATAATAATGTCATGTAATAATACAAACACAAACAGGACCTGATGATAAACCCAGAAACATTAAAACCAACCTAAAAAACGAAACAAAAAACGAAAAAGGTAAAAAGGGAAAACTATGAACAAGAGGTGTTTGATAAAATGCGCAAGAGAAAAGGAGGCAATTAGTGATGGTTTGGGCTTTTTATTTACTTGACAGGGGAGAGGGAGAGAAGAGGCCAGATACATATTCTTGCTGCTCGCGGAAGCGACGTTTGAGGTAGGTTTCGAGGATCTCCATGACCGAAACGAATCGTTTCATCTCATTGAGGCGGCGGCTGAGCTCTGCTTCCCGAGCCCTGGCTCGCGCCAGCCGTGCCTCCGTCTCAGCCAGGCGGCCGCGCAGATCTGCGACCACAACCGCGTTGTCGTTCGGCAATCGGACGACGCGCGTAGAGGTCAGGTTGTCTCTGGAGAAGGGTCGTTGCTGACCGTAACACATGACTTTTGCGTGGTGATGTTGATTGATGCGCGATGTTAAGAATTTGGGAAGAATTTGCAGAGAAGGGAGAGAAGAATGAAAGAGTTCCTTTTGTGTTTTGTGTATGGGGGTTTTATCTGGAATCTGGACCGTTGAGTTGGAGGAAGTATTCTGATTAGTTTCACGGTAGACTTTTGTTTTTTCATTTGTTTTTTTTATTGCATTTATAGCAATAATACTCTAGGCTCGTTTGTTATACAAGACTGCCTTGACATGGATTATACTTAGAGACTGTCTTGGCTTGGCTTGGCATGGTCTAAATTGGATAACACTTATCTTGCGTTTGGTGCATGCTTGGACTAGGACTAGATTTTTTTATTTTTTCAAATATATATATATATATATAGCTTCCATTGAGGGATCTCTCAAATAAGCTTATTTGAGGGATACCTCTTATAGGCCCCACTCCGGATTGTATTTCAAAACATCCATTTTGTAGATACTCATTCAAATATCATCTCTACAAAAAATCACTTGAATCCGATATCATTTAACCACTCAATTGAGTTATTGAAATTTTAGTACTTTCTTGAAGTACCGTGTTCATTGATTTTGTGAGACACAATTGAATGTCGAAACGATTTTCAATCTATCTAATTTTGTATAAGGATGATCTATGAATGAAGACCTAAAAAATAGATGGTTTGGATCATTGGGAAAAAAAATATTGTAGAGTATCCTAATGGGCGTCCCTCAATAGAAGGGGACTGTTAATATATATATATTATGTATGTGTATATATGTATTTTATAATATATATATATGTATATATACATACATATATTTATACATATGTGTATATACATATATATGTATTATAATTCAGACATAATTGAAAGTTGAATCAGGTTGCTCCCGTGCCTCCACAGTTGCCTCTTCATCATCAGAATTGCTTTCGGTTACCATAGCTGCTTTCCAAATAACCCTAGTTACTTTTGTTCACCATAGTTGCTTTCCTTGTATTATTTAAGCCGGCCTTGGCCTCTGTTGCATTCAGATTACAATTTACACTTTCAGTTTTTTTTAAAGATTCTCTCTGAACACTTTGGAGAAATCATCTTTGTAAACACTGAGTGTTTTTGTATCTGGAGTTTGAAGTTGCTATCTTGAAGTTGCTTTTGTGAGTATAAATAAAATTGCTATTTTCAGTTATTTCTATTTTTAGTAGTTTCATATAAGCATTACTTTAATTGCATACATTTTAATTGCATATATCCTTACGCCTTTGCTTTTCTTCGTTCTTCTTCGTTTTTCATCCTTCTTGGTATCAGAGCCGTAAGAGTTACGTTCATTGTCTAAGTCTGCTACTCATCCCCGCCCAAGTGGCTGGTTTAAGCTTCTGAGTAGAAGTTTTCAGTCTCTTCTTCTTCTTCCCTTTTACTCTTTGAGTCTTTTATTAATCTCTTTCTAAGGTATGGCCCGTGAGTCCTTTTTCCAAACAGTAAGTCCCCAGTGTAGAGGGCCTGAACGGTGGGCAGGAGACAGAAAATTAAGTGAGGTTAATAAGTTTCTTGTTGAGTAAACGGTCAGTTTAGGAAGCCCCTGTTTATCTTCTTCTTTAGAAAGCCAAACCCAAACACTTGAGTAGCCATGAGTCGTTTATTTAGAACAAAGTCTTGTAGTTCAAGCAGTTCTAGAACCGATATAAGCCAACTCCCAGAAATAGTTAATGAAGAACATTTTGAATATGATTCCAGTAGCAAAGAACAATTAGACTTTAGAGATTGGAATATACCTAAAGTCCCGAGTCAAAAAATCTATGAGAAACATTGGTTGCCTTCTAGTTTTAATAGCACAACTCATGTTAAGACAGTTGAACAAGTGTATGCCTTAAGTAAAGAACATGAAACCTGTCAGTTGCTTAATCTTGAGTCAATAAAGAAACATAAAAATGATGGTAATAATTTCTTGCATATTGGATTAGTTCAAGTTGCGGTTAAGCCCCTAACAAGATTAAGATTAAAAGCCTCTATCTTTCTTTGTTTGCGTGATGCTAGGTTCACTGAGTTTAGTGATAGCGCCTCAGGAGTCATTGAGTCCAGTTTGTGTAATGGCCCAGTACACTTTGATTGTTACCCAGACTTTACTGTAAGCCTTAGTGATCCTCATATACTAAGAACTTTAACTCTGAATATTAAGATTGAAGGTTACAATGTCCTCCCAGGAACCCAACCTTTAGCCTTAGTTTACAGAATTTACTACAAGGTTACAGGCACCAACATGAATTTCCAAGCTCTTAATAAAAGCCCAAAAGACCAAACTGTTTTGATACAGAGTCATACACCAGACGCCTGTGTCCAAGTCCCTCAAACCATCAAGTGGTCAGAAGTTGCCCTTCCAAAAGAATGGACCTTAGTTACCGAGAGCCAACCAGCTCCCATACAGCGTAGTCTAAACAATTTAGACTACATTCAACAATACTTAGATGGCACAGTAAAAATCAGATTTGATAATCAACCCTTAAAAAAGACTAATGTCCAATTGCAACAGTTACCAACTCCTGGTCAATCCCAGAGACATGCCCCTGCTAGACGCTCGTTTACAGCCTCATCTTCCACTCTAGAACGAGACCTAGAGTTAGAAAAAGCCATGATTGATTTCAAACTTGAGTCCCTGAGAAAATCCTCTCAGGTAAACCAACCTTGTTACGGCAAGACACCAGTTCAAGACGATAAGTCTGTTTCACCTGAATCACCTACACAGTCTGACTTCCTAGTTGAAAATTTTGCAACGGTTGATAACCAACTTAGGACCCTTAATAAGAAATTTGAGATTAATTGGAAACGTCTAAATTCTCACCTTAAGTCTCCAGAAAATCAACATAGAAGAGATAAATATCACCAAGCCTATCCTGATAATGAAAGCCGCCAGAAAATATTTAGTGAATGGAAAGATTATATGCGGTCAGCCAAAGTTGAAATTTTCTACCTTGATTTTGTCGAAAGCCGTTACATGTCTAGTGAGTTAAAGACTCTAACTAAAGAAAAATGGAATTTGATAGATAGGTCAGTAGTTGAAGCCAGTCACCCCCCAGTTGACACCATAATCATCAACCATAGGAATACACCTATACCTGCCAGCCCCTTCAAAACATACGAAAAGGATGATGACAGTAAAAGGTTGATTGAGCAAAATAATTATACCAACCAAAGTCTAATTGTCATAGGAAAACAGTTAGATACAATCGAGACAAAAATTGATAAGATACGTTCCCCAGAAATTAAGTCTAAAACAAAAGTTGAAAAGCCAGTCCAGTTCCAAGATCTCCAGTCAAGCCCTAAGCTTAAAATTAAACCAACAATGAAGAAAATTGAAGAAATGTTGGAACAATTAACCCCGAGTAAAGCTGAAAAATCTGGTCTTAAAACACTAGATTCTTTTGCAAATCCTTCTGAGTCTGAGCCAGAGACGACAGATTCTGAAACCAGCAATATTTCAAAAATAGAAAATGCTTTCAGAAACTTAGAAGTCCAAGTTGAACCCAAAGTCAAAAAACTAGACAGACATATAAGCCCTACTAGCTTGACTAAGAATTGGTACCCTCGACCAACACCTCCAGATATCCAATTCGAAGAAAGAAACTTCCAAACCCAGTTCTCAGTTTCTTCTGACAAATTGTATGAATGGAACATTGATGGTCTTTCTGAGCAAGAAATCTTTAATAAACTACAACATATGTCCATGGTTGCCAATAGTTACATCACCAATCACAGTTTCAGACAGTCTGCAATTGTACCCCTGTTAGTCACCGGATTTACTGGTACTCTTAGGTATTGGTGGGATAAGCACTTAACCCCTGAGTCCAAAAATTTGATTATTCATGTTGTAAAACTTAATGAAGACGGTCTCCCTATATTTGACGAACAAGTAGGTCAAGGTATAGAAGACGGAGTCAACACTTTGTTTTACACAATAATTGAACATTTTATTGGAACCCATAGTAATACCACTGCTAGAATACATGATCAATTAAGTAACCTTAGATGCCCCGAGTTGTCTGATTTCAGGTGGTATAAAGATGTCTTCATTTCTAGAGTCATGCTTAGAGATGATAGTAATCAACCTTTCTGGAAAGAAAAATTTGTTAATGGCCTCCCAAATCTGTTTGCCCACAAGATACGCACAACCTTAAGTAATGAACAAGGTCATATAGATTGGGATAGTTTAACTTATGGAAATATTATAAGTACAATTAACCAAGTTGGAATTAAAATGTGTATCGATTTTAAAATTAGTAGACAAATACAGTCCGACAGAAAATCAGCCAAATATGAGTTAGGAGATTTCTGCGAACAGTATGGTCTTGCTAGTGTTCCTCATTCCAGGAAAAATAAGCCTAGGCACCTTCGAAAAAATCGTCATTATTCCCGTAGGAGACAATTCCCCCAACGAAATAATGATGATCATGAGTTTTACAAGAAAAGAAAATTCTCTCCTAAGAAAAATTGGTCAAAAGCCCCGAAAAGTCAAAAGAAGAGTCGGTCCAAAAGAAATAGTGATAAAACTAAAGTTAAATGTTTTAAATGTCAAAAGTTTGGTCATTATGCCTCTGAATGTAAAGTGAAAGATACTATTAAACAATTAAAAATTGCAGATGAAGAGAAAGAAAAGTTGATAAAAGTTTTAGAGTTGCGAGACTCTGAAACAAGCAGTGTTGAAAGCATAGTAGCCAGTTCTGAGTCTGAATCTGACCCATCCTCAGATTCACAGTCTAGTTCGCCTAATATTCAAATTGGTTGTAAAGATAAATGTAGTAATAGATTGAAATCCATTTCTGTTCTTACAAAACAGGAAGAACAAGAAGAATTACTAATAGACTTAATAAGTAAAGTAGAAAATCCTGACTTGAAAGCCGAGTATTTAAAAAAGTTAAGAAAGGTCATAAGTCAAGAAAGCCCAAGTCAGTCTGCCCCTCAGCCGATTAGTTTAAACACTACTTTAGAAAAATTTGCTAAAAAGAAAGAAGTCACCTTACAAGACTTGCAATTAGAAGTAAAAATGGTTAAAAAAGAAATAGTTGAATTAAAACAAATGAGTCATAAATTACAAAGTGAAAATTATGCAATCAAACAAGATTTAGTCCGTATAATGGAAAAAGAATCTTCTGAGTCTAAAAGCCAGTCAGAGAGTCCACATAACTCCGACGATGAACCACCAGAAAAGCAACAAGTAGTTAGTTTAATCAGACAAGTCAATTTTAGGAAATGGTATTCAAAAGTAACAATATTTGTTCAAAACTTTGAGTTTACCACAGTTGCCTTATTTGATTCAGGAGCCGATCTTAACTGTATTCAGGAAGGTCTAATTCCTACTAAGTTTTACCAGAAGTCTAGAGAATCCTTAAGCACTGCTTCAGGAAAATCACTCCAGTTGAATTTTGAAATACCAAAAGCCCATGTATGCCAAAATAAAATCTGCTTCAAAACCTCATTTGTCTTAGTTAAAAATATAACTGATGAAGTCATTTTAGGACTACCTTTTATTGCCTTGTTATATCCCTTCCAAGTAGATTATAATGGCGTCATTTCTACTTATTTAGGCGAAAAGGTTAAATTTGAGTTCCTGTCTAAACCAAAATTGCACAATTTGAAAGCCTTACAAAAGCAGTCAATTTCTAAGTCAGTACAAATTATTAGGAAAAATAACCAGTTGAATTTTCTTCAAGAAGAAATTAGATTTAAAAGAATTGAACAACAGCTTAGTGATCAATCTTTACAGTTGCAAATTCAGCAGTTTGAAGCTAAATTAAAAAATGAAATTTGCTCTGAATTGCCCAATGCTTTTTGGTATAGAAAACAACATGTTGTTTGTCTTCCTTATATCAAAACCTTTAATGAGAAAAACATTCCTACTAAAGCTAGGCCAATCCAGATGAGTCAAGAAATGATGGAGTTCTGTAAAAAAGAAATTCATGAGTTGCTTCAAAAGAAAATAATTCGCAAAAGTAAGTCCCCTTGGTCATGTCCTGCTTTTTATGTCCAGAAAAATGCTGAGCTAGAAAGAGGAGTTCCAAGATTAGTTATCAATTACAAGCCCCTTAATTCAGTCTTAGAATGGATTAGGTACCCCATACCTAATAAAAGAGACTTGATCAATAGATTAGAAAAAGCAGTTGTTTATTCCAAATTTGATATGAAGAGTGGTTTCTGGCAAATCCAAATAGACGAGTCAGATAGATATAAGACTGCATTTGTCACCCCTTTTGGTCATTATGAATGGAATGTAATGCCTTTCGGTCTGAAAAATGCCCCTAGTGAATTCCAGAATATCATGAATGAAATTTTCAATCCTTATAGTCATTTTTCAATCGTTTATATTGATGATGTTCTTATCTTTTCTGAGTCAATAGAACAACATTGGAAACATTTGCATAAGTTCCTTCAAATCATCAAACAAAATGGTCTAGTTGTCTCTGCCAAGAAAATCAAGTTATTCCAAACCAATATCAGATTTCTTGGTTTCAATATCTGCCAGTCGCAAATCTCCCCAATTGATCGAGTCATTCAATTTGCTGATAAATTTCTTGATCAAATCCTTGATAAAAGTCAACTCCAGAGGTTTCTAGGATCTCTAAATTATGTCTCTAACTTTTACAAAAATCTGAGAAAGCAATGTAAGCTCTTGTTTGATAGGTTGCAGAATAATCCTCCCCCATGGTCAAACATTCATACTGAAATTGTCAAACAAATCAAAGCCCATGTCAAGACACTTCCCTGTCTTGGTATCCCTTCAGTTGATTCTTTTAAGATAGTTGAAACTGATGCCTCTGACACAGGTTATGGTGGCATTCTCAAACAAAGAGTCTGTCCAGATTCTCCAGAACAGATCGTCCATTTCCATTCTGGTGTTTGGACCCAATCACAATATAATTATAGTACTATTTAAAAAGAAATATTAGCTATTGTATTATGCATCAGTAAGTTTCAAGATGATTTGCTTAATCAAAATTTTTTAATACGAGTTGATTGTAAATCTGCAAAACATGTTTTAGAAAAAGATGTTCAAAACATTGCATCTAAATAGATTTTTGCACGATGGCAAAGCATTTTGAGTATATTTGATTTTGATATTGAGTATTTGAGAGGGAGTGATAATTCAATTCCTGATTTCCTTACTAGAGAATTCTTGCAGGATGCACAATGGCACCCAAAAAAGACAAGCAAAAAGAATCAACCAACCAATCTAAGCCATCTCAGTTGCCTTCCCAGTCGCTCCGAGTCCTTCCCTCATCCATGAGTCAAAATAAGCCAGAAATTCCCAAGCAGGTGGTCCCTTACCCTGGTCACCCACCAATTTCAGTTGCCACACCAATATCAGTTGCCAATAAGTTTTCTGCTCTAGGTTCTACAGTTGGCCAAATACGCCCCAGTTATCAATTAACCCTAATCTCCAGTTATGATCCCTTTTCAGTTGATCCCTCAGTTGGCCCCTCAGTTGCCTTCAAAAAATCATCACCATATATGTTCAAAAGTACTTCTCACCTATTTGTTCTTGAGTCCATTTATGATATTCATTCTGATCCAGTCGAAATAGCCAAACACTATTTTCCTCCTGGATTTCATTACATGCCTCCTAGTCCATGTAAGTCTCTAAAGTATTATAGAGATATATTACTTGAAACCCAGTCAGTTGAAATTAAGCCGATAAGGGATCGAGATCACCCCGAAATCATCCTTTATCATTCCATTTATATTCACAAAATCATAAGTCAAGAATCCTTTAGTAGCTACCCTTATGAGTTGAAAACCCTTCAGTCAAAATTACAATATAATTATTCTGATTATATTGAAGCCTGGTACTCTATTTTCCTCCACCAATCTGAGGATTTTAGCCATTCCTGGTTTATTAATTTTGACAACAAGTTCAAAAGTCCTTTTCCCTTCTGGTTCCTCCATTGGTGGGAAAAGCATGGTCCAGTTGATGAAATTTTACCCATTTCAGTTCATGAGCTAATCCGCCATTATACTAAAAAAGCCAAATTCACCAAAGTTGATTTATTCTTCCCAAAACAGATGCTTTTTATTGCCCGGTACAAAGTTCCTTGGATCCTCAAATGGTCCTACAAAGTTGTCAAAGATACTACCAGAGTCCTTACCCGCCAATTCTCAGTTAAATGGTGGGACAAATTTGAAGTTGACAGAATTGCCAAATATGTATACAATGATCTGCCCCAAGAGCCTATTTCGCATCCAGTCTCCCCCACTGGTTCGACCCGATCTTCTCTTTCAATTGAAGGAAAATCGAAGTCCGAACTCCAAGAAATTGCCCGCCAATTGATAATCCAAGCCTCTCAAATGGATGATGATGAAGACAATGATTCCCCTTCATCGTCCAGTTGTCAGCCTATGCAAAGCCCTGCCAAGAAAAAGTCTTGGTATGAAGATAGTCAAGATCCATACGATGCTTATGATTTGAATTCTGACTAAGCATCACAGTTGCAGACAGTAATTGCCCCAGTTGCAGTCATCATAATTGCTCAGTTGCCAACACAATAATTCATCATAATTGCTCAGTTGCCGACACAATAGTTGCCCCGGAGTATGATTGAAGCATCTTCAAAAGTAGTCAGTTGCCCGACATTTCACCTTGAGTAAAAGAAGAAAAGCATGCAATTAAAGTAATGCTTATATGAAACTACTAAAAATAGAAATAACTGAAAATAGCAATTTTATTTATACTCACAAAAGCAACTTCAAGATAGCAACTTCAAACTCCAGATACAAAAACACTCAGTGTTTACAAAGATGATTTCTCCAAAGTGTTCAGAGAGAATCTTTAAAAAAAACTGAAAGTGTAAATTGTAATCTGAATGCAACTGAGGCCAAGGCCGGCTTAAATAATACAAGGAAAGCAACTATGGTGAACAAAAGTAACTAGGGTTATTTGGAAAGCAACTATGGTAACCGAAAGCAATTCTGATGATGAAGAGGCAACTGTGGAGGCACGGGAGCAACCTGATTCAACTTTCAATTATGTCTGAATAACTTTAGTAACTTTTGACTTTTACTTGGCAACTTTTCTTCTTTTACTCAAGGTGAAATGTCGGGCAACTGACTACTTTTGAAGATGCTTCAATCATACTCCGGGGCAACTATTGTGTCGGCAACTGAGCAATTATGATGAATTATTGTGTTGGCAACTGAGCAATTATGATGACTGCAACTGGGGCAATTACTGTCTGCAACTGTGATGCTTAGTCAGAATTCAAATCATAAGCATCGTATGGATCTTGACTATCTTCATACCAAGACTTTTTCTTGGCAGGGCTTTGCATAATACATATATATGTATATACACATATATGTACATATATAATACATGTATATATACATAATAGAGATATATTACTTGAAACTCAGTCAGTTGAAATTAAGCCGATAAAGGATCGTGATCACCCTGAGATCATCCTTTATCATTCCCTTGTTTTGGTATCAGAGCCGTAAGAGTTACGGTCTTTGTCTAAGTCTGCTACTCATCCCCGCCCAAGTGGCTGGGATGAGTAGCAGACTTAGACAAAGACCGTAACTCTTACGGCTTTGATACCAAAACAAGGGAAGAAGGAGATAGTAATGAAGATAGAACAATGCAACAAATAATGCAGTTAAAATAATGCTTATATGCAATTACTCAAAATAGAGATAATTGAAAATAAAATTTTTAGAAAATTATTCAAAAATAAAAATAACAACTTTATTTATACTCACAAGAGTTTCAGATAGCAACTGCTGAAGTCTCTTCGAATACAATGTTTACAAAGATGATTTCTCTAAAAGAATCTAAAAAAAAAATAAATTGTAAATTGTAACCTGCTTACAACCTGAGGCCGAGGCCAGCTTAAATAGATAGAAACAACTATGGTTAAGTAACTATAGTAACCAAAAAGCAACTATGGTTATTTCCCCTGTAGAGGCACGGGAAAGAACCAATTCAACTTTCAATTTTGTCTTTTTCAGAAGGAATAACTTTTCTTTTATGCTTTTACTCAGGCAACTTTTGCTTTTACTCTGGATGAAGTGTCGGGGAATAATGATTGTAGAGGCACGAGAAAGCAGGTGGCTGCTTTAAGATGCTTCAATCACATTCTCCGGGGCAATTATTGTGTCTGCAACTAGGAGCCTAATCAGAATTCAAATCATAGGCATCATAGGGGTCCTGACTGTCTTCATACCAAGACTTAGGCTTAGCAGGGCTCTGCATGGGCTGGCAGCTAGACGACGAAGGGGAGTCATTTTCAATGTCCTCATCATCATCCATTTGAGAGGCTTGAATTATCAACTGACGAGCAATCTCTTGGAGTTCAGACTTCGATTTTCCTTCAACTGAAAGGGAAGATCGGGTTGAACCAGTGGGGGATGCAGGATGTGGAATAGAATTATAGGGCAAATCATTGTAGACATATTTGGCAATTCTGTCAACTTCGAATTTGTCCCACCATTTAACAGAGAATTGGCGGGCAAAAATTCTGGTATCTTTGGTTACTTTTGTAGGACCATTTGAGGATCTAATGAACTTTGTATTTAGCAACAAAAAGCAACTGTTTTGGGAAGAATAAATCAACTTTGGAGAACTTGGCTTTTTTGGTGAAATGGCGAATTAGCTCATGGACTGAAACAGGCAGAATTTCATCAACTGGACCATGTTTTTCCCACCAGTGGAGGAACCAGTAGGGAAAGGAGCATTTGAACTTATTGTCAAAATTTATAAACCAGGAATGACTAAAGTCCTCAGATTGGTGGAGGAAAATAGAGAACCAGGCTTCAATATAATCAGAATAATTATATTGCAATTTTGATTGAAGGGTTTTCAACTCATAAGGGTGGCTACTGAAAGAATCTTGACTCATGACTTTGTGGATATAGAGGGAATGATAAAGGATGATCTCAGGGTGATCACGATCCTTTATCGGCTTAATTTCAACTGACTGAGTTTCAAGTAATATATCTCTATAATACTTGAGAGACTTGTATGGACTAGGCGGCATATAATGAAATCCCGGAGGGAAATAGTGTCTGGCTATGACAACTGGATCAGAATTAATATCATAGATAGGCTCAACAACGAACATGTGAAAATTGCTTTTGGGCAAATAGGGAGATGTCTTTTTTGAAGGCAACTGAGGGACCAGCTGAGGGATCAACTGAAAAAGGATCATAACTGGAGATTAAGGTCGACTGATAACTGGGGCGAATTTGGCCAACTGTGGAACCTAAACTAGAGAATTTATTAGCAACTGATATTGGTGTGGCAACTGAGATTGGAGTGCAACCAGGAAAAGGGACCAACTGTTTGGGTGTTTCTGGCTTATTTTGACTCATGGATGGGGGAAGGATTCGGAGCGACTGGGATGGCTTGGGTTGTTTTGCTGATTCTTTTTGCTTATCTTTTTTGGGTGCCATTGTGCATCCTGCAGGAATTCTCGAGTAAGAAAATCAAGGATTGAATTCTCACTTCCTCTCAAATATTCAATATCAAAATCAAATATACTTAAAATGCTTTGCCATCGTGCAAAAATTTGTTTAGATGCAATGTTTTGAACATCTTTTTCTAAAACATGTTTTGCAGATTTACAATCAACTCGTATTAAAAACTTTTGATTAAGCAAATCATCTTGAAATTTACTAATACATAATACAATAGCTAATATTTCTTTTTTAATAGTACTATAATTATATTGCGACTGGGTCCAAGTACCGGAATGAAAGCGAACAATCTGTTCTAAGGAATTTGGACAGGCTCTTTGTTTGAGGATACCACCATAACCTATGTCAGAGGCATCAGTTTCAACTATCTTAAAGGAATCAACTGAAGGAATACCAAGACAGGGAAGTGTCTTGATAAGGGCTTTGATCTGTTTGACAACTTCAGTATGGATGGTTGACCATGGGGGAGGATTACTCTACAACCTATCAAACAAGGGCTTACATTGCTTTCTCAGATTTTTGTAAAAGTCAGAAACATAATTTAGAGATCCTAGAAATCTCTAGAGTTGACTTTTATCAAGAATTTGATCAGGAAATTTATCAGCAAATTGAATGACTCGATCGATTGGGGAGATTTGTGACTGGTAAATATTGAAACCAAGGAATATGATATTGGTTTGGAAGAACTTGATCTTCTTAGCAGAAACAACTAGACCATTCTGTTTGACAATTTTAAGGAATTTATGCAAATGTTTCCAATGTTGTTCTATTGACTCAGAAAAGATGAGAACATCATCAATACAGACAATTGAGAAATGACTGTAAGGATTAAAAATCTCATTCATAATATTCTGGAATTCACTAGGGGCATTTTTCAGACCAAATGGCATTACATTCCATTCATAATGATCGAAATGAGTGACAAATGCAGTCTTATACCTATCTAACTCATCTATTTGGATTTGCCAGAAACCACTCTTCATATCAAATTTGGAAAAAAAATTGCTTTTTCTAATCTATTAATCAGGTCTCTTTTATTAGGTATGAGATACCTAATCAATTCTAAAACTGAATTAAGTGGCTTGTACTTGATAACTAATCTTGGGACTCCTCTTTCTAACTCAGCATTTTTCTGGACATAGAAAGCAGGGCATGACCAAGGGGACTTACTTTTGCGAATTATTTTCTTCTGAAGCAACTCATGAATTTCTTTTTTACCAAACTCCATTATTTCTTGACTCATCTGGATTGGCCTGGCTTTAGTAGGAATACTTTTCTCACTAAAGGTTCTGATATAGGGAAGACAAACAACATGTTGTTTTCTATACCAAAAAGCATTAGGCAAGTCAGAACAGATCTCATTTTTTAGCTTATTTTCAAACTGCTGAATTTGCAACTGTAGAGATTTATCGCTAAGCTGTTGTTCAACTCTTTTGAACTTAATTTCTTCTTTAAGAAAATTCAATTGGTTATTTTTTCTAATAATCTGTACTGATTTGGACACTTACTGCTTTTGCGAAGCTTTCAGGTTATTCAACTCTGGTTAAGACAGAAACTCAAATTTAACCTTTTTGCCTAAATAGGTAGAAATGACACCATCATAGTCTACCTGGAAGGGATACAATAAGGCAATAAAAGGTAACCCTAGAATGACTTCGTCAGTGATATTCTAGACCAAGACAAATGAGGTTTTAAAGCAAATTTTATTTTGGCATACATGGGCTTTTGGTAACTCAAAATTTAACTGGAGTGATTTTCCTGAAGCAGTGTTTAAGGATTCTCTAGACTTTTGGTAAAACTTAGTAGGGATTAGACTTTCCTGAATACAGTTAAGATCAGCTCCTGAGTCAAATAGGGCAACTGTGTTGAACTCAAAGTTTTGGACAAATATTGTCACTTTCGAATACCATTTTCTAAAATTGACTTGTTTGATCAAATTTACAACTTGTTGGCTATCAGAAGGTTCGTCATTAGAATTGTGAGGACTTTCTGACTGGCTTTTGGACTAAGAAGACTCTTTTTCCATAAGACGGACTAAGGCCCAGTTTTGGATTGCTGTCACTTTTAAAAAAAGTTGCTTCTGCTGTGCTTTGAAAATAATTAGCTGTAAAGTAAAGCAGCTCCGTGTTTGGTAAACAATATTTTTAAAGTGCTGTTAGTACAAAAAGCAGTGTCAAAACCGTTTGGTAAGTTTTAATATAAAATTGTTGTAACTGTGAATAATGACTAAAATAGACATGATGTTAAAAGTGTTATGTACTAATCATGTGGTAGTAGTGGTAGTGATGGAGTGGAGGTGGTGGTGGTAGGGATGGCGCTTGTGGAGGTGGTGGTAGTGACAGCATGGTGGTGGTGGTGGTGTTGGTTCTGGAGGTGGTGGTGGATGTGGAGGTTTTGAAGGAGGTGGTGGTTGTGAAGCTGAAGGTGGAGTTTGTGGTGGTGGAGGAGGTGGTGGTGGTGGTGGAGGTGGAGGTGAAGGTGGAGTTGGTGGTGGTGGTTGTGGTGGTGGTGGTGGTGGTGGTGGAGGAGTTGGTAGTGGTGGTGGTGGCGGTGGCGATGGCGGTGGTTGTGGAGGTAGTGAATGTGGTGGTGTAAGTGATGGAGTTGGAAAAAATTCATTAAAGGTTCATCTCTGCTTCTTTTGAAAGCAGCTTTGAAAAGCAACCCATAGCCTGCTTTTAAAAGCTGCTGTCAAAAGGCCACTGCTTTTAAAATAATCGAGATATTTTATTTTTACCAAACACCTAAAACTGCTTAACTTTAAAGTGAAGTAGGTTTTTGGCGAAAAAAAGCAATCCCAAAAGGGGCCATCTTGCTTGATTGCATAATTTTCATTTTGTCATTTATGACTTATCTGTTTTAATTCAACTATTTCTTTTTTAACCATTTTTACTTCTAATTGCAGATCTTGTAAGGTAATTTCTTTCTTTTTAGCAAATTTTTCTAAAGTGGTATTTAAAAACTAAAGTAATTTAGGTTTTAGCCAAAAAAAAATTTCACTTTTGGAAAAAGCCAAAGCTTTTTCAAAAAGACAGAAAAACCTCTCAACTTTCAAATCAAAGACATGCAAATGTAAAGGATTCCTTAGGAAATCCACAAATAAATAAGGGCAATTTTGTCCATTTTGGCTTCTTTTATCGGCTGGGGAACAGACTGACTTGGGCTTTCTTGGCTAATGACTTTTCTTAACTTCTTTAAATACTCAGATTTCAAATCAGGATTCTCAACTTTGCTTATTAAATCTATTAATAATTCTTCTTGTTTAGTAAGAACAGAAATGGATTTTAATCTATTACAACATTTATCTTTACAACCAATTTGGATATTAGGTGAGCTGGACTGTGAATCTGAAGACTGGTCAGATTCAGACTCAGAGCTGGCCATTATGGTTTCATCATTGCTTGTTTCAAAGTCTCGCAACTCTAAAACCTTTATCAACTTTTCTTTTTCTTCATCTGTAATTTTCAACTGTTTAATAGTATCCTTTACTTTGCTTAGAGGCATAATGACCAAACTTTTGACATTTAAAACATTTGACTTTGGTTTTATCATTATTTTTCTTGGAGTAATTATTCTTTTGACTTCTTGGGGCTTTCGACCAATTTTTCTTGGGGGAAAATTTCTTTTTTCTATAGAACTCATGATTATCATCATTATGTCGGGAGAATTGTTTTCTACGCGAATAATGACGATGTTTTCGAATGTGACTGGGATAACTAGGCCTATTTTTCCTGGAAGGAGGAATGCTGGCAAGACCATACTGTTCACAGAAATTTCCTAATTCATATTTAGCTGATTTCCTATTGGATTGTATTTGTCTACCAATTTTAAAATCAATACACATTCTCATACCAACTTGGTTGATTGTACTTATGATATTTCCATAAGTTAAGCTATCCCAATCTATATGGCCTTGTTCATTACTTAGGGTCGTGCGTATTTTGTGGGCAAACAAATTTGGAAGACCATTAACAAACTTTTCTTTCCAGAAAGGTTGATTACTATCATCCCTAAGCATGACTCGAGAGATGAAGACATCTTTATACCATATGAAATCAGACAATTTAGGGCATCTAAGATTACCAAACTGGTCATGGATCCTGGCAGTAGTATTACTAGGGGTTCCAATGAAATGCTCAATTATTGTGTAAAACAAAGTGTTGACTCCATCTTCTATACCTTGACCTATTTGTTCGTCGAATATAGGGAGACCATCTTCATTAAGTTTTACAGCATGAATAATCAGATTTTTGGACTCAGGGGTTAACCTTTTATTCTCTCCTCATATTCAATTCTACGAAAGAATGGTGGGAGGAGAAATGCTCCAACTCCATGCATTTGGTTTTAAACAACTATTTTTATGTTATGAGCCCTTTATCTACCCTATTTATAACCATAACTTTAAACTAACCGTTCAGAAATGAAAATGATCTTAAAGAAGAAAACGTATTATCACGTCTTCTGCCTTCCTTGAAAAACATACATGTACTTATCATGCACACAATATTGAAAGATCATATAAATGCCCATCATTTAATCAATTTAATAATTAATATTCTTTTAAATGCGTGTAAATATACCCATGCTAAATCCAGATAAGAATTTAGATACAAAAATAAAACGTCTTCCTCCTCAAAATAAAAACCCGAACATTCAAGAAAGCAGCAGAAACTGCACAAGTGATAAGCAGCACCGAGTGACCAACCGAGAGCGCAAAACAATGGCAGCACCAGACCCCGACCCATCATCTTCCTCCATCTTCTCCCAAAAAAATTCCAGACTCCCAGACGACACCGTTTTCTACGCCATCTTCCCTGACTCTTCCCTAACCTCCTCCTCCACCACCGCCTCACTCCAATCGCTTCATCTCCAAATCCTCAAAACCCTCACTCCCTTCACCGCCGACTACATATGGCAGCACGAACCCTTCACTCTTTCCCCCTCCACTCTCCCCAAACCCCCATGCGTCTGCTCCCTCGACCACCACCTCCCTCACCTCCACGGCAAGCTTCGTGTCGCCGACAACTTCGAAGACGAGTGGTTCACCGTATTCCTCCTCTTCCACATCTCCACAGCCTTCCCTGACCTCTCCATCCGGGTATGGGACTCGGACGGCGAGTTCTTACTCATCGAAGCGGCCTATCACCTTCCTCGCTGGCTCAACCCCCAAAACAGTGTCAACCGCGTGTTCATTCGCCATGGCGACCTCCATATCGTCCCCAAATCTCGGCTCCCGAACCCAACCATCACCGAATCGTTGAATTTCATTGTGAATTTCGGCCAGGAGTCAGTTGCCCCTGAACCGGTTCAGCTTGCGGTGAAGAATCGGATATCGGAGTATCCGGAGAAGGCGAGGAGGAATATGCATGTGGTTAGGGTTAGGGTTCCGGCGTCGGTTGCGCAGGTCTTGAGTCAAGAACCGTGCTTGATTGCTTTGGCCGTTGAGGGTTTCTACGACCGTGACATTGATACTATGAAGTATGCGGCCAAGATGGAGAGGTTTCTGAGCAGAGGGAGAGAAGAGGAGTTGGTGTGTGTAGCGGTGAAGATGTCGAGGGCAATGTATGCGCAGCTGGTGCAACAGGCGTTTCAGGCGCCAAAGTGTTATCCCATGCTGAATAGGAGCGACGATGGGGTGGCGTATTTGGAGGCCGACTTGGGGATGAAGATTGCATGTGGTTTGGAGATGATGTATCAGCAAAGGAGAAAGGAGGGGTTGGAAGGGAAAGGGAGTAGTTGGATCGCGTTTAGGGAGAGTTTGGAGAGGAGTGGATACTTTGAAGGGTTGATTCCCGGGTCGAAAGAGTACCAGAGGTTGTTGCAGAATGCCGAGGAGTACTATCGGAGTAGTGCTTCCTTTTCGAGGACAAGGTACTTGAAAGTGATGATACATTGATATGCATATGGTTATTGTGGTCTTATTATGCTTTTGTTTCCGTTAGATGTAAAAACTTACATTGGATTGAAAGTGATTTCTGTTTAGATGCGCCACTTAATTGGATTTTTCTTGTTCTGTTAGTTGGGAATTAACGAAGGTGTTACTATTGTTGTAGTGAGATGATGAGTGCTCCTGTGAGACGCATAGATGAGATCCTTGCTTTACCTTATACAGCGGATGATTTTAGGGGTCAAGAGGTTCCACCTTCTGATGATGATTCTTGGCTTTACAATGGAGAGGAGGAATTAAACTCAGAACTTTTGGAGAGACAAAAGGAGATCGAACATTATAATTCAAAAAAGAAAAAGAATCAAAAGTCAAAAGAGCAGGACGATGCTGGTCCATCATCCAGCTCTAACATTGATGGGTTCAATCCTGGTGATATAGCAAAAACCATGCAGGCATTTGTCCAGAAGATTTCAAGCTACGAGGGAGCTGAGGTTCCCGAGAACAGGTTAGTGTTCTTTTGTTTACGTATCTATTGTTCATCGCACCATTTTTGTCCCAAACACAGAAATAGGAGTACACCGACGTGGATGTGACTCGTGAGCATACATTTTTATTGCTGGGGGCTAGATTTTAAGTTGCTCCCATCTGTCATAATATAGTGCCAGCGACTTTAGAATACATCTCCTTTCTGTCATAAGAAAAAAGTAACTTGCACATCTTATGCTTGCAGTGATCAATGCCTTAAGTCTGGATGCTGAATGTTGTGTATGTTAACTAATTGTAGAATTAGATTGTGTGACTAAAATTGCTCGTAAATTTACTTAAATCTTAGTGTGAATTTTGAGCCCATGTAACTCTTTCTTGGCTCAGTCCTGATGCTGTTGTGATCTTGAACGAGTAGGTGTAGTTACTTGCCTTTGATGAACCAAGCTAATGCAAGTTACAAGTTTTGATTGTGTGAATTGGTTAATATCAAGATGAGGCACTTGGTGCCAAGTTCTAGTGTTTCCCTGATTAAGTTTCCCAGTCACTACCTTTGGACTCGGCAGTAAATCATTTTTAGGTGTCTGTGTTTATTAGACGAGCACTCAGTTGATCTTATTATATTTTGTAATCTTCTTTTGAAGGAACCTAGAAGAAGTAGACTTTGATGCGGACCGTTTCTTTAAAGATGTAGAATCAATGATGAAGTGCCATGGTGATGAGGATGCCACTAGTGATGATGATATTGAGGAAGGGTCCTCATCCGACTTGGACTTTGGTAAGTTGTACATATTTTATAATTTCCTTTATATTTTCAATTTTTGTTATTGTTTCTAAATTTAAAACTTTGGTTCTTTTTTTTTAAATTTTTTTTAAAAAAAACTCTCTCTCTCTCTCTCTCTCTCTCTCTCTCTCTCTCTCTCTTTGTGCACCAAAAGGACAGAAATGATTAAAAAGAAAACCAGACACCAGAACCTAAGTACACAGGTTTCATCCAAAGCCCTTGTTCCATTAAATATAAACAAGTAGGTAAAATCCTCAACAATCGAGAACTTGTAGAAAAAGACATGGAGGTGTCATTTCTAGGTGGAAATTCCATTGCCCTCCTTGTAAAGCTAGTTTGTTCTGGTTATTGAAACATACCACTTAAAGGAAAGAGACATGTCTAGCTGCCTAACGCCTTGCATACCTTTATCTGCCCACTCTCTTCCCTAAATCCTAAACTAGTAGAAGAAAGACCTTTCACATGACCCTCGAAACCCTGAGCACAGAAAAACCAAGTTTTGTTGTCCATGCACAAAGCAATTCAAAAACAACAATCAAGACTCTCCTTTTGTAACTTGTGTGGAAACCATTCATGCAGACGATGTGAGATAATAGTGATATGTTGCTTTTTTCCTGATCTGAAGGATGATCCAACTTTGTTATCTCATACTTGTTTGTGATGTACTGATGTTATAAGTTGAAGTTCATGATCATAATGTTTTTAAGCTGCTGGGTTTTTTGTATTTTTCTTCCTCGTTTAGAAAAAATCGCATTTTCTCTTACTTGAGGTTCATCATGTTTATGATGTGTGCCAAATGACACAATACTTGTGTTCTGAGCTTGTCAACTAAAATACTTTTCATTTTCGATGAAACTGATAGTCAACAACATCTATCCCTCCAAAAGGAGAGCAAGTTGTTAAATAACATCTTGGTTTCATTTTATTTGGAAAAATTTATAATTAAATTTGTGATATTCATAGATGAGTCTGAAGATGAAAGCAAGGAGGGAGAGGATACTTTCATGCATTCTTATTCTGATGCTCTAAATGAAGAATTGAAGGCTACAACTCTCAAGAAAAGTTTTGTTCGTGCTGATGAACAAGCCCCAAAGAAGGATGAGGTATTATTTCTCTTCTTTTGCAAATGGGGATTGGAAACTGAGTTTTTTTTAATGGTGTGCATGCATCATACAATTCAAATTATGTGCTATGCTCTGGAACCATCAGGTGAGGTGGAATAGAGGGACACGGGAAGGAACAATGATTTTGTGTCTGGTGATTGAGATATGATTCAATTTTTTAAAGAATATTATATATGTTCCATCTCATGGTGTTGCTTATTAACCAGTAAATTTAACTTTCTAAAGTTTGTCTCTATACATATTGGTCTCACCGAAATTTTTAAGCAAGACTCTTCTTTGTTGCTATGCATGTGGTCACACTGAAGTTATAAATTGATAATGCGTATTATTTTCATGTTTGCATGAAATCATGGCAGTTGTTCTGCATATTGTTTTGTTCTTCAGATGATAAATGAATTGACTGTGTGCTCGCAGGGAACGTCGAATGCAACAGAAGACATGGAGGAGGATTTCACTCCTGTGGATGTGGATGTGAATCTTGTCAAGAACTTCCTTGATTCATTTTCTAGCCAACAAGGCCTTCCTGGTCCTGCTTCCAATTTGCTTGGGCTAATGGGTTTACAACTCCCACAAGATGATAACAATAACAAGAACAAATGAGGCCTCATTTAGTCTTCTAACCCCAGTTTTGTGTTTCTTCTCCAAATATAGAGGGATGGCAACTGGGGTGCGGATAAGGTTCAATGAGGGAAAATTGCCATCCCTATCAACTCGAGTTCGTATGTTGGATATTTGTAACCCTTACCTCCTTCTGATCCGACTTCCACTTCGTGTTGATTATGTAGTAGATTTTCTTTTTGTTTTCTACAGATGGTGATAGAGAATACAGTAATCAGCAATGTGCCTTTTTTTAATAAAAGAAAAAGAATGAGAAAATTGTACATGTTTTTGCCCGGTGAGCTGAAGGATGCTGTAAATGCTCTGTTTCTTTGTGTACTTAAAAATAACTTTAGTTTGTTGAATCAATAGAAAGGGTTCCTGCGAGTTGGGTTTCTGTGGATAATTTTTCCTCTTTAGACCTTCACACAATAAATTTTTCGTAATGGGTTTATTTGGTAACTTCATCTCTTCAAGAATCGTATGCCTTGGGAGAATAGAACTCATATATATCTTTTCCTTATAAGATAAATGTATCAAATACAAAGACAAACGTATTAATGGACCAAAGGGCGGAAACAAAGTTTTGAGTTACTTGTCTCTTTTTGTAGCAGGAGGTAAGCGTTACAAACTCACAATATCCTCGTGTCATTTTCTTAAGCTTTTCTTCCTTATCAAATAGACCGAATTCATATTCATCCCTATCGAATAGACCTGAATTCACCCATATCTTTTCCTTTACTTGTGTCCTATTTTCTTTTGCAGCACCAAAAGTTTAAGACGAGAAAAAAAAATGGTTCAACAGATTATTGAGTTGATAGAGTAGGAGCTGCCAGTGCTCCAAACGTCTCTGGTACTCATAGGGGATGTGAAGGCCGGCCTTGTCCTTGTTGACGTTGTTAATGGCTTCTGTACCGATGGTGCTGGAAATTTGGTATATAAGATTGATGGATTCATGCACAACACAAGTTTTAAAATTTTGGTTAAGAGTAATTCTTTTCTTTTGGCCAGTGACTTGGATTAATTCTTCAATTGCACATTTTGTGATGCATATTAAATAGGCACAAAGACAGCCTGATAAGCAAATCTCTGAAATGGTGGACGAGTCAGTGAGACTTGCAAGAGCTTTCTGTGACAGAAAATGGCCTGTCTTTGCTAGTCGTGATTCTCATCACCTTGACATTCCTGAGCCTCATTGCATTGCTGGAACTGTTGAAGCAAAGCTAGTCCCAAGTACCCTTTGTTCTTAGCTTCTTGTGTTTTCCATGCCCTAGTAGCTCTCCTCTAATTACACAATCATCTGCAGCCCTGCAATGGTTGGAGAATGAAGCTAATGTGACGCTTAGGCATAAAGATTGCATCGACGGGTTCCTTGGTTTCGTTGAGAAAGATGGCTCTAATGTTTTTATCAATTGGGTGCAAAGTAATAAGATCAAAGCTGTAAGCATTTCCCAAACCCCAAATACTGCCCATTGCTTGAAATTAATTCTGTTGTTGGTGTCTAATTTTCCCATTTATTTTTATTTTCCTTGTGTTTCCCATTTATTTTTACTCGAGGTTTCCTTGTCCCTCTGTAGGATGTGATTGTGTATTCCCGTGGTTGTGCCACTTTTGATATTCCTACCAACACTTACAAAGATGTTGTAACTCATCCCCAGGTACTTCAAAATACTAATGAAATCTTTGTATGGCTAGTAGTTGTCTTGTTTTGATTTTCTTTTCTTTTTTCCCTTTTGGCATTGCATAAAATTCAAATGGAGAAATTATTGTATGGTATCACGTGGTCTAATGACGACATGATTGATATTTCTCACTTTCACATACACCATCAATAAATTTTCACTTATTTTATGACATGTGGTCAAATTATATCACATGACCATGCTCGAGTACTACACTATTAAGTACTCCTTAAAATGTGTTTTTGTGCTCTAATTTTGTCACTATATAGTATATACATCTACGAGGACTTTGGATACACAGGATGAGACAGAATTTGCTAGAACATATAGCCAATTGCTATCAAATATATAAAAAATATGTATTAGTTTTTTTATTCTTAAATGATATAACTCCTCATGTTTCATATTTTGTTTGTCGTGAGTCACAGGAGCTGATGCATCATATAGGCCTGTATGTAGCCTAAGGAAGAGGAACAAGGGTAGTGTCCAAAGTGTCATTCGATGCAAAAGATTAGGGCGATGTATCCCAAAATGGTTTGTTATCTACAGATGGTGATAGTGAATAGATAAAAGAAAAAATGTGAAAATTGTGCATGTTTTTTTTTCCCGGTGAGCATGAGGATGCTGTAAAATGCGTTGTTTCTTTGTGTACTGAAACAAATATTTTGTTTGTTTTAAGTAGTAAATGCCTTGACATTTGATAGAAATGGATGAATAGTTTTTTCTTACAAGTTCGGGTTCTGTCACACAATAAAAATTTTCTCTTCCAAGAATCGTGTGCCTTTCTCATTGATGGGTGGAAGAATCAAACTCATGTTTATCTTTTCCTTTACTTAAAAGATAATAGTACCAAATACAAAGACAAAGATAATTAGATCGTAAAGGCGAAACCAAAGTTTTGACTTGTCCCTCTCTCTTTCTCTCTCGTTCTCTTTGGGCCATTGGGTTGGTCGTTTGCATGGAGCAATGAGAACAAGCACTAGACCTATTTTTGTTGATGTAGAATAAGAATCTCTAACCACTAGCCCTAGGAAGGCCGGTCATTATTTGTCTCTTTATCGCCAACATCACATGTAAGACACAATAAATTAACTCTTTCATCCTCTCCAATATTGCGGGATAGTACATGGTAACAAGGATATACTTTAACCTAAACTTTGATACCAAGTATGAGGATTATTCCTTTTACACTAACTCACCTAATAAACATATTTCACTACAACACAAAAACCCTTCTATGACGTCTAATTTGAGTCATGGATGACATTTAATGACACGGATCAGGCGTCGTAACTCGTGTTGTTCGAAAATGGGGGTCATGGAAACTTTTTCAAAACACGTCTGTTCCACTTCATGGAATGGGGTTTCAATGATGCGGATTGAGTGTCATGGAAACTTTTTCGAAACACGACGTCTGTTTCACATCATGGAATAGGGTTTCAATGACGCGAATGACATAATTTAATAACGTATATTTTAGACACGTCATTAAAAGTGTCTCATTAAAAGTCAAGTTTGTTGTAGTGTTTTCCAGTACTTCTATAAATACCCTTCATTCATTTGACTCTTGTGTCATATTTTCTTTAATAGCACCAAAAGTTTAAGACAAGAAAAATAAATGGTTCAACAGATTATGGATTCGTTAAAGGAGGAGCTGCCAGTGTTCCAAACGTCTCTGGTACTCACCGGGGATGTCAAGATCGGCCTTGTCCTTGTTGACATTGTTAATGGCTTATGTACCGTCGATGTTGGAAATTTGGTATATAAGATTGATGGATTTATGTATCACATAAGTTTTCAAAATTTGGTTCTAAGTTTAATATTTTCTTTTGTCCGGTGACATAGATTAACGCTGCAATTGTGCATTTTGTGATGCATATTAAATAGGTACCAACACAACTTGATAAGCAAATCTCTGAAATGGTAGACAAGTTGGTGAGAGTTGTAAGACCTTTCTATGATAGAAAATGGCCTGTCTTTGCTTTCCTTGATTCTCATCATCCTTACATTCCTGAGCCTCCTTATCCTCCTCATTGCATTGCTGGAACTAATGAAGCAAAGCTAGTCCCAAGTGCCCTTTTGTTCTTAGCCTCTTGTGTTTTCCTTATCCTAGTAGCTCTCCTCTAATTACACAATCATTTGCAGTCCTACAATGGTTGGAGAACGAAGCTAATGTGAAACTTAGGTGTAAAGATTGCATCGACGGGTTCCTTGCTTTCGTTGAGAAAGAAGCCTCTAATGTTTTTATCAATTGGGTGTAAAGTAATCATATCAAAGGTGTAAGTATTTCCTAAACCCCAAAAACTGCCCAAATAAAGATGCACGAACGACTTCGAATCAGTGTCCGTTCTTTTGCTCAGCCACCTTATTTTGTTGGGGAGTATATAGACAAGAGTGTAGATGTATGATGTCATAATCTTGTAAGAATTTTTTGAGATCATGATTAAGATATTCTCCTCCATTGTCATAACGAAGAACCTGGATTTGGGCATGAAATTGAGTCACCACCATTTTATGGAACTGTTGAAACGTTAAACTGACTTCCCCTTTGGTTTTGAGAAAGGAAACCTAGTTCATTCAAGTGCAGTCATCAATGAAAGTGATAAACCATCGAGCTCCAGCCGGAGTAGCAATTTGAGCAGACTCCCAAACATCAGAATGAATAAAGGAGAAGGGAACCAAACTTTTATTTGTACTTAATGGGAACGGAACACAGTGGCTCTTAACCAATTCACACGTATAACACTGGAAGTCGGAAACATCAAAACTAGAAAATAATGATAGAAACAACTTCTTCAAATAACTGAACGAGGAATGCCCAAGACGTTTATGCTATAACCAAACTTTGTCTCTCTACCTCTAAGAACTAGCTCCACTTGTTGTGAAAGCTTGACTAACCTTGGTTTCACTATTCGGTGCCCAGTCCAAGTAATAGAATTTGCCTCACCTAGTACCACAACCAATCATATTCCCCGTGAGGATGTCTTGAAAACACAGTGATTCAGCCAAAATGTTACATTACACCCAAACTAGTAGTAAGTTGTGCAACAGACAACAAGTTGTGGTCCAAGTATAGAACAATCAATACAGAATCCAAATATATGGAGTTAGAAATAAATAGGGAGCCATTCCCAACCATAAGGGAGGGGGTACCATTAGCATTGGACACCATTGACTGAGTGGATGGTTTGAGACTAATAAGTTGCTTATGATGAAATGTCATGTGATCCATATCACTCGAGTCAATAATCCATGTGGACTTTGGAGAAGACATATGAAAAGCAGAACCTTTGGTGATGGCAATAGAAGTACGAGCCCAAGTAGTCAGTTCAGCAGGATTGACTGCATGCTTCTTTGATCTGCAAGGAGAGAGATAATTGTAGAGGGTCCTGACATTGCAGTTGAAGTAAGATTTGATATGAGTGTGTGTTTGTAGTTAAGGAGTTGATTTGAGAAATTGAGGGATGAGGTTTCTGAGCTGGTGCACATAAGGTGATTCCCGTATCTCTTCCTTTTGCGAAATCTCTGAGCTCACCTAACAATTTCAATTCCAAGACGTAGTTGCAAACTATAGAGAAACTCCACCTATGCAAATCCTCAAAGAAAATCCATCTCCTCCTTTCTCTCTCTCTTCCACCTCGCGACCTTTCATCGACCTCCAGTCAAGCCACCAAGTGCGACCTCCATAGTTGACCTTGGAAGAGTAATGTCTTGAACTTCTTTCCGCCGCCTGAACAGCTGTACCTAGAGGTCAAATATAGACTTGTTAAAGAAATATGAGGTTCTCTTCAAGAGATAGTTTTGGAAGATGAAGGCAATCATCGAGGCAGAAAATTTCCTTGCTTTTTATTGCTAAGATGAGACTACATTACCCAATTTTTGGGTACAGATGCAGATAGTTACGTGATGAAAATAGTACATGTCCATAAATCCACCCCTAAAAACAAAGAGAAACTTCTAGAGTGTATAATTTGACACAACAAATACATGTTGTTAGTTAAAAAGATAGAAGCTCACTTAGAGGGGCACTATGGATGTGACAAGCGACATCACTTCTACATGCTACATAAAGAACTGGATATGAAAGAGCCGAGTGAGTTGTATGATAAAATTGATGATGTAATATGCATGTTGGAGTGCACTCAAGAAAGTTCACTTTTAAGTGGCTCGGTGAACACTATTGTGACTGATGGACTGACCTTTGAATGGAATGGTGAAGTTATCGATTGAAATCATAGAGTGCGAACGATCTATGGCGTAGTTGATGCCACTGCATCTAACATTAAAAGTGACACCTCTTTCATTTTGGTGGTGGAGAAACGAACAATGTTGAATCGATTGAAACATGATAACTTTGATCAAAATTATTCATGTATAATGATCACGAGTGAGGGACAACCTAGCATTTTTACTAGACTATTTCTAAAAGCAATTCCAACCGAATTGGAGTTTCCAGTCCTTGCACTTACGAATTGTAATGTCTAAGGACTGTGAATTTTGGTTACCTACCGATGCGGTTCAAGTAGTATGGCACATGACAATTACTGGGTGGCAAACCCTGGGATAATGTGGTTAGGATTGAGACCCTCTAATTTGGACAAGTATAAGATAACGGAAAAGAAAGGAAAACTTTTGAGGAGTCATACATTGATAATAGAGAGAGAGAGAGAGAGAGAGAGAGAGAGAGAGAGAACAATATATTGCGGATAATCTGAATTTGGTTGAAGAGGTAAATTAGAGTAAATAGACCACACTCGGGGGTGTTGGCCAAAGGCCTCCGATGAGTGTGTGTTTGTAGTTAAGGAGTTGATTTGAGAATTTGAGGAATTTAAGGGATGAGGTTTCTGAGCTGGTGCACATTAGGTGATTCCAGCATCTCTTCCTTCTGCGAATTTGAGGGATGTATAAGATAATGGAAAGTATAGACAGACACGGAAAACTTCTAAAGAGTCATACATTGATAATATAGAGAGAGAACGGTATATTGCGGATAATCCGAATTTGGTTGAAGAGGTAAATTAGAGTAAATAGACCACACCCGGGTGGTGTTGCCCAAGATTTGAGAAAAATATATGGTAATAACTAAAATGAATGGAGTTTTCTCTCAAGGGGAAAGTAGCCGTGTGTCACCGCTTCACCTTGTGACGACAGAGGTTGAGAAGGGGGCAACAAGAGAGAGAGGGATAGAGAGAGAGAGAGAGAGAGAGAGAGAGAGAGAGAGAGAGAGAGAGAGAGAGAGAGAGAGAGAGAGAGAGAGAGAGAGAGAGAGTGTGTGGTGTTTCTCCCGAGTTTTAGAATTAGGTTTAGCATGATATTAGAGCAAGGATTCTCTGTTGGCAAGTCCTTACTTAGTTAGGATTTTGGTTCCTTACTATGTTAGAATTTGGGTTACTTACCCTTTTATCTAGTCCTATTATAAATGAGATTTATTTTCTATTGTAATTTATATTTAGTTTCCATTGTAATTTGAATTTATTTCCTATTTTATTTAGGGTTGTACTTCTTTATAAATACCTCAATATTGAAGAAGAATAAAGATATGAGCATATAACTGAATATTTGTCATACTTTGTTTGACTTGGTATCAGAGCTAGGTTTTCTTGTGACATGTGCTTGCGTTCTCCTTGCAATTGAAGTGCTCTCCTACCCTTATCAACAAGGGGGTAGGGGGAGTGAAAAAGATATGTTTCTCTTTCCCATATAGATATTGCCTCTTTCTTGACTCCGACATCCCCTTTTCTTCAGGGGGAGATGAGGATTGAAGATAATTTGTGTCTGCGTGAATTAGCTAAAGTTGCTATGGACTAATTTATCATCGTTTTCAGCTATCATTTATGTGGTCATTGTCGTTGTTGTGGCCGCTGCTACTTCTATTGATGTTTCTTTGACTGCTTCGTTTTTCGTTCCTTTGTCATTGCCGATGATGTTGATGTGTTTCGATCCGTCTCTACAACATAAAAAAACCCTAACCCTAAAACTACCTATTTCCGAGGCACTATATAGTTAGCCTATAATCCTAGTCCGCCGCCGCCTACCTTTCTACCATCTTCGCGCCTTCCTTGCTATTACTGCCGCTGCCGCCCCCCACTATCCATTACCATGCTGAATGTTGATGCCTTTATTTCTTCACTTACTTATGGTTCAACTTCACCTTCTGCTTCTCCTACCCTTATTGTGATGGTTCATACTGAATCGTCCACCAACCTACTATTAGGATTCAAATTGAATAGATCCAATTATGCGATTTGGGTTTCGATGATTGAACTCTATGTTACTTTACAAGGAAAATTAGGTTACCTAACTTGTGACTCTAATGCCCCAGATTCCAAAGATCCATAATTCAAAAAGTGAAAAATTGATGATGCTACCGTTAAAAGTTGGATGATGCGCACTATGGAACCTAGTTTGTTGAATATGTTTCATACTTACCTACTGTCGTACTCACATGGTTTCTGTGTTATGCCTTACCTACTACCATGCTCACAGGTTTTTGTGTTCTGCCTTATCTACTATCGAGCTCATAGGGTTTTCGTGTTCTGCCTTATCTACTGTCATGCTCACAAGGTTTTTGTGTTAAGCATTACCAACAGTCATGTTCGGTTTCTGTGTTTTGTTTTTATGTGTTCTTCTATGTGCCCTATTTGTTAGGGTTTTTCAGTTGTTTCACTCGTAGTTTATGACAAGGCCTTCTCTATAGTTGTTCGATTGGTTAATGTTGAGTATGGTGTTCTATGACTCGCTTGCCAAGTTGGGCATGCAAAATATCTTTGCCCCAACTTGTTGGCGAGTCCTTACTTAGTTAGGATTTTGATTACTTACCCATTCATCTAGTCCTATTATAATTGATATTTATTTAATATCGTAATTTATATTTATATTCTATTGTAGGATTTATTTCTTATTTTATTTAGGGTTGTACTTCTTTATAAATACCTCTATATTAGAGAAGAATAAAGATGTGAGCATATAACTAAATATTTGTCCTACTTTGTTTGACTTGTTAAAATATAAATATGGTTTGAATATTTTAAGTTAATTGTATTCTTCTCCATAAGGAGGTATATATAGAAGTTTACAATGGTGCTTTAGAAAGAAATAGATACAATAATTAATTAGGAGAATATCTCCTAATTAATATGTTAACTCATGTCAACATTTTTTCCCCATAAGCATGATGATGTTGTAAAATGCTTTGTTTTTTGTGTGTATTGAAATGAATATTTTGTTTGTTCAAAGTAGTAAATGCCTTGACATTCGATGGAAATGGATGAATAGTTTTTTTCTGCAAGTTGGGGTACCGTCACACAATAAAAATTTCTCTTCCAAGAATCGCGTGCCTTTCTCATTAATGAGTGGAAGAATCGAACTCATGTTTATCTTTTTCCTTTACTTATAAGTAATGGTACCAAATACAAAGACAAAAATAATTAGACCGAAAAAGCAAAATCAAAGTTTTACCTTGTACCTCTCTCTCTCTCTCTCTCTTTCTCTCTCGTTCTCTTTGGGCCATTGGGTTGGTTGTTTGCATGGAGCAATGAGAACAAGCACTAGATCTATTTTTATTGCTGTAGAATAAGAATCTCTAACTGCTAGGCCTAGGAGGGCTGGTCATTATTTGGTCATTATTTGTCTCTTTACCGCCAACACTGCATGTAAGACACAATAAATTAACTCTTTCATCCTCTCTTATATTGCGGGACAATACATTATAACAAGGATACTCTTTAACCTAAACTTTGATACCAAGTATGAGGATTATTCGTTTTACTCTAACTCACCTAATAAACATATTTTCCAGTACTTCTATAAATGCCCTTCATTTATTTGACTCTTATATCATAGTTTCTTTAACAATACCAAAAGTTTAAGACAAGAAAAACAAATCGTTCAACAGATTATTGATTCATTAAAGGAGGAGTTGCCAGTGTTTCAAACGTCCCTGGTGCTCACTGGGAATGTCAAGACTAGCCTTGTCCTCGTTGACATTGTTAATGGCTTCTGTACTATCGATGCTGGAAGTTTGGTATATAAGATTGATGGATCTATGTACCACATTAGTTTTTAAAATTTGGTTCTAAGTTTAATATTTTTCTTTTGTCCAATGGCATAGATTAACACTGCAATTATTCATTTTGTGATGCATATTAAATATGCACCAACATAGCCTGACTAGAAAATCTCTGAAATGATGGACGATTCGGTGAGAGTTGCAAGACCTTTCTATGATAGAAAATGGTATGTCTTTGCTTCTCATCATCCTGACATTCCTGAGCCTTCTTATCCTCCTCTGCTAGAACTGATGAAGCAAAGCTAGTCCCAGGTGTCCTTTTGTTCTTAGCTTCTTGTGTTTTCCATATCCTAGTAGCTCTCCTCTAATTACACAATCATCTGCAGCCCTGCAATGGTTGGAGAATGAAGCTAATGTGACACTTAGGCGTAAAGATTGCATCGATGGGTTCCTTGGTTCCGTTGAGAAAGATGGCTCTAATGTTTGTTGGAATTTTAAAAGGTTTTAAAATTTTAACCATTTTATTTATTTAATTATTTTGGCTGTTTTATTTTATTTATTGTGGGGGTTATAAATATTTAATATAGAGGCTTTATTTCTGGTTGGTGAATGCCTTAATTTTTGGTTGGTGAACTTTTATGGTTGGTGAAGGTTACATGTTTTTGGATACCTATAAAAGGCTACTCCTTCTTCACATTTGAAATATACACAATACATACAATACACACAATACACCATCAGAATATTACATACACGTTCTAAGTCTCTCCTTTTCTACTTTTACATATATATTCTCTACTTTATATTATTATTATTTTGGGCAATGGTTATGTGACTTGGATACCTATATCTGTCTATGAACGTGCTCATAGCGGATCTTGAGTTTGTGTACAAGGGGTCGTATCTTAAAGTCTTGTAGACCGTCAGTACCTGCACGTAGGGAGGCTACAAAGGCTTTAGGACAGTGTCTTTGACATGCTTCACCGTACCAAACTCACCTTCTTACTTATTATTTATTTTCCTTTTACTTACCTATTATTTTGTTTTCTTCAATTTCATTATACCTTCAAAACTTTCCAATTTGTTTATAAGTTATTTATAATATAAAGGTTTTGTATTTGGCTTTACGGAAGAGGAAAACTATTATTTTTCACAACAATATTTTTTTCAATTTGGGTGCAAAGTAATCAGATCAAAGTTGTAAGCATTTCCTAAACCCAAAAACTACCCATATGCTTGAATTTTGTTGTTGTTGTCTAAACTTTCCATTTAATTTTCTTTTCCTTGTGTTTCAAGATATTGGTCGTAAGGATGTGCACAGATATATGTGTCCTAGATTTTGTGTGTGCGACTTTGTTTGCAAGAAATCGAGGTTTCCTTGTCCCTCTGGAGGATGTGATTGTGTATTCTCGCAGTTGTGCCACTTTTGATATTCCTATTGAAGTTGCCAACACTTCCAAAAATGTTGTAACTCATCCCCAGGTACTTCAAAATTCTAATCAAATCTTTGTATGGCTAGTAGTTGTCTTGTTCTGATTTTCTTTTATTTTTCCTCTTTTGACATTGTATATATAAAATTCAAATGGATAAATTATTGTATGGTACCGCGTCATCTAATATGGTTGGACGACGACATTTCCCACTTTTAAGGTACAGTATCCCGTCAATGTAATATGTTGGACTACATGGTTGATATTATTTCTCACTTTTCGGGTATAATATCAATAAATATTCACTTATTTTATCACATGTAGACAAGTTATATCTCATGATCATGCTTGAGTACTATACTATGTTTGGTACACTGTATTAGACTCTGGATAGGAGTAAATAATCTATGTCACTTATTTGGTGTCAACTTGTATTATTTAATTTTCTACCTATATTAAACAAATTGTGCTTTTCATACTCTCCTTACCTAACTAACTACTACAATCCACACAGCCAGTTTAGATAATACACGTTTAATTATAAGAATGAAAACACGCTCTCTCTCCCCTTTCCTCCTCACATTCTCATCTATGTCACTCTCTCACTCTCTCTCTCTCTCTCTCTCTCTCTCTCTCTCTCTCTCTCTCTAGATTTGGAGATCTAGAGTGCAAAACCACCTTGCCGTCTCTTCTCACAGATCTCATCTCAGTGATCTCACTCCAAACACTCTTGAGTAACAGTCACAACCATTAGTTTAATACTTTAATTTCATATGTCCGCTTTCTCAAGGACTGCAATTTAAAGTTTGAAATATAAGTAGCAGAGAGAGAGTGCTCCCATGGCTTAACAGTAAATTTGATCTGAATTTGAATGGAGTTCACAGAAGTTTACAAGCATATGGAATGGGTGTAGAAAGTGTGTCATGGTCTCCTTGTGGCCAGTTTCTAGCAGTGGGGAGTTATGACAAGATGTTGTGGGTTTTGAATCACCTGACTTGGAAGACTTTTGTTGAATTTATGCATCTATATCTACTGTCCATGCTCCCATGATGTGCTGTTGTTTTTAAAGGTTACTGTTTGTTAATATATTAGATTTTTTTGGGGGGTCAATAAGAACTTTCATTAACATGAGAGCAATCCAAAAAGATTACAACTCAAAGAAAAGGAGAAGCAGAGCCATGCGACAGAACAGAAGTGCATGCAAAGCAAATAAACTCAATAAACCCATACAAGCTGCTACAAGAAAGAGCCCCACAGAATGGGAGTGGTACGACAATCCAAAATCGGAGAGTTTTGGCCATCTTAAACAGCGCATGCTATATGGAGGCTGGAGGAGGGCAAGGAAGACCATCACGATTTAAGATATGCACAAGAGAGGCGGGGGGCCTGGATACCCAAACTTCCGGACTCGACCTCGATAGTGCCAGCGACGCAAATTGATCTGCCGCTTCATTGTTTTTCCTACTAGTCCATGCCCAGTTACAGTTTGAGAAATTGGAGTTGCATTCACGAATCCTTGATAGAAGTGGGTATAGATTCCATCTTCCATGCTTTATGTTTCCTTTCACGCTCTCGATCAGTTCTTTGGAGTCAAATTCAAAGCAAACCTCTGGTAAGCCCAGCTCAGATGCCCATTTGCAACCTTCAAAACCAGCAACTGCCTCAGCCATGATAGCAGATTTCGTGTGAAAGGATAGACACTTCGCTCCCACGAACTCATCATTGGCATTTAGTGCAATAAGACCTGCTCCCACTTTGCCAGAGGATGCCAACCAAGCATCATCAAAGTTAACTTTAATAACATGGGCTTCCGATGCGGTCCAAGAGGTAGGATTTGGACAGGGTCCTTTGCAAAACCTCCTCACAATCCTTCTGTTATTCAACGCAACCAGCTCCTCCACTTGAGAAAGAATGGTTTTGATGGCCAAGAGAGGTTGTGGTTTGCATTGATAAAAAAACAAAACGATTTCTTGTTTTCCAAATAATCCAGCATGTAACAGCAATAATGCATGATATGCACCCTTTTTCCTCCTTAGTTTGGAGCCCATCCGTGGTACATTTCAGCAACCATTGGTCAAAGGTGGTAATTCCCTACTTGTCAATTTTATAATTAAGAGGGCCACCAAACCAAATCAATTCAACCCACACACAAAGGAGGAGCAAATGTTCAACAGATTCCTCATGAGCTTGGGATATGGGACATAATGGGGTTCGAGCAATTTTGCGTTTGTGGAGAGCCATCGTCATAGGCAGTCTAGCATGAATTGCACGCCATAGAAATTTTTTTTTATTTTATCTTTGGCGGAATCTTAGCTTTCCAAATATTTTTCCATACCAAGGGGTCTATTCGTGATGAGATGGAGGCGTTTCTTGCAATGGTCTCAACCTGCAAGGGCATGGATGCAATGGTATCTAGACCGCACTGAAAATTTGTTGTTCTTTACCCCAGGCCACACTAATTATCGTCCTCCCTTCCATTCCCTATAGGGATAAGCTAGATAGCAAGCTTCTCCTCGTCAGTAATTGAAGCTTGAATCGGGGTTAAGTTCCAAGTTCTGAAATCCCAATCAATTAAAGTTTACACCCTAGTGTTAGGATCGACTGAGGCCTGTAAGTGGGGGTGGAGTTTACCATCGTGAAGGGAGGGAATCCAACAGTCGTCTAAAGCTTTGCTTGTCTACCATATTCAGACATCATGTTCATTTAGTTTGTTGGATGTTCTCTCACCCCTTAATTTCTAAAATGTATGATGATTCTGGCAAAACAAAAGAAAATAAAATATTTTCATATGAATCTTGACAAAAAAATTTCGTGTCATCTAAATTTCAAGTTCCACTTCATTTATTAAAGAATTAAAACAAAAAAAAAGTATAATCCAAATATAATATAATTTAATCAGACTATTTATTCGGAACAACATCAAATATCTTATAATATTATGGACAAATAGTCAATACTCTCCGAAACAGATTAATACTATTCGACAGAAATTAATCAGTATGGTCTAATGTATGAAACGAGCCTATAAGTATTCCTTAATATGTGTCTTTAAATATATTTTTATATATTTGATTGGACATTGCTCTAATTTTGTCATATAAATAGATTAGTATGGACAGATAATTCTGACCACAATTATACTTTGAACTCCGAGGACTTTGGATACACGGGATGAGAAATAATTTGCTGTAACGTATAAGAGCAACTCCACCCATTTGCCCTTAGCCATGGCAAGGGGGGGAGCTAGGGCAGCCACTATTCACGTGAATAGTGGTTGCCCTTGCAAAATCAGAATTTTGTGTTTCCACCCATTGCCCTAGCTAAGGGCAGTTACTATTCATTTTTTTGTTTTATTCACAATTTTTTTTACCTCAATAATTAATTTGGATAATATTTTCGGATAAGATTTACGGGTTCCTACGTGTCAACACTATTCATAATCGGATAAAATTTCGGGATAAGATTTTTGGGTTCAAATTTCGGATGAATTTCAAAATTCAATTTCAGATAAATTTTTGGGTTCAAATTTCGAATGAATTTCAAAATTCAAATTTCGGATGAATTTCAAATTCAAAATTCAGATGAATTTGGGTTCAAATTTCGGATGAATTTCAAAATTCAAATTTCAGATAAATTTGGGTTCAAATTTCGGATGAATTTCAAATTTCAGATAAGATTTTCATCCAATCAAATCAAGCCACGTGGCATCTCTATCTTGCCAAATTTTTCTATAAAACCAGAGGCTCACATCATACCTCTCACACCACATCTTTCAATATTTTCATTTCTTAGAGTTTAGAATTCATACTCCATTCATTCTCAATGGAAGAATATAGGAGATGCTTGGAGAGGCACGAGAGAGAAAGAAAGGAGAGAAACCGTAGAGCCGATGAAATGAATGAGTTGCAGAGGCAAGTCGATGAGCAAGTTCTCATAGCAGTGGCAATGGAAGAGGAAGAGAACCAAGGTCGCCGCCGTGGTTCACAAGTCGGCCGTCGCCGGAATGTGGACAGACATAGGCATTCTCGGGGTAAGAATCTTTTGGAAGATTATTTTATCCCAACTGCTTTGTACTCTGATGTTGATTTTCGAAGGCAATTTAGAATGCAACCTCATTTGTTCAAAAAAGTCATGCATGATATTTGCAATTATGATGCATACTTTGTTCAAAAGTGTGATGCTACTGGGGTTTTGGGCCTTCTTCCGGAGCAAAAGCTTACAGCTGTTATACGAATGTTGGCGTATGGAGCATCTGCTGATCAGGTGGATGAGGTTGCCCGAATGGGGAAGTCCACTACGTTGGAGGCTTTGGTAAGATTTTGTGATGCAGTTGAAAACCTGTACACTAGGGACTACCTGCGTAGACCTACTCCCAGGGACCTCCAACGGCTTCTACAAAAAGCCGAAGCTCGAGGATTTCCAGGAATGATTGGTAGCATCGACTGCATGCATTGGCAATGGAAGAATTGCCCAACTGCCTGGCAAGGTGATTACGGAAATAGAAAAGGCACAAAAAGTATCATCCTGGAAGCCGTTGCTGGGTTCGACACATGGGTTTGGCATGCTTTCTTCGGAGTTGCCGGAGCCCAAAATGACCTCAATGTCCTGGGTCAATCTCTGGTCTTCAACGAAGTTTTGAGCGGCCAAGGCCCCAATATTACCTATCAAGTCAACAATACAGTCTACCAGACGGGGTATTATCTAGCTGACGGTATCTACCCAAGGTGGACCACATTTGTCAAATCCATTCCGAATCCCCGATCCCATAAGCAAAAATTATTTGCTACCTATCAAGAAGGATACAGGAAAGATGTCGAAAGGTGTTTTGGCATCCTTCAAGCTCGATGGTTGGTTGTTCGAGGTGCGGCCCGTATGTTTGATCAGGAGGTCCTCCGAAGCATTATGATGACTTGCATCATCCTCCATAATATGATTGTGGAGGATGAGTACGATTATGATGCTGGAGAGGTATATGAGCCGGATCCAATAAACACGGCGATGACTCGGATTTATGAAATGCCCATGGGGCCAAATGGAGAACCGTTGGAGCCGGAACCGTTGGTGAGGGACGATCGTATGATGACCCGGATGATAGATCGATATACAGAGATGCAATCTTCGTATATTCATGAAAGCCGTCAACTTGACTTGATAGAGCATATATGGGCGGTGAAAGGGAATGAAGATGAATGATGGAGCATAGATGCTTTGGTTATGTTTTATTTACTTATGGTTTGGTTGTGTTGTTTACTATTGCTTATGGTTTTGTTGTGTTGTTTTGTTGTGTTGTTTTTATTTATTATTGTGCCTTGTTTGTAGTTTTTGTTTTCATTTTAATTATGTTATGTTTGATGTATGGAATATGTTGAATAAAATGGTCTTTTATTGAATGATTTGTTTATTAAATAAAGAAATCCAATACAAGTCATTAAGAATTACTACTACTAAAATAAAACATGAAACATAAAAATACATAAAACCAACTAATAAAATACAAAACATGAAAAATAAAAATACATAAAAGGTATGCCAACTAATTTAATGGTTTTGATCATTTAACCAATCGGTGTTGCTAGGCCCATCATCTTGGAAAAGTCTTCTTCTCATAACATCCCTCCGTTCTAGCTTCCAATATTGTTTTGTTTCGGGGGACATATGACTTGTATCCATTGCCATGGTTTCCCGATCCGTCTTCTGCTGATCTTTTTTGCGCAAATACTCCTTTTCTCGTGATTGTTCGGCTTGAATTGCCACCTCCATATCTTGGCGTTTCTGCTCCATTTCAAGTCTTATGGAGTTTTGCCTTGCAATTTCCTCCAAAAACTTTGAATTAAAATTGCTTGAATTACCCGCTTTCTTTGCCTTCGCAGCCTTTCGGCCAATGGGCCTTGGTTCTTTTTGGATGGGTGAGTTTTCACTCATAGGGGAATCGAGAGGTGAATCCGATGTCGTTGAATCACGGAGAGGCGTCTCGTTTAACACAACTTCGGGACCCGTCGGAATAATTGTGAACCGTTTACAATATTTCACCACCTCCCAACATTCATGATGGGTGAACTTTTTTTTGCCACCCCCGGTTGCACCGAACCACATCTGTGCTTGAATGAGCTATTTAACAAAAAAAATGGCAATGCAATAAATATTTAAAATATATTGGATATGCAAGTAACAAAATAAAAATAATGGAAATGCAATTAACCTTACAAATAAATTGGAAGTGCAAGAAATATGAAGAAACAATTGGAAATGCAATAAATATTAACAACATATTGAAAATGCAAGAAATATGAAGAAACAATTGGAAATGCAAGAAATATTAACAACATATTGAAAATGCAAGAAATATTAACAAAATATTGAAAATGCAATAAATATTAACAACATATATATATTAGGACATTAAACTTAATAAAACAAAAATTACAAAATACTTACCTCGTTAGTACGATTTTCCCCACTTCTATACAAGTTCATCGCTTTTGCCAAGGCATCTCTCCATTTTGCCATCTCTTTGTTGAGAAGTTTCCACCTACTCGACAATGCCATTTCCGTACGAGGCGAGTCCGGAATTTTTTTCGCAAAATTCGGCATGAATTTTTTTCCACATATGGAAAAATTTCATCTCATTGCCTGACAAGGGACAATGACAAACTCGGAGCCAAACCTCACACAAAGAAACATCTTCCATGGTGCTCCACGCCCCTCCGGTTTCAATAGAAGAAGCCATAAAATAAAAACTAAAATTACAAGGTGAAAGAGATGAAAATGTTGAGTGAAGAGTGAAGAAAATGTTGAGTGAAGAGTGAAAAAAATGTTGAGTAATTATAGAAGTAGAATAAAATGTATGAGAATTGGTGTTGAAAGTGAAGGGTATGTATAGGTATTTATAGGAAAAAAAATCAGAATTTTTTAGGATTTTTTAGTATTTTTTTAAAAAAAATTTCGATTTTTTTTCATAATTTTATTGTCCAAAAATCGCCAGTCGTTGGATTAGCATTTGGAATCAAATCGGAGCGCTGGGGGAGTGCCACGTGGCTTCCACCCGTTGTGGCTGGCGTCGCGCTGACGTCAGCGCACGCGGGTTCAAATTTTTTTAACGTTGGCGCGTGCATTGCACGCGCCAACGGTAAAAAAAAATTGAAAACCGCGTGACGACGTCAGCCTGACGTCGTCGTGACGTCACCCCCCCGCGTTTTGGACCTGGGGCGAAAGTTGCCTTCGGGCCAGCCCGGGTAGGTGGGTCCCACACCCCCCCCCGGGCCTGGGCTTCCCCGCTGGAACGAGATTTTTGTTTTTTTCCCCCCTCCCCTCGGGCTGGGCTGCATGGTTGGAACAGCTCTAACCAATTGTTCGTTTTTTGTTTTTTGTTTTTTTGGGTGAAAATAACCAATTGCTTTCAAATATATAAAATATGTATTTGTTTTTTCTTAAATGATATAACTCCTCATGTTTCTTCTTCTTTTTTGTTTTTTTGTTTTTTTTGTTTTGGTCGTAACAGGAGCCGATGCATCATATAGGCCTTTACATGGCCAAAGGAAGAGGAGCAAAGGTAGCATCCAAAGTGTCATTCGATCCAAAAGATTTGGGCGACGTATCTCAAAGTGGTGTGTTTGGAAATGCATAATGACTATTTCTATAAATATTAGAAAACACATTTCTAATTAAAATAAGACGTGTTAATAATAAGAAACACTTCTCGGCTTACACTAAGTATATCAAAAGTTTCATAGTTCTTTACATATAGCCTACTCTTTTGTTCATAAACTTGCAACACATACATAAGTTAACCCATTATAAAAAATATCAAATAAAAAATTTAGCCCCTTAAGATCCAAAAAGATTTGTATGGAATGGGATAGCACTGTTTTACTATTTCGATGAATCAAAAACTGGTTATCACGCGTAACATACCGTGGTTAATCGAGAATAACAAAATAGCGTTATCCTTATTTCATATAAGTGTTTCTCCCTAAGATCCTATGACTCAGGGGATTTGGGTGATAAGATGATCAATTTTAGCATGTACTCTTTTACTATTGGAAATTGGGCCCAAACACCTTCAACCTTTGACATAGGGGTGACATTTTAAACCGAAAAACTGAAAAATCGCAAAAACCAACCGACAATTTACCGCAATGAAACCGCAATCGCGGTAAACCGAACCGCATTTGCGGTATTAAGAACCGAACCGCATTTGCGGTTGCGGTTGCGGTATTTGATTTTCAAAACTTGCGGTTACCGCAAACCGCAAAGTATAGTCGCACGAATGATGATGTTGAATTCTACAAGGAAATGGAACATAAGACAACTTGTAAGTAATTAGTTTATTTATGCTAATGTTATTTATGCTTCTTTTTATAATAAAATGTACTAAACTATGTTGTTTTATTTGTAGATAACATTGGTGCTCAAACAACACAACGAGGTTCTTCAAATCCATTCACCACCAACACTTGAGTTTGTAACTTTAGTTTGTAACATTGGTGCATTGCATTTTCCTTTTAGTTTGTAACTTTAATTAACTTTGAATTGGATTTTTCTTTTTGGTTGTAACTTTAATTCATTTTGCTTTGCATTTTCCTTTTGGTTTGTAACTTTAAAGGATTTGGAATTGGAATGCTTGAGAAGTTTAACTTTAATTGAAACGCTTGGAATTGTAACTTTAATTTTCTTAGGTTGTGAATGCTTGAAAAGTTGAGGAGATTGTGAATTTATATATGTTTGAGAAATTGAGGTTGTGTATTTATTTATTTAGGTTGTAAATTTATATTTTTGTGAATGCTTGAGAATTTGCGGTTTTAAACCGCAAAACGCGGTCGGTTTGCGGTTTCAAAAATCACCAAACCGCAAATAGTCGGTCGGTTTGCGGTTTGAGTAAAAATTCGCGGTTACCGAACCGCAACCACCCCTACTTTGACATGTGGTAGCCTCGTGGTCCCACAACTACAACATAATAGGAGATGGATTATCATATTTGATTCTACTTTAAACTGATTGGTAGGAAGAATCCCACTGTTTTTTGTTCCTATCCTTTTTCTAATAAGAAGGAGACGAAGGGGTTAAGGTACTTTCCAAGGCATCAAATACCTACATACATAATAAACCCAAAAGCCAAAAGCCAAAAGCCAAAAGCCAAGGTAGTTGTTTGTATCTTTCTGTCTCCCTTTCTTTTGGGTCCTTGAGGTTTTTGTCTCTGATACAAAATACAAACAAAATAACTGTTGTTGCATTTTCTCATTTGGTATTTTGCCATATTCGTATAAGAAACGTTGTAGGCCAAACATCCAACGGTGCAAAACCGTTCTATTTTTGTTGCTGGTTCCTTCCTTCCCCTGTTACCGTTGACTGGGTACATATATCATAGGTTTCTCACACACAAGTCTGAAACAGCTTTCGTTTTCCTCTGTAATTTAATACAAAAAGCTGTCAATTTTCAAAGTCTTCGTTTTCACTTGATTCTTTGTTTCATATTTATCTTTATCAGAAAGAAAGAAGAAAGAGGAAAAGAAAAGAATGAGTGTGCAGACGATTGATTTGTTGAAGGAGGAGCTTCCGGTGCACCAAGAATCTCTGCATCTCACCGGTGACACCAAGACCGGCCTTGTCCTCGTCGACGTCGTTAATGGCTTCTGCACCGTCGGTGCTGGCAATTTGGTAATTTCCCTCTTCCCCTTCTGCGCTGTTTTTCTCATTATCCAGTTTATGGAAAATAATAAGATTTTAGATTTATTTCCATCTATAAGTTCTTGGTTCATAGAAAGCTTTGAACTTCTTTTTTTGGGGTTTATTATTTATATATGCGGCCATGTTATGCATATACAATAGGCACCAAGACAGCCTGATAAGCAAATCTCTGAAATGGTGGATGAATCAGTGAGACTTGCCAGAGTTTTCTGTGACAGAAAATGGCCTGTCTTCGCTTTCCTTGATTCCCATCACCCTGACATTCCTGAGCCTCCTTACCCTCCTCATTGTATTGTTGGAACTGAAGAATCAGAGCTAGTCCCAGGTACCCCTTTTTTTCCTTTTTTTCTCTTTTGATTCATTTCCCCCCAAATTATTGCAGCAGCTACTATATATTTCTTGGATTAGCTTAATATACTTCAGGCATTTCGTTGTGTTTGTAGTTCTCTCTTAATTATATAATTATCTTCACAGCTCTGAAATGGTTGGAGAATGAAGGAAATGTGACCCTTCGGCGTAAAGATTGCATTGATGGATTTCTTGGTTCAGTTGAGGAAGATGGCTCTAATGCGTTTATCAATTGGGTTCAGAGTAATCAGATCAAAGCTGTACGCATTTCCTAAACCCCGAAATGTGTTCATCCACCTGTGATCGTGCTATTTCTATTTTATGTTGATTCTTTTAGTTGGTGCCTACGGAATTCTGTTATTTCTGTCTAATTTTGTTATTTATTTTCTTTGTTTTTTTGAAGATCTTGGTCGTAGGAATATGCACAGATATATGTGTGCTAGATTTTGTATGTACCACTTTGTCTGCTAGAAATCGTCGTCTCCTTGCCCCTCTGGAGGATGTGATTGTGTATTCCCGTGGTTGTGCCACTTTTGATCTTCCAGTTGATGTTGCCAAAACTGCCAAAGATGTTGTGGCTCATCCCCAGGTACCTCAAATCAAATATTTTTATCGTTAGTAGTTGTCTTGTTCTTATTTTTTTACTTTTCTTTTTCCCCTTTGGACATTGTATACCTTAACATTTGTCTTTGAAGTATCTAGCCACAATTATAACTAGTACTTTCAAAACAGAAGACTAAGACAGGCTTGAGCTTGAGATTGAGAAGATTGACGAGGGGAATAGAGAAGATTGACTTCTATTTCCACTTGCTTTTTTTTTTCTCCCTTGGTTTGCTTTGTCAATAAGAACTCTTCAAGTTTGATCGTTTGGTTGTTCTTCCAGGAGCTAATGCATCACATAGGCCTTTACATAGCCAAAGGAAGAGGAGCAAAGGTAGTGTCTGAAGTGTCGGAAGTGTCATTGAATACAAAAAATCCATGAGGCTTTCTCTTTGCGAGGGGTGCTTTTTCTAAATAGTGAACTTATGCTCTCTATATGACAAGCTGTCTTCATCAGGCAGTTCACATGTGGGAGGAAACAAGAAGGGTAACTGAAAATGGTGTGTTTAGGAGTGATGACCCATGATGGCAGCTGGAAGGGTCACAGCATAAAGATATATTATAATTTTCTCTGTTACTAATAAAATGGTGTGTTTAGAAGTGAAACAAGAAGAGTAACTGAAAATGGTGTGTTTAGAAGTGATGACCCATGATGGCAGCTGGAAGGGTCACAGCATAAAGATATATTATAATTTGCTCTTTTACTAATAAAATGTACAGAGAAGCTTTACACTTTGCACTCTATTTCACTGAATTATAAGGCTACGGCTGTGTCTTTGTTGTGTGCATTGGCAGCCTGCGATTTCGTGTTTGATGTTCCAACTGTAAATGAGCTGGAGTGATTAATTGCATGCTCACTGAAGGCAGGCAAGGAAAATTAACTCATCAACTGGATTAATAGGGTTTTATCTGATTCTAATATGGAGAAAGAAATCATGTGATGGTGGCATCAACTTTGAACTGAGATGTATTTGGAACTAAATAAACATATGCAGAATTGGAGTTAAATGACCATGCCAATATGGTAACAAATGGCTTAAATGCTCATATTGTTTTGATACTTACAGACTACAAAACATGTATGGTAATCAAATAACATATTCCTCCCAGATCAAAAACAAAAACAGAGAGGGAGACCTAAAAGAAAAGGAAGAACCCCACGGAAATCTGTCAAAAATACTGTTTAAAGTCGAAACGAAAGAAAAGAAAACAAACAGCACGGAATGGAAAAAAAATTACTGCTGGGATGATCTAGCTTTTGAATCTTGGTATCTCTTATGCATTGCAGGGGCCACAACGGCAAAGATTGATCGCTTTTGCTTCTTTGGTGTAACACCAAATATAAATGACCGCAAGGGAACTCGGGACCGACTCTCAGAGTGAGCTAGATGTGCAGGAGGTTGCTTCTTTGATCCAGAGAGCCTGTACTCCTCGTTTAACTTTGCCATAGTTTTTTCTACTTCAAGTTGGAGTGCGTTCACATGGTCCAATCCTGCTTGCAATTCATCTGCAACCTTGTTATTCTCTTGTTTCATATTTAAAATCTCGCCTTGGAACTTTGCAGCTTGGTAGCTTGTAAACTCGAAGTCGCCATCCTCAGCACCTGTCTTCAAAGCTTTCGTTATTTCTTCTTGAATGTCGCATAAAGACGTGAATCTGCACTGCAGCTCATCTTTCAGTAATGCACCCTTTTCCAACCAAACATTTAGTTCAGTCTGTATCTCCATTAGGTGCTTGTATAGCGGTCGTGCATCTGATTTCATAGAATATTTTGCATGACTACTTCCATCTTGCTTCTTTCTTCTCTCCTCAAGCTTGGATATCTCAGACTGCAAATCTTCTACAGTAGTTTCAAATTGTTGTACCTGTGTAAATGAAGCGCTAAATTTTAACCAGAAATCCAAGTTCTCTTCCAACAGTTCATCAATATTTCCCCGGAATTTTTCTTCGATTGCTGATATAGTTGAAGTTCCCACAAGTTCATCATTGTCTTTCTTATCTGCTGGTGTACTCTTTGGGGTCTGCTGGTGATCTAAAGCTTTAAATTCTTCTGAGTCTTTATTTTTACCCATACTCTGTAGCAGAAGATCCAGTTTCTTATGCAATGATTTAATCTCTTCATCTTTCATGGCACTGGCACTCCTCAGTTCTTTTATGTGGACTGATGTTTCAAAGAGGTCGTTCTCAGCTTCACTGAACTTCGTCTTGAGATCCTTGTAGTTCCGAAGAGTTGTCGTGTACTCTGCCAATAGAATCTTCTCTCTGTCCTCCATCCCATTCAAAAACAATTTCTGCCAGTCTGGTTCTTCTTCCTGTGGTTCCATATTGAGAAGATTATCCACAGTCTGCTCTGAAGTTTGCTTGTCATCTTCTTTCCTTGTTGCTTGTTCCTTTGGTTCCATATTGAGAAGATTATCCACAGTCTGAGCAGAAGTTTGCTTGTCATCTTCTTTCCCTGTTGACTGTTCCTTTGGTTCCATATTGAGAAGATTATCCACTGTCTGAGCAGAAGTTTGCTTGTCTTCTTTCCCTGTTGACTGTTCCTTTGGTTCCTTATTGAGAAGATTATCCACAGTCTGCGCTGAAGTTTGCTTGTCATCTTCTTTCCCTGTTGCTTGTTCCTTTGGTTCCATATTGAGAAGATTATCCACAGGCTGCGCTGAAGTTTGCTTGTCATCTTCTTTCCTTGTTGCTTGTTCCTTTGGTTCCATATTGAGAAGATTATCCACAGGGTGCACTGAAGTTTGCTTGTCATCTTTGTCCAGATGTTTCTTATCTTCGTTATTAATTTCCAGGGATTGACAAACATCTTCTCCTTGATCGCCAGCAGTACGGAGAATATCTGTAGCTTTTACAGAAACATCAGCAGGATTTGGTGTTTCTTTATGTTCTGTGGACTTTTTTGACAGTCTCACTTCAGCCCAAGGTTCTTCATCTTTTTGCGGTGAAACTGTAGCCTTCAGTTCCTCTCCTGACTTTGCTTCCTGCAGTCCCTTGAAGCCATCATCAGGATTAACTGTTTTTTCTTCTCCTTCAAACTGCTTTTGCAACTTGGCTTCCCCCAGAGATCCCTCTTTCGTTTCTGATGAGCCTGTGACCTTGACCTCCTCATCTGGCTTCACGGTTCGCAGTTTATGAGAAATGTGACCAAGATTACAATGTGCTTCAGTAAAATGTGTCTGGAGATTGTCATTCTGGTTTTCAACACTTTGGTTTAGATCCTGGACTTGATGCAATTTTTCCTCCAGTTCCTTCAGCTTTTTGCCCAAGTCCTTCTTGCCATCAATGAGACTTACCTTATCATCTTCCAGAATTCGAATTTGTTCATGGATCTCATCATTTTCACTTCTTAATCTCTGGACTAGAGCAGTCTGTGATGAAACTGCACTCTCTAAGCTGATCACTTTATTCACAAGCTCATCAATCTTATCTGCCATTTCCGCAATAGTGAGAGATGTTTCAGGCCCAGCCTCGTAGTGTTCCTTAATTTTATCTCGTAACAACTCCAATTTCTGTTTCTGTTGTGCCACACTGTCCACTTCCTGGTCCAATTTTTTCTCATTTACTACATTCACAGATTCATCCTGTGCATTTGGCTTTTCCTGATTGATTTGACCATGATGAAACTCATTCTTAAGAGACTCTAAGTTCTTCACGGCATCCTTAACCCGTTGTGACTCAATTCTTGCTTCCTCAGCTGTACTTTCCTGTTTCATCTGCAACTGAGCCAATGTCTCTTGGCATGAATTTAAAGCAGATGCTGCCATCAAATTCCGAGCCTCATTATCGTCAATGACCATTCCCTCACCAAATTCATCTTGCAAATTGGATACTTTCTCTTGCATTCCCTTGATTTGGTTCTCTATTTCCCAGTACTTTGCAAGTCCATTTTCATATGAGCTCTTTACAAACTCTTTCTCAGTTTGTAGGGACAGAATTTGTTTTTGAGCCTTGTCAATCTCTTCAAGTGCCTGAGGTTTGCTCAAGCCAGATTTAGGAACTGCTTTAGCAGTTACTGTTTTCATTGACATCTGAGGCTGCAGTTTATTTTTAGCTGTTGCTTTTGTAAGAAGACTCTTTAGATCTTTAGTAGGACCCTTCGGAACCTTTGGGATATTCCCTTTTGAGATATCTGGAGGCCTTTTTGGCATTCTGGGTGAGGGATAATCATCTTCTTCATCCATGGCAAACTGAACTTGTTCTGGGAAAACAGAAGCAATCGTGTTGTTGGCATTTTGTAGCTCTGTTGAAATGTGATCATACCGTTCAGCCAAGGACCGGTACGCTCTGTAGGTTTCTTCAACAAAGTGTATCAGCTCTGGTCTCTTTTTGTAGTACATTTCTGCTCTCTTGGCAAAAGAGTCTCCATCCTCTGAAATGAGTTTAAGCACATATTGCACCTTTTCCTCCATATCTGCAATTCCCATATACTATGTTCAAGTGCCAGAAGACATATACAACTTCTTTTCGGGTAAGCGAAAAACAAAATAAAGTATCAAGGGGGACACCACAACTCAAATATATGATCAGAACTATTTGATTCACAGAAGACTTCTGTTTTCAACTTCGATTTTGATGTTTCCAGGGTTTACAATGCAAACAAAATTTCAGTCATATTGAAACTTCCTGTTCTTATGGAACAGGTTGGAATATCTGCTACCTTACACAACAAAATGAAACAACATTTAAGGTTTTCTCCAATCACAACTTCAAATACATTGCAGATATAAATTGAGCAAATGGCCTTGGAGAAAGAAAACCACAACTCTCTTTTTAAAGGATAATTCCTCCAAGCACAGGGGAGAGAGAAACTGTAACATAACATCCAATTTTTATCAGATGAAATATTCGGAATACTTAGAACTTTGACACCTTTTTAGAAGAGAGATGTGATTGCCAGAAAGAATGATTTAGAATACAATTTACATTACATTTCCAAGATAAGAAGGTTCATAATAGAACATAATCAGGTAGCAGATATAAAGATCAAGAGTAATTCTTAATTAGAAAAAGAAAAAAAACTAAGATCCTGAAAACTAGATGATTAGGTACCTTGGAGGTTCTGCTCCAGCCATTTTGACTGCTTGGTTCTGATGTGGCTGGCCCACCACCATGAATATGCATTGCTTGCAGCTCTCTGCAACATCTTTCTTGATCTCTCTTATTCTCCAGAGACCAAAACCATGCAACCCTATTCTCTTCTCTGCCTCTCTACACCAAAAACCACATGTTACACAAATCACTTACTTTCTAGAGGAGTTTTTCAGGAAGAAAAGCAAGCGGGTTTGAAGAATCAAAGAGGAAAAATGAAAAGAAAACACAGAGTTTGAGAAAGAACGTGCGCAACAGAGGAATGTGCCACCAACTTTCTAATTTTAGGATCATGGAGGGGAGCAAACTTCGGTCCGAATATTTTGTCAAAGCCTTCCTTTTGAAAAAAAATTTAAAAAAAAAGACACAAAAAAGAGTTCCTCGTGAAAAAAAGAAGACATTAGCCAATAGTCATAAAGACGTACAATTTTTTTATTTCTTTCAAATCTTAGGAAGCCAATCAAATAATATGAAACCAGGTGGCATGTTTGCTTTTCCGGGGTGGGAAGAGCACCCTCTTTTTTGCTTGGACACCCTGGACAAGTGACTTTTTTCTGCCTTTGCTTTGTGCAGGTTTTTTATTTATTTTTAAAGTACAAGTGATAGTCTAAAACTCAAACACATAATTAATAAGATTTTTGGTCTGCAAGTTAATGTCCAAGATCCTTTGTGTTTTCTTCTGTTTAAAGAAAAATAATAGTCTTAATTTTCCTATGAATTTTGGTGCAGAAGTCGTGCAAGTAATCTGTCAACCGATATTAGATTAGATTTTCCTTTCAAAAATAGTCTTCAGGAAGAAGCAACCTAAATTGGACCAAGGCACCCCACCATTCACAAAGGGGAACCTTTGGGTGCCCAAATCAGTTTGGTAGAGGCGAGGAAGGGACAGGTATTTCTGTTATTTTTGGAGGGATACTGTTTTATATCTGGCATGATGAAATGAGGGAGAACCGGACATGGGAAAAGAAAACTGTTGATAGAAAAAGCAAAATAAATTGGGATATGCTAGTACCCTTCTCTCTAATTGCTTCTTTGGATTTTTTTCTCTTTTCTTCATAACATGTGTCACTTTTCTTACACTTAAAACAATATATCACACGAAGTTGATTTTTGTTTTTCAAGTTTTTATAATTGGGGTTTTTTTTTTTTTTTTTTTTTTTGCTATATATACATATATTAGGAGTCCAAATTATTAAAAAACCCTATATGAAATGACCTTTAGAAACACACCCAAACCTCATTTACATAAAACAAAAAGGCTTTTAACTTTTTTAAAATTACAAAACTGCCATTGATTTCTTAAAACAAACCTGATCTCAAAACCTCATAAAAAAAACTCAAAACATTCAATAGGGCATCAAAATTAAATTCAATAGGACCAACTGTCATTTTTTGGGTTTGTTTATAGAAATTAAATGGTGTAGGGTTATTATTAGTGCTAAGAATGAGTATATGACTAAATGACTATATATATACATATATATATATATATATTTTTTTTTTACAACAAGCTAGTATTTTTACAACTTTCTTTCCACTTTATTAAAGAATTAAATGCAAAACAACATAGGTTTTTTTTATATATAAAAAACTGTTTGCGTTTTGCTTTTCCAAATAATACATACATTGATAATAAAATCTTCAGTCCTAGCATAACTTTCTTTCCATTACATTACAAAATAAATAAGAAAAAATGTAGGTTTTTTTATATATTAAAAAAGGTCTGCTTTTCGTTTTCCAAAGAATAAAAACTATGATAATAAATTTCTGTCCTAGCAATATGAATAGAGACACATGATAAAGTCTAAGCATTTATATTACATATAAAATCTTAGTCTTTCATGTTAAACAAGAAAATTAATCGACAATAAATAGAAAAATCGCTCATATTTCTATATGTTTTAATACAAGATTTAAAGTCTACCATGTATAATTGTGTATTCTGAACACGTTTAAAAGTTAATCTGCAATGAATAGAGAAATCGCTCAAATTTCTATATATTTTAATACACAATTTAAAGTCTACCGTGTATAATTGTGCCTTCTCAACACGCTTCTTCATGTATGTTAAGACAATAACTCTGCGTGTGGGAGAGAGAAAGAGGAGAGAGAACCAAGAGCATGCCCACCAGAAGCCAAATACATTCTCTCTTCCACTTGGCGAAAAGGGCTCTTAAAGAACCCATGAACAAAACACTTTTTGCGGAGAGCCAACAAATGCCACTGATGGACTCATTAATCTCATCTCTGCCCCAAATTAAACTATCTTCCAGTCACAATTATGGTGGTCCACTTTTAGTCTCACTAGATAAAGCCACAAAAGGCTAAGCCACTACCCAAAACGAATCAATTGCCCCTCTTTGCAACTTGAAGAACTGACAGGACAAACAATTAAAACCAACATCCAAAGGTCGATCATTGCCATGTGATTCAGAGCTACAGAGCCGGAATTACAATGTGGCCACAAGCTCAAAGTTACCACTCATACAGAAAAACAGCGCAAAGTTACCACGTAATTGACCGGAAAATGAGCTTCTTTTGAAGGCTCAGATTGGACCAAATGAGTGCAATAATAACAAAGGTTGATCCCCAATCGATTTCAAGGCATGGCAATTGACAACCGAGCCTATGAAATACAGTGACAGTGCCTTAAACAAAGCACCATGACCTATGCTTTTTTTAAACATATATAATAGCCCAAGTGGTTGGGATTTAAGGGCTGAGAATAAAAGAAAGAAGAGCATCACAATCACATTACATACTCACCAACAAAATTCTTGGAACTTAGCGTTGGCTGCAAAATTCAGTAGATTTCTGGCCCTTGATTAACTTCTGGAAAAGAGTTTATTTACAATAGTAGCAAGCTAAGAGCATACATATGATGATATTCACAGAATCTATATTTACCCACAAAAAAAAAACAGAAACACTCCATGGTTATTTCACATTTCTCTTTGCACTGGATGATGTGCGCCTAGTAGTAGAAGGATGCTACACTATTAGCATGCAGCATTGCTGGAAAACAAGAAGGGTCTTCCCAGCTCTTTCAAAATTAAAGGCGCTTTGAAATTATCCTCATAAGTCTGATGGATGTTAATCTTCTGCGCTTCTAGGAAGGTCGCTGATGCAGGGCCTATCCCATTCTAAATTATTTTCTACTTTTACCCAATTATGTAACAGATTTGATTCTTCAAAAACGATCGCACAACGAAGAACTCATCAAAATAGGGCCAATCCTGAGATATATCAGCTAGTCTTAGGCGTCAAAGTTCTGAAGAGAAGAAAGCCACTGTTCCATATAGTTCTTGCAATCTGCATATACGACCAAAATGCAGATTAGCACAGATGACATTTTAAGAGCCTAGAAAGCATAACTTAAAACAGATGACATACAAGAAACCAACAAGCATGTTCAATCCTAATGTAAATGAATCAGATTTTAAGTTCAGTGATTTTGTTCTCATGTTCAATTAGCAGGTCCTTTGGACGTGTTCTCATGTAATTTCACACCATTCATAAAGGAAGGGTCAAAACATTAAGTGTTTCTTGGAGTTTTGTGAGGGTCATGCAAGAAATCTGCCAACCAGAGCAGGTTGTCAAGATAAGGATTATCTAAGTGACTGATCAATCGACTTGATGCTCCAGGCAAATGACTCCCGAAACCGTTTGGACTAGCGTTAAAAAATTGGGACAGGAGGTCCCAACAATATAATGCATATCAAAGTGCATTCCACTTCCCCATATATGCTGTGCTGTGATGGTTGTGAGATTTGCAGCCGCAAAAGTAAGTTGTGTATTTACAGGAATGGACAAAAACAGGATACCTTAATCACCAATTGATTTTCAGTAGTAGATACTAACCAAACAATTGTTCTACATAAATATTAAAATCAGCAAGACGGGTGACAGATTGATTTCTTCATTATGACAATAATTGACTAAGAATTCCCAAAATGGAATGACCAAATTATTTTGACATGACATGAATAATCCAACTTTATTCTTGCCAAGAACCAAGTGATCACCTAACAGATGATTTTGTCTGGCCTATTAAGAACACAGAAGTCAATTAACTTAAATTACTCAACAGTTCCAAAAGGTTGTTGTTTTCAGTCAATAATTAATCAAGCTGTAGATGCACAAGATATACGAGGAACAAAAGTCAGCAATATCCTAATAACTAAACAATGAAAGGAGGACAGAAACAGAATTAGAAGAGCAACATCTCTTACCAGAAGAGAACTCATCTGGGAGGTTCTTGATGGCACTCAAAAGCTCATTATTAGAACCCTCCACCACCTCCTTGCAACCAGGGCTGTAGCAAGGGACCAGCACTGCAAAACTATTATCCGATTCATCATCACTCTGGAAATCAGGGCCATGAGGCTCCAACCACCCTATGGACCAGTCCGAGTCATCGGATTCAGACCCTGACAAACAGCCTCCACCATCCGATGGCACAATAACAACATCATACTCCCTATCAATCCTCCTCTCTTCTCTACTCTGCCACTTCCTCTTAACCTTTCTCGGAGACGAGGACATTTTCGTGCCCTTAACTGGAGGGAATTGGACAGTTCCAGGTTCCCTCAGACCACCAAAACCGCACTCAAAAGAAGAATTTAGAGAAGACCCATTATTAGCAGGCTCATTCTCTTTCCCACCCCACCAACACCATGAAAAACGAGTGAAAGAGACTGCCATTTCTTTTTCCCTTTTCAAACCCAAACTTAGAGGAAGCTAAAAGATGATGGTCCAGCACCTCTCTCTGTGAAGGCAAAGAATTGTGGGAAGAAGAGTAGAAAGCCAGAGACTCAGTTTGAGACCAAAAGAATGGGAAGCCCAAAAAGGAGTTTGCTAGTTGCAAATGGTTCCTGCCTGTTGCAGCAACCACTGTATTAGGAAATGATCGCTTCAATTCCTAGCAAAAGCAAATCACACGAGGAAAAGTTATAACTAAATTCAATCCAACAAATCCACTATCCTCAATAATGGTTAAGATAGAACAAAACAAAAGGCAATCTTCTAGGTTATAAAAAAGAAAAAATCTTCAAAACAAAACTAAAGAGTGCAAAAAGTCCTTGATCTATGAGGTAAAACTTAGTCCACTGAATTAGCAAATTTGGACTATCTCTGATCACAGATTTCAATCATCAAGGCGAGAACTTTCTATTAATAGAAAACTCTCAAGAATCAAACTCAAACACCAAAAAAAACCAACATGAACTTACTCAAACTCCAAAAATCACAACAATCCAATAGAAAAATTCAAAGAATACTTCAATTTCATCCCAATACCCCCTTTTAGGTCCAAAGTTACCAAGAAAACTGGCACTTGACAGACCCAGAAAACAATCCAGAAATTTTAAGTCTTCATACTGGTAAAATCTGACTTATAGAACAAAAACCCACCCAAAAAAATCAAAAGGGAAGACTTGGGTCAGGATCTCAAGTCCAAAGTCAGAATTTTTCGAGACTTCAAATGGTGAAATCGGTCATTTTGGCCCCGAAAAATACCCAAACTCTAGGCGGCAGACGACGGTGGTTAACCGAGAAGAAAATTTTAGAGAGAGAAATTTATTTGGGTTTTCCCAACCCCATCATCACCATCATCATCTTCTTCCCCTTCCCCTCTCTCTCCCTGTGTTTTCTGAGAAACCAACTGAAAGTGCCCGTCTCCTTCTGAATTTATAATAGAAGGTCTCCCTTTGGTTTTTCACTTCCATCTTATCTGGGACTTTTACCGTGGCATATTCAACGGTCGCGATCTAAACTTTCTGGTCAAATGGTCCGGCGGAGCATGGATCTTACCGTGCTCCCCAAATTATTTGAGATCTGATCTAAATACGGGACTAATCAATGGGGTAATTTTTAATTCAACGACAAGTGGAGGCCCAGTACCGTCCAAATTTGCTGACGTGGTGGTTGCAAACCCAATCATTGCGTGTGTTTGCGGTGCAAGTTACTGACACGTGTAAACTAGGTCAGCCAGTGGATCAAGCTTCTAGGAAAATTACAAAATGACCATGATTGCTGTATGTGTATTAAGGTCTTTGCATTAAATTAGTGAAGTCTAAGACTAGCCAACCTCGCTCAAGCTTCGCCTGAATTTTTTTAGCCCCCTAATTTTAGATATTTACGAGTTTTTATTATTATTTTAATCACAGTTTCCGGGAAGATATGAATTTGTTGTGACTCACAAATTCTTGTTAAAATCAAAGTCCTAAAGGAAACTACTTAAGCGATTCATAGTCAAATGTGGCATGTCTTAAGACCCCAACGACGAAAGGGAAATGCCTTACTAATCCAAACGATAATAAACACTCAGTGGTTAGTGACTGTTATGGTGGTTGTTCGGAGAGTGATGATGATGACCATGATAAGGTGGTTGTAGTAGAGGTGGCAGCGATGGTGGTGACATGGTAAATTGGCAGGGGGGATGGTGATGGTTGATGGACATGATAAGGTGGTGTTGAAGACCAGGTCAATGTATGTAATAGTTTGAATCCTTGAATCCATTTTAGAGCCGAAATAACTACACAATCCCACAATTATCATATCTTTTTTTTTCTTTATATAATTTTTTTTAATGATGTAGGTCCACAACTATCATATTATATTTTCATCTTTTTTTTATTTGAAAGAATGCAAGGAAGATATACGAAAAGAGAAGAACGAGAATCGAACTCTTAATGTGACCGTAAATTAGATTTTGGCTTTAACTTTTTTATGAGACACTAAATTTTTGGTAGAAATGAAAAGTGCATAAAGCACTTTAAAAAGAAATTATAACTAGTAGAAATGCATTATGAAAAGAGGTAATGGATCAATACACAAGTGTTCCTCATGTTGACAGCCTAATAGATACAAAAAAGAGGAACAGTTGATTTTTGCAAATTGGCACGTTACATGAGAATGAAAGGAAGGGTTAGACCCAAAAGGCCGCCCTGAAAGAGAACAACAGCCCCATCCCATCCAATGCTTAGCTAGCTAGCAAATATTAATCAAATTTAGACTTTCAATTTCAACAAACAAGCCAAAGCAGTTTTGGCTTTTTGTAGTATTTCTAAGAGCACTTCCACCGCAAAATCTAGTCTTGGACAAAAGATCTCCCCAAGTTGAAGAAACTCACTCCACAGCACAAATCCAGCTTGGGCAGGTCGTGGGCTCCACGAAGACTGACCAGGTCCGAAAACAAGAATAACCCGAACAGTTGCTTGAGGGCGCTGCGCTGACGTCAGTAAAATAAATAAATAAATAAAATTGCAAAAAATTCAGAAAAATTACCAAAATATTCAAAATATTTTTTTATACATACCTAAATTTCATACATAAAAATAAAATTAAACCCATGTGAATAGTATTTATCTTTGGGTTTCCATGACAATGGGTGAAAAAGCCAAAAAAATATTACTTGCCCTTACCCTTTGCCATAGCACCATAGATGGAAGCGCTCTTAGCATGTCGGCATGTTCTTAAGCCTCTTATCATAACTTCAACTTGTGTGGGCTTTTGCTTTTAGTAGTAATTTGTTTATGGCTTATATTAAAACTAGTTTCTTGACACGCGCTCACACATTACCTCTTTTTGAGTTTCAGTGCTGCCAAACAGTAAGAATTTCGTTAGAGAGGGTACGTGAAAAGAGAATTACCTAGATTTTGGGTTAACTTGTAATAAAGTAATGAGTTTTCATCTTATTTTATTTTTCATTGTAGACCTGACAGTTGTAGGTGTGCTTAGTTTTTGTTTCTAATATATTTTGGGGCTGTTTTTCTTTTATATAAAAACTAATAATTTCTTTCTTCAATCAAAAGCATCGGTGTAAATCTATATATATAAAAGCAAAAGGCAGAGAATGGTGAAACATTCAAAATACCAAAAATGCTCTTGGTTAATCCAAACATTAATTAAAAGAAAAAATTAGATAATGAATCATATTTTTATGGAACATAACTACCCGTTATCTTTTTTAATTCTAAAATTAATTTAAATTTTTTATAAATAAAAAAAACCTCTGACAAGCACGAAAACGCGTATGGAGAGACTAGTTGTAATTAGTTATTAGTTGGTCCAAATGCAGAGAAAATGGGTCAGTTTTTTGTTTTGTTATATGAAATGGGTCAGTTTATTTTTTGTTTTGTCAAAACAAGGGTCAGTTTGACTCAATTTTCTACAACCATTTCACCTTTAATTTTGAGAAAATAAATTTCTTTCCCACGACAAAAGCTCTACTCCTCCCAAAATTGCAACCACTTACAAATTTCTCCTTCAAAATCGGAGCACCATTTTCCTCGACTTTCATCAACGTTTCTCATGGTTCCTCAGCAAAAGATTTATGAAAACAATGATTGTGGAAACATTTGGGTGAAATCCATTTTCAACCATATGGTAAACACCGCAAGAGACCAGTCTAGTCACACGTACGTCCTGTAGAGGTAAAAAAAAAGCACCAAGGATTTTCAAGGTTCCTTAGAAACCAAATTAAGGTAACAACTACCATCATGGTTTTGTTGGCAAGCCCACTGCTTCTCCAGAAAGAATGCCTTCTTTGGGTAAAATGAAGGTGGTTTCTGAATTCCCCTGGTGTTGAGCGGGACGGAACAAATGTGAAAGATAGGTCAAAATTGGGTGAAATTGACTTGTTTTTATCGTCAAGTTATGTTTCAATCTTGGCCGATGGTTTCCACCAAAGGGCAAGATCTCTTGCCCGCATGCAAGTTTGAGTTGTATTTGGACGGGTTGAACTCATACCTCGAGCTCAACCTGAGATTTGATTGGATTAACAATGTGTTAATTTTGAAAAGGGGATTAGATTTCTTGGTTTTTTTCCCCCCAAACTTCTGTTCTAAGTTCCTACGTCCATATCTTATCCACAATGAAATCGATCCCTCTTTTCCCAGTGGATCCAAACCCTAATAATTTCTTACGTAAAAAGCCCATCCAAATCCAGTCCCAAATACCAACGGCTAGATAAAAACATAACGCCGTTCAGAATCACACCATAAGGCCGTTAGATAATATTCCGTACAAAACATTTTAAAATCCACGAAGGCTAAAAGCCCACCCTTGAGTCTTAACGGCTAGTTCTCTTTCTATTCTCGCATTTACTTTTCCTTTCTCTCTTCAACACAAAGAACCAGAAAACTCCACAACACTTGCGTTAAATCCTCGCCTAAAGGAAGAATCTATGGTCTCCGAGCAAGGTATTTTTCTGGGCTCTCTTTGTTTTTCTCAAAAACTTGTTTGGTCAGTGAGAAATCTCAGGAAAATGAAAGAATTCTCAAGGAAACCTTTTCCTTCCTGTGTTTTCCTTTGAAACCAATTACTGAGGCATTCATTATTATGTTAGATTTATCTTATTTTCTTTGAAATTTCTGCTACATTTCGCTTTTGCTTCTTGTGATTTCTGGGTTTGGTTAAGTCAGAGACTTAGGACTGCTTCATTTTATGCTTTTATATGCTTCTAAGCTCTGAATTTCCATGTTAGTTTGAATCTGTCACTTCTACATTCGTTGATTTTTATGTTTGGTTGCTAACAGTAAGAAGAAAATGAAGACAAAACAAATATAAAATCTTGATTTGTTCTTTTTTGTTCTCTGTTGGGTTTTATTTTCTCTTTGATTATGTGTTTCTCTCAGTACAAGGGAGGTATTAGCTTCCTCAAGTTGGAAATTTGAAAGATTCAAGATATTAGTTTCTTTCTGTTTCTCACATTTTCTCAGCAAACAAACAAAGCATGCATTTTCCATATTCAGATTTTATGGGGATTTTTTCTCTGGATCAAGGCCTAACAACAATGGCTGAGCCAAAGAATTGACAATGACTTTATAGCTTTAGATCATTCTGTTTATCAGTTCCTTTCCTTCTATATACGTGTATGTTCAGAATATCCTTGGATTCCTTTTGGTCCTCATTAGTTCCTAGGAGTTAATTTGAGTTTCCAGACACATTTATCCACACAGCTTAACTAAAAGGAGAAGCGTCACTGGCTGCTTTGGTGCTGGGGGAGTCATTCGTGACCCTTTTGGTGACTGGGTAAGTGGTTTTGCTGTTAATCTGGGAAAAAGGTCAAGTTCTTGAGGCTGAGATATGGGGTCTTTTCTTTGGTTTGAAGTTAGCAATTGAGAAAGGCATCAGTAGCCTCATTATTGAGATGGACTCAGCTATTGCAGTCAATCTCTGTCAGAATTCTTCTATGCTTGCTCTGCATCCTTTAGCTGCTTTGGTTAGGAACTGTTGTGACCTTATGCTGCAGGTTCCCAGGTGTGCCTTTCAGCATATTTTTCGTGAGAAGAATATTGTTGCTGACCGATTGGCTAATTGGAGTTATCAAGTGGATCTTGGGCTGTGTGTGTTTGAGCAGGTCCCTAGTTGGTTAAGTGATTATCTTGTTGATGATCTGTTTGGAATTGTTCATTCTAGATTGGTCTGTTTAGACCAGTCTGTGTAATCTGTTTCTTGGGGCTTTGCCCCCCCACTTAAAAAAAAAAAAAAAAAAAAAAAAAAAAAATGTTCATCTTTTGCTGAAGTATCAATGTCTTTGACATCTTTACAACTGCACAAGAATCACATATTAGTATGAGCTAAATTATTGACATTCTTTATTAGTATTAATATTACTAGAAACTAAAAAGCCTCTGGTTCATTTCGTAAGGAAAGGAAAGGGCAGAAAGAAAGAGGATCATGGTTCTGGAGCTGTCCAAGCATGATTGCCATTTCCAGTCCTATTACTTTAGCTGCATTGTTTTCAATTCATATACTGTTGAGTTTAGGCATGCGCATAATACCTGCTTATAAGTATAAAATCTATGTTTTTCTTGAAAACAGGTCGTTTTTCGTAATCTGGAAATTCATACTCCTGAAAGAAAGAATATGGACAAGGTTTGTGAAGAGCTGGACGAAGTTAAAGCTGAGCTTGAGAAGGTCAGGGGAGAATATAAAAGCAAAGCAGAATTATCCGAAAACTTGAGGAAAGCCCACAATGAGCAGCTCACTAAATTCCAGCAGGCAAGTTCGAAAATTGAGAAGCAGGCTCAAGAACTAAATGAGAAGGCAGAGGAAATCTCGGTGGCACAGCAGATGTGTGAAGAACTTAAATGTAGTTTGAAAGATAAAGAGTCCATAGTCCAACATCTTAGAGCTGCAAACGATAAACTTCGAGTTGGTTGTGATGAGAAGTGCCGAAAATTGGAAGATACAAACAGAGTGATGGTATTGGCTTTAGATGAGGCAAATGAGAAGAAAATGGATCAAGAGAAAACAATCCGTGCATATAGAGAAGAGATTGAAGGCCTTAAAGGCCGTCTATCAGTTTCACAGAAGAAATGTTCTGAAGCTGAGAAGAAAGCTAATGCACCCAAAGAACTAAGAGAGGGAGATGATGTGATACTCAAACTAGAGGAGGACAATCAGAAGGTTCAAGATCAGCTAAAATGGAAGAAGGAGCAGTTCAGACATCTAGAAGAAGCACATGACAAGCTCCGAGAACAGTTCAAGGCAAGTAAGAAGGAATGGGAGATAGAGAAGTCTTCATTGCTTGATGAGATTTCTTCATTGCAGACAAGCTTAGATTCTCAAACCAGAATTTCAAATGATCTTCAAAACCGGCTGCAGAGGTGCAACCAAGCCCTGGCTCATGAAGAAAGCCGGAGAAAGTATCTGGAAGTTCAAGTTTCTGAATTCCAAACACGCTTTGAGAATGTCTTTTCTGAGCGCGAGGATGCCAAATCGCAACTGGAATGCTTGACTGCTCAGAGGGACAAACAAATTGCATCTCTAAGACAGTCTCTAAGCACCAAAGAGACATTTTATAAAGAAATGGAATATCAGACAGGGAAGCTGCAGCAAGAAAATCAGGAGTTGCGAATTTCTCTCAAAGAACTGCAGGAAGCCCAAATCCAAGCAGCACCAGGTTCACCTTCTCTCGCAAAGCTGCGAAACAAGCTCAAAAGTCTGGAGCAGATGCACAGAGATTGTATTGCAAGTCATAGGGTGAAAGAAGCTGAATGGAGCTCTCGACTGGAAAGTATGACAGGGGAATTGAACAAACATAAGTCGGAGTTAGGGAGTAAAGATGCAGCAATAAGTGGGCTCAGGATGGAACTGGAACAGATGCTCAGAGACTGCACATCAAATCTTAAGGCCAAAGAATATGAATGTAGCTCTCAACTGGAAAAAATGAGAGTGGAGCTGAACAACTCTAGATCTGAGTTAGAGAGTAGAGATGCTGCCTTAAAAGAACTCAGGATGGAAATGGAGCAGATGCACAGGGACAGTACAACAAATGAGGCCAAAGGAGCTGAATGGAACTCTCAACTAGAAAAGATGACAAGTGATGTGAGAAACTATTTGTCTGAGCTAGAGTATAAAGATGGAACGATAAAAGAGCTCAAGATGGAGTTGGAAGCCTGTCATTCTCTAAGTATGCAGCTGAAGTTGGAAAATGAGGAGCTTTCTGTCATGTTATTGGTTTTAAAACTTGGAATTTCTGAGGCTCAACTAAAGATTGTGAATGGTAAGTTTGAAATGGATCTGCGTGAAAAAGAGAAAGAAAAAAATATTTCTCAACTGATGCAGCAGCTGGAAAGGAAGAATGCTGTTCTTACAACAGTACAGACAGGTGTCAAAGAAGAGTGTGAAAAGGATGAACTTCGCTTGAATCAGCAAGTTTTACAGATGGAAAGCATTCTTAAAAGGGAACTTAGAGAAGTTAATGATGCCTTAGAGAGAACAAATACTGAGTTGGCTGAGAAAATCTGTGAAGGAAATGAAATTGAATTTGAATTGGAAATATGGAAATCGATTGCAGAGCGCTTAAGAAGTGATCTTGAAGTAAGTCTTGGAATGCGTAAAGAGTTGGAAGCTTCTCTTCTTGCACAGGTAGATGTCGGGGAAACCATCAAGCAACAGAAAAATGGTCTTTTTTGTATTTTTGAAGAGAAAGACAAAATAATAGATAACCTCCAGCAGAAGATTGTGTTACTGGAGCAGAAGCTTGAGAGGTTAGATACAAAGGACGCTAATTCTGTAAAGACAGAGACAGAAATGTCTTTTGAATCAGAGAATTCAATATTTCTCCAAATCGCTAGAGAGAAGGACAAGACCTTAGAGCAACTGGAGAAAGAGATTAGCTGGCTAGAGCAAGAATCATTGAGGATAGAATTCACAGGTGCTGTGATGGCACAAATTGATGCAGAGAGAACATTTGAGCATGAGAAAGAGAAGCTCATCCAACGTGTAGAACAGAAATACCAGAGAGTGAATGATCTCATGCAGCTTGTGGAGTCCTTGGAACATAAGTTTAATTGCTCATTAGATTCTTTCTCTTCACAGCTAGCTGAGAAACAGGCAGAAATTGATCTGATCCACGAAGCTTGGGAGAAAATCACTGCTGCTGAGGTTATGGCTGCACTTGAAATTGAAGAAAGGAAGTTGATGGCTCTGGAACTTGAGGAGGAAATCTGTAATATACAGCAGAAACTGGAATCACAGCAAACATCCTTGTGTGAGTCAAAACAACAAGCATTGGAGGCTGAAGCTGAACTGGAAACAAAAGAGCTAGAAGTGAAGAGACTGACTAATCAAATGAAGACAAAGCTGATAAACTCAGATGCCTTGATTGAGGAGCTAAAAAGTGAAAGAAGAAATTTACTTGAAGATGTCATTAAGTTGTCATCAGAAAAGGAAAACTTATTGGTGTTTATTGGAGGGCTGGGTGATAAGATCGGCGAGTTCTCCAGTACAGATAAACAACTGACGAGCATGTTGGATAAGATAATGCTCTCTTTTGACAACAAAGGTTCCAGAATGGATTTAAAATGGAATGATGAGCTTGTTGATCCAGAACAAGAGAATGTTTGTACGCCTACCGTGATGAAGATATCTGAAGCAATTTCTGACAGAAGATCTCCATTTAGAGACCTCAACAATTAGCTTGTAACCAATATATGATTCAGAACATCAATTATTAACCATGGATTTTTTAGCTTGTGTATGTTTATCCCTATGCGTGTAAGTAATTCGTTTATGACTAGAACAAGTTCCACAAATTTGATTTCTCCTTGTAAGCAAGTAATTTTAGTTTGCTTATATGCTTCAGCTAATGTCTCTTCAATTTTTAAGGTTATGTTGCGAATTCTTTCCTTCCGGAAAACATATATATATTTTTCTTCTTCAAAACTTTTGAATATATCAACTTCAACAATGGTGCATTCTGAACACTGAATCTCTGAGATGATTTTCCTTAGCCAAACATTGAATTACTTTTGCTCTCATATGGATGCATTACACGTGCATGCAAGATACCTCAATTAGAAAAGATCAAGGGAAATGCTCTTGAATATTGAAATAGCATTAAAACTGAAGTCCCATTATAGATATAGATACCGTAGATATTGTTCCATTACTTCGACATGAAATATTTTAATATGACATAAATAAATTATCAATATTGTGTCAATACTATCGATATTGTCAATTTGCCACAATAATAGTACTATTTAAGGACTTTGCTACATGAATAGTGGTATTTGAGAGCATTTCCGGAAGATCAAAAGCATGTGCGTTACATGTGCCTGTTACAATTCTTACTGTTCTGGTGTTAATTACACCAGTTAACTGGAAGTATCAATCTTGAAGGTTAATTTATGTGTTGAAATGCTAAACCAAATGTAATCAGTTGGGGTCTGGTCTTAGTAAAATCGAGCAAAAAAAGAATGGGAAGATGTTCAGGAGTTTACCTGTCTTTTTATCAAAACAAGTATGCAAAGAAGTCCTGAATACATTTGATGTAAAAATTCTCTTACTTGGTGAGAATATAGCAGAATGCATCTTTTCTGCAAGAATAGATATCCTTACCTGCACGTTTTATAACATCCTACGCAGAGTTCCAAATCGATCATTATTTTGAATAACTAGCAAGATACAAGAGAGACAAGATAAAATGCTGGACCTCAACAACATCAACTGTCATAAAATCTAAAAGACAGACAATCTGCACCATAACTTTCAAAGCAGATAACATAAATGAATTCTTCCAACTTACTGTATAAGAATCTGGTACCATTTAGCCAAGGACAAGTCAATGAGTTGAATGAATGTATCTGAGGCACTATGAATGATAGTTACATTTGGTGGCACACAAGCATGTATAAACTTCGTATTTGAGCTACAATACATCACATTCTCATTCGTATGAATTAACAATAGCAACTACATATACCACTAAGCATTACAGTTCCGAAATGGGGGGCAAACTAACTCAACTACCTCCGGCTAGATGAAGCTGACTTTCGAGAGAATTCCAACAATCCCTGCCTCAAAGCTCCAAGGTTCACCCCATTACCAACTAAAATGCTTGTCACACCCATTTTGGATACCTGCAAATATCATGTAATGTAACACACTTAGCATGGATCGAATTATAGTTATCTTTATTAAGGGTCCGTGTTGAAAGAGGATTAATTTAATTTACATTATATAGATGAATTTCTTGATAGGGCTATGAATAAGGATAAGGAAAAAGAATAAAGACATGAATTTCAAATGACTCATAGTATCTAATCATTTCAAACACAAAACATGACATTATATTGTCAAAACTCAAAACTCAAAATCCAAATCATTTCATTCCAATGTACCTAACATAATCAATCTTAAATGGGTTCTAGATGTGAATATGAGGGCTGCACAAGGGGACAGATAAATTACCGTTTGAATATTCCTATCCTCATCATCAAAGAAAAGCATTGAGCTAAATGGCAACCCAGTGGTTGCATGAATTCTTTGAATATGTTCTGTTTTGTGAGTCCAACTGGAGAAAATCTCCTGCATAAACAAAAACCCAAATACAATTTAGTTCAAAGAAAACATACCCACAATTCTTTTACAACAAAAACACAAAATGCAATTGAAACCTGTTGAGGCCCAAAAAATCCATGGATTGGGCCCGAACAATTATCAGCCCAATACAATATTTCATAAGGGAAAAGAAAAAAGGGATCTATCGCATGCAAGTTATAACCCACACGCCACGCTAAATAAACAAATTATCATGCTATGATAAAATATAATCATGCTAAAAAATTAAAACAATCCTTCCAAAAGGGCGATAAAGTAAAATATGCCGAGCAACATGCCGTGCCGTTATCTCGCACCCAACCACGCTACAAGCCTAGGTGGGCCCAAGCCACTCAAAAAAGACCCGGGGCTTGCTTGAGTGGGTTGTGGCATGGATGGTAATAAATCAACATGAGGCCCATTGATGGACCAAGAAATGGAAAGTCTCGGGTTGCTTGGGAGCCTCGAGACTCAAGCCCATTTCTTAGGTCCAAACATGTGGGTAAGCACAAGAGAGAAAAATAGCCCAAAAGCCCAAGCAAAATAACCTAGCCAAGAGATAACCCAACCAAAAATAATAATAAGCCCAAATCAAGCCCAATAAGCCCATTTGCTTAGAAAGCCATCTTGGCCCTTAGAAAAACCCAAAAAAAGGCCCACAAGAGCTTCAGCCTTTTTTGAAAAACAGAGAACACGTGAGGAGTAGATGGCAGGCTCCTTAAGTAAGCTGCTGGAAACCAGTCCCAAGCCAGAGACATCCAAAGAACCGATGAATACCATCCTGCATGCTGTCAGAAGCATCCCTTGGACCAGCATACATTTGCACCTCCTTTCCTTCATCAGATTCAGCCAAGGAAGAGGAAAGAAAAGGAAGAAAAACAGCAAACTAAGAGTGGAAGCCCTCATTGCACAGCCGCGGGAAAGAGGGATGTTGAGCCCCCAAAATCTCCTAAATTCATGAAGATAGACAGAAGCCATCTTTGCCAAGAAAGGGAAGTCAGAGAAGGGGAGGAGAAAGGAAGAAAATCTCAGCCAAAGTAAGAAGGAGCCATTAGGGTTTCTTGAAAAATGGTGATTTCCGGCAGCTATAAATTGAGCCTTCCCCTACCCAACAAACACAACTCACAACCTGCAGAGAGCAAGCTTTTCTCTCTATCTTGCAAAACTTAGATTCGTGCACTGTTCATCTTCTTCTCCAATTTGTTCTTCTGGTAGCTGCTGGAAGAACCCTGTCTCTCTTTTTCTCTTTCTCTAGCCAAAATCCTCACAAAAACACCCCATTCCTTACTTAAACGCTTTCATTCCTCATAAACCAAGCCTAATTTCTCTCTTAGTGCTAAACCCATGTTGGTTTTGCTCTCCATGCCTCATGCCACTCATGCTGAGCCTAAAAACCATCTGAAAGCATGCCAAAATTATCTGTAAGTCACTATTATTCTCATTGGTGAAGATTACTCAAAATATCTCCTAAGGTTTCGCTGCCCTTTCGAGGTATTTTGAGGCTTAATTTTCGAACCTAAACGAAAAGGGGCAATCTCCTCAGTCCACCTTTTGCAGCAGCCCAGCCCGTTAGCTGCAGGAAGAAAAAGTCCCCTACATAAATTGGCGACTCTGCTGGGGATTAAGCCATTATCTTCATCAATGCCTCCAAGAAAGAAGACCAGAAGCAACAACATAACTTCCCAGGATGGGCCAAGCCATGCTGACTCAGAGTCAAGGCAACATGCCTCTTCTAGAGAAGAAGAACGTGCAAGTGAGGGAACTTTTACCCTCACAGATCTTGTTGCAGCCATTCGTGCTATGGGTGACACCCAGAGGGAGATGGCAGAGATGATAAAAGAACTCAAAAATTCGGCTCCAAAGCCAAGTGAAGTGAATGAGAAGCACCCACAGGAGGAATCTGCTGCTGCCGGAAAGGAGTCTGAGCAGAAGGGACCATCTTTTGTCACTCAGGAGGACGTTGTTGCCATGCTGGAAAAGGAGCTGAGTCGAAGTCAGGAAGATTGGAAGTATCTTCCTCAGCCGCCGTATCCATCAAGCTTACTCCAGCAGCCATATCCTAAAGGCTATGAAGCACCGACCTTTGTCCTCTTTGATGGACGAAAGGGGAGCCCGAAGGAGCATGTCAATCGCTTCATCGATGCCTTGGGACCGTATGCTGGTGATCATAATCTTCGACTTAGAGAATTTTCAAAGAGTCTCACCGATCGTGCTTACACATGGTATACAACGTTGGCACCAGGCTCTATTCATTCCTGGGAAAGTCTGGCAAGCAGGTTCTGTAAGAAGTATTTCCAGCATGAAGAACGAGTCACCACCACTCAACTCAACAACACCCGCCAAAAGCATGGTGAGGATCCCGTGGACTTTGTACGCAGGTTCCGGGACCTGGCATTGGATTGCTATGATGAGAAAGACGAGGAGGCGCTTGTTGAAATTTGCATCAGCAATATCGTGGCAGATTATAGAGTGTATTTGGAGAATATTGGCATTAGTCAATTTTCTCGGCTGCTGGAAGCTGTGAGGAAGACGAGCATGTCCGTCAGGCCACCAGGACAAAGGACTTGGAGAAATGAGAAGAAGGAAGCGCATCAGACATTAGCAATAGATGACAAGCCATCCAGCGACTACAATTCACGCAAACGCAAGGATAGAGAGACGTATCCACCACTACCATGCAAAGATGAAGAATTTCATGCTATCCTTGACACAATGATTGCTGATGGCGTAATCAAACCTGTCAGACCCTACAAGGTTCCTACTCGAGAGGAAAAGAATGATCCTAGGTACTGCCGTTATCATCAATTTGTGGGGCATCCAACCACTGCCTGTCAGAGCCTGAGGAGGATTTTACACGCCAAAATACATGAGGGAGTCCTTGAACTTCCCTCTAGGAAGCAAACCATTGATGAAGACCCCTTGCCAAAACGAAGGGGAAAGGAGGTAGCCGCTGTCATTACATGTTCTGATGATTTGCTTGATGATGATGAATTGTGCCACCCTTGGAGGAATGACCCAAAGCCGCCGGAAGCCATATGGGAACCTTGCGGAAACATGGAAAAGGCATATTGGTGTAAATATTCGAGGCCTTCAAGTTACAACACACCATGGCCACTCGCTGATGGATGGGGTGACAACTCAGGGCAGCGAAATTTTTGTTTGGACATGCCGGAAGAACGCTACTCGGGGGCTTTATCGGAGCAGCAGGAAGCAGCTGCCGTGACATTTCATAATATCACGGAAGCTGAAACAAGTGTGATGGAACGTTATTTAAGCATGAAACAGGGGCCCACAGCTTCACAGGTCCTTCAAAGAAACCCAAAGTTCAAATCACTCTTTGACCAACTTGGCTTCGGGCCGCAAGCAAGGGAAGCAGCTGCTGTAGCCTTGATGAATATCTCTGAGGAGTCTAATTCTCAATGCTTTACAACTCAACCACAAAGGTCATTCTTGGGAAATGACAATGCTATTGTCTTTACGGACGAAGACATGGAAGTTCCATACCCGGACCATAGGAGGCCGCTTTACTTGGAGGGACAGATCAATGATGTGTTCATAAGAAGAGCTTTGGTGGACACGGGTTCCTCTGTCAACATATTACCTCTGTCTGTGCTTACGGCAGCTGGTATCCCATTGTCCAAAATTGTCCAATCACAAACAAACATCAGTGGTTTCGGGAATAAGAGTGAGGTCACAGTCGGGCATCTACAAGTACACTTGAAGGTTGGGCCAATTCGGTCACTTACTAAGTTCTATGTCGTGGATGTGGATGTGGCTTACCATGCTTTGCTTGGAAGGCCATGGCTCAACAAGCATAAGCTTGTGGTCTCTACCTATCATCAATGCGTAAAAGGAAGGATTGGGCTGAGGCCGCTACGCATACCTGGAAACCAAGCACCTTTCAACAAAGATGAAGCTCACTACTCTGAAGCAGAGTTCTACACTGAATGCACAGGTGCTGGAAGCAATCCATCCAAGGATTTCGGGACCTACCTTCCTTCATGGACTGAAATTCGTGATTTAAGCAATGAGGAGCTCATCACCATTGTCGATCGAGAGAGAAAGAGGCACTCGGAAGTCAACAACCATGCCTATGATCATCCCCAATGCTCAAAGGTGACGCTGCCCGATGGACGTATCGTGTACCGCTTATGACGGGGTTGGGGGCTTGACCGTGTCTTACGGGAAAGCCCCGAGTATGGAGGAAAAGTAATGCAAACAAATAGCTGTGGGAGTTCCAACGACAAGGCACCCTTGCCTTGTGCTTTCCAGGAGCCAATGGCAGCACCCAGACACATGCAAGATGGATCGTCAGCAGTAGCTGAGCAGCTGGAAACAATTGATTTGAGTGAGGATCCCTCTGCCCCGAGGCCCATTTCCATAAGTGTTCATTTAACAAATGAGGAGAGGGCGGCCTTGATATCTTTGCTAAAGGAATTTCGAGATGTGTTCGCTTGGAGCTATGAGGAAATGCCTGGTCTGAACCCAAGCTTAGTAAGTCATACTCTGAATATTGAGCTTGGTACAAAACCTGTCGTGCAGGCAAGAAGGAATTTTCATCCTGAAGTTGAGAAGCAAATCAAGGTAGAAATTGAAAAGTTGTTAGCTGCCGGATTTATTAAACCAATCAAGCATCCTACGTGGCTAGCAAATATTGTCCCTGTGAAGAAGAAAACCGGTGTGATCAGAATATGCACGGATTATCGAGATCTCAACCGAGCTTGCCCAAAGGATGAGTTCCCGCTGCCAAACATGGATATCTTAATTGATTCGACCTCGGGTCAAGGCTTGTTGTCATTCATGGATGGGTTTAGTGGCTACAATCAGATCAAGATGTCTCCCAAGGATGCTGAAAAGACAGCCTTTCGAACACCGTATGGGAATTTTTATTATACGGTCATGCCATTCGGCCTCAAAAATGCTGGCGCCACCTACCAAAGAGCTATGACAGCGGTGTTTCACGACATGATGGGAAAAGAAGTGAAGATTATGTGGATGACCTTGTGGTGAAGTCCAAAACCAGAGAAGGCCATCAAGAAGTTTTAAGAAGAGTGCTGGAAAGGTGTCGGCTGTACAGTTTGAAGATGAATCCAAAGAAGTGTGCGTTCGGGGTTTCATCTGGTAAATTCTTGGGGTTTCAAGTACACCAGCGTGGCATAGACGTGGATCCAGAAAAGACTAAAGCCATAAATTCTCTTGCACCGCCTAAAAGCCCAAAAGAATTGAAAAGCTTTATGGGAAGATTATCGTATATTCGGCGCTTTATCCCAGGTCTTGCTGCCACCATGAGTGCTTTTACTCCATTGCTCAAGAAAGGCAAGAGGTATGAATGGAGTGAGAAGTGCCAAGAAGCTTACAAGAAGGTGCAACAAATAATCGCCAAGCTGCCCACTATGAAAGCACCTATTCCGGGGCTGCCTCTCAAGCTTTATTTGGCTGCAACAAACACAGCGGTTGGGGCCTTACTTGCTCAAGATGATCATAGTGGGGAAGAAAGTCCTATTTATTACGTAAGTAGGCAACTAAGGGGGTCTGAAGTAAGATATCCGAAAACTGAACTTTTGTGCCTTGCTCTTGTCTATGCTGCACAGCGCTTGCGGCATTACTTCCTTGCTCACAAGCTACATCTCATGGTGAAGTCTGATCCCGTAAGATATTTGCTTACAAGGCCAATATTATCCGGGCGCCTTGCACGTTGGTTGCTACAGCTGTCCGAGTTCGATATCACCTGCACCACTCCAAAAGCCATCAAAGGGCAGGCTGTTATTGACATGTTGGCTCTATTTCCCGAAGTTGAAGAATCAACAATCTCTAAGGAAGTTCTGGGGGAGCTGCCGGAAATGGTTGCTGTTGTCACGGAGGCAGAACCATGGACCCTCTACTTCGATGGGTCTTCTACATCAAAGAGTGGAGGGGCAGGTGTGGTGCTTGTCAATCCCGAGGGGCAAGCTACGGCCCTCTCGTTTAAGCTAAATTTCCCATGCACGAATAATACGGCAGAGTACGAAGCTTTTATTGCAGGGATGTCTACAGCAAGGGAAATGGGTGTCGAAAAGAATTAAAATTATTGGGGATTCAAACTTGGTGCTGAGTCAATTACAAGGAAATTTCGCCGTGAAGGAACCAGCATTGGCACCATATCGTACAGCTGCTGAAAGGCTTGTTCGTTCGTTCAAACAAGTTGTGTTGGAACATATCCCGGGAGTCACCAATAGATATGCTGATGCGTTGGCCACTTTGGGGTCGAGGCTCTCATTTATTGACGAACAGCCCAATATTGCAGTAATCAAGAAGGACATACCAGTTGTTGAAGCAATGGCTCAAGAGGAGCAGCTGGAAGAGGATGACTGGAGGAAGCTTGTGAAAGAAAAAATAGGCAAAGGAAGCAACATCAAAGAATTGAAGGATTATGCGATCATCTTTGGGGAATTGTACAGACGCCTTCCGGGAGGTATTTTGACACGCTGCATAGGGATAACAGAAGCACAGGAGAAGCTTCAAGAGGTACATGAGGTCACTTGCAATTTGGAGCCAATAATCAGCCTGTACCGGCGCCTGCAGCGCAAGGGTTATTACTGGCCAGAAATGAGGAAACAAGCAGCTGAAATACAAGCCAATTGTCCCAAGTGTGCAAAAATACCTTCCACCGAGGAATCATTCACCGTCTCATTTGCGGAGGATTGGAGGGCTCCATACTTGGCATCCTTCATCAATGGAGTCTTGCCAACCAATCCCAAGCATGCACGCAAGCTCAAAAGGACAATGAAAAGATACTTCATAGATGGGTCAACTCTTTACCGTAAGGGGTTTAATGGTGAGCCATTAAAATGCTTGGGAAAGTCAGAGGCACAGCAAGTCATGCAAGAAATTCATGCTGGAGAATGTGGTGAACACCAAGGAATGAAGAAGCTTTACCGGCAGCTGCTGAGTGTTGGGTATTATTGGCCTACAATGAAGAATGATGCATACGACTTTGTGAAGAGGTGTCACACATGTCAAGTTCATGCCAATTTAAGTCATAAGCCTCCCACGCTGCTGCAAGACATGCGCACCCCTTGGCCCTTCCATACTTGGGGGCTTGATTTGATCGGGACTATTCATCCACCATCCGACAGCTACATATGGATCATCACGGCCACCGAATATTTTACAAAGTGGGTAGAAGCGGTTCCCTTGCGGAAGGCCACGGGAGCTGCCGTTGCCAATTTCATCCGTGAAAATATTGTATGCAGATTTGGGATCCCATACAAGATTGTCACTGACAATGGCACCCCGTTTGTCAATAAGCAAGTAAGCTCGACACTTAGTGGTTATGGTATCAAGCATCGCCGCTCCACGCCTTATTATCCACAAGGAAATGGTCAAGCGGAAGCCACAAACAAGACTTTATTGAGGATCCTAAGCAAAATGGTTTATGAGTATGAAGGAGGTTGGAGTGTTCACCTGCCGGATGCTTTATGGGCCTACCGCACCTCTTCAAGAAGTGCCACAGGTTTCTCGCCATATTCACTCGTGTACGGGTCCGATGCCATTTCACCAGTAGAGATTACCATCCCCACTGCCAGAACAGCAGCTGTTAACGACCTCGAATGGGATACAAAGTCATGCTCGGAATGGCGCCTGCTGGACCTTGAAGCTTTGGATGAAAAAAGAGCGGTAGCCGAAAAGAAGACAGCATTGTACCACAGAACCGTAGCTCAAGCCTATAACAGGACAGTCAAGCCTCGCGCCTTCAAGCAAGGAGACCTCGTGCTAAAAGTTGCGGAGCATGTGAGAAGACAAGTGTCGGGACCTTCCAAGTTTGCGCCACAATGGGAAGGCCCGTTTGCAGTCAAAGAGGTTCACAGCAGCGGCTATTATCGCTTGGTCTCTGTCAAAGAAGGCACGCTAACCGACCCCGTCAATGGGAAGTGGCTCAAGCTCTATTACTGCTAAGTTAACTTTATGCCTAGTACTTTTGTATTCTCTCTCTGTCAAAAAAAAATAAACTCCTTCTGTCTTATTTTCACGTTTTGAAAAAAAAGACACTTTTGTATGATGCACCATTATGGTAGCAAGGGCTTTTGCAATGAAAATGAAGGAATATTTTGAAAAATATATATTGTGTCTCCAAAACTTTACTATTATTAACCCTTTATCAAATTTTCCATATATATATATATATATATATAAACATGCTACTTAGCAGTAAAACATGCCGGGCAAAGTCATTTAGATGGGGTCCCCAAGCATCACGCTTAAGCAAAAAAAAAAAAATTAATAGCATAAGGCATAGAAACATGCAATTCTGAGATGCTGGAACGATACGATATAACACCTGGAAGCTTTATAGAGCTCGGCTAGAAATCATGCACATGTTGGTTCGACCCTTTGGGAAAGGTGGGAAGCTATTTTGTCAAGCTTAGAATCTAGATAAGCCATGCAAAAGAAGCTTTCGAAGACTCGGTTTCTAAAAAAAAATTTGACAGCATATACCCTGTTTTCAATGATATCCAACCTGTCAAAATGTCAAGCAGTCCATAAAGACAATTCTGGCCAACAAAGCAGTATATATACATATCTACACCGGAAATATGCAACATGCCTCAAGCATTCAGAAATTCATACAAGCTTCGGTAGTTTAATATCAAAATTACAAAGGCATAACGACGTAGTCGTTAGAGTCTCAAAAGAAAAAAAAACAACACTACAAACAAAGCAAAATAAAGCTGCATCTGCTGAAGGTTCACGCGCCCTTAAGTCACGAAGAAAAGCAGGATCACGAGCCAAGCTAAATGGTCACTAAGCCAAGGATGGGCAATCTGCAAAAGATAAAAGAAAATGTGTGTCAAAAAATAGCTGCTGCTGGAATACGTAATATAAAAAAATATAATGGATGAGCTGAGTACCTGTAGGCTATGGGGAATGTCCGAAAAGAACAAAGGAAGCCCCAGGAGATAATCTGGCTGCTGCCTCCGTCACGCACTCAGCGCTGTCAACAGAAACTCCCTTAGCAAGAAGAAGGGCATGCATCTCCCGGCGCTGGTTTTCCAACTCTTGCTGTTTAATATTCAAGGCGTCTGCAGCGGCTTTTACTTCATCGGAATCATGCGATAATTGCATACTACGAATGGCCCGTGCTCCAAAAACGGCACGTGCTAAGCTCTTCACGAGTTTAAGGAGAAATTCCACAGGAAAGCCCAGAATCATGGCCTCGCATATTGCATCTCGCCAACAGAGCAGTTTATGATCTGTAATATCAAGGAGTTGCATGGTGTCCATCCCATGAAGTACTAAGCCAAGCGCTCGAAGGGCAGTACCCCTTGAGAAAGAGGAGGTGACATCTGTAGCTTCCAGCAAACTCCCGTATTTGTCCATGAACTTTTTCAAGGCTCCAACCGTCTCTGGATACACAAGGGCGCCTTGGAATGTTGCATAACCATCGAATCTGTGGCAAAGCGGAAGAAGTTCATCAATGGATCTAAGAATGGTGACACCACCATCAAAGAAGGCTTTGAATGCCGTGTAGGAATTCTCCCAATCTTGCCAAGACATGCCTTTCTCGAATGAAGGCCCTTTTGAGGAACCTGCGATAAAAGCACCAACATTCTTATCACAGAGATGTGCTGCTGGAAGAGGTGGAGTGGTGCCGGAAGCTATGTCAGGTGTGCTCGAGATTGGGAGAGTAAGGGGATGTGCTGCTGGAAGAAGTAGAGCAGTGCCGGAAGCTATGGCAGGTACGTTCGGAATTGGAGAAATAGGAGGAGGAACTGTTGGAAGTAGTGGAGAGGCATCAGCAGCCATGTCAGAGGTACATGGGTCAGGAGAAGGAGGAGGTTGCACTGCCGGAAGGCTCAGGACAACTTCAGCGACAGTAGTGGGAAGGGCAAAATCAGCCTCCGATGAAGCACCTATCGTGCCTTCAATGGCGGGCACGACCTGCAGAAGAAAGACGGAGTATGAGCTAGAGGACACAACGGGCAGCATGCAATGTCAATATTCCAAAGCAAAACAAGCAAGAGGGATATTTGATACCAGTTCAATATCGACACGCTGTCCATGATCGCCAGTCAAAGCAGGGAGTCGTATCTGAGTCATCGAACTCCCCCAAGCTAGTGCCGAAAGCCGGATAGGTGTCTTCGTCGTGACTATCGTATTGGCCTTCATCAAAGTCCTCGTCCATGCCACTCGTATCGCGAGCACTCTCTTGCTCATGAATGTTAGCCTCAGTTCCCGCAGCGCCATCGCCATCACTATCATCATCACTGTTATCATCAACCGTCACCACTACTTTGGGTCCCGAGTCTTCACCCTTATTCTTTCGGGTATTAGCAAACCGCGTTTCAAGAATACGCATGCTTCGACGTTTCGGGGTCACGGAAAACCCCTTACCCTTGCCTTTACTTTGGGAAGTACCTGCAAAATAAGATGAAAGGGATACTTATATATACGCAAAGAGCGGGGAACAAAGGGAGCAAACAAATAGCAATACTTACTGTGAGGAGATGAAGCTTTAGAGCTGCTCGCTCGCTGCTGCCGGAAGCTGTAGGCTGCTGCTGTAAGGACTCGGGCAAGGCAACCTTTCTTGAGCTGGGAGGACCACCTGCCGCTACCTTGGGGATGAACCTTTTCGGTTCTTTCACAGCTTGCCTTTTCTCGGCGCTGCAGCTTTCCTCACGCTTCCGTTTCCCATGTGCAACACTCTTCCCGGCACTATGAGAACCCGACTTTTCCAACTTCCGCTTTAGCTTCGAAAAATCACCAACAATTTCTCCACTCTTGGAGATAAAGGGCAGATTTCGCTTCTCGCTCAAGGAAATGGCTTTCTCTTCCGACACTAAACGGGCATGATGAATGACGGTGGGAATCAAGCTATCACAATGGGCAGCATGGAATCGGCTGAACGAGGCAAAGCAGCGGTTCCAATAATTTTGGTAGGCCTTTGAGAGACCACCAACGCGCTTCCGGCTGGCCAGAGCAAGGGCAAGAGGCCTGCCGTCTCCCGGCACGCTGTCACCAGTCCAGAAAACCCTGTGCAAGCTCAAGGAATCTCCATGGTTGGGACGAGAGGGCACACCTTGGTCAAACCCAAGCTGTCGTCTAACCCGGTAAGGGGAATAATGCACAGAAGTCTCCAAGTGGTCATCACCGAATGTGGGCAGAGGGAGGCATGCGGCACTCAACAATGCCTCTCTGCGTAACCGACAACCTTGTGTTGGCATGGCCAGGGCCTCCATTAAAGCAGCAGAATCAGCATAGAAGGGGCATACTTCTAAAGCCCTCTGATGAGGCACAATAGGGGCGAAAAATAAATTGCTCAACATCGTCCAGCAGCTCTAAAAAATTTTGGCCCTTCCGTTGCATGCGACGGAACCATCTACAGATCAGAGGAAGACTACCCGGCACGTAGGAATCCTCGTCCGAAGCAACCAGTGACTCAGCCTTTGAATAAGGGAGTGGAGATACCTCTATCCCTTTGAAGCGTTCCCATAAAAAGATCTGCAGAAAACTGGAATTTACAAAAGTCTCCACAGCCATGGTTCCGGCCGCCCCCTTCTCAAGAAATTGAATCTGGTCAAGCAAGCGATATAAGTGCCCCAAGAACATGGGGGCTAAAGGGATCATGCTACCTCGTGCTATTGCCAAAGCCAACGGAAACACTCTCCCATGCAAGCAGTCTTGAGAAAAATCACAAAAGAGGAACCTCCCGAGCCACAAGGACACGAACGCAGCAAGGCGACACGGCTCGTCTCGATCACTGTTCCCGAAAAACTGAATCCAATTACTGAATCTCAGAGAGGTACTAGGAGAGGTCGGAGCACCCTTCCGCAAAGTTTCAAGCTTTAGCCCATCTTCCGGGGTTAATGCAATATGGAAAGGGTCTTGGCTGCCGCAAAGTGGGAGATGGAAAATATTAGCTACATCCTCAAGCGTGGGAGTGAACTCTCCCCACGAACAAATAAAAGTGTGCGTCTCAGTGCTCCACCGTCTAACCAAGTGTCGAAGCGTCTTGGCTTCAATATGGATGTCGCAAGCCTTAGAAGCAAAGATGGCTTCCAACACGCCTGCCCGGCTTAGGATATCACGGGTAGATGGGCTCTTCAGTTCAGCATCAACCCACTCCGACCAACCCTTGCTGATGCTGCAGGGATATTGAAAGAACAAAGGAACTGCCGGAAACAGACCCCTTTCTATGCAGCACCTTGATACGGATGCAGGATCAATCACTGAAGTAGCTTCTGGCGCTGGTTCTTCATCAATGATTACATCCTCGTCGGCACCCTTGAGCAAAGGAGGAGGTCTCCCTCTCTTCAACCTGTCATCTACGGAGTAAAGATGATCCCTTATGATAAATGGTGGATTACCGGATGCCATAATGGGTACCTGCGCATAGAAATATGGAAAGAAGCAAAATAGAATCAGCACACGTAAAATACGTGGCTAGTTGAGTTTATCCAAGCAAACATGCAATTTAAAATTCAAGCTCATGACAAGTAAGAGTCTCGCTTTGTGATCAACAAGCAGGACAAGCAAGTCCCTTCTCAGAATAAAAATAAAAAATAAAAAATTCAGCCAGGCAGTACAAAACATGCACTCTGTCAATTATTTTCCTCCACAGGCAACACACGCAGAATTCCATAATCGATCAAGCATGTGTTCTCAAGAAAAGAAAAAAAAGAGAGCCTAGGCCAAGCATCAGTCTACACCTATTCTAAAATACTCAGAGTTAGCAGAGTTATTGCCAAAGTCTAAGTTAGAAGACTGAAGGGTTTGAAGGTTCCAGCAGCAAAATGTCAAGGGTTTCCAGCACCTACCTATGCCCAAAATGCGTGTACCTGCACAAAAAAAAACAAAGGGAAAGCACGTCATGCCAAATCAGCCCTTTACACACAAAAGGAGAAGCCCGTGCAAAATAAAAACGAAAAGAAGGGGGGAGAAACCCAAGCCAACAAGAAAGAAAAAAAAATTTACCTTTCCGGCAGCTCGAGCAAAATCAACGAAGGAAGAAACCTAGACAATGGCGCAGACCCTTCCTTGCTAGCACCCACTCCGTGAGCACTATTGGTGCAGTGGAAACAAGATGGGTAGAAAAGGGGTTTTGGGTATTTGGCTGCCAAAACAAAAGACAACATCTATGGGTATGAGAAACCCAACAAATTCTCCAATCAATCTAAGGGAAAATTGGAAGAAAGAGAGGATACCTTGTTAAATCTTCCAAGGGATGACGTTGGATGCACCAAAAATAGAAGAAAACCAGGGATTTGAAGGCAAAATTCGCACAAAGGAGGACCTTTCCAGCAGCGACGAACGGGCTCCTTTGGAACGAAGATGGAACGACGGGGTCGGGTTCGACTTGGGTCTTCTTCTCAGCGGCTGGAGGTAAACAATTTTGGCCTGACTTCACTCTTTCAGTATATTTGAATTTATGGAGAAGAAAGAAGAAGAACGAAGGGAGGAGAGTTAGAGGGAAGTTTTGGTCTGGAGCGTGGAAAGGAGAAGGAAATTTTGGAAACCGATGTCTGATGCAAGAAAAGAGAAAGAAAAGGGAGGAAAATAATAAAATAAGGAGAGGAAGGCAGTTGGCGTTGGAAACTGCAAGTAACCACCGGGACCAATCATGGCACGCCGTCATTTTGCACGCGGGAAGAAGAAGAGTCCTATGCAAATACAAATCTGATTTTTTGGGTTGGGTTTAATTATTCGGCCCATTCCAGCACCTGTTCATGGCCCTTATAATTAAGGGGGCTAATGTTGAGGCCCAAAAAATCCATGGATTGGGCCCGAACAATTATCAGCCCAATACAATATTCCATAAGGGAAAAGAAAAAAGGGATCTATCGCATGCAAGTTATAACCCACACGCCACGCTAAATAAACAAATTATCATGCTATGATAAAATATAATCATGCTAAAAAATTAAAACAATCCTTCCCAAGGGCGATAAGGTAAAATATGCCGAGCAACATGCCATGCCGTTATCTCGCACCCAACCACGCTACAAGCCTAGGTGGGCCCAAGCCACTCAAAAAAGACCCGGGGCTTGCTTGAGTGGGTTGTGGCATGGATGGTGATAAATCAACATGAGGCCCATTGATGGACCAAGAAATGGAAAGTCTCGGGTTGCTTGGGAGCCTCGAGACTCAGGCCCATTTCTTAGGCCCAAACATGTGGGTAGGCACAAGAGAGAAAAAATAGCCCAAAAGCCCAAGCAAAATAACCTAGCCAAGAGATAACCCAACCAAAAATAATAATAAACCCAAATCAAGCCCAATAAGCCCATTCGCTTAGAAAGCCATCTTGGCCCTTAGAAAAACCCAAAAAGGCCCACAAGAGCTTCAGCCTTTTTTTGAAAAACAGAGAACACGTGAAGGAGTAGATGGCAGGCTCCTTAAGTAAGCTGCTGGAAACCAGTCCCAAGCCAGAGACATCCAAAGAACCGATGAATACCATCCTGCATGCTGTCAGAAGCATCCCTTGGACCAGCATACATTTGCACCTCCTTTCCTTCATCAGATTCAGCCAAAGAAGAAGAAAGAAAAGGAAGAAAAACAGCAAACTAAGAGTGGAAGCCCTCACTGCGTAGCCGCGGGAAAGAGGGATGTTGAGCCCCAAAATCTCCTAAATTCATGAAGATAGACAGAAGCCATCTTTGCCAAGAAAGGGAAGTCAGAGAAGGGGAGGAGAAAGGAAGAAAATCTCAGCCAAAGTAAGAAGGAGCCATTAGGGTTTCTTGAAAAATGGTGATTTCCGGCAGCTATAAATTAAGCCTTCCCCTACCCAACAAACACAACTCACAACCTGCAGAGAGCAAGCTTTTCTCTCTATCTTGCAAAACTTAGATTCGTGCACTGTTCATCTTCTTCTCCAATTTGTTCTTCTGGTAGCTGCTGGAAGAACCCTGTCTCTCTTTTTCTCTTTCTCTAGCCAAAATTCCTCACAAAACACCCCATTCCTTACTTAAATTTTTTTTTTTTTTTTTTTTTTTTTTTTTTTTTTTTTTTTTTTTTTTTTTTTTTTTTTTTTTTTTTTTTTTTTTTTTTTTTTTTTTTTTTTTTTTTTTTTTTTTTTTTTTTTTTTTTTTTTTTTTTTTTTTTTTTTTTTTTTTTTTTTTTTTTTTTTTTTTTTTTTTTTTTTTTTTTTTTTTTTTTTTTTTTTTTTTTTTTTTTTTTTTTTTTTTTTTTTTTTTTTTTTTTTTTTTTTTTTTTTTTTTTTTTTTTTTTTTTTTTTTTTTTTTTTTTTTTTTTTTTTTTTTTTTTTTTTTTTTTTTTTTTTTTTTTTTTTTTTTTTTTTTTTTTTTTTTTTTTTTTTTTTTTTTTTTTTTTTTTTTTTTTTTTTTTTTTTTTTTTTTTTAATATATAAAAATTTATTGTCCTCCTATTGCTGATTTAGCACAAGTTCATAAATTTTGGTCTCTCTAGCTCACGCAGCTCTCTCTCTCTCTCTCTCTGGCACAGCTCTCTTTCTCTTTGGTATGTCTATCGCAGCTCTCTGTCTCTCTTGGCTCTCTCTCTCTGTAGCACAACTCTCTGTCTCTGTCTGCTCTCTTTCTCATACGCAGCTCTTTCTCTCTAGATTCGTTATGTCTGTTTCTCCCATATCGGTCTTGCTCTCTGTTTGGAATCGCGAACCCCTACCTTTAGGTATGTCTTCTGAATAGCTGCTTGCAACCGTGAAGCTCTAGTGGATTGCCGACCTCGAAAAGGTAGTGTTGATGGTTATTTTCTTTTAATATCAGTGGGATTATGTGAAATGGGTTACATTTTGATTGTTTGGGTTTGTGTTAAATTTGTTTTGGCTTTAATTGCTTTGGGTTAGGTTTTGTTGAATATCCATGCTGATTCAGGGTTTGTACCAATTGCACTTAGATTGGGTCTGGATATGTGAATCTTGAAACTTGGGATTTTCCATTTGATGTAGTAGATTTGTATAGTGTGATTCTGATGTGTTACACCAGTGTTCCTCTTATTTTACTGTCGTATTGTTGTTATGTTGCTGTATATTGCCATTATATATTGCTGTTATATTGTGTGTATATTTGTGGTTATTGGTTATATTGCTGTTATATTGCTGTTATATTGTATGGTTATTGTGGTTATATTGTGTTAATGAACTGTTGTTTTGTCATGGTCAGAAATGGAGCCAATTGTATTCTCGTGTGCTACAATGGAAAATGGGTCACCTCGAAGAAGATGTGCAAATACGAGGGGACTCAAAAGGCTTAATAGTTCCACGGACCATCAAATTTGCTGAACTGTTGGAACGTGTGCATCAGATTGTAATACAAACAGCGGGAAGACAAGGTTTGCTTAAAATTCTCAGTTTTGGTGGCCCTCGAATGAGTGGAAGACATAAAGATTGAGGATGATGATGATGTCAATTTTTTTATGAAGTACAATTCTGAGGTAAACACCTTCAAAACTGCTCCCTTACTCGGTGAGTATAGAAGATAAAGGACTCACAAAATGATGTAGTTGATAGTATGCATATCACGACAAATAGTAGTCGGATGGGTCGTTCTTCAGTGCCATTGTTGAAAGCAATGAAGTAAGTTGGAATAATACAAATGGCAATGATGGGGAGGTGAAGTAGGGACAGATTTTATGGATATGATTGATTTTAGCGAGTGGTGAGGACATGCATGGTGGTGATAATGGTACTGAAAAGAAATGAAGGTCAGTGTACTTGCCCCTCCTATTTTGGGCGCTTGAACACATCTGCCCAACTGCCAACTAATGCGTTAGGAGCGAGAATCTGAACCCATTCGTGAACAGTATTGGAATCAAATAGGTGAACAGAACGGGACAATGAAGCCGCGTGTAAATGATGGGAAGCCTATTTGCGATAGCGGTGTGTTCGCAATGATGATTGGAATCCGAAACTTACAGTTGGGCAAATTTTCCTAGTCAAGAAAGCATTTGTTGACGCGAGTTAACGTTGAGGCAAGAGGGCCCCACTGAAATTTAATGGATGCAATTCTACTCTGCACAAAGAGGTTGCTTGTGGTTTTTGTAACGTCCATGCCGCTGGCGGGTCCCGAGCATCGAGATTTGGAGAATAGCAGCTTCATGATTAGTGAGTTGTGTACAACTGTCCATGAATGTGATTGAGGTTCATAATGAAACCATCGTCAAGCAACCGCAGCCCTTGTAGCCACTTCATGTAAAAGGAAGTTGAGGATTCTCGAGACAATATACACACCAAGTGACATTATGAGAGATCTTGTGAAACCACAACCTTGGTTTAGAATCCATTATTCGAAAGATGCGGGAAAAGCAAGGGACGTTAGACTACTATTGCTCCATAGAGGATCAGCGAGGAGAGCATAGTATATTCTATCCAGCTTATTGCCTATGAATTGTGAGCGTTGCATTCCTGGCCACAAAAACACACATCCAAACTGAGAGAACAATCCACTGTACTGTGTATTAGCAAGTATGCCGCGGCTCTGAGACGCTGGCATTGAGGTTTTGTTCTTCCATGCGCCCAGTGATAGCCTGCGGGATGCCACTCTCTATTTAAAATCCAGTCACAAAGCGGGGTGTAGTTCTGTAGCAAATGCATTCGATGCATTAATCGGAAATATATATCTCTTGCTTTTCGGGATTCGCGGATTCGAGATGCGATGCATCTCGCAATTGGTTTTTACTTCCTAAACTTCATGAAGCCATTGCGTGAGTGCTCCCAATCTTCGTTATTATTTCTGATCGAAATGTTAATGTTAGTCATACGAATTGCTGTGGGTGAACAATAGTTTTTCCAAACTGTCAACATTTGGACATATGCTTTTATCCATATGAAGGGGAACAGGTGAAACTGCCGACTTGCAAGTTGAACACAAAAAAAAAAGCCCGTTGATCCAATACTTGATGCCACTTTGAGCAGGCCCGCCGCCAAATCTTATTCCATTGCTGAATTTGATTGTCATATTTTGCCAGATCAAGCCTGAAAGAACATGCTGCCTCAAATCTTGAAGAGGCTAGGGTAGCATAAGTGGTCTACGAGACCTCACATGGCGAGACGCCCGAAATACAATTGTAATACAACAAATATTGCCGGAGTCAATCAACCTCAAGTCCTTAGTTTGCATATAGGACGCTGCCTCGTAGTTCATTTGATAGGGAACAGTATGAATCTCCGTGTCAATGTGCACTCGATTACTCGTGAGTTGGCTTTGAAGTGCACAACACCTCCTGTGTCCCTCATATTTTGGAGAGAACCAGCTTGAGGAACAGGTTGGAGGAGGATGCTGCAACGAGAATGTACTGGTGTCAAAGTGAATAATGCACAGTTTAATGTTTTGGACGGTCATATGGATGGCCTCGTAGATTTTTGACGAAACACACTTGCATGTAGAAAGTTTCAGCTTGAGCAGCTACCTTGGGCAGCATTGTAGTTGCAGTTTGGGGCCGCCCTTCTTGAAAGAAATTTCTACTCAAGGCTTCTCGTCATTAGGACACTCGGACAAACCGATGGAATGCTTTCTTTGGACGTCATAGTATCTCCTCTTTACCCTGATTCTAGCTCTGTGCACGTGGCATTTGGCATGGCATAATTTCTCTGTAAGTCTGGTCTCGAAAGCCGGTGTTGTTGCCTTGCCCGTGCATTCTCCAATTGCCAAGGTGGTCTTGCAGTGTCGCAGGCAACGAAAGAAGATTAGATAAATGATCCAGCCCACACAGCTGCTCGCCTACTGTGAGTAGGGCAACCCTATTTGAAGAAGAAAGTGCTTCAGGTTGTGGTTTCCGCAGCGCCACAATAAAAAGAACACTGTACAAACACGATGTTTCCCAATACGACAATGTCATCCTTACAACAATAGTGATTTTCGTGTTGGCTGAACTGTATGGGAATAGGATCCTTTGTGTTCCAATCGTTACTTGTGTATATTTGTGGTGTTGTTATTTCGTGTTATGTTGAATGTGAGGCGAATTCTTTTTGTACATTTGCAGAATTTGGTGGCATTTGGACTACAGCATGCGTATTGCGTCCATATTGCCATTAATTGTACTTTATTGGCACTGGTATAACGTCCATGTTTGCTATTTTAATTATATTTGAGTGCGAAATTAAAGGGCCTGGAATGTAATTCCAATGGATCCAAAACATTCAAGTTCTTTGAATTCCTTTATGACACAGTTACCGTGATACTCCGACTATACCTTCTTTTGGATTACAAATTCGGCCGATGCATAGGCAATGTGGGGCAAATACAAGGTGAAATGTCCTATGTGTTTGACTACATATCGTTGTTGAAGGGAGCATTACGAATGTTAACCCCAATAGATTGCTCATGTCCATGGATAATTTAGGGGTTGAAAGAGGAAGGAGCACGAGGTTTTGGGGGTGTCATGTTTCTGTAAGGGTAGGGGGTGGGGATGTGATGCTACAGGCATGCATTATATATATAGATTCATTTTGAAGGTCTGTAATGTAGGTCATATGTCTTTTAAGGGATGTATAATTCATCCTTTTTCCAGGTTGTAATTACTTTTATTTTTTGTATTTTTGTATTTTTTGGACCAAATAATTTTAAAAAACATTCTGATGACTACGTACTGTAATATGATCATTGTAACCCTATCACTACTCTATTGCACCTTATTGACATAATATTGCCATTATACGCATGTTTATTGTATAGTTATTGCTGCTATATCGCCACTCAACTGGACACTGATAACTGTATACGCACAAAAACAAAAAGAGGCATCATCATTCCATAAAATCCTATTTCCAAACTTACAATACAACAAACATTCGACAAACAAAAAAAAAAAAAACAACAACAACGCCACCCCATCGTTACATAATACAAAAAGAGGCGACCTCATAGTTCCATTTCCCTGCTATTGACAAATTCGAAGTTGCATACTCTTCAAGTGCGGCGACCACGACCCATGAATTTCATGACCCCGGCCACATTCATGTTGTCCCAGTTTCCTGCCGGGATCCACTATTTTTTGCAAACTTACGAAATAGTTCGAAATCCGCTTTCCACTTCTTGTTGCTTCAACTTGGCCATTCTTCTGATTCCTTGAATACTAATTGCAGTGGCTGGGGCAATTTCAATTTTTCCTTTCATTGCCTTTATATGTAGGAGTGCATGCGGGCATGATAACGAGAGCGAATTGTGCGGTTTTTTATGACACCCCATCTAGCTTGGCCCTCCACAATTTTTGAAACTATGTCTGCATGGAGATTTTTCCAAAACATTGTATTGCCTCGACATTGCTGCATGCCATGGACCAGTCTGCAGTGAGTGAATTGGGTGACTTGCCTTCTGTTTCAATCTTCCCTCCTTCAGTAATTGAAAGCGTTTGGTTTGGTGTGAGGTTGGTCCATGGTCTTCGATATTTATTGTAGGCTGCTGTATGACTTAATTGGAAAATAAAGGATGGAAGTGAGGCTGATGGGGAAGGTAATGGCTGCAGTTAATGTGATTGCCGTTTTCACCTTCCATTCAGCTAGGTTGATTAATAAATAGGCAGCCTTTTCAGCATGGAGTAAATGACAGAGTTATTGGCGGGAGGAATGAGGGGGAGTAATTGGCGGGAGGGATTGGAGGGATGGCGGGGAGGATTGGGGGAGTCTTAGGCGGGATAGTATTGGGCGGGAGTTATTACCCACTTCACTGTATGACTTTTTCTAATATATTTCTATTTTGGATGTTCCGAACTTGGTAATTTTCCCATTATGTAATTTCAAATAAGGGATTTGCCTATTTGCCTAATTGACCAACTCATTCAAATTGACCAATATGGTTATTGTCTTATTTCTCATTTCAGCAATCTCAATTCGTTTCCATGTTTCCATTTTTCATATTTTCCTATTTTCCATGTGTCATCCAATTTTTCATTATTTTTGCCTATTTTTCCTATTTCCCATTTTCGTATTTTGCAATTTCCCAAGTTTCCTTTTATACTATTTCCAGTTTTCCAATCTTTTCAATGTTCCTATTTTCCATTATGTAATTAAAATAAGTTGCCTACTTTGCCTAATTGAGAAAGTAAATAAAATTGTCCAATATGGTAATTGTTTTATTTCCCATTTCCACAATTTCAATTCGTTTCCAATTTGCCTATTTTCCACGTGTCCCTGTTTCCTTTCCATTTATCCAATTTTCAGTTTTTGTCCAATTATCCAATTTGCTTTTTTTCCAATTGCCCTATTTTCTAAGTTTCCTTTTTTCCTATTTCCAATTTTCCAATTTGCTAAATTTCCTTTTGTTGTATTTCCAATTTTGCTATTTTCAAAGTTGCCTTATTTCCTAATTTCCAATTATCCAGTTATCCAATAGTCCAATTTTCCAATTATCCATTTTCAATTTTCCAATTTGCGAATTTGCCTATTTTCCAAGTGTCCTTTTTTCCTATTTCCTATTTCGATTTTTCGAATTTTCCTTTTTTCGAATTTTCATGTTTTCAGAGTTTCCTTTTTTGCCTTTTGCCTATTTTCCAAGTTTCCTTTTGTTCAATTTCCAATTTTCCAATTTTCGAAGAGTCTTTATTTTCCAATGACCCAATTTTTGAAGTGTCCTTTTTGGCTTTTTCCAAATTTCCAAGTGTCCTTTTATCCTATTTCCTAGTTTCCTGTTTCTAATTTCCTTTTTTCCTATTTCCACTTTTCCAAATTCCAAGCTTCCATTTTTTTGTATTTTCGTATTTTTGTATTTCCGATTTTCCAAATTTCCAATTTCCAATTTCCAATTTTGTAAAATTTTCCTTTTGTTCTATTTCCAATTTTCCAAGTTTCCTTATTTCTCATTTTCCAAGTTTGCACTTTTGCTAATTTCTATTTTGCTATGTTCCAATTTCCTTTTCTGAAATTCGCAATAAATGCTTAGTTACATAGTCCTTGTTTGGGTTCAAATCCACACTTTCCAATTCCCATGAAGGTTAGCTTTTTTCCGTTTGTCAGCCCATTTTTATTGTTGTTAATGTAATGCTGTACTGCTGTGAATTACAGCCAACGAGTTAATGGCTACTTTGTGCAATCCCATCAATTGAATGCACCACCTACATACCGAATGTACTTAATATCATTCCTACTATACTCAAGCTTCCTATCAATATTGCAACTTAGCCAACTTCTTCAACCTCAGAAAGGTAATGAGTCGTACTCAAATGCAAACTTCAGTCGCTGGGTGTGAATGTCCCCATCATATTTCAAGATGTCGGATGTACGCCCTCCAAACGAGCATGGCAGTTACCCGGGGGACCAGCCATGACATGTGCCCTTCCCATCTCCACCTCCGACTCAACAATCATGATCCCACTTCTCTGGAAGTGAGGCTGAGAGCAGTGATCCGCTTGACAAAATCGCAGCCGTCAAGCACACCTCCCATATTTGTCTAAGGCAACAGATTGGTGGGAGACTAAAGTGATATTCATGGCAAGTTATGGGAAATTTGGCCAACACGTTGAACAAAGCATATGCTGGAGAAGTGAAGCAAACTTGAAAAGCAAACAGTCGGAGCAAAGAGTTAGAGTCGTTGAAGTTGAATTGGAGAGATAAAGAAAAATTGCCGTCGATAAATTCACCAAATCTGAAGAATATATAGCATGAAATGGTTGAATGTTCAAACAACGGCTTCAAATGGTCGGAGATTACGTCGGTCATCTCACCAGACTACACTTGGAGGAAATTGATGTACCTGGTGTCTGGCAGGTGCTGAATAGGGGTGCTGAGGGAATGGCTCATCATAGCCCGTGCATGCAGCGAGGAGAAAGCCAAGACATTGATCTTTTTCACATGGCCTGTAGTAGGGTAAGTGCTGCTGCAGTCATCATCCACCCGATTACATGGATCTTTGGTGCCTTCGGTTTTCCTTCGCGAATAGGATTGTTAGTTCGGAGGCGATTTGGTTTGCATGTGTCAATGTAGTCGTACTTTTTGGATGTGTGTGTATTGTATGTAGATTCACTTCATATTGCTGTTATATTGCGTGTATATTGCTTAATATTGCCTTGGTATTGTATACATATTGCATGTATATTGCTTATTGCCTTCGTATTGTATACATATTGTATGTATATTGTTTAATATTGCCTTCGTATTGTACACATATTGTATGTATATTGTTTAATATTGCCTTCGTATTGATACATATTGTATGTATATTGCCACCCTATGAGAAGTATTGTGATCATCTCCCTATGGTATTGTACTTATTTGCTTTAATATTGCCTCTACAGTGAAGTATATTGGCCTAATATTGCTATTACATCGTATGTCATGCCATTTGGTCTAATAACAGTCTCCATTTCGTTCAAAGTAATCCTCAATTCAAATATCACGGACAGGACAATTGTTATCCATCCTTATATTACCATGAATTGATGTTTCCTTTTGAAATGATAGTTGGAGTTGCACATCGATTCATATTCACAAAAGGAAAGTAATTCTGTCCCTCAATGAATCGTCCTTCAAAAGAAGGCAGCTTTGAAATATTGGGTACAAAAATGCAAGAGCCACGGTAAATTCATTGGGCTCAAACCACATCTTACAAAACCATGATGATTTTTGGCATGCTTGAAAAGAAGGGTCAAATACAATAGAAAGAAAAATCAATTCAAGCTTGGCCCACAATAACCCTTTTACATCTCCTTCCAACACCAGTGTTTTGCCTGGTTTAGGGTGCCATAAACATGTTTTCTTCCCCTGACTTTAACTAAATGAACTTTAGTTTAATTACTTGTCAGCTCCAGCTAGGTCCTTCTGTTTTCTCTTCTTCCTCTTCTTCTTCTCATGACTCTTAAGAGGCAGTTTGATGTAAAGAAATCCTAAGATTTCCATGTGATGCACACGCAATTGGAATAAATAAACATAACAATAAAGGGATCAGTTCATTAGTGGTTACATTTAATCTTATCTATGACAAATGTAAGAAGAAAAATACAAATTTTTTGTCAAGTCTCATTGGATGGTACCGTAGACCTCTAGCTCCATGCGGAATTTGACAGAAGAAAACTGATTCGGAATCTTTCATATTTGTAACCACTTTGCTTCTTCTCCGAGCAGGAAACAAAAATAATAATAATAATAATAATAATAGTAAACGGTGTGATTTCAATTATTTCAAAACATGTATGTCAAAACGTTTGTTTGACATCATAAGGGCATCTCTCACAGAATTAAGGCCATAAAAGAAACTAAACATGCTATAAAGTCCACATTAATATTTACTTCATCTCCATAATCATAATATTGGGGGAAAAAAACCACGGACAAATACATGAAATGTAAACCAACTCGGTACTGACTCTGAGATTGTGTACATACAACTTGGAACAACCAAACCAATTCAAGCTAAGCCATCTCATACGTATGCCTACATCAAATAACAGTGTATGGTCATCTTCTTTAGAATATTGCAATCAACACTTGGTTGAGACGGACCTGCAAAAACAACTGGCACACACATATGACACACATAGATAGAGTTTATGAATGGGAGTTCCAGAAACAAAAATTATGAAACAGGTTTAGGTTTTTTTGGGTTCAACGACAACAATCGGAATCTCAATCCAACCAGAATAAAGTATAACAGGAGAACATTTCTCCGTTCCACAGTGAGCATCAATGGGAAGGAAACGACGCTAAAGTACTTCTATTTAACATCAAAACATGGGAGTGCATAATCATATCAAAACAACAGCTCAAGAAAATTGCAAACGACACTACCAAGTCTTTAAATTCAAGATTAGAACACAACAAACAAGCTCATTTTAAAGTAGGAAGGCTACACTGAAAACGGGTCCAGTTTAAGAGTCTGCGATTGTAACCTCCACTTCCACACCAGGTTCAATTGTAATGGAAGTAATTTGCTTGACAACATCAGGTGAACTGAAGAGGTCAATCACCCTCTGTGGACACGCAACTCAAATCTGTCCCATGTGTTGGTACCTGTAAATCACAAACACAATTTTAAAGATACATACATAACCCTTTAAAATGCAAATGCAGAGACATTGTACTTCAATAACTGGTCAGTTATGAATAAACTACAATAAGCAACAAATTTTACTTATGTAACTTGGCACAAACAAGGGAGCTCCAAACTCTGACTAAATGGCCATAAAAGCCATAAGCCTTGCCCATAAAGCCATAAGTTAACAACAAGAACATTTCACAGTGAAACATACCTTCACCACAAGGAGACTTCCTGGTGGTAATGTGCAGAAACCTTGGTTGGCATTCTCACGGGTCCCTTAACCCGGAGCCTCTTGTCCTTTGCACCACGAACCAGATCAGTGCAAACTATCAATATAACAGGTGTCAATCCAGCAGGCTAAAGAAATATTCAAACAAGAAAAATTTTAATTCTTAATAATCTAAACAAACTTAAAAACTTTATGTAGAGAAAGTGGTGGATAAAACCCATTTCAACCACGTCACACAGCAATTAAGTAAAACTGAAATTGAACACAATGAAGCTCATAAAAACCAGAACAATCATGCAGATTAAGAAGACAATTCGGGTATAACAAACCAAATTTATTGAAAATTTCTTGCAGTGGTTTCATGTTACACATATGACACACCAGCTCCTAAACACAAATCCATCAATTTTTTCAGCAACAAGACACAAGCTCCTAAATAAATAAACAAACTCATAAAAACCCTAGTTGACCAAATGCAAACTCATAAAAACCCTAGTCAATTCACACACATGAAGACATTTACCTCATAAATATGCCTCCCCCCTTAACCCCTCTATTGCAAGCTTCAGTCGGTAATATTTGATCTTCGACGGGTCAATTTTATGCACCGAAAGCCCAGCACTGAGATGCTCGATGAATTGAACGGTCATGATTCCGCAAGACGTACTGTGAGGCCAATAAGTTGGGAAATTACAACTGCATTTATGTAAAATTTTGAAAAAAATGAACTAAATTCACAATTCTTACCCATCTCGTTGTTGTGGCACACCTCCAATGACGCAAACTGAGAAAGGCGTAAACCTCGACATCTGCAGCCCCTTTTGCTTCACCTCTTCAACCTCAGAATCTTCATAAAACTTCATATTGTACAGCACTCGTGCAAGCGTATCGCTCACAGGTTGCAGAAGTGTAACCAGCTTCGAAGATTTGGTATAATCAACATATGAGTCATACACAGTTGCAGTATGTCGGACGAAATCAATTTCGATTGCAACCCAATGGGACTCTCGAAGATTATATGGAAAATACACTCTGCGGACTTTTTTCCAAGCTTGGGCATACCCGTGTTGCCACGTACCGTGCACAAAGTGATGTACATTCTTCAGCTTGTTGGCTGGAAGGTCACTGGTGTTTGAAGCTGCTGCCTTCTTCGATCCACGTGTCTTGCCAGTCGCTTTTAACGGCTCTAGAAATTGCTGCAGACATTGAAATGAAACCATATGACATAATGACGAGGGAAAGCAAATGAAGCAGTGAATGTAACATGGTAAAAAGTGTACCTCCAAGGCATAATCTGCCGTTGTCCAGTCGGTTCCAAATAGCAACGGATGAGAGAGTTGCCGTTTCCGGATAAGAAAGGTTGCCATTTCCAGGTGCTGACAGTTGACATATAATATCAGCACATTTTCAGACAATTGTACACTTAAAAAAGGTGAGAAAACAATTGAATGATCATAATAAAGTAGAGATTTGTGTATTCTTACCCTTGAGCTAATCCATGCCGTTTCATCGATGAGTTTGTAGAAAAAATCAGCGCCCACTGAAAATGCTTCAAGCTGCACCTGCACACTAGAAAAGGCAAACTTGGAACGGTTACGTTTGTACTCATCTCATAAATCTGACTTTGTTCATGACAAATATACACATGCATATTAATAAGATGACAATTGGATTTCGAAGGTCAAGAATGCGAACCTGATATCGTTTTTCCAGGCAGTGCAAAAATCTATTACTGCCTTCACATCTTCAATGGGCAGCGGTTTTGATGGATCAAAACATGGCGGGGTTGCAGTCGCATCCGACACACTCATTGTCCTCTTCTTCCTCAAAGGATCAGTAAATGGACTTAATAATGTCTGGGCCGGGCGCTTCTGTCTACAGCCTTTACCTTCCACTTCTTTTTTTTCAACACTCAAACTACCTTCTTCATCAGCAGCCATACTAATTGTAGGTATACTTGGAGGATTCATCGGACCTCCCGATGGCACTCTGTCAGCTATTTTCCAATCTTCTAACAAAAACATAAGTCTTTGGCAGATTTCGTCACACCCGGCCACATCTTCCGGGGTAGGCAGCTTCTCGGATTGTGCATGCGCAGCTGCTTCATGCACTTGTAAGTCAGGAACTGGAGTGACCATGGCTGCGGAAGGTTCGGCTCCATCACTGGGGACTTGTGTTGCCATTGCTGCCGATTTTGTGGGCGGAGTGACATTGTCATGTAATGGCGACAATTCATTGTCACCTCCTTCATTCATATGAGGAGTATCGAGGTCCTCATGTCCTTCCCCAGCTTCTTTCACCCCACCATCTTGTTTTCGCAGCTGCTCTAGCTCCAGCTTAAAATAATGCTCCATTGATGCCACTGTGTTGCGCAAATCCTCCACACACTTGTTATTTCTTTCAACTTTGGATGACTCCCTCCGTACCATTTCTTCCAACTCATGCACTCTGTTGTGAAGCGCTCGATTTGAACTGACAACTTTGGCGAATTCATCCTTCATCCTTTCAAAGTCACGCTTCAAAGTGCGTAACTCAGTGGACGCCATTTTACCCTGCAATCAGTTATAATGCAAGTGTTACAATATTTCCAAAATATATCGGAACAAAACAGCAGTTCATTTCCTATTGTATTATGACATATATATTGGAATATTGGAAAATAGGTAATGCTTGCCTTAGAAGACGACGGAAGGCTAGCAGTTTCTTCAATGTCCTCATCTTTTTCTTCTACAGAGGCAGACGTGCTGGTTTTTTGTTCAGCGTCATCGCCAACCAACTCAACAAGTTCTTCAGTGTTGTCAACACTGTCACCCCAAGTCCAATACGCCTGCTGCTTGTCAATTACAAATGGCCGGATAAGTTGCACATCAACCTGCAATTTACGCAGACAATAGAAATATCAGTAAACTTATAAAATTATATTTTCATATGCCTAAGATTATCATTACAAACTGAACTAACCTCACGGTTTTCGAAGACTTGGCTCATGAGCTCATAAAAACGCGGCAAAGTGTTGCTCCTCCAATGTAGTATACGAGGGATGTAGGCATTATGTTCGTGCACCACCAAATGTAGTGCAGCCAACGCTGGAAATACCTCATAAGCCCAAATCTGGTTTCAGGAAGAAAAGCCTTAGAGATCACATGCTATAACCTTAAATAGGGCATGAAAAGCCAAAAATACAATAAAGAGAAATAATTAGCATGTATTAATTGTAGTCTAAACCTTGCCCTATGATTGACAAAGGTTAAACGAAATACAGCCATGTAGAGATGCATAGAGGCTAAAAGTGGTTCGGGCCACATTAGTCATTAGTGTAAGAGCATTCAACACAAATCAGGAAAAACAGATTATTTCCTAATATCCAATATCCCCCACTTACATAAAGGGGTGAAAATGTAAACTTGTTTTTCTGACAACTTATTTCTATAATGAGGTCATTAGTGTTAACTTAGGGTTGTTGATAGAAAAACACGGGGCTCATCATCAATATTAATGATATAATATTCAGCAAAAACAGAATAATATTACTAATTAAATAAAATAAAACCTTCTGTCCATTTTCTATTCTTGAATTCCCTTCTACCCCTGACCCCCTCCCTTGAATGTTTCTCCCCTTTCCCATCAATTTTTTAACTTTGCAAATTATTATATTTCTTTGTAGAATTCTTTTTTTAAATACCACAGCCGCCCAGAACAGCCACCCAATTTGCTCTCTCTCTCTCTCTCTCTCGCTCTCTCTCTCTCTCTCTCACACAAAATATCTATCAACACACACACACAAACACAATATCATTAGTCAAAAGAATCTGTCAAAAAACAATAACAGTGGACAGAGTTCCTTTTATTCGTCTTCATCCTTCAACAACTAAACCAATCAATCCCCCAAATAAGTAATAATTACAGAAAATAAACATGAACAAATGATGTTTTAGCTCCTCCAATGCAGCTCTCAATTTCTCTCTCTCTCTCTCTCTCCCCCATTACTGTTTTAGAACCCATTACTGTAAACAAATGATATTTAACTTCAACAGGAATCGAAATGTGCTCACCTGAAGTGCAAAGGCAAACCCCTTTAGGTGGTACTCTCTTGGTCTACCGTTGTCTTTACTTGCTTTTCAGATTTTTTTGTTTTCGAAGCTTTTTTCGGCCCTTTCACTCGCTGGTAATCTGCACACAGTGCCCTCAGAAGTGACGCATTTGTCTTCGCATAAGACACAGCACCCCATGGATATTTACCAAAATCTTCAAGGTCTTCGGCCAACTTCAAATATCGCATGTCAATGTGGACATGTTTTTCACTGCCCAACAGCACAAACACAGCGAAGTATACAAAGCCGAGCTTCAATGCATCATCCGCATCAGCGCAGTCGCGGAAGGCTTTTTCTAATTCCAACAGGCTCACTGTTTTATTGTTGCCAAAATACTTCCTTTTCAATGAGCAGTTGTCATTACTGGGAATCGGAATAAAGGGAAGGTTTCCAAACCTTAGCCCTGTGACGACGCAAAATTGCTGGGGTGTGAATTGGATCACCTTATTGCCAACAATGAATTTGATCCCGTTCACTTGGGAAACAGTCTTCGGATCAGCTTTCCTCAGCAACAATCCGTGTACAATTGGCGACGTCCACTTCAGGTCCTCGATGAGTAGGAGATGCCCAAAACAACTCTGTTCGAAGGTTCGTAGCTGTTGCTCACTGAATTTCTCTTTTATCGTACTTATTGCACTCTTTGTATGGGATAGCGCCAATGCTTTTCCTTGGAACTTTTCTTCCTCTCCAATCATCAACTTAATTGGCGAAACCATGTTTCCCTGCACGGCATTATTATTAAGAAAAATTCAGTCCGTTGCAATCTGGACAATAACAAGCAATACACAATTCAACGGCCTATTATAGGATATTAAGTGAAAATTAAACACAAATTACAGCACATGAACCACAATAAATTCCCACACTAAATATGCATCATAAAATGAAACTGAAAACACGCATCACAAACGAACCAATCCTACATGACAAATAGCAACTTGAGGCACTTCGTTATCCATAGCATGAAAATCAATCAGACCAATAGAAGTTTCATCCAAGCATGAAGTAATTCACAGTTAAAATACAGAAATTTGCAATCTCTCTAATTACTAAACTTCACAAAATCAGTCACAGGTTAGTGAAATTATCCTTTTCAAATCAAAACCGTACAAAAAGACAAACTAGTCAATAACAAATACAAAACCTACCTTAGAATCACTCGTTTTGCACACAGACCCGAATTGGAAATCGCAGAAACACCTAAACAAAAGCTGGAATTCTGTCTGTGAGAGGATTGAGAATGAGGAGGAAGTATGTGAAAAAACTCAGAACCGAAACCAAGAATTTGGGTTTTTTGAGGCCCTGAAAGAGCAGAGAAGAAGAGAAAGACGTCCATTGAAAACATGAAAAGAGAGGGAACTGAGAGATTGTTGAAGGGAGAGAGCATTTAACGAAGCAACCCTCTCTTTCACCTTCAAGAACCCCCTCAACAAACCCTAACATTGACTGCAAAGAGAGAAAGAGAGAGTGCCATTATATTTTCCCACTTCCTTCTTTTATATTTTCTCTTCACAAGGCTTCCTAAAAAATGCCATTAAACTACTTGTCTCTCACTCAGTTTTTCATGTGTCCTTCAAATTACTTGTCTCTCACTCCAATTTCTGTCTCACAAGGATTTAAGTCTTTACCTTACATGATCATTGACAATTAACTAAATATCTACACACACATCTCCAAACACCAGATAATCACGACAGCTGAAGTTACAATAGGAATGTGCAGTAGCAGAAGCCTAATTCAGAACAATTCAACAACAAGACATCAGGAAACAATTTATTGACTTCAACGTATAATGTCATGGAACATCCTATCAATTAGTGGCAACCACAATCATGACTCCAATATGCCCTCCTTTCAAATATAAGGAAATTAATGAAATTGGCACCATCCCTTCAGTTTTTCCTTAACAAAATCAGAGGTTTGTATGTATTGTATGTGTTATCAATATCAAAGATAAATGAATAAATAAACCATCAAAACTGTAAAAAATGTTTCTTACACATGTACAATTCAAAAATTAAAAGTTCACCTCATAAACAGAGTTGTCTAACTATCCATACACAAAAAAGACAAGCAAAAGCTTAAAGAGTTAGCTTATAGCAAAATCCATGGCCCCATTTCTCTAAACCACACCTGCTGGTGGCATGTTCCCATCTTCACTCATTTCCCACTTTGTTTTAAGCATACAATGATCAAGCACAAAACAGCAAACTTTTAAAGAACTCATATTACACCACATATGGTTCCTTGCCCTTTGTTTAGACATTGAATATTCATCCCCAAACTGAAATTCCAAATAATCACAAGAGAATATGAAAAACATAGAGAACTTATCCATATCCAATATGCAAGCCCTTAAGTTAGCAAACAGAGTTAAAGCAAAACCAATTTTAGTGAAACCCCTAAACCCTATACCCATTTCAGAAAACCCACTAAACCAATTTCAGAGAAACCCCCAAACCCTAAACCAATTTCAAACAACCCCGTCAACCAATTTCAAACAACCCCGTCAACCAATTTCAAACAAACCCATAAACCCTAAGCTGTAAAAGAATTCCGACGAACAGTACCTGTTTGCTGTGAATGATGGCGTTGTTCTTCGATGCACAGATTTCGCTGGGAGAGGGAGACAGAAGCGACGAGAGATGAGAGAGTTAGAGCGGAGAGACGAGAGAGTATAGCCGGGCGACGAGAGAGTTAGAGCGAGAGGTCAATTTCAGAAAATGTGTTAGGAGAGCAATAAGGGTACAATAATTTTCTATTTATAGTTGATAGTTATAAAAAAATTAGGAAGGGATGGTATTTTTAGTTAAACTTATTAAAGGGGTGGCACTGAGGGTCATTTCCCAAAAATTATTCTTGAGCTCATTATCCACTGTTCAAAACAAAACTGAACTGCAAAACAAATTGTTAACTCCAAATTAATAACATAAGAAATACTTAAAACCAGCTGCCCAACAGAGGAAGATGATCTTGTAATCGGCTTTTAGAAGGACATACTCGGGCTTGATCTGTCACACAATGATGCCCTTATCATCAACATTCAAATTGCACAAGCAATGATTGACCATATCCATGTAGACAAAGGCAATGCAACCAAACATACTACAACTTTTGGTTGTCTATCATATGGGCATGGAGACAAGTCCGCCAGATCATTGACCGGCTTCAATGGATCAACTTCGATTACCATGGGCACAATAGACTTAGATGTCTATTCTCCACCGGTAATTAGCACACAGAATTTCATGATCAACGAGACAATCTCTCCCTACAATGGCATCTTAGGCAAACCACTAGAAGGTCAAAATTGGCATGTAGTTCTATGTACACCAAGTCATGTACTAGTCTCCTCAATTTTAATAAAATTCCTTTAAAAAAAAAATCAATAAGTCTAATAAATTTCCTTTCTTTCAACTATATTGTCCTATACTATATTTCTTAAACCCTTTCACACTTAACAATCCAACAAGTGGAATCAAAGCTTCATAATTCCAACATAACCAACCTGAAAATACAAACACAGTTAAAATAAAAGAAAGTGCAAGCGCACCTATCATAAAACAACCCATGGTTCAAATCTTAGAAAGTAATCGTCCACATACAGCTGCGAATGGCTGATGTGACAAATGAACTCCAATATTATTTCATGCAAATTAAAACACTCAAAAAATATCCAGTGAAATTAATGAACATCAACTTTTGGGTATTATTTGATTTGTACAAAAGGCAAGCCACTAAAAGATCAGTCAGGCGATTAAGTTGGGAGACAATAAGCACAGCTTCTTCCAACCCCAAATTGGGTAAATCTTCAAACGTCGAACTTTTTTCTGCAAGAAGTATAGAAGGACAAAAGCAATTATTGAATGAGATGTGAATGATGCTTTACAGCCATTAACAGAGATGTTAATGAGAAAAATTTATGGAACACAAGTGCAATCCAAATCATTAAGTTTAGTAAAGTCATTGCAAGGATAAGAAAGACTTGCTTATATTTGTTACATCTCTCGTTGGCAAGCAGCATTCTTGGATAATCCACACCTCCTTCTAGTATGGACTCTGTAAATTGCTTTGAAACATTCTCCAATTTGTATCTTTGTAGTTTAGTAAGGTGCTCAACACCCTCTAGCAATGTCTCTAACATTAAGCACTTATCGATGTTTAAGAAGTAGAGATACATCACCCCTTTCTTTATAGTTATCTTATTTAAGAATGAGAAATTCAACACCTCCAAATACCTAAGCTTCACAAAGCCTCTACTGAAACATAACTCTTTCCTATAACCTAGGAATTATCAACGCAAAGTGAACGTAGAGAGGGCAATGCTTCAATATGAGGCAGTGAATCTTCCCCAAGTCTAGACCCACCCAGATGTAAATATGTTAGACACTGTAGTGAACAAAACCAAAGTGGTACCTTTTCCAGTTTGCCGGTCAACTCAAGTCTATCAAGGTAGGGGGGCGGTGAAGACAATAGGTCTACTCGAATAAATTCCTGGCCCTCTCCTACAAGAGAAACTCTCATGCAACGGGGATAACACTTTGTTCTATCCCGGCCAATAACGCAATGACACGTAGGATCACTACAAGAAAATAGGGCCTAGTTGACACTTCATAGTTGACGCTTGTTCAAAAACCATCAACTATTCTACTAAACCTTGACACTTTTTAATAAACGTCAATTATATACCAGTGTTTCGTGACATTTGAATATAAAAAAAAACGTCAATTAAAGGCCTCTATACCTGACACTTCTTAATAACCATCAAGGAAACCCCCTTATAGTTGACGCTTATTTTAAATAAATAAAATAGTAAATTTGGCTTACACCCTTCAAATTCAATTTGCCGTACCTAAAACCCTTCACTTTTTGTTCCTATAAATAATACCCAATTTGTATAAGTAAAAACCCATGACTAGGATCCAACTTAGCAAGTTACCTAATTAAGCATAAAATCTGATTTATTGTACTTTTCAGATTCCAAAAATACCCCAAACTAAGCCATTATTGCATTTTTTATATTAATGTAGGAATCAATTTGGAAACAGTTTTTAATTGGATTGTATATAATGACAGATGTTGAATTTGGAAAGATCTCCAAATGGTTGTAATGGATGTAGGAATTAATTTTGAAACATTTTAAAAAAAATTTAACAATAAATTCAAATTTAGGTAATCGGTTTGTTTAATAAAATGTTTATGTTATTTTCTTTTTATGAATTATACATGACTAATAATCCACTTTATAATTGTTTATGAATAAAACTGTACATACTAATTATGTTGAAAAAATAATGTACCTATTACTTGTTTGTTTTATGAAAAACATAATTTACCTAGTATGAAAAGTGTACATAATTATCTATTCCAAATAATGTACCTATACACATTTACAGGTATATTGTAAAATAATTTACTTGTGGGTAAATAATGTACCTATATTTTATATAAATTATTGTGTACCTATTTTTAATTATGAAAAATTACACAATTACAAAGTAACTGACTTTGTTTTGTTTTGTTTTTTTTTGGTAAATAATATACCTATATTTTATAGGTATATATTTATATTATATTTTTCATAGGTACATTATTGGATATGTAATTTATATATTTTTTGTTTGTTTGTAATTTTAGGGGGCGAGATGTGAGAGGGAATGACAACTAAAAGAAATGGGGTGATTGATATGCTATTAATAGGGAGTATATTAATTACAATTATGGCAGTTAATGAAATGCTTGAAATAAATTATAAATAAGATATGAAGTTTAGTGGCAATGATGTAAAAACATAGAAATACTGCGACCTCTTATATCTTATTAGTCATTTAAATTTGAAATTGGGTTTTACACATAGATTTATAGAGTGATGGGTATATGTCTAGGAAATAGAAAATGTAGGGATCTATATTGGACAAGCCGAGAGAGTTTGCGAGAGTTTGCTCCAAATCTTCTAAGTGTTCTGCCCTAATCAACTCGTTCTTTTTATCTTTTGTTTTGTTGTCGAACTTGTTCTTTTTATCTTGGCCATCACCTCGTTCTAAAACCCAAATTGTAAATTGGAAATACAAATCAAAAGAGGAAAACGTTTTGAATCGCAAACCTTAGTGGGTTCTTGCCTTTGGTGTTTGGGGCGGCCCTGACAGCCCTACACTGTTCCCTTCATGTACGGAACAAAACCTTTCTTTTTATGCTATCGACAAAGCAATCTCCAGCATAACATCATGCATCTTATATGTGCGGTGGTATTCTTGATACCTTTCCTGTAGCACGTTACCAAAAATGAGTTCCATAACATAGTTGTTTGCAACTTCTTCTGGTGTTACCCCTTTGACATGTTCAACAAATCCTTCAGCGATCCACTTATATTTAAGATCACTGTATCTTCGGGGAAAAGGGAACAATATAGAAAGCATTGCTTCAGCGGTATGGAAAATCATTAAAACTAAACAACAAGATGCTTTTCATAGGTTCTAGCAAAGGATTGTTTGCTAAATGCCAATTTAAGCTGTTGTAGACTGTACTCCATTATGTAAGTGACTTCTTAGAAGACATAAGACCACTCAAGGCTACGATTGCAAGAGGTAGGCCTCCACACTTTTCCACAGTTCTTGAGCTAATGGCAGAATTTCTGGTGAACAAGATTTGTTAGGGTAAACTTGAGAATGCTTTCATGCTAAAGAGCACCCAAGCATCACTCCTTTCCAACGATCGAATCTTGTGAACATGGCCTTCAACTCGAAAAGAAGAGGATGCTATGTCTTCTGTTCTAGTTGTAATCAAGATTTGACTTCCAAGTTGTGTATCTGGAAATGAAAACCTTATATTCTTCCAGAGATGGATATCCCACACGTCATCCAATACAACTAGGTACATTTTAGTCTCCAAGTAGTTCACCAAAATCTCTAGCAATTCATGACGACTTATGGAATTCATGTTTGTAGGGACCTCTTCCTTCCTTGCTTTGTGGAATTCTTTGATCAATCTTTGTCGATTGCCCAACATCATATGACATTATTATCGGCCAAATGACACTCACGGGAATCAAGGTGCATCTCTCTCCCATATGTTGCTTATGAAATTTCCGACCTACTACGGTACGTGGGTAATTAAGGGAGATTAGCTCAATGCACGGACCTGCTATGCAACGGCACTCAAGTTAGTGGCTCCCAAACACCCCCACGATAGCATTTTTTGTGGTAAGAGTGCTGAACAGCACCGAGCCGCCAAATGATCCCAAGGACAAGACACTTATGGCACATGCCCAACTAGTTAAGGATCTGGAGACGATGGTCTTACACGAGAACCATCTTGACAGATGTGTAAAGATCGGCATTGTATATGCTAATGACAACCCCCCTATCTAAGTTTATCCAATTCTTGTGCCGCCTTCTTGTGCCCCCGCTTATAAGCCCATACGCTAGAAGCGATGATCGTATGATGCCAAACGGTATGAAGCCTTGAAGACCGAAGTCGACAAGCTTCGCGCCATCGGCTTTATCCGAGAGGCTACCTATTCGGTATGGTTGGCAAACTCTGTAATGGTTCAGAAGGCAAAAGGTGAATGGCGAATGTGCCAAGACTATACAGATCTCAACAAGGCTTGCCCAATGAACAGTTTCCCGTTGCCACAAATCGATCAGCTCATTGACGCCATGGCCAATCATGAGCTACTCAGCTTTATGGATGCCTAACGGACAAAGGCATATACTACTACAACTTTATGCAGTTCGGCCTGAAGAATACAAGGGTAACTTACCAACGGCTGGTTAACCGAATCTTCGCCAAGCACAATCGGCAGTACCATGGAAGTCTATGTTGATGGCATGTGGGTAAAAAGTCAAACTGCCGATCAACACCTCCACAACATATCCTTGATTTTCGGCATTCTGAAAGAATACCGAATGAGATTAAACCCAACAAAATGCGCCTTCGGTGTATCTTCCAGGAAATTCCTTGGCTTTATGATCATCTAACGAGGAATTGAAGCGAACCTTGAAAAAATTAAAGTTCTAATAGATATGGAAAGGCCGAAGACACAAAAAGGACATTTAGAGCCTCACAGGGCATGTTGCAAGCTACCGACAAGTGTGCATCATTCTTCAAAGCTTTGAAAGGAAACAAGCAGCACATAACTTGGACGACCGAATGTGACCTGGTATTCCAAGAACCAAAGGACTACATGAGCAAGGCACCGTTGCTATCCAAACCCCTTCCCAGGAAAGTCCTCTTTCTTTATCTTTCCGTATTGCACACTGTCGTAAGCTCAATATTGATATGGAACTACCGATCTTTTACATCAGCCGAGCATTCTAGAGCATTGAGCTTCGATACCCTCCCCTCGAATAGTTGGCCTTAACTCTTATCATTTCAGCACGAAATCTTCGTCCCTATTTTCAAGCTCATACCATCATCATCTTGACTAATCGACTACTACGACATGTGTTTCAGAAGCCTGAAACATTTGGTCGATTGGTCAAATGGGCAATTGAGTTAAGGGAGTTTGATGTCCAGTTCAAACCTAGGCCGGGGGAGAAAGGTCAGGCCGTTGCAAATTTCATATCTGAATTGACAGCTTCGGTAGCACCAATAGGCTCCGATGCCACAAAGTGTCAACTAGACAAGTCCTACCGAACGGGAGATGCTTCAATCCTGCAATCCCAATCTGGGTCTAACATGTCGACGGGTTGGCCAATCAACAAGGATGCGGTGCCAGTCTTGTCTTAACCACACCCCAAGATTGAATATGCCCTCCGTTTGAACTTCGGAACTTCCAATAACAAGGTCGAATATGAGGCCCTATTAGCTGGCCTTGGGCTAGCCAAGGATAAGGGAGCTAAACAGATCAGCATACACAGTGACTCCTAACTCATTGTGAACCAAGTGACGACCGACTTTGCTGCCAAAGATTCGTCCATGTTAGCCTACTTATCGGTAACACATCAACAACTTCAAAAATTCTCTGCCTACAAGATTCGGCAAATACCAAGATGATAAAATTGGGTGGTAAATTCCTGCGAAAATCCTGACTCAACCGAGCACGGCAGATTTTGCGATGTGTGCCATACGATACGCTGACACATGGATGTCCCCCATCTTCTCTTACCTGACGAATGACATCCTGCCAAGCGACAAAGCACAAGAACGGAAGATACAATACCGATTGACAAGGCATTGGCAGGGCTATTTTTGGCCAACCATGCATCGTAATGCAATTACTCAGGTAAAAATATGCGACAAATGCCAAAGATTCAGCAACACACCCTAGGTACCTGTCAAGCCATTAACACCGATTGTAAGCCTATGGCCTTTTACCTAGTGGGGACTTTATCTCATTGGCCCAATGTCACAAGGAAATGGGCAGGTCAAATACGTAGTGGTAGCCGTAGACTACTTCATCAAGTAGGTTGAAGCTAAAGCATTGGTGACCATCATTGCAGCAAGGACAGAAGATTTTGTCTGGACTCACATATGCTGTCGAATATGATAGACCAATAAGAAGGTCACACGTGGAAAATAGGACGCAATCAGTAAGGGAGTGTTCGACACCCCTTACTGCCAAACGCAACACAAAACCTCTTACCCATCATTTCTTGCTGGGACACATGGAACCACCATAGGCAATATCCACAGTCCCACATCAAAGTTTCACTCAAAATGCACACCTCCCAAGACTTATAAAAATGGGCACAAGTCCTAAAAAAGAGGTAACTGAGACTTTTGGTAATTCAGCCATTACTTTGTCCGAAGTACTGTATATTCCGTACTTATTCTTACTTAAGCATCGGAGAGCTTTCGGCCGATACCACATCAGTGCTTAAGGGCTTACCGAGTAGAAAGTGTCGAAGGTCAAAACATCACTAAGTTACGCCCAAAAGTACTTAACCATTTTTAGCATCAACATAAACCAAATCATTAGTTGGATAGGATCCGTATTTCAGATCAAATTATGAATGCTTCACTTGCCTAACTCTTGAATATTATAAGATCAATATCCTCGGAGCCCACAAACTAAAACAGTTACCAGTTTATTAATTAGTTTGGAATACGGTACCGCTACAGTGAGTGACATTCCTTTTCTGATGATGGAAAGAAGTTAATAATCTATATTATTTAGCCAATCTGAAAGTACAACCACAATTAACAATTAACAATTAACATACAGAGCAGCTGCCAATTACTGAAGCGACAGATGCAAACTCAAATATCATTACATGCAAATTAAACACACAAAAAATATATATCAACTGCAACTTATGAACATCAACTTGGGTATTATTTGATTTTTTTTTAAAGGCAAACAAGAAGCCGATTGAGATCAGTTGTGGGCTACGCATGTGGTTAACAGGGCAATCCTACCCCAAATTTGACTTGTTTCTGCAAAATATATAAAATGACAAAAGCAATATTGTGAGAGTTTTTCTATTTAAACTCCACACTTTTCTTTGTTCACCCTGTATTCTAAGTTCACCCCGACTTCTAATTCAAATATTCACAATTTCTAAGAAAATCTCACTTTCTTCGAAAATCTCACTTTCTTCCTAAACTATCCCTAAATACACACCTAGCAAAAATAAAAATAAAAAATCATCAACCTCACACCCCACACCCCACTATCTTAACCTTCATTTATCCGTATATGGTGTGGGTTCATCTACTTGGTCGTTCCATAAATAGAACCTGTTTTTGTTATCACTTACGTTGCCCAAATAAGGGCAGTACTGATCAGGAGAATGGTGGTGATGTCCCAAGTAGCAAAATAATTAACTTGGTAGAATACAAATGACAGACACAAATGAAGATTGCAAGCCACAAACACACGTGGCTAAGAATGGTGCAGATATCCCAAGTTGCTGGGACAACACGGGAACTAGGCAACATTCTATACATACCAAAACGTTGGAAAGCAGCTCTCACGACGACAACCCAATCTTCTCTACCTTGTACTGCTACCCAACCAACCACCCAAGGGTTTTGGTTAATCTGAAACAAGAACCCGCATAAAAAATCACTAGAAACTTTAACCCATAGAAAGATTGAGCAGTGATGTTGAGACATTGATTGGAGGATATCAGAGAGAAGAAGGAAAGAAATCGATTGGAGGATCATCACAAAAAATGATTATCCCCTTTGTGGTTTCTGTACCAATGATGATCAACAAACCCAAAAAGAATTACCCGCATACCATAGAAACATGTTCAGTCCCTAAAGGGGGGGCGATTGGGTTAGGTGGCAGTACAAAGATGGGGATTGGGTTGTGGGAGGTGGTTTCCAGCGGCGTCTTTGAGTTCTTTAATTTTTTAAATAAAAAAAATATTATTCTAAATAAAAAAGGAATTTTAAATCCAGCTCTAAAAAAAGTTATTATTTGTTTTTTAAAAATAACACAGGACATATTTCGAATGGAAGTATTACTAGTTGACGTGGTAGTACAATACCATTCTATAATTTCTCCTCCTTTCTAATCAAATCTCTTTGTTTCGATTTTAAAACCCTCCAATTCTAACTCTAAACTCTTGTCCTAAATACTAACCCAAATACCTTTTAACCCCTTCACACAATCATATGCATATTCTGAAAAACATTTTAATAACACAAAATTTAGTTAAACGTTTACTGATAAATGATTGGTATGAGAGAAGATTTTAATACATGGAATGAAAGAGAGAAGGTTGAGCAACAATAAGTCAAACAAAGTAGGGCAATTATGCTCAATTATGCTCAAATCCGTATACTTCTAGTTTAGTAAGGTATTCAAAACCCTGAGGCAATGCCACTTTTTAAATTTAATGCACACTTGTCCTGAAGAATTTAGAAAAATCTAGAAAAAAGTAAAAACCTCAAGAAATGTCCACCAACTGTAACACCCCAACTCCAAATTTAATTACCCATTTAAATTATTTAATTGAAATTACGAATTTACCCTTGGGGTAGGGGTAATTTGATCATTTTCTTATCCGGAAGGATTTTGGGATACGTAGGTCGTACTGAGATGAGTCCGTAGACACGTAGTGGGCTCAAATCGGATTTGTAACGAAGAAGTTACGATCAAAAGAAACTCAGTAGCACAATCGTAATTATTTCGAAATGGGATTTTTTACAAAAAACAGAAAACTCTCTCTCTCTCGTGCGCTCAGCAGCCCCCCCATGGCTGTTACTATTCATCCGGTGGCTTTTTGGGCCACTACCATCGCATCCGGCCACCGTTTTGGGTGGGTACCGGTCCCAAAAGAACCGGGCCACCTCCCTCTTGCCATTCTGACCATCCTCAGCCGCTGGAACCACCAGTGCTGGCCGGAAATTGCAGAAATCCGAGCGATTTTTCAGAGATTTTTCGGAAGCTCGTTCGGACGTTTCCGGCGACCAAATCTTGCGATCCAGGTATGATTTTCCATCCTCTCAATGTGATCTAGCTGCTGGTTGGGTTATTTAGGATCAATTTCTGCGTTTTGGTGGTTAAATAAGCGATGGAAGTTTTGGCCGATTTCGGACTCCGATTCCGACCACTTCCATTGACTTTTTGGGGTAGGTCCAAGAATAAAAGTTGCTCCACTCTAGGTGCCGATCATGTAGGTATAAGTTTTGCCCGGCGGTTTGGAGATTTTCTGATTGCCTGAATCGCTTTGGACGCCCACGGGCTGCCAGCGCGTGTGGCGGCGCGTGGGCCACTGTTTGGCTGGTCTTAGGCCCCTAAAATACTCATCATGTTGTCCCGAGCACGACGGTATGCTCGGATATAAATTTGGATATCGTTTGATCGTAGAACGGATATCGCATATTGGGCATTATCCGGGTTCGATATGTTCGGACTGTTGGATTGACTCCAATTTAATATATGTTGATCTAGGCATTCCTAGGATCGTTTAGGACGGATTGTGGATCGGAGCCTCGGATGTTATGATTTAATAACTTAAAGTTTATGTTTTACAGTAACCGTCCGATCGTGCGATCGTGAGGGATCCGACCGTTCAATATGGACCAAACTTGTAGGACGTGTATCCTAAACCTTGTAGAACCTATAGGAACTTTCGGATCGGAGAACGGAGGTCGTGGGCCCTGTGGGGCTGTTTGACCAAGTTTGGGTAGTTTGACCCTTGGTTGACATTGAGTCTTTCGAGGTAGTTTTACCTTCCTAGGAGGATTATAATGACCCTAGTGATAGGTCTTGAGCGTTGTTGAGTTATGTTGATTATGTGGGTTTAGGATATTAGTTTATTGTTTTAAACTAGGGGAAATCGGAAATAAATATTATTATTTATTGGGGGAATTATATCTTACTTGTTTACAACAAGTATAATACTGTGACATAATAGAATAAGTTTATGTGATCATGATTATTATTATTACTTCCATCTATAATGTTTTCATGTAATCGATTTCCAGTGGGGGTACAATTGTTGGTTTGGCATTGAGCTCTTGGCTGAGTTCGTTGAAGGCAAAAGTATGTCATTGGATTCCTTTCTGTAGATAATTAATTTGCTGCTCTTGACATGTCATGTAATTGTTTGTTCCTTTTGCTCTGCAGGTCCATGCCTTTTCTGTCTGTGATGACCCTGATTACTTCTACGACTATGTTCAAGGCCTACTTGATGGACTTGAGGCAGGCGTTGATTCACGTGATATTGTTAACATTCAAAATGTGAGGGTCAAAGCAGATTAGACACTATATTGTTAGCATTGAACACATGATTTATGTTGCTTTGTACTACATGTTCTTTTTAGGTTGATCTTACAGTAGTTTGCCTACACTATACAAGTCTTCCATGTGCATCCTCTACAGAAAAATGAAATCCTAGATTGGAAAATCATGGGTTGTAAATTGTAACTATTCATATGTTACCATTATGAGATGATGTGCATATAGTTTTACACAAAATGTATACACTGACCAATTGTAAGTAATTATATATTGTAAACACCAAAAAAGGAAGTAATGTATTGTGGTTTGATACGCCAAAGGTCTGGGCTATGCAATAAACACGTCTCAGGAGCTTAAGTTTGTCACGGAGATTGCTGCGACCACTGGGATTGTTCTGGATCCAGTTTACAGGTTCTGTTTTATTTCCACAACTCTTTGTTTATGTTTCCATCTTTGTGCCATCACCTCCCTTGAGGAGGATAAATGGTTAAATTATTCATAGTTAATTCTGAAGTATGATCTGCATCTCTCTCTCTCTCTCTCTCTCTCTATGGCTTTTCTCTTCTGCCAAATAATGGGATCACTGATTTATGATGTCATTCCTTTTTTAGTGGCAAAGCTGCTTATGGAATGTTGAAAGACATGGCTGAGAATGCAAAGAAGTGGGAAGGAAGAAAGATCCTCTTCATACAAAGAGGTGATACATCTTTTTGTTATATGAAGGCCATATTTTCTGCCTATATTGCCACAAGAAAGATTCTTTTGTAGCTTTTTATGCTTTGTATGTACACCTTCATTTTTAGGAATGATTTTTATTTTTTTCATGCTTCTTGACATTTAATCCTTTGATGGATTCTGTTTTTCATCTTTTTATTTTCCTCACCATGGTCACTTCTTAGACATCAAACATTAATTCTATTTGTCTTCTCACTTTAATGTTAACAATGTTGTATTATGTTATATATTTTTTGGCAGTGTGTAGCTTCCCAACCATAAATAAGATGTTCTTCCCCAATGGTAATTTGCCCATTTATATCTTCTATATCCATTTTTATGACCATTTTTCTTTTTTATGACAGTTGAACCAAAAAGATCCATTCTTTTTGGTTGTCGTTGAGGATCGTTTGCAATTTGGTTCAACTCTTTTTCACCTTGGGACAACATTACTTTCAGTTGTAGAAAAATTACATTGTAGTTATGAGAAGAAAAAAAACATGTAGTTGAGACTATTGTATATCAAACAACGTAATTATTTTGGTGTAATGGAATGAAATTTGAGTTCAATTTACTTGTGAAACTTTGGGGATCTTGAATGTATTATTTTGCTATATTATACAAGAAAAGAATATAATGGGGAATGGTAGTAATCGAGTTGAATTTAATTGAATTAAATGCTGGCCAGATTATATGTGAGACGTACACTGTCACAATTTTCATAAATATATGAGGAACAACTCCCCACAATTTTCATAAATATGTGAGGAACAACTCCCCATTGACGCTTGTGAAATGTGACCAATGCGGCTTGTCACCGATAGATACAATAAGTGACAAAAGATGCCTTGTGCAAAGGTACTATATGTGACAAAACATTCGTCACATATAGAACCCGTATGTGACGAATCGTAAATTCGTCACGTCAAACAATCTGTGATGGGGTATAGGTGACGAACCTTGTGACGCCGAAAATGCATCACATATTGTCAACTGTGACGAATTTACATGTTTAAGTGACGACTACTCGTCTTCACAGAAGGACTGTTTTTTTGTAGTGCCTTTTTTTGGAAAAGGAGGACATGGGCCCGATATTGGGGTGATGTCGGGAATTTCAACAGGATTCGTCTCGGGTTTCGAGGAATTCGGGGCGATTCCTATCACTAGTCCTCTATAAAGCCTTGTACTCATCTATTGTTGAATAAATAAAAGGGAGTTTCACTAATACACCCAAAATAGGGGCTGAAATTATAAAAAAACTGAACATGAAAAACACTTTAGAAACACACCCAAAACCCATTTATTAAACACACTCAAAACCCATTTATAAACACACCCAAAAAATATACAATTGTTGATTTTTGGGTTGATTTTGGGTGTGTTTCTAGATTTTAAACAGTGTTGGGTTCTTTTTATAAATTCATGTCTAGGATTGGGTTTATTTATAAATTTGTAAAAAATCACTTTATTGTTCTTCTCATAAACCAACAAGTGGTATCAGAGCTAAGTTCGGTCACCTTGGGTGTAAGGGTTCGATATAGTCCTCCATCATGTCTACTGCTAGCCAAACTTCTATCCCATTTCCAATCTTTACCGGAGAAAACTATGACTTCTAGAGTATGAAAATGAAGACCTATTTTATGTCTCAAGATTTATGGGACATAGTTGATAGTGACTTCAATAATCTAGAAAATCCAACTGTGCAGCAGCTGAGGCAGCTAAAGAAAGATCAGCAGAAGGATGCAAAGGCTCTATTTGAGCTGCAACAAGCTTTGGATGACACTTTTTTCAAGGACCATGGGAGCCACAACATCAAAGGAAGTATGAGATACTTTGAAGGAGGAGTTTCAAGGAAACGCCAAGGTGCGTGCAGTTAAACAAAAAACTTTAAGAAGAGATTTTGAAAACATTAAAATGAAAGATTATGAGACCACACAAGAGCACTATGCTAGAGTAAAAGAAATAGTCAATCAATTGGTAGCCTATGGAGAAAAAGTTTATGATTCAAGAATTGTAGAAAAAATACTTATCAGTCTCAATGATAAGTATGATCCACTAGTAACTGTCATTGAACAGACAAAAGATATAACTAGTTTGTTAGTGACAGAATTAATGGGCTCTTTGGAAGCATATGAAAAAAAACTGAGTAGGTGAAATGAAAGTCCAGTAGAAAGTGCCTTCCAGTCGAAACTAAATTTACGGTATCAGAAGTGTAAAGATGATGAAAAAAGAATTGAAGAAAATTCTAGAGAAGCAGAAAATGAACCCAACAATAATTGGGAAAATAAAAGAGAAATTGTGGAGAGGAAAGACTATCCTCTGTGTCGAGTATGCAAAAAGACAAGCCACCAAGAGAAAGATTGTTGGTACCGAGGCATACCAAAATGCTGGTACTGCAAAAGATTTGGGCATATAGAAAAAGATTGCTGATTCAAGAAAAACTATCAAGCTAACCACATAGAAGAAAATGATAAGTATGAGCATGTACTATGCATGTCCAACACCATCAGAAAAAGACGACACAAATTGGCATATCAACAACTGCGACAATGACCGGAAGGCAAAGAAACTGCAGCTCAATTATCAGCTGGAGCAAAGAATATGGCATCAACAAGATCAGAATATCTAGCAATATAGCTCCAAGTATGCATTAAGGATGAGTGTTAAATTTAATGCACACTTGTCTTGAAGAATTTAGAAAAATCTAGGAAAAAAAGTAGAAACCTCAAGAAATGTTCACCAACTTTGATAAAGTCAAGTTTTAAGACACAATTGTTGTAGGCATTCTAGAAAAATCCTAATAAAAATCTTGTAATAAGGTAATAATACTATTACATTGTAAACTAGTGGCTATGAGAAGAGAGCAAAGTCCACCGACTTGGACAATGGTGGCAGCCTACATCGAAGATGACATTGTGGCGGTATTCTCACATGACAATGTGTGATCGGCTTAAAGTAAACACATATTGTAATGTATTTTGGTTTTTTCGTATGACAGTGTGTAATTGGCATAAGATACTGCCACAATGACATTCCCGTTGCGTGGAAGTTTTCTCATGAAGGGATGGTGCAGAATTTCTTCTTTAAGAGATGATGGAAACATTCTGTATTATTTAGCGAACCTGAAGTACAAACGCAATTAACATAAAAGAAAGTACAAACACACCGAACATAAAAGAACCCATGGTCCAGTGCTAAGAAAGTAATCATCGACATACAGCTGCCCATTACTGAAGCGACAGATGAGAACTCGAATATTATTACATGCAAATTAAAACAGTTCACACAAAAAATATAAAGTGCAATTTATGTAAAGCCGATCAAGATCAGTCTTTGACTATGCATGTTATTAAGTTGGAGGGACCAATATTAATGTTAGACCACTGATAGTTTGTTACTGATCCGTCTATCTGAGATTAACAAGAAGAACAAGTTCTTACCACCCCCAAACTAGGTGAAGTCTTCAATAGTTGGACTTGTTTCGGCAAAATCTATAAGTAGACAAAAGCAACATTGTAATTAACAAAAAAAACTTCAATGCGTACAATCTAACTTAAAAATGATTTATATGGCTTTACGGCCATTAACAGAGATGTGAATGAGCACAAGTCAATTCAAGGATTAAAGAAAAAAAAAACTTACGTATATCTGCTACATCTCTCCTCGAGGAGCAGCATCTTTGGATGATCCACACCTCCTTCTCGTATGGACTCTGTAAATTTTTTTGAAACATTCTCAAATGTGTATCTTTGTAGTTTAGTAAGGTGCTCAATACCCTTTGGCAATGTCTCTATTCTCAAGCAACTATCAAACTCCAAGCACTGGAGATTTGGCATCACCTCTTTTTCTATAGTTATCTTATTTAAGAATGACAAATTCCGCAACTGCAAATGCCTAAGCTGCACAAAGCCTCTACTGAAACATAACTCTTTCCTAACAGAGGCATTATCGAGGCAAAGATATTGTAGAACGGGCAATGCTTCAATTTGAGGTAGTAAATCATCTTCGAGTCCAGACTGATACAGAAACATAATTGTGAGAGAGTGGAGTGAACAAAACCAATGTGGTACCTTTTCCAGTTTGCCTGTCAAGTCAAGTCTTTCAAGGTAGGGAGGCGGTGAAGACAATGCGTCAACTCGAATAAATTCCTCTCCATCTGCTACCCATAAAAACAACTGGGAAAGGACCTTCATCTCTTGAATTGAGGCACATAGGTCCTTTTCGTCTCTTTCTTTCACATTTGAAATGCAAAGGCTCCTAAGCTGGGTCATTCTTCCAATTAGTCTAATATTGTTTCCTTCTGATTCAAAACTCCCCAAAGTTTGCAATTTATTCATCTTGCTAATACTTGATGGTATTCTTACCCCAGTTACCTTACCGCACCCATCCGTGAAAATGATACGGCCCATAAGTAGATGCCGCAAGTTTAGCAATTTCGAAATCCTTCTTGGAAGTGCCTCTATATTTGTCAAAAAGATGTCCAAGGTCTGAAGGTTGCAGAGCTGTGCTATGGATTCTGGAAGCTCCTTAATTGGAGTTCCTCTCAAATTTAGATATTTTAAATTGAATAAGTACGTTAGTTCTGGCATATTATCAATTGGGGCATCCTCCAAATCTAGAACCCTCAACAATGTAAGGTCAAAACGAAATGTCTTTGAGAAAGAGAATGAGGATGCGCCAGTGACAAAGACAAGAAATGAACGAAGTCGTGGCATACCTGTGCGTGATCCAATTTCTCCATTAGTTGTTTGAATTGACAAACGGAGCACCCTAGTTTCTTCCATTGTTTCACTCCCATCATGTATGGTACAAAACTTTCTTTTTCTGCTATTGACAGAGCAATCTCCCGCATAAGATCATGCATCTTACATCCTGGAAGGTATCCGTGATACATTTCCTGTAGCATGTTACGAAATATGAGTTCCATGAGATAGCTCTTTGCAACTTCTTCCGGTGTTACTCCTTTGACACGTTCAACAAATCCTTCAGCGATCCACAATCTAATTAGCCTTTCGGTGAAGATCACCATATCTTCGGGGAAAAGGGAAAAATATAGGAAGCATTGCTTCAATCGGTATGGCAAATCATTGAAACTAAGCAACAATATGCTTTTCATAGGCTCTAGCAAGGAATTGTTTGTTAGATGCCAATTTAAACTATTGTAGACGTTGCTCCACTCTGTAAGTGACTTCTTAGAAGACATTAGACCGCTTAAGGCTACTATTGCAAGGGGTAGGCCTTCACACTTTTCCACAAGTGCCCGAGCTAATGGCAAAAGTTCAGGTGAACAAGATTTGTTAGGGTAACTTGAGAATGCCTTCATGCTGAAGAGCACCCAAGCATCACTCTTTTCCAGTGGTTGAATCTTGTGAACATAGCTTTCAACTCCAAAAGAATAGGATGCTATGTCTTCTCTTCGAGTTGTAAACATAACTCGACTTCCAAGTTGTTTATCTGGAAATGAAAACCTTATTTTCTCCCAAAGATGAACATCCCACACGTCGTCTAATACAACTAGATACCTTTTTGTCTCCAAGTAGTTCACCAAGATCTCTAGCAATTCGTTATAGCTCATGGCATTCATGTCTGCAGGGACCTCTTCCTTCCTTGCTTTGTGAAAGTCTTTGATTAATCTTCTAAGTAAGTCTTCAATCACGTAAGATTGGGAAATAGTAATCCATGCATAACACTCAAAATGTCTCTTTACAACCTCGTTGGTGAAAACCCTTGCAACTAGAGTTGTCTTCCCTGATCCTCCCATCCCGACCACGGACACAGCAGTTTGGTGTTGCTCTTCGTTCATCAGCCATCCCATTAACATGTTCTTATCGCCTTCAATCCCGACAAGTTCATCCTCCTTATGGTAAATAGAGGACTCCGCTTGGTTCTGCACCCAGCTGCGAATATCCTCAGAAGTACTTTTTCCTTCTTTAGCTGCACCACCACGATATCTCTGATTTCTCTCTGGAATTGCTCTAATCGCAACGGCAATTCTCTGTATCTTGTTGGCTATTTGACGCTTATACCAAAGGTTCTTTGGAAAGTGAATGGTTTTGCGGATCCACTTTGCAAATCGCCCGCCCCTTTGCTGCTCGTACAAGTGATACACGAATTCATCAATGATGTTTTCAACATCGTTGGCCAAGTCTCGAACGCTTGTGACCCACGCTTTCTTTACTTCTGTCTCTGCGTTCTTGTCGCCAGCAGCATCCTCTAAGAAGGATTTCATGATTATCAACTCATGCTTAATCTCATTAACTTGATCACGAACACCCGCTATGGAGGCTGCTTCGCTTTCGAGAATGGATACAAATTTACCAATGAAGAGGTCTGCTGTAACTGACACCATAATGGCCTTATTTTGGTATATGCTTAATCAAAAGAACATATCTGGGGAGCAATCACTCTGTTAAAAAGTGCTCATTTACCAATCTACACAATTCTAGAAAATTAAAAGTAAAATATTGATGAGGGATATCGGCTTGGAGTAGGAAATATATCCTAGATATTAATCCCTACACATGTCGCAAAATATCCTAGATATACAAGAAAGCATTTGGTAGTGCAAGCCACAACGCATGTCGCTAAGAATGGTGGAGATATCCCAAGTTGCTGCCACAAGACGGCAACAAAATTCTATACATAGACTTGACCTCTCCTACCACGTAATCAAGCACAAAGTGTGAAGCCAAGAGCTAAAGTCCAATCTAACCAAGCCCTGTACTCTCTCTCTTCATTCTAATAAAATTACTTTTGTTTCTATTTTAAAACCCTCTCAGTTCTTCTAACTCTATACTCTTGGCCTAAACACTAACCCAAACACTTTATAACCCCTTCACACAATCTAACACAATCATATGCTTATTCGAAAAAGCATTTCAGTAACACAAAATTTAGTGAAAGATTTACTGCTAAATGATTGGTTTGAGTGAAGATTAAAATACATGGTTTGAGGAGAGGGTTGAACAACAATAAAGTTCCATTGTGTGGTGGGTTTGTGAAGATTAAAATACATGGTTTGAGGAGAAGGTTGAACAACAATAAAGTTCCATTGTGTGGTGGGTTGGCTCAGATGCACCAGAGAGAGAGAGACATTATTAATTATTTCTTAGAAAATGTTGTTAAGCATGACCAATGTGAATGAATGCCATATGAAGAGAAATTGAGTGACAGGACACGATGGTTGTTTTTGAGTGGCAATATTACCAGTAAGACAAGACAGTGATTAAACAATTTCTCCAATTAATTTAATATTAATGATGATTACTCCATATGATGCAATGTATTGTCCACTTCCTTACCTAACATATAAAAGGTGGTCGTTAAAAATCTTATAAATTTAATGGTGTGTCTTTGACGTTGTCGTTCATGTCAAGTTGTTCAAACTCATTTGACAGTCTTCAAAAACTCATTTGACAACGCTCCAAGAACGCGGTAGTAATTACCAGGAAGGAGGCCGACATGAGAGGGAGAGAGCGAGAGACCCAATCTGTATTGCCTTGAAGAAAACGGAATACAAGACTCACTTTCCTATTCTTTGACAATCCCTTAATCACGAGCTTTGAAGATTAGTTTCACACAAAAGTGTCATTCTTTTTTTACAAAAGGTTACAAACGCTACTGTTGTAAAAGTCTTTGAGTGGAGCCCACCAATGAAGACTTTGGAGATGCTTTGTTTGTCAATTCCTTTACTGCACGTTCACATGTTGGAGACTGCACATCCACAGGAAGCTATCAACTTCGCCTATGAAAAGGCTTCATCCTTCCGTGCTGTACCAACAAAAAGAAGAAAGAGAGCCTGGCATAGAGAAAGGAAAGAAGAGAAGGAAGAAAAAGGAGAGAGGGAGATGAGAGAAAAGAGAGCAGCGAGAAAATTAGTGATTTAGTGAGTGTAAACACTAAAGTTGTATTCCCCTTGCAGCTCTATTATTTTACATAATGGAAAAGTTACTGATACTGCTATCCAAGGATGTAGGCATGACTGAATCTCGTTAAATATTGTGTCTCATTTACTTTACGTGCAGCTCAATATTCTTGCATATACCATTCCTTTTATAACAACTACAACAATATGGGCTCATTTGGTACGTCAAACTATACTAACTAATTTCTGTCAGATAGTATTAATCTGTTCCGGAGAGTACTGACTGTTTATCCATAATATTATAAGGTGTTTGGTGCTGTTCCGGATAACATCAAATCATACTATTTTTTACAAAAAATTCTTTGATAATTCAAGTGGGAATATAGACAATATATATATATATAGCCACATGTATTGTTCTAATCGCATAATATAGACAATATAATTTGACAATATAAAATTCTTTCATCCATAATATAATTTGATAATTCAAGTGGAAATATAGACAAAAGTAGTCAAGAAGAGAATCAACAGCCAGTAGTAGCAACATGGAAATAACCAGAAAACAAACCAACAAAGCACCAAAAATAGAAAAAAAAATTACAACAAGAAAAACATAGCGCATGTATTGTTCTAATCGCTGACTTGAGATGATAATTTGATTATTGAGTTGGATACCTAGAGAAGATGAAATACATAAAGAGAAAAATGCAAGAAATACTTAACAACATGAATTGTGTTGGATAATGTCATAGCCCGGATCGGCTCCTCCGTTGCACGATATTGTCTGCTTTGAGCTCCCATGACTCCGAAGCCAATGAGCTCCCAAAAGACCTCGTGCTAGTTGGAAGTGGGCGTGTACATATAAGGCACATCACCCCTCTCCGTGAGTCGATATGGGATGTTACAGATACACAGCCGCATGATGATTATTTAATTATTTGATTGTTGAGTTGGATACATATTGTTCCAATACAGCAAGAAAAAAAAACTTCAAAAAGGAAAAACTCATAACCTAATTTTCACAAAGATTTAATAAAATAGAAAATATATAAAGAAAGAGAAGATGAAGAAAGAAGAAGAGAGAAGAAGCATATTGGAGAGAGTATGAGAGAGAGAGAGATGGATACCTGGAGAAGAGTGAAGAGAATAACCTTGGAGAAGATAGCAAAGAAGAACCCCAGGGAGAAGAAGATGAAAATAGTGTTGTTTGATTTTTCATGTGAGTGTGTGTGTTCTTTTTCCCTAGCTGTATAATTAAGCGTGTATTATCTAAACTGAGGTGTGTGAGTTGTATTAGTTAGTTAGGTAAGGAGAGTATTAAAAGCCCAACCCGTATAAAATAGTCAAGTAATTAAATAATACAAGTTGACACCAAACACTTGACATGGACTATTTACTCATATCCATAGTCTAATACGGTGTACCAAACGAGCCCTATTTGTATTCAACAATGACGCCATTACCGTTGTGTATGTCTTTTGATAATGCGCTTGTGGGTGTTGTGTATCTTGATGTCATTAATAGTCGTATATGTTTAATGGCATGTCTTTGATGTTGTCGTACATGTACATTTGTTCAAATTTATTTGACAACCTTCAAAACTCATTTGAAAACGCTGCAAGATGCAGTAGAAACTTGTTGAAGCCCAAAGATATTTAAAGCCCAATATAACATATAATGTTGATCATGCGTTAATTCAAGCTGTATTTTGTGAATTAACTCATTAAATAAATATAGAAATAGTGTACATGCCATGCCAAGAAAATAATATATTTTCCTATGCCACACCACCCAACAAGCTTAAGTGGGCTCAAGCCACATAATGATCTAGGGCTTGCTGAGTGGGTTGTGGTGTGGATGGGTACAATGATTTATAAGGCCCATTAAAGGTTCAAAAGAATGGAGGTTTTGGACTACCTGGGAGCCCCAAAATCCAAGCCTATTTTCATGAGCCCACTGAATGGGTAAGCAGAGAGAGTTACGGTCCTCGTTTAACAATTAAAGCCCAACTGCCATTGTCTTTGTCTCCTCCACCACCTCTCTGTATGACAATCGCACCAAAAGGGCACTGCTAAATCACCAACAACCAGGCTCACCACAGTTTACTCAGACCCCATGGCAGTTCCTACACCACCAAGGCCGGCTCATATTCTATCGAGCTCTTGTCAATCCCTGCTTCATCACCATTGCAGCTCTGTGAAGCTTGACGCACGACGGTCCCTGTCCCCTCCCCACACTCTTCGACACCATAATCGACGAACATTTCTCAAAGCCTTCTATGGCTGTTTGGGCCAAAAAACACGCGCAGGCCCACTTCTCAAAAGGCCCGTAGAGCAAGAGAGATAAATGACCTGGGCTTCAAAAATTAAACAGGAAAATAACCCAGCCCACGTCTTTTTTCAGAAGGGCCCAAAAAGCAATTTTAAAAGAAATACTTTTTAAAGAGCCCACGTGAAGTTCTTTTCTCTCAAACCTTGAAAAGTCAAATAAAATCAACTATCACAGAGTTGATAAAAGAAGGTCAGTGACTGGCAAGCTAGGAAGGGATGTCTCTGAAAAGCTAAAGAGATCAAATCCCTCTTATATATATATATATGTATCTCTTCTATTTTCAGAAAAGGGGATCCTCCCAATGAGAGATAAGCAAACTTCAAATCTCAGAATGAGATAAGCAAAAAACAGGGAGCTGTCCAAAAGAAATCTAACTAACCATCACGGTTTTTTAGTTCTCACAAAAGGGCAGTTGGAATCAAAAAGGGATTAGGTTCTCTTTCAAGAAAAACAGGGAAGTGATTGCTTATGAACTGACTATTGAGACCTCATTTGCCAGAATTGATAAAACCTTTTTATTTATGAAAGATCTTTTTGAAAAATTACCGCCCATTATTTTAAAGAAGAAAGAAACCCTACTCCAAAGCATTTCTTATAAATATAAGAGGGAGTGAACAGGGTACAAACACAATCAATCTTACACTCAAATGATCAATCAAACAAACAACTCAAAACCAATCAAAAGCTCACTTGAATTCCAAGAAAAGCCAGCTTTAGATCAGAATTCCAAGGTCAAGACTTAGAAAATAAGTCATTTAAAACGAGATTTCTCTCGTTACAAATTTGGTTCAGCAAAAAACCAAGACAAGTAGAGCTTGAGTTTTTCTCAAACATGAAAACCTCAACAAATTTCACAGTGCAGTCTTTAGCCCATTGAAGTCCCCAAGAACAGCCACTTCTGCCCTTTCAGACTGAAGAAACCGCAGTTCTGCCCATTCAAAAGCCTACAAAGGCTTGAAGTAGATTAAAGCTCTGCCAGAATTGACATTTGGTATCGATTTACAACTGAAACTTAGCGGTTGAAGTTGTTGACAATTCAGTCCAGCCCAGATATTTCCAGTCCAGCCCGGGTCAGATCCTCCTGTCCAGGCAGAAATGGAGTTCCAGCTGTCTTTTTATCTTTCTAGCATGGATATTTATTTTTATAGTTTTGTAAAAGGCAGTTCTGCCTAAGACAACTTAAATTCCATCAACCATTCTAGCCAGAACAACCTCTTTATACTGAGATAAATTGTTAAAGTCCTCACTAGCCTAAGGCAAGAAAAGAACTTACTTAAGAGATATTCCTCACCCAAATTCACAATCGTTTGTTCACAGAAATCGGTAACTTGGGGCACAAGTTATCTATTATAGAATGAATTTGCTAGAATCTTCATTGCTAGCAGTGGCACGCTCATACACCAAAGAAAGCTGACTTGTTGACCAGTTAATGGTTTTCAAGGCAGTGGGGAACTTTGCCCTTCCATCTCAGGAGTAATCACGAAACGGGGTGAACAATGGCATCCATAAGGAACCCATCTCTAGCCAAAACACCTCGGCACTTCATCCTCAAAGGTTTTTGCGACTACTCTCCTTATCATCTCATCTTTCAATAGCTTGCAAGCAACGCCACACTGAAGACAAAAGAAAAAGGGGAGGCAGAGTGCCGGGACCCATAACAAAAAAGGAGCTACAGAACTCTGCCCACGTGAACATATTTTCACTTGCTAAAATATGAGAACTATGAGAGAATATTTGTTTATGGGAATTTTGTATATTCTTCTTCTTATAGGAGGTCATATTTATAATACAATGAAACCTGAATGGGCAAGTAAATAATAAATTCCTATTTCTATTTACAGTAGGAAATCAGAATTAAAGTAAATCAATTACAATTATAATATAAATTCTTGGTGTGTAAGGAAAGTAAGTCAGTAGTCCACAAGTCACGCCAACACTCCCCCACACGTTGGTGCATAGATGTCACCAATGCCGAACTGATCCAGCTAATTGTGGAATGCTTTACTGGAAATCACTTTTGTCAAAATATCCGCTAATTGATCCTCGGATTTCACAAAAAGAAACTGCAACACTTTAGCCTCAAGCTTCTGTTTGATGAAGTGTTGATCCACCTCAACATATTTAGTACGATCATGTTGAACCGGATTCTGTGCAACAGCTATAGCAGCCTTGTTGTCACAAAAGAGATTCATTGTGGATATAGGTTTATACCCAAGTTCAATAAGCAACTTTCTTAACCAAATAAGTTCACAAATCCCTTTAGTCATGCCTCTGAACTCGGCCTCTGCACTAGATAAAGCTATTACATTTTGTTTCTTCCTCCTCCATGTCACCAAATTACCTCCCACGAATGTGCGAATGTGAAGTAACCCGATGTGGATTTTCTATCAGTTACACTACCTGCCCAATCTGCATCTGAATAACCATCAATATTCAGATGACCATGCTTTGAGAACATAAGTCCTTTTCCATGTGCAGACTTCAAATATCAAAGTATCTGAAGCACTGCATTCATGTGGTCTTCACTTGGAGAGTGCATAAATTGACTGACAACGCTCACCGCATAAGCAATGTCTGGTCGAGTACGTGACAAATAGATCAATCTTCCCACTAACCTTTGGTATCTTTCTTTGTTAGTTGGAACTTGATCTGGATATTCGCTAAGATGATGATTCTGAACAATAAGAGTGTCCGCAGGTTTGCAATCTAGCATTCCTATGTCTGTCAACAAGTTTAAGACATATTTCATTTAAGAGAGAAATATGTCTTCACTACTACAAAATAACCCTTGCGCGACCAAATTTTGCGCGACGAAAAATTATTCGTCGCGCAAAGACACTTTGAGCGACGAAACTCAAAACTTCGTCGCTAAAAACCTTGCACGACCAACTTTTGCGCGACGAAAAATAATTCGTCGCTCAAAGTGACTTTGCGCGACCAACTTTTGCGCGACGACAATATGTCGTCTCTCAAAGTCTTGCGCGACCAAATTTTGCGCGACGAAAAATAATTCGTCGCTCAAAGTAACTTTGCGCAACGAAAAAAAATTCGTCGCTCTAAGTAACTTTGCGCGACGGAAAACTGTTCGTCGCGCAAAGCGACTTTGCGCGACGAAAAATAATTAACTTCGTCTCGCAAAGTCCTTATAAAAATAAATAAAATAAATAAATTATTTTTTAAAATCTTTGTTAGAAAAATATATTATTGTTGTTTGGATTGGGTTTTTATTAGAAAATATATTTTTTAAATTGACGATCGAATTAGTTCATTGTATTCATATAGGGTCAAAGAGTGTAGCTATAAAAAATCATCAAAATCGGAGTTAAAATAACCGTTAAATCGTGATTTTTCATTTATAACCGTCGAAAAGTTTTGTCCCATTACTTGATCTCTGAATGTTTATTTTTTCCGATTTTTGGCGTATATGATCTCGAAGTATAAACAAACAAGTTTGACGGTTGGATCGTTCAAAATAGTTTCGTAGAATGCGTATGCCATCAAAACAATATATTCACTAACAATTAAGAGTTTATTTACACTTTTGTTAAATATAACATAAGATTTTGTGGTATCCACTTGTGTAAATATTTTAAATTGAAGATCAAATTCAGTCATTGTATTCATATAGTGTAAAGGAGTGTAGCGGTAAAAAATCATCAAAATCGGAGTTAAAATAACCGTTGAATCATGATTTTTCATTTATAACCGTCGAAAAGTTTTGTCCCGTTACTTGATCTCTGAATGTTTATTTTTTGCGATTTTTGGTGTATATGATCTCGAAGTATAAACAAATAAGTTTGACGGTTGGATCATTGAAACTAGTTTTGTTGAATGCGTATGCCATCAAAACAATATATTTACTAACAATTAAGAGTTTATTTATACTTTTGTTAAATATAACATAAGATTTTGTGGTATCCACTAGTGTAAATATTTTAAATTGACGATCGAATTAGTTCATTGTATTCATATAGGGTCAAGGAGTGTAGCTGTAAAAAATCATCAAAATCGGAGTTAAAATAACCGTTAAATCGTGATTTTTCATTAAGAACCGTTGAAATTTTTTGTCCCGTTACTAGGTCTCCGAATGTTTGTTTTTTACGATTTTTGGGGTATACGATCTTGAAGTATATACAAACAAGTCTGACGGTTGGATCGTTGAATGGTGTGTGTATATATATTTATTTACTTATTAAGTAGCTTTAAATTTATTTATTTTGTACGTATAACACTTAAGAAATTGGTATATACATTTATTAAGTAGCTTTAACCTTATTTATATTTTAAATCGTAAAAAAAATAATTTTATTATTCATAACAATTATTTTTATAAATATCGTGCTACGAACCAATTTTTCGTCTCTCAAAAGTTTGCGCGACCAACAATTCGTCGCGCAAAACTCTAAAAATTTGGGCGGGTACAAAAAATGGGACGCGGGATGAAAAAAAATATTTTTTTTTAGACTTTGTGCGACCAATATATATTTTCGTCGCGCAAAAATTTGGCGGGTACCAAAAATGGGACGCGGGAATTTTTTTATATAATTTTTTTAGACTTTGCGCGACCAATATGTATTTTTCGTCGCGCAAAAATTTCAAAATTTGGGCGGGTACCAAAAATGGGACGGGGGATTTTTTTTTTGACTTTGCGCGACCAATATACTAATATTCGTCGCGCAAAACTTTGCGCGACCAATACTCCAATATTTTTCGTCGCGCAAAACTTTGCGCGACCAACAATGTTGTTCGTCGCGCAAAGTGATACGGTTTTTAAAATGAAAATAACTCCTCCACCATTTTCTCAATGTCTTTCTCTACTCTTTCCTCTCCTCTCTCTTTCCCTCTCCCCAAATCCCAACATTTCTCTCACACTCACTCCTCTCACTTAATCTCTCATCATCTCTCTCTTCACTATCTCTCACTCTCACTCACTCTCTCATCTCTCTATCACTATCTTCTCTAATTCTCTCACACTCATTTCTCTCTCTCATTCTCACTCACTCTCAATCTTGCCAAAAGGTAGAATCTCTCCAAATTTTAATTTTTTTTTCATTAATATGTGTTTTTGGAGTTAGTTTTGAGTTTGTGTGGGGTTTGGGGTTGAGTAAAGGGGAGGGATTGGAGTTTGGGTTGGATTTGTGGTATAACAATTTTAGGGGAGATTATCCCTTTTATTTATTTATTCTACTTTGTTAATTTATGTGTACATTTTGAATATTATATATATATTTATTGGATAATTTGATCACTATTTTTCATATGTAATTTTATTTTGAATATGTCAATTTAAATTAAATTAATTAAATTAAATTTAAAAAGTAAACATTTGAATAAATTAATATCAATTTAAATTAAAGTAACGAAAAAAATCATACAATTAAATTAAATTTAAAAATTAAAAATTCGAAATAATTAATATAATTAAATTAATATTAAAGAAATAATAAAACAAAAAGTCAAAAACCAAAATATTTCGTCGCGCAAATATTTGCGCGACATTAATATTCATCGCGCAAAACTCTAAAAATTTGGGTGGGTACCAAAAATAGGACGCGTGAATTTTTTTTTAAATTTTTTTTAAATTTTTCATCGCGCAAAGTTTTGCGCGACCAATATTTTTCGTCGCGCAAAGTCGCTTTGCGTGACAAATATTTTTTCGTCGCGCAAAGTGACTTTGCGCGACCAATTTTTTCGTCGCGCAAAGTCACTTTGCGCGACGAAACATATTGGTCGCGCAAAGTCACTTTGAGCGACCACGAATGAAAAATTTCGTCGCACAAAGTCTTTCTCCACGATCTTTGCGCGACGGAATCTGCGCGACGAAGTTTCTGTCGCGCTAAAATTTGTGCGACTATAATGTATTTTGCGCGACGAAATTCTCTTCGTCGCGCAAAGTGAAAAATGTAGTAGTGCTTGTTGTGATTGAGCCACCTTAATTCTCAAGAAATACTTGAGTCCACCTAGATCCTTCATCTCAAACTCAGTAGCTAAATAGTATTGTAACTGTGATATTTCTTGTTTATCATTCCTAGTAACAATCATATCATCAACATAGATTGTTAACGTTGTTACCTTCCCTTTCTGATGTTTCAAGAACAGAGTATGATATAAGTTGCTCTGTTTGAAACCATTGTTCTTCGTTGCCATGGTGAACCGTCCAAACCATTCACGTGGTGATTGTTTCAATCCATACAATGTTTTTCGTAACTTACATATTGTTCTAGTATAAGTAGTATTATATCCAGGAGGAATGTCCATGTACACCTCCTTCGTCAGTTTGCCATGTAGAAAAGCATTCTTTACATCAAACTGGTGTAGTGGTCAATCCAAATTAGCTGCAAGGGACAATAAGACTCTAACGGTGTTCAACTTTGCAACTAGTGCAAAGGTTTCTTCATAGTCTATACCACAGGTCTGTGTGCACCCTTTTGCCACAAGTATTGTCTTGTATCGCTCGATAGATCCATCTACATTGTGTTTTATAGTAAACATTCATCTACATCTGACAGTCTTTTTTCCTCGTGGTATAGTCTCCAATGTCCAAGTTTGATCTTTCTCAACAGCTTTCATCTCCTCTTTTATAGTTTGGACCCACTTAGGATCTTTCAATGCTTTAGAAAACTTGGTTGGAATATGGATTTTTCTCAAGAGCTTTCTCAGTAGATACATGATTTGCAATTGGATACTTGGAGGTCTTGCAAATATCAGGTAAATAACAATTTGGTGGCTTCCCACAATTTTGCTGAAAGGTGATTGATATCCAATAAATTTATCCTCTAAATGCACAAGTCTAGTAAGAGTAGTTACCTCAAAAAAATTCTAAGGAGATTGGTCCGTTGGTACTATTAAGTGAGGGGGGTCTTCATCTTGTTGTTCTGAGTTGTCTATAGGAGTACGTCTCGAATCAAAAACAACTTCATAGTGGTTAGGCAATCAATCATTGTTTGCCAGAGAGCATTAGGGCATACCAGACTCGAGACAATTAATTGTTTCATGGCTGAGAGCAATCTTCATGCAGGGATGAATATCTTTGTTTTCGAAGCTGCTCCAATTAGGCTCTTCACTTCGTATCTCCGCCTGAAGAGTAGAATTGGATGCTTGGTCTAGAAGAACATCTGACATCCAAAGTGACATAGGTTCGCTGGGTAAGAGGGTGAAAACATCAGTAGCTTTTCTGATGAGTGGTATAACCCAATAAAACAAAACGAAGTGCACATGGATCAAGTTTACTTCATTTTGTGGAGATGAACGAAGCCACACTGCCACAAATGTGAGGGGTAAGCACCAAAATAGAGGGCAGAGGCCCGTGTTGCGCAAGCACTTGTAATGGAGTTTTGAAAGTCAAGACCCCAAAAGGCATGTGGTTTATAAGGTGTACAACAATGACGACAGCATCATCCCAGTGATAACAAGCAACATGGCTACCAAAGGGAAGAGCATGGGCTATTTCAAGGAGATGACGATTCTTCCGTTCGGCAACACCATTTTGTTGTGGTGTTTGGGGGCAAGTTGTCTCATGAATAATTCGATGTGTCTGGAAGTAAGTCTGAAAGTCATGATTAACAAATTCTCCATCGTTGTTAGAGTGAATAATCTATATTCAAGTATTGAACTGTGTTTCCATCTTTTTGTGAAAGACTGAAATAGGAAAAACACTTCATTCTTATTTTTCATCAAATAAGTGGTGTGCAAAAAATCATTCGGATCAAAGGTCATATGATCAGTGGCGCTAGAATCAATTATCCAATCAGTAGTATCTCATAAATAAGCAGTATGAAATACATAACCGCAGTTACCTGAGTCATCCGGAGGTGCAGGACTATTAGTAGGGTCTACCTGCGGAAACCAGGCTAATTGGGGTTCGGTAGAGACAAGAGCAGCATGGCCGGAACTACTAGCAATTTCTCTGAGCTTGCAAGCGTGAAGGTCCTCTTAGCAGTCAGGATCACCATTAAGCTTAAAACAGGTGTCGCAGGTATGTTTGGGATTGCCACAGTGCGTGCAACCACTTTCATCAGTTGAGGCCTTGGGATGGGAAGGTGGGATGGTTTTAGGAGGTGGTTCACCTGTGGCAGTAGCATATGACTGGATCTGAAAATGGGTCGTAGTAGAGGAATTCTGGGGTTGTCCAGCAAGAGTAGGGGACCCTGATTGAGGCATGATCTTGGTCCCTAAGCCAGCGCCAATAGGTGCAGATAAACCCATCATCATAGCTTGTCTAACATCTTCACGACGGATATAGGCATAAGCTTAGTCAACTGTAGGTAACAGAGTCATGTGAAGAACATTACTTCGAGCCTTATTAAGACGATAATCAAGGCCATCCAAAAATATGTAAACTAGATCTTCCTGCAAAATGTCATTATAGTGCTTGATATCACTTTCATACTCCATCATATTTGGATGACGGAAATCAATCTCTCTCCATAAGCTTTGGAGAGTATTGTAATAGGTTTCAATGGAGTCGCCAGCTTGTCAGATACGGAAGACTCATTGTTTCAGATCATAAACATGAGAGGCATCAGTGCCATCATATTAAGTCGTGGCAATTGCATCCCACACTGCTTTTGCCATTGGAAAGCAAATGAAATTGCCAATCAAGCTCTGCTCCAAAGAATTGATGAGCCATCCCTTCACAATGGAGTTCTCGGTGCAATAGCGAGAAACATTGGAGTGGTCGAAGGAGGTTGTGGAAGATCGCCATTAATATATCCCAATTTGTCTTTGTTGGAGATATACATCTCAACAACTTGAGACCATAGGGCATAGTTGGTGCCATCTAACTTTATGCCGATATGTGCAGCGAAAGCTTCATAGGTAATCGTCGTCTGATTCGAGTTCAAGGAAGTCGTCTTATTCGAGTTCGGGGTCTTCGTCTGAGTCAAGTTCGAGGTCGTCTTGGTAGGATCCTGATTTAGGATCAGGTTCGAGGTCTGAGTTTGCATCTTCATTAGTTGAGCCACATAGGCACTCAACTCGGCTATGGTTGGTTGAGAATGAGAAGAGGAAGCAGTGGTGCTACTGCCATGGAGATTAGGAGAGTCATCCTCCCTGATGGTGGAGGCTATGGTTTAGAAACTAGAGTCAGCAATCCCAAGATTGCCGCTCTGATACCATGCTAAAATATGAGAACTATGAAAGAATATTTGTTTGTGGGAATTTTCTGTGTATTCTTCTCCTTGTATGAGGTCATATTTATAATACAACGAAACCTGAATGGGCAAGTAAATAATAAATTCCTATTTCTATTTACAGTATGAAATTAGGAATTAAAGTAAATCAATTACAATTATAATAGGAATTCTTGGTGTGTAAGGAAAGTAAGTCAATAGTCCATAAGTCACGCCAACAACAATATCCCACCTTTGCACCAGCCTACCATTTGTTCATTCCCACCAAACCAATTATGGGCAAGCAACCCAAAAAAAATGTATGCAAATATGTTGAGGTATCAATATTCAATATGCTAGAAGCTTCAAAGCTTTGATGATAGGCACCGGAAGAGACTGAGGCAATTTATGAACACTGCAGGATGCAATGACCAAGGGGGCTTCTCTTTAGTTGTGTGCTGCTTCTTACAAATAAGCATAAGAACTTTCTAGGAGATGATCGGGGGGCTTTTTGAAACTTCATTGAAGTAATGGGAGAAGTGACAGATCTTGAACAACTACATGAGGTGCCGGAAAGGTATTCTCTCAGGCACCGGAAGGATATAAGGAGGTGCTAGAAAGGCTCTCAGGCACCGGATACTTGCATTGATATGCTTAAACTGCAAATAAATTTATCGAGGATAAGTTGCAACATGAAGCATGAAACAAAAAAGGGCTAGCTTTCTGCACTATAAGTGAGAGCAACAAATAATGTTAAGATCAAATTGATCTCTCCACTAGCATGCAAGTAAGAAAAAAGGAGTAATTCCCTCCTAGGGGGATTGGGAGGACATCTCTTCCCAGGGCTCTCTTCACTTCAAACAGGAAGTACTAGGCCTAGCTTTCTTTGCTTGACACATAGGTAGTCACCACCCTAGTATTTCTTTTTTTCTTTTCATTAAGCTAGGCAACAGGTAACATTCCTTTACCAAAACGGGTGATTGATGACTGGAGAATTCTATTGAGTTATAGATCTTAAGGGGCTAAGGGGGCTTTAAAATTTGTTTAAGTCCCTTATCTTAGGGTATGGAGCCACCGTCGTCAGGGACAAGGGGGCCTTAAAATTTGTATAAGTCCCTCATCTTAGGGTATGGAGCCACCGTCGTCTCGGTATAGCATGTCGAAGTATGGTAGGCTGATAGGGGGAACAAAAGGACTTGGGGTGACCTAACCGAGTCCATCTTGTTCCCCCGTACCATCCCAATGTGATTAAGATCAATCCGAAGCCCAGACGTTTTGTCTCTTTTCTTTCAACTCCGCTCGGTGATGGCTCATGGCTAATATAGGTAGGTCCAGAGATAGCTAGTGTTCTTCGTAACCTCTTGTCGCTCTTTCCTTGCGATGCCTTCCTGAAGGTGAGGCTCCAAAGGGAGTTTAATATAAACTCCTTACAGGTTTCATGCCAAGTAAAGTAAGTCATCTCATGCCAAGAAAGGTGCTGGAAATAAATGGAAAGGGCAAGAAAACAATTATGTCCACATCCATGCTCAAGGAATCAGGTCACAAAGTGATATGAAGATATAAATTTCCAATCCGAATCATCAATTAGGCAAGAAAGGCTATCATGCAAGGAACAAAATGGTAGCTTTTAACCTTCTACTACTAAAACCATAGTCAAACGTTGTAAACCATTTTATTGTGTTACCAACTTCTGCCTAGGGACTAAGCCGCTCATTCATTGCCTGCTTCATAAATTTCGGAGCTCCATAGCTATAAAAAGAAGCAGTGGTTAATCCATAGGGGACAACCAAGACACCGAGCAAGCTATACACCCACTGTTGGAAACACTCAAGCTTAACTCTTAATCCTTTCATTTTCCCCCATAACCCATCCTCTTCTTTTCCCAGAAACTAGAAACCATTCCAAGCCCCAAAATATCCTTTATCTATTATCTTATTTCAACTCAAGCAAATGCTCTCTCGCTAAACTCATGGAGACTTAGCTCCTATAACATAAGCCTTTCATGCCAAGCCTAAACTTTTGATTCACCGATCATTAAATGCTTGGTGAGAGAAACCAGAGTGTTCTCTAAGAATCAGCATTCTTTCGAGGAATTTTGGGGCCTAGTTCTTGAACCCAAGCAAATGGGCAATGTCACTCTCTCTTTACAGTGGCCCAAGTTCATCTAGAGCTGCTGGAACAAAAAGGCCTGCACAAAACTATCACCCTCTTATTCTTTAACAACTATGAGCTTTGTAGACTAGGTTTTCACAACGCGCTTTCAACGTTGTCATGATGTTATCCACAACTTGAATATAAGTGTTATGAAATCCTAGTTTGTTTATAATAATAATAATAATAATAATAATAATAATAATAATAATAATAATAATAATAAATAATAATAATAATAATAATAATAATAATAATAATAAAAAGCAAATCCTATTCAAACCATGCAATTGTTTTGGCGTGCCAGAACGGATGGTTCCCACTTGATATTGAATATGATTCTCAAATTTTTGTGCAAATGCTATCTTCAAATTTGGAGGAGGAGCATCCCTTTTATAGTTTGGTGACTAACTGCCAAAAGATGCTTTTGTACAAAGACTGCAACATTACTCATAATTGTAGAGAAGGAAATTGCCTTGTGGATAACTTGGCATGTTTGGGTTCAAAATTAGAATTGGGGTGTATAATTTGTTTCTAGGAATTGGCACATGTTCCCACATTTCCCCAAAGTAAGAATTATAGGAATTGGCACGACTACTAGTTCTGGTTGGGGCACTTATTCTGGGAGGAATCGTCTGCACTCGACCAAACTGCCTAAGAACCCGCTCAGGATAGTAAGGCTCAATAACATCACAAAATCTGAGCATCCCTGAGTAGAATGCAACATCTGGAACATGGGTGGTGTTCCCTTTCAAACTTGTAAGGTTTCCATATAACCTGAAATATGATACACAATATAGCATGAACTACTGGAATATACATTACTGAACCAAAAAATATATATAATACAAAACACAACAAAGTTTGATGATATGTAAGAGAAACACACCTAATCAGCATTCAAAGCATCAAGCCGCTGTCTATACTTCTACACGTCTACTGATGTTGTGCCATTATCTTGATGTGCAATCCAACAAAGTGCACGAGGCTGGACCTCTAAATAATCAAGGTTATGATCAGGGACAACAACACCATGCATGTGCTCATACACCCATGCCTCTAGCAAAGTCATGTACCCAGCAATCTACTTCACCTTAGACCTCAAAGCTTGGCCTATTTGTCTATACAACCATGCTAAGCACCCAGAACCCCAAGGATAACCAGCAACACTATCAAGGTTTCTAAGTAGTCTAAGGTACACAATTTGGACTCTCATGCTAGTCTTGTCAACAAACAAAGTGCAACCCAAGAGATATAAAAAATATGCTATGGTCGAATACATGATGTACTCCTTTGAATCTGTGTCTGAAACATTGGAGAATCGCGCTCGTAACAATGACAAACTCACATACTCATCACTGTATTGGTGCAATTGTTCAGTAGCCTCTTCACCAGTCACTCTTAAGTACTTAACTGACAACTCAAAATTTGTGTCGTTATCATCTTCAAGTGGAGCAACGGCTGCACCAAACACAGGAATGCCTAAAATAGATGACACATCATCCAATGTGATGGTCATCTCACCAAAAGGTATGTGAAAGGTGTTCGTTTCAGGATGCCACCACTCAACGAATGTAGATACCACAATCTTATCTGCATTCTAATAAGAACACATAATAAGTTACTCTAATCCAAACCTCTGAATGTACCCTTTGAAGATACCATTATTTGAATTACCCCACTAATTCCACTCACAAAGGGTAGATGTCTTCGACATGCACCTAAGGAGCTCACGTTCCTAGAAAAAAAAAAAAAAAAAAAAAAAAAAAAAAAAAAAAAATTATTTATTAATGAACCATAACCTTATATTCTACCTTCTATTGTCAAAGTAAAAACGACTTACCTGATTATTCCAAATTGCAGCTGCTATGTGAGTTTAAAAACTCATAAATAAAGATGGATCAATGGGACCTACTCGAGATGGCTTAGTAGGCTCGACATGTATCTCAACATTACTATCATGAGTAGCAACTACATCTTCAACCTCTGCGTCAACATTACTATCATGAGTAGGACCTACATCTTCAACCTCTGTAGTATCCTCAAAGTATTATTGGGGAGACGCTCCCTATCTCCTCGTTGAGGCTGTGGGACGTTGTCTATTAGATCTAGATGATGAAGCCTCAGTAGTAACTCTGTGAGTCCTCTTCATATCTAAAAACAAACAATATTAAGTACACACTCAGTAATGTATTCGGTAGATGATCCCTGAAAAATGGAAACAAATTTGGTGGACTATCGCTGACAAAAGAAAACATATTCGGTGGAGTACCATGGAAAAACTGAAATACATTTAGTGGGCATCTCCTGAAAAATGGAAACGAATTTGGTGGACTACCACCGAAACAAGGTAACGATTTCGGTGGGTTACCACCAAAAGTAAAATTAATTTCTTGTTCAAATTCAGTGGACTGCCACTGAAGCAATCTAACTATTTCGGTGGTAATCCATCAAAATGGAAACCCAATTTCGTAAAATCAGGTTCAAACCATACACCCACAAAGTTGATATCAATGATTAAAATCAAACTTTGGCTGTTTAAAACTGAAATCAAACCTAGGCTTAATCAACACTTAGAAACGTAAATATAGAAATCAAAATTGAAATCAAACCTTGGCTCTTCGTAGGATTTCTGAAAACTTGACGATTGGTGACGGATGTTTGCGATGGTTGAGGCGATGGTGGTTTGCGACGGGGTGAGGTGTTTGGGGGTGGCTATGGGGTGTGATGGCTCTATTTCTGAGATGGGTTGTGCAAGAGGTTCGGGTTTGCAGAGATAGGTTGTGCGATGGGGATTGTAGAGATGGGATGTGCGATGGCTTTGTTTCAAAAGGGATGGGGTGAGCGGTGGAGCTTCTTGTAAATCTAATGGGGGGTGCAATAGAGTGTGTCTGCAAGAGGAGGGAATTTTCGATGGGGTGGGGTTTGATATCAGATGGGGTGTGTCTAAAAGGGAAGGGGGTTTTCGATGGGTGGTGTATGATATGGGATGGGGTATAGTGAGTAATTTAAAATTTTATGAAAATTCAGTGGGGTGTAAAGAGATTATGGGGTGCAAAGAGCAAATAATGGGGTTCATATATAATTTTCCATATTTTAAGACATGGAATGAAAGAGAGAAGATTGAGCAACAATAAGTCAAACAAAGTAGGGCAAATATTCAATTATGCTCATATATGCTCATATTATTATCCACATCCAATATGGAGTTATTTATACAAGTACAAAGATGTGTTAATCCTAAATAAAATAAGAAATATATCTAAATTACAATAGGAAATAAATCTCATTTATAATAGGACTAAATAAATAGTAAGTAGCAAAAATTCTAACTAAATAAGATACCAAAATCCTAACTAAATAAGGACTCATCAACACTCCCCCTCAAATTGGGGCAAAGATATTTTCCACGCCCAACTTGACAAGTGAGTCATAGAACACCATACTCGACATTGACCAATCGAACAACTGTAGATAAGACCTTGTCATAAAAACCCTAACAAATAGCGCATATAGAAGAACACATAAAAGCATAACACATAAACCTTGTGAGCACAACAGTAGGTAAAGCAAAACACAAAAACCCTATTAGTACGGCAATAGATAAAACAAAACACAGAAACCTTGTGAGTATGACAATAGGTAAGGCAGAACACAAATACCCTGTGAGCACGGTAGTAGGTAAGGCAGAACACAGAAACCCTGTGGGCATGACAGTAGATAAGGCAAAACACAAAAACCCTGTGAGCATGGCAAAGGCAAGGTTTCCTAAAAATAAGGTAAGGCAAGGCCAAAGCAAAGCAAGGGCAAATAAAGGCAAAGCAAAGGCAAAGGGCAAGACCACATCAATAGCAACGAGAATGACCGCATCAAATGAAAGCGAAGCAAGCAAAGGCAACTTTAATGACGGTAGCAGCAGCAATGGTAATAGCAACAACAGCACAAAACGACAACGACAAATTCTTCCATATCAACTTTATCTCATTCACGCAAACATAACTTCTCTTCAATTCTTCTCTCCCCTTGAAGAGAATGGGTTGTCGGAGTCAAGAAAGAGGCAATATCTCAATGAGAAAAAGAAACATATCTTTTTCACTCCCCCTCCCCCCCTTGAAGAGGAGGGGAGGAGAGTACTTTAATTTCAAGGAGAACGCAAACACAGGTCACAAGAAAACCTAACTCTAATACCAAGTCAAACAAAGTTGGGAAAATATTCAATTATACTCATATTATTATTCATCTCCAATATGGACGTATTTATACAAGTACAAAGATGTGTTAACCCTAAATAAAATAGGAAATAAATCTCATTTACAATAAGACTAAATAAATAGTAAGTAACCAAAATTCTAACTAAATAAGAAACCAAAATCCTAACTAAATAAGGACTCGCCAACTCAATAAGATTCCACATGTCCTACATCTATTGGGTGGTACACTAGCCATGTGGTGTACTCGAAATACCCAAAAATTACTCCAGTTGCACCACACTGAGACATTATCAATTATTGCCTAGAAAACGTTGTTAAGCATGACCAATGTGAATGAATGCTATATGAAGAGAAATTATAGTCATAGGACACGTGACAATTATAGAGTGGCAGTATCACTAACTAACGTAGTGATATTGTATCACTCTATAATTTCTCCTCACGACTAGTCAATCACATTTCTCAATAAGACAAGTCATTCCAATTAATGTAATATTAATGATGAGTACTCTATATGATGTGATGTATATAAAAGTCTCCACTTCCTAACCTTCACATATAAACGGTTGCCGGCACTACAACAAATGATAAAAAGAACATATCTAGGGAGCAATCACTCTGTTAAAAACTTTTCATTTGTCTATAATAATCTACATAATTCCAGGAAAATTAAAAGTCAAATACTGATGAGGGATGTCTTTCGGGTCGGCTTAGTAGCAAATATCGGAGATATTAATCCCTACCTACTACACTACACATGTGGCTAAGAACGATGGTGGAGATGTCCCAACAAGTAGCAAAATATTAACTTGCTAGAATACAAATGACAAACACAAATGAAGATTGCAAGCCACAAACACACGTGGCTAAGAATGGTGGAGATATCCCAAGTAGCCGGGACCACACGGGAACCAGGCAACATTCTATACATTCTATACATACACTTGATCTCTCCCACTACGTAATCAAATCAAGCACAAATTGTGAAGCCAAGAGCTAAACCACTAGAAGGCAACATAGCCTACTACAGTCCTATATAACCAAGCCCCGTAATCATTCTCTCCTTTCTAATCAAATCTCTTTGTTTCTATTTTAAAACCCTCTCAGTTCTTCTAACTCTAAACTCTTGGCCTACATTTACTGATAAATGAAAGATTTATCAGTAACACAAATTTAGTGAAAGATTTACTGATAAATGATTGATTTGGAGAAGATTGAACAACAATAAAGTTCCATTGTATGGCTCAGATGCACTAGAGAGAGAGAGACATTATCAATTATTGCAAATGTTGTTAAGCATGACCAATAATGTGAATGAATGCCATAGCACGAGAAATAGAGTGATAGGGCACGTGGCAGTTTTTGAGTGGCGAAGTTAATCACATTTTGCAATAAGACAAGTCAGTAATTAAACAATTTCTCCATATGATGCGATGTATTGCCTTGAAGAAAACGGAATGCAAAATTCACTATCTTATTCTTTGACAATCCCTTAATTATGAGCTTTGAAGATTAGGTTTTCACACTAAAGTATCATTTTAAATATATATATATATATATATATACAGTCCCCTTCTATTGAGAGATCCCTCAAATAATTTTATTTGAGGGACGCCCATTAGGGTACCCTACAATTTTTTTCCTAATGATCCAAATCATCTATTTTTTAGGTCTTCATTCATAGATCATCCTTATAAAAAATTAGACAAATCGGAAACCGTTTCGACATCCAATTGTGTCTTACAAAATGTATATATATATATTTAAAAATGCGATTGAAGGTGTTGTGTATCTTGATGTTGTTAAAAGTCTTATAAATTTAATGACGTGTCTTTCATATTGCCGTATATGTAAATTTGTTCAAATTTATTTGACAACCTTCAAAAACTCATTTGACAATGGTCCAAGATGCAGAAGAAATTATCACCCTCTTATTCTTTGACAACTATGAGTTTTGTAGACTAGGTTTTCACAATGCGCTTTCAACGTTGTCATGATGTTATCCAAAACTTGAATATAAGTGTCATCAAATCTTAGTTTGTTGATATTAACAAAAAATTCAAATCCTATTCAAACCATGTAATTGTTTTGGCATGCTAGAAGGGATGGTTCCCACTTGATATTGAATCTGATACTCAAATTGCAGTGCAAATGCTATTTTCAGATTTGGAGGAGAGTCCCTTTTATAATTTGGTAACTAACTGCCAGAAGATGCTTTTGTACAAAGACTGCAGTATTACTCATAAATGTAGAGAAGGAAATTGCCTTGCGAATAACTTGCCATGTTTGGGCTCAAAATTAGAATGGGGTGTATAATTTGGGAGGGTGTGCCTGAAGGATTTGGACATTCTCTACTGGAATATTTGAGTGGATTTGCTAGACCAGGAGTTTGATTATATAGTTTTTGTTTCTGAGATTCAGCTTCCTTAGAACAATAAAAAAAGCATGTTCAAAGTCCTGCAACACACCTAGTATCATCCATACTACTTCTCATAATGTAATTCATAAAAAAGAGTCATTCATCATATATATAAAAACAAAATGCTAGTCATACCACATTTATATACCACGTTATGTACAGAATATCACGTGAACTTATACCCTAGTTTCAATTTGTCATCTTAAAGAAAATTTTAAGAGAAACGTCACCCTTAATTTTTCAAAATCCATGATTTGTCATTTAACTTTAACACCATTCAATTTCCATCCATTTTTTAAAAGGATATTTGAGTCTTTCCATTTTCAAGGAAAAAAAGAGAGAGAAAAAAGAGAGCTCTCCCTCCCTTTCTCCCCAACCCCAACCCCACACCACCCGCCCCAAAAACACATCGCACAGGACCAACCCCTTCCCCTTCTCTCTCTCTCTCTTCATGTATAACCCAAAATCCAACTCCTTTCTTGTCTTCATAGTTTCATTTAAGCCACTATGTTTCTGTTGAAGGATCTAAAGTTTGCTTGGTCACCGTTTGTTACCTAGACTACCTAATTATTGGTTTGGTAGCTGTCCTTCCACAAATTTTCAATATCCAAATGGGAAAATTCCAAAAAGAAAAAATAAGAAGAAAAAGGTGGGCTGAGGGAATTTGTGAATGGGAGAGTAGGTGTTCCATGGTAGAGAGAGGAGGAAGGGGAAGAAGGAAGGGGGAATGGATTTCAAAGTGGGCGGGGTTGGTTGGAGCCGTACATGTACCCTCTCCGTATTTGGCGTCAGGAAAAGTTAGTATTTTGAATCTGACGGCAGTACTAGGTAATTAGAATAAAACTTCAGGTAGGGTTTCCTATTGTAAGGCGGCCGGTAATGAGCAGTTTCCAGAACAAAAGGAAAACTAAACCGACCCGTACAACCTTTTGATCACGTTGAATCGAGCGGATCTCAAAAGAGCCCGCTGTCACTCGAGAAGTGGTGCAAGAAAGATTGAGAATGCTATTCGATTGTCAAGCCCTTCTTGTGGCCAGGGAAGGAGTGGCGGAAGGGTACAATTGGCATGTTGGGCTTTTTAACAAAAATGCATCAACATACACTGCGAAAGATCGGATTAAGCAAGCCTTCAGCGAATGGCAAGAAAGCGAAATCCAGGTTTCATTCCATAAGGCTTGGGCTTCGGTTTGTAAACAGATTCTTCAACTCGACCTCCTTGGTTAAAAAAAACCGGGACGAAGGGGAAAGGCACATGGGATGGGGGAAGGTGAAATTTTCTTTTTCTTTTTCTTTTCAATTTTAATTGTTTAAAAGATATACAATTGCTTTTATATTGATTTTTCTATTTTTTTTAAATACCCTTGAAAATAGAAAGACTAAAATACCCTTAAAAATTGATGGAAAATTGGATAATGTTAAAGTCATCATAAATTATGAATTTAAAAAAATTAAGGTGACATTTCTACAAAAAATCCAAAAAAAATATTGATACTCGTACAACCAACTATTTTAACACAAAACAATCTTATTTATGCACTGTACATACAAAATTCCAAACTGGAACCATTAAACTCGGTAGTCTCACGATACTTGAGTTTGAGTCCTAACCTCATAAATAGTTATCATGAATAACTCAAATTTTGAGGTGTAGTCCTAATAACTACAAGTGCTAAATATTTCATCATCCAACACTAAAAGCTAAAACAGAGCAAGAGTTACAGAAAAAAGCTAGAGCACCAGCCAGCCAGGGTGTGATTACCTCAGTGGTAGAGGTGTTTATTTGCAAAACCCCATGGCACCAGTTCGAATCCCCTTGTGTGCGCCTCCCACCGCCACCCTAGATTAGTTGATTTAGCTCTATCTTAAAAAAATACTGAAAATAATTATAAATAAATAAATAAAGAGACCAGAGCACCAACATGATCAACATGCTGCACGCATACATCTAGCACATACAAAAGGCTTTACCGCAACATGAGCTCCAACACCATTTCAATTTTTACAAGCTTTCCTTGTGCTTCCAACTCACAATTTTTCAGATTGCTCAGTTTATGGTTAAAGAATCTCACAAAGTTGACAAACACTATAAACAAATCACAAAAACCTAAATAAATATAGAACCAGCCAGGATGCCTTACATAGAAGCAGCTGGGTTTCTTTAGGTCCTTTTCTGTGTCAACAGAATATCTTCATCAATCAAATATCATCATTGATCTGAACTTTTGTTAAACCTCTCGTGGTCTTTTTTAAAGCAACGGATGAACCAATCTTCAAACTTTTTAGCCTTGACATACAAAATCAAAGTTCAACCGACTAATCTACAGAGATCACATATACAGCATATCCAATTACAACATCATGTCATGGGATACTAGTAAGTAACATTGAAACTTAGCCTAAATGGACAACTCATAAGATAAATTTGATTTCATCTGAATAACTTGTGCTTCTAGAAAACTAGACAGTAGTAGGTTGTGCTGAATTGCATAGGTGGTCTGCGAGAAATCCAAGTAAGATTCTCACTTCAAAACTAAATCCATACTGTGACAATGTTAACGTGAATAATGAATTACCTTATGCCTTTCCCCTCTGGAAGAATCAGAAGCTTCAAGGCTCTTGAGATTTTCCCTAACAACTGCTCACTTAGAATTTCAATCGATCTACAAAGAGTAAAAACAATGTCCACAAATGGCAGCTGACCTGTCATAAGTCAACAAGTTCAGATGAGCATTTTACCAATTTGATCAAATTTTGACTGCTATCTAACTATGAAGATGAAGTACAGAGACATGCGTATACACATACAACTACAAGTAAAAATACAAGAAACATGCGTATACATATTAATTTTTTATATTTTATGTCGCGAAGGGATCAAATTGAAAACTTAGTTTTGAAAATCCTACTTAATTCTTAGAAGTTACACAAACAGAAAATTTACCTTACAGACAGAACAGAAGGAGCCGAATTTTTTGACAAAAAAGAAAAAGGAAAGAGCCGGATTTAGTAAAAGACCAACACTAGAGGCTTGGATTGCTTATACGCTTTTCCTTTCTCCTTCCCTCTCTTCATAAATAACAACATACATGTATATAATTATATCTGGTTGAGATTAAGAGAGGTGGACTCTCCTCCATAGTAGTCATTCCTATCCATATGCAGTACCTATTTCAGGTAAATACCATATTAGCATCAGCTAGCAGCCTAAACATTCTTATCAATGAATGATCTAGCTAAAGCAAAATTTATTCTGATTGAAAAAGGAAAAAGTTCCATAAGCTTCACCTTGAGACCATCCACTGAGAGGTGAAGAGGCCGCTGAGAATGCATTCTTTGAGGCCCGTTCCGAGCACTATGACGTCGCATTCTTCATCCATGGCTCTGAGAGGCAGAGAGATCAGAGGGGAACAGAGTGTTTGTTTTGTGCTTGTGTTTTTGCCTGTGTGAGAAAAATTGGGGTTGGTTAATGGGAAGAAGAAGTTTGTGATGAAGAAGTGAGGCTACATTTAAGCTAGAGAAGGATGAGGTCTCTGTCTGACTGTCTTAGCAAAGCCAGGCGTCCCTGGAGTTTCGGTTAAAACCGTTATTAGCCCCCCACCTACGGTTCCACGTGGAAGCGGCTACTGCCTAAAACGAATGTCTTTTTATTTTCTTTGTCAAACATGTTTTAAATGTATATAGTTTTGTTTGATTTAAAAAATTAGCCTCTCTGCACGTGCTTTCACGCTTGCAAGAGGCTTTTTTTAAAAAGAATAATAATAATTTATTTTAGAATTTAAAAAAAATGAGTAGTTGTGTTCCATAAAAATAAGATTAATTATCTTATTTTTCTTTTAATTTAAATTTTTTAAAATATGAAAATGTGTGAATTTACCATATTATCCTCATTTAATTAATAATTTCAATTCTTAATGTTTGCATTAACCAATGACATTTTCTGGTATTTTGAATGTTTTACCATTCTCTGCAAAAGATATATAGATAATAAAAACTACATTTCATTCCTTAGATAAGATAAAAAATTTAAGCGCATCCTTGTCACATTTGGGGGATAAAATAGGGCAGGGGCAGGGGGAGGTCAACTGCCGCAGAAGAGCTGACTTTGGGGAGAAGATTCTAACAGGTTACTCTATAGGATTGATAAGGGGGTTGAAAAATTTACCTATGGATGTCATTATGGCGGTATTTCAAAACAATCACGCATTATAATGTGTATTAGTTTTCTCACATAGTAGTGCGTAATTAGCTTGAGGTACCGCTACATTGACATTCCTGTGTTATAGAACTTCTCATGGAAAGCAATTGAGATTCTGCATTATTTATTTAGCCAATCTGAAAGTACAAACACAATTAAGATAGGAGAAAGTACAAACACGCCGAATATAAAAGAATCCATGGTCCAAATCTTAAATGCTAATCATCAACATACATCTGCCAATTGCTGAAGTGACAGATGAAAACTCGAATTTTATTACATGCAAATTAAAACACACACAAAAACATCAACTGCAATTTTATGAACATCAACTTAAGAAGCCAATCTAGATCAGTCTTGGGGTCAAAACATGACGAACAAGTTCTTCCCAACCCCAAACTCATGGGTAAAATCTTCAATCCCAGGACTAGTTTCTGCAAAATATATAAAAAGACAAAAGCAATATTGTAATTAACAAACAATTTCTATGGCTTTACATCCATTAACAGAGATTTGAACGAGAGCAATTTCTTGAACACAAGTCCAATATTCCAAATCATTAAGTTTAGGAAAGTCAATGAAAGGATAAAAGATACTTACGTATATTTCTTACATCTCTCGTCGACGAGTAGCATCCTTGCATGATCCACACCTCCTTCTTCTATGGACTCTCTAAACTTCTCTGAAACATTATCAAATCTGTATCGTTTTAGTTTAGTAAGGTGCTCAACACCCTGTGGCAATGTTTCCAACGTCATGCAACTATGAATGTCTAAGAACTCGAGATTTGGCATCGCCCTTTTTTCTATGGTTATCTTATTTAATAATGCGAGATTCCGCAACCGCAAATACCAAAGCTTCACAAAGCCTCTGATGAAACATAACTCTTTCCTAACAGAGGCATCATCCAGGGAAAGCACATGTAAAGAGGGTAATGCTTCAATATGACGTAGTAAATCTTCTTCAAGTCTGGACTCTTGCAAATTCATATATGTGAGAGAGTGGAGTGAACAAAACCAATGTGGTACCTTTTCCAGTTTGCCGCTAAAGTCAAGTCTTTCAAGGTAGGGAGGCGATGAAGACAATGCGTCAACTCGAAGAAATTCCTCTCCATCGGCTACAAATAAAAACAAGCGGGAAAGGACCTTCATCTCTTGAATTGAGGCACATAGGTCCTCCTCGTCTCTTTCTTTCACATTTGTAATGCCAAGGAACGTAAGCTGGGTCATACTTCCAATAAGTCTAATAATGTTTCCTTCTGATTCAATATATGCCAAAGTTTGCAATTTCTTCATCTTACTAATACTTAATGGTATTCTTACCCCAATAAAATTTCCGGAAATGAACCTGCCCACAAGTAAATGGCGCAAGTTTATCAACTTGGAAATCCCTCTTGGAAGTGCAACTATTGTTGTCAGCATGATGTTCAAGGTCTGAAGGTTGCGGAGCTTTCCAATGGATTCTGGAAGCTCTGTAATTGGAGTTCCACTCAGATTTAAATATTTTAAATTAAAAAAGGACGTTCGCTTGTCTGGCAGATAATCAATTGGGGCATCCTCCAAATCTAGAACCTTCAACAATTTAAGGCCAAAAGGTAATTTATTTGGGAAAGAGAATGAGGATACGCCACTGCCAAAGACGAGAAATGTACGAAGCCGTGATGTACCTGTGCATGATCCAATTTCTCCATTAGTTATTTGAATTGACAAACGGAGTGCCCCAGTTTCTTCTACTGTTTCACTCCCATCATGTACAGCGCAAAGCTTTTCTTTTTTTGCTATAGACAGAGCAATCTCCCGCAAAAGATCATGCATCTTACATGCTGGGAGGGATCCTAGAAATATTTCCTGTAGCATGTTACGAAAAATGAGTTCCATAAGATAGCTATTTGCAACTTCTTCTGGCGTGAGCCCTTCGACATGTTCAACAAATCCTTCAGCGATCCACAATGTGATGAGCCTAAGATTTATGATCACATAATCTTCAGGGAAAAGGGAACAATATAGAAAGCATTGCTTCAACCGGTATGGCAAATCATTAAAACTAAACAACAAGATGCTTTTCATAGGTTCTAGTAAAGGATTGTTTGTTAAATGCCAATTTAAGCTGTTGTAGACTGTGCTCCACTCTGTAAGTGACTTCTTAGAAGACATAAGACCACTCAAGGCTACGATCGCAAGAGGTAGGCCTTCACACTTCTCCACAAGTTCCTGAGCTAACGGCAGAATTTCTGTTGAACAAGATTTGTTTGGATAACTTGAGAATGCTTTCATGCTGAAGAGCTCCCACGCATCACCCCTTTCCAGCGGTTGAATCTTGTGAACATGGCTTTCAACTCCAAAAGAAGAGGATGCTATGTCTTCTCTTCGAGTTGTAAGCATGACTCGACTTCCAAGTTGTTTATCTGGAAATGCAAACCTTATTTCTTCCCAAAGTTTGATATCCCACACGTCATCCAACACAACCAGATACCTTTTCGCCTCCAAATATTTCACCAAAATATCTAGCAATTCTCTATAACTCATGGAATTCAAGTCTGCCGTAACCTCTTCCTTCCTTGCTTGGTGAAATTCTTTGATCAATCTTCTAAACAAGTCTTCAATCACATAAGACTGTGAAACAGTAATCCACGCATAACACTCGAAATGGCTCTTCACAACGTCGTCGGTGAAGATCCTTGCAACTAGAGTTGTCTTCCCTGATCCCCCCATCCCGACCACAGACACAACAGTTTGGTGCTTGGCTTCATCCCTCAGCCATCCCAGTAACATGTTCTTATTGCCTTCAATCCCGAAAAGTTCATCCTCCTTCTGATAAAGAGAAGACTCCGCTTGATTCTGCACCCATCTGAGAATATCCTCAGAAGAAGTACTTTTTCCTTCTACAGCTGCACCACCACCATATCTTTGATTTCTCTCTGGAATAGCTCTAATTGCAATCACAATGTTCTGTAACTTGTTGGCTATTTTACGCTTATACCAAAGGTGCTTTGGAAACTGAATGGTTTTGTGGATCCATCTGGCAAATCGACCACCAATTTGCTGCTCGTACACGTGATACATGAATTCATCAATGATGTTTTCAACATCATTGGCCAAGTCTCGAACGCTTGTGATCCACACTTCCTCTACTTGTGTGTGTGCTTTGTTGCCCCCGTCAGCATCCGCTAAGAAGGCTTTCATGAATAGCAGCTCCTGCTTAATCTCATAAACTTGATCACGAACACCCGCTATGGAGGCGGCTTCACTCTCGAGAATGGCTACAAATTTGCCAGTGAAGAGATCTGTTGCAGCTGATGCCATAATTGTCTTATTCTAGTATATGCTTAATCAAAAGAGCATATCTGAAAATTGGGTCTAGGGAGCAATCAATCGTGTATGGAAATTCCAAGAAGCATTTCAGTGAAAAGCATTTGAATCGTGTATGAAAATGATTGGATCAAAATACATGGAAGCGAGAGAAGGTTGAACAGCAATAAGAGCTCAGATGTAACAGAGAGATTATAATTTATTAATTAGAAGTGGTTGTTAAGCAAGACCAATGGGAGTGTTCGATCGGTGATTAAACAATTGTTGGGCATTCTCCAGGTGAATATGAAATGGTGACTACTCCATGTCCACTTCCTAACATATAATAAGTTATCTGAATCGATAAACAAGTAATGCCAGCATAGAAAAACAAAATATTAACAGCTAAGATATGCATCTGTTTCACCTAAACTTCATTAGCGGATACAGCTGAAACTAATTATTTAATGTCAATAAAACAAAATAAAATAATTTTTTTATAAAGCTTATATAAGTGTTAATAGAGGGAGGGGCTGGTCTGGTGTCTTATTTTGCTTTTGTTGATGCTGGTTCTGCTCTTGTGGCTTTTTGCAATGATCTTTAGTCCAAGAAAAAAGGAAAAAAGAAAAAGAAAGAGGGAGGTGCTGGCAAAAAGGTAGTCGTTGTCGAATGGGAGGGTAGGCTTTTTAAGGAGATTGGAAACCATTTATAAATATAAATATATCTCCCTTTTTTTTATAGAAAAAATTGTATTTCATTAAACCGAAAGGAACATTATGTGGTAAGAACTAGCATGGTAAGGGCGGTATCGTTAAAACATTCCCAGAGAAAACAAAACTCCGGGGTAGGAAAGAATACCACCTTGCTATTAACTAAATAGAAGAGTCAAATAACTTATACGAAACAGACAAACCTAAAACCCAACCACAAAACCCTTAAAACAACATCCCATCACTATGTAGATACTGTCAAAAAAGTCCTCATGTGATCTAGAGAAAGCGTCATAGTTCTTCGTATATAATCAAAAATGTATTTTGGGTATCAGAATAGATCCAACCAATAGGGATGGCAGAAATCCCCTGGGGGCGGGTCCTCGTTGGGTCTCCAACCCTAATTGGGGGAGATTTTGGGGCAAAACGAGTATCAGGTACGGGGATCCCCGAACTTGAAAAATTCCCGACGGGTATTGGGCAGGGATGGTATTGGAGTCCCCGTCCCTGAATCCGACCTAAAAATATATATGTTTATATTTAAATAAATAAATATTTAATTATAATATTTATGTTTAACCCTAAGTTAACATCCTTCACCTACTTCTTCCTAATCTTCTTTGGTCTCCAACCAAGAGTGGCCCTGAGGGTGTGCAAGTGGTGCCACCACAAGGCCCCTGATTTTTTAGGCCCCCGATTTTTTTTATGTGTATAATATATGTATATATTAACAAATGTTATATATATATATATGCAAATTTTTGACACAAAGACATTTCTAGTTGTGTTGGTTTACAGGGCCTCAACTTTTATTCCTTTTTTTATTTTTTTAAAACAAAAATTAATAATCATAATAATAAAAAGGCAAACATGTTATTTTCTGTAAGTAATAATCATCTCTCTTTGGCTCTCTTTTTTAATCCTTTGATAAAATTTTTTTTTCAATTTCAAGGATTTCAACACAAAAAATTGACCAAAAAAATTCATAGATGTCACTCAAAAGCAAATAGTCATATTTAAATCTGAATTCAAATCAAATATGTATCTAAATTTCAATTTATATATACTAAATGCCTTACTTAATTATCATGTTGATTGGTTATATAATGAAAGATGATTTAATTTGTAATTTGTATGCTAATTGATGATGATTTTTACTTAAGAAAATCTTGAGGCAATCTTGAGGATTTTTGCACAGTGCACCCGAGTTCGATTCATGTAAAAGACAATCTTGAGGCAACCCAATATAATACTCCCCCATTTCCCTCCCCATCGAATGACAAAAATAAAATAAAAAAGATCCAATTGCATAAAGTAGTATAAAAATTATAGTTGAAAATTTATTATGTACATAATGTTGAAAGATGAAACTGCTCTGCTATTTGTCAATCACATAATGCTGCAACCACTGTTTAAAGCAACTTGTCCGATGTCAACACCAACATTCAATATCCCAGATGCTTTCACAACCACATACTGAAATAATAAATACCCGATCACAAGAAATTAGTCAGTAATTATGTAGGCAAAGGTGATGCTCCTATTCTTTATTTAAAATTTAGCTAAAAACACACAAATGTTATTTTAGGAACTCCAATCATACTCCCTAAGTTAGAAAGTCATAAATACTATAGTTATTTTTTAATTCAATATGATTGGTCTCTATTTAAAAAAATAGTTTGTATTAATTAAAAGTTTAAACTATGCATAAAACAAAACAACATTAAATTATAAGGAGCCACTAGGAGTCCTTTCTCTCTCCTCAGATTTAGGAGTTCCTAGAGATCACTTTATTTTAGGAGGTGAATGGAGAGCATGCTTGGAGTTGTATTTTTCCAATTCCTCCCTAAAATTTGTCTAAGGAGGTGGTTTAAGGACCCTATTGTAGATGCTTTAAGTGCGAGTAATTATAGTGTACGTAGTGTGAGAGTATGTCACATGGTATAACTCGTTTGTTAGAATATATAAGTGGATATTTATTGATATTATATCATAAAAGTGGGAAATATTAACCATATCGCTCATCCATATTATAACACTTGGACGCAATAAAGCGTCCATACATGTGGGTTTTTGGCAAGTCATTAGACGCAAACAAGTTTAAACACTTAAATCAATCTCAACCACATGATTTCATTAAAATATTCCAACGACTAAGCACATCATTCCTCAAATGATGACACTGAATATATATATATATATATATTCTTCAGCAAGAATATTCTAATTACCCCAATAATATCTATGTTCCTATGTGCAGATATTGTTTGTCACGTGCGTACGTCCCCACCATTGACTTTACCCGAGCTCTTCAATTACTCATGTAGATTTTGTTTTCAAGTGCCCATAGAGATAAGGCTTCCATATATAGGACTCACCTCAATTAAAAATGTACAAGATTGTTTTTATATATGCTCAAATATTCAGTTTTGCAAAAATAATGCATCCAACTAACTCAACCAAAAAAATTGCATCCAATTAATGATGTTCTTGGAATATTGATACAAAATAAATTAGGTGTTAAAAAATATTTAATATATGAATATGATCTATGATGACAAAGACTCATCATCACAATCATGGTGATTATTCAAAAGGTGTAACATGCCTAACCCAATTTAATCGATTTAATTCTTTTGTGAAATTTCAATTTTGCTCTTGGGAGTAGGCGTACTTTGGTCACTTTAAGGAAATAAAAAACATTTATTGTATGACATTACGTAATGGTGTAAGTTTGTGTTAGATTATGTGAGGCCCCAATTTAAGGTTTGTACAGGGCCTTCAAAATCTCAAGACCGGCCATGTCTCCAGCCGCACCCCTCTCTCTCTCTCTCTCTCTCTCTCTCTCTCTCTCTCTCTCTCTCTCTCCCTCCGCTCTAGCAGTCGCATCCCCTTCTTGCCGACACTGACTTTAGTCAACCATAAGGCTTTGACTTCGGCTGCTTGAATTGCAACCACATCACTCCACTCCACCAGCTTCTGTCCCGCTGCCATAGCAGTGGCCTCCAGGGCTTTACCAATGGCGATTTGAGCACCAGCCCCACCAGTTTGAATGATGTTTACCGCTGCCAAAGGAGCTCTCTCTAGCTGTATTGCCCCACAGCCTACCCTTCACAAACAACAAACATAAACGTATATACATGTATTATATATTATGTTTCCATGTGCAAGTTGCAACCAATGAAAATTTGTAAGATGAAAATTTATGTTTACATATTTATGCTTTCCCCCTCAGCCGCATCCCCCAAAATTTGTAAGATGATCATGATGAAGATCATATATATTTGTGTTGAGGCCCAAAAATCCTAGGGGCTAAGCCCAGATTAATTATTGGCCCAACATAGATAATTAAACGCAAAAGAGGTGCAATCGAGACAAAAGATAATTTGTAGGAGGCACCAATACAAGTTACTGGCCACGCATCATGCCAAGCAAGCACGTGCTGAAAGGGCCAAGAACATGCCAACTTTACAAAAATCACGCTCACATACTCATTAGGTGTTACTTGGCCCAATTATAGCCTATCACGGAATAATAAAACTCAAGCACAAGCGCAGGTGTCATGCAAGAAGAGCCATTATTCTAACAACAAGCTATGCCACAAGCTTAAGTGGGCCCAAGCCACAAAATTACCCTGGGCTTGCTGAGAAGGTTGTGGTGTGGATGGGTGCAAGCGTTCACAAGGCCCATTTAAGGGATCAAGGAATGAGAATTTTGGGCTACTTGGGAGTACCAAAATTCAAGCCCATTTCTTGGCCCTAAACACATGCGCTAGCATGAGAGAGAGAATATGACCCAATGCCTTAGGAAGAATACAGTGGTTTGCTTAGAAAATCCTGTGTTAATTAGAATGCCCAAATACTTTGTTAAAAACACAACAGGCAAGCTGCTTCCAGCAGCTTGACGAAAACAAGCTGACCAATTGCTGGAGAGTAGAATATCACTGATCCATAGCTTTGGGAAAAGCCCAGCCCAACTTATAAAAATCTAGCACCAAGTTCCACCTCTGTTAGAACTCCAAGAATGACCAACAAAGGAGCCATGGTAGAGACCAAAGGAAATCTACGAAGGGTAGGATGAATACCCATCGGGCAAAAGCTCTACCCATTTTCTTTTCCATTACAAGCTTCGTTTTGGAAACCAAGAGGGAAAGCAAGTGGCGCCTCACCCTCATGGGGAAGTCCAGCTGCGTTGAACCCTTGGAACCACAAAAGGTTCCTTACCCATGCACCTTGGATAGGAGGATTTCACCAAATTATATCAAGTAGGAAGAAACAATGAAAAATGGGAAGGAAAAGGTAAGACGAAATTAGGGTTCTTTGTGGCTATAAAAGAGGGCCTCAGCTACCCAGAAAACCAACCCATTCAGGGCCTGACCAAGCATTGTCAAGCAACTAATAATTTACTCAAGCCACCTAATCCTCTTCTTTGTTCGTTTTATTCTTCCCTTGAGGAAGAAATCGTTTTAATCCTCCTCTGCCCACTTCAAACCATTGTTCTCTATAAGAAATTCATGCTTCTCTCTCTCTCTCAAATTGCTAAACTTGTGAAAGCTTAGTTCTCATGCCACAAGCTCCTCAAGCTAAGCCATTAATCGATTTATCATGTTTATTTGGCTATTAGTGAAAAGAACCTAAGAGTGTTTTTCTAAAGTCTCATCCGATTTTTAAAAAACTCTTTTGGGAGCTTGGTTTCGAACTCAGACACTTGGGGAATTTTGTTTCTTTTTCTTCTTATGGCAGCCCAAGCCCATTTGTCAGGCTGCTAGAACAAAAAGACCCCTACAATTTGTTTTGTCAAATTGAATTGATGTGATTTTGAATAGTTGAGTAGAACTTTCTAGTTAATTTGGATGTGTTGAATGATAATTTAATATGAAACTTAATTTTTAAATGTATGATAAATATTTTTTATGAAAAAAAAATCGAGGATTGGGGGCTAGTACAGGGGATAGTCCCCTGATAGGGACGGAGATGGGGATTCCCCGAAACCTATTAAATGGGGATGGGTTCGGGACGAGGGCGGGGATGGACAGCGGGGATGGGGATGGTATTGTCATACCTTGCCCCTACCTTACCCGTTGCCATCCCTACCAGCCAATCACCTAACTGCAAAACCATTGAAACACATCCCATCACTACACAGGTACTATCAAAGAAAGCCTCCTATGATCTAAAGATAGTAACATAGTTCTTCGGACAATGTCAAAACGCATTGTGAGCATCATAACAGATCCAGCCAAACACCAACCGCCACCTCCAGTTTTCTTGATCTAGAATCCCAGTTGACAAGCAAGGGAGATCAAGATTGGCCTCTTAGCCTGAAGAAATTTCCGAAAAAAGATCTTCATAGTAGCAATGTTCATCGGTTGCCAAGCCCACGAACGTTCCACAGGAGAATTATTAAGGAGACCTTGGAGACCCCTCGAGGCTAGTCTCCTTCAACTTGTCAACAAAATCCTCGATACAAAAACTACACTTACCAGAAAAAGCCATGCCACTAACAATCAGATGCCTAACACTAGTTTTCACTCTCTTCTAATTCCCGTTTGGTGCCACATACTTGTCATTCCCTTGAGCAGAAAAGGAGGTGATCACTTCCATAGTATTAAGATGGAGATCCCTTACCAGCGACTGCCTCCTTGGAAACCCAGGGGAGCAATGAATGGTATATGCATTTTCGAAAAAGCATTCTGCCATGGTTGGGCTCTGATGCACTAGAGAGAGAGAGAGAGAGAGAGAGAGAGAGAATTAATAATTAGAAATCGATGTTACGCATGACCATGGTTGGGACAAACGTTGATTAAACAATTGTTGGGCGTTCTCCCATGCATGTGAGGATGTGTAGTCCATGTGCTGTGACGGTTGCTCAACTTTCTAGCATAGAATCAGAAAGAAACTCACAAATCCCCCCCCCCCAAAAAAAAAAAAAAAAAAAAAAAAAAAAAAAAAAAAAAAATAAAACTATATAATATTTACCAAATAAACGAATTACTTAATAGCTACAATACAACGAACCCATAAATTGCTGGAAATTGTTCTTTTTAGGGTCCTACAGAATTCAAAAGCAGTACACCAACTTATCCATGGAGCTTAGCAATAGCTGTCCAGAGCCCAAAATCTACCAATTACCCACTTAATCCCTCAACATTCTATACAAAATACCATATTCACAAGCTCTCAATTACATCTTGAGCAATGCTTTCAACCTCATAAAAGAAACTTCTCTTCCCATTGAAGAATTTAGAGCCTCTCTCGTCTTCCTCCTCATCAAGCTCCTCTCTTTCTTTCATTTCTTTTATTAACTTTAGGGGTTCTTAGATATAGGTCCATTTTCATTAAGATACAATGGATGAAGGACAACAATTTTGGCTCCTCAATAGCAGTCCACCAAACAATCCGATGGACACGTAAGCAATGCTTTTGTCCATCCTTTTTAAGATACTTCTCGTGCCATTAAATAGAAAAGGCAAATAAAACCGACCCCTCCCAAAAATCTACTTATCTCCTACAATTATGGTCATTTTATCCCAATCTCTGCTGATTTTTGACTTCCTTAATGAAGATTTTCACAAATTCCAAATTAGGATTAAATTACTTGTGTTACAGTCTGATATTTTTTTTTTTCGTTAGGTTTGCTATGAAGTATTCAACTTATCTTCTTTTTTTTTTCGTTAGGTTCATGTGTCTATAATGGAGGTAGTTTGAGTGTTGAATATGGGGTGGAAAATAGTTGACATGGCACATACCTACAATGAAGGTATGTAAGGAAAGGTTTATTTTTCATGTTTGTTCTTTGTAGGTAAAATTTGATTGTGTTTTTTTCTTCCCGTTTATTAGTATTGGTTGATGTACCTGCAGTACCTTAGGCTTATAAGGTTTGTTCTTCAAGATTACTTGCTGTTGTAGTGAAAAATTTTATGAACCAAACTAAGTCTATAGGACAGGTAGAATATCCAACTATACCTATACAACAGGTTTGTATCACAAACATTACCTGTAGAACATGTATACATGCCAAACGTTTATGTGTTTGTAATAAATGTATTTGTCCAGTAATGGTTTATGTAATATATTTGTAGTAAGAAGAATGCTAGCAACCTTCTCTTTAACCTTCTCCTTTGGACCTTCTCTCTTTTTAGCTTGACATGTATCATTCTTCTTACACTTAAAACAATGTCACTAATATACTATACAAGGTAACTTTTGCTTTCCAAGTTTACCCTTATTAAATGTATTCAATTTATCCAACAAAAATTCACAACTTTCTTACCATCTTATTAATTTTTTTTTAAATGTGAATTATTTTTTTAAAGAAAATGTTTGCTTTTTTCAAAAACGAGGAAATGTCCTTTTTTTTGTAAACAAAAAAAGGTTGAGTTGAATAGGGTGGGGAGAGCTTTTAATAGTTCTAAAGGTCTGAATGTTGTGGGAATGCAAGTTCGTGGGGCTGATGTGCTGGCTGATGTTCTTGGGAAGTTTTCTTTCAATATGGAGGGGCCTTTCTTTTTCGAGTCTTCTCTAGGGAAAGTTGGGCTGATTCATGGTCATGAACCCCCAAACATTGGTCAAAGGGTGCTTAATGAAGCTTTCTTTTCTGGTGTTAGTTTAACCTCTGACAATTTGAATCACCATGGTGACTTTGTTGATCAAGGTGATGCTGAGTTTGATGTGGGTACGACTATGGTCGTTAAACAAGCTGCCTCTACTAGTGGTGAGGCTGAGCAAGTGCAGAATTAGGTTTTTCCTAGGTTCTTCCCTCTCTTCCTTTGTTATGATGATTATTGTCTCATGGAATGTAAGGGGTGCTGGCAAGGAAATTTGTGCTCGTACTATCAGAGATTTAAAGAAGGCTTATGCTATTGATATTCTAGTCAATCGATTACTACTCTTGTGCAATTAGGGACTAATTGGTGGTTGCTCACTGTAGTGTATGCTAACCCTTGCCTAGGTATTCGTAAGTCTCTTTGGGCTTATTTCGATGGCCTTGCTCAGGCTTCTAAGCTGCCTTGGTTAATTTTAAGGGACTTTAATGACATTGTTTGTGCTTATGAAAATTCTTGTGGAAATTTTGATTCTGGTGGACAGAATTTTGTTGATTGGATTGATCATAATCAGCTCATTGATTTAGGCTTTTCTGGAGCTAAGTTTACGTGGTGTAATAAAAGGAATGCAGAGGGTATCACTTGGAAAAGGCTGGATAGGGGTTTGAGCAATATTGCGTGGAGATTGTTGTTTCCTGAGGCAAATCTTTCGCACTTGCCTAGGGTGAATTCAGATCACTGTCCTATCATGGTTAGATTTTCTTCTGCTCATCTTCCTGATAAAGATTGTGTGCCTTTTCGGTTTCAAGCCATGTGGTTCACCCACCCTGAGTTTTCTGAGTTTATTACTAAACTTTGGCAGTCTAATAATGGTAATGCGATTATTAAATCTGCTGGGCTTGTGTCCCCTCTTGTTTCTTGGAATAGGCAGGTTTTTGGTTGTCTTTTTCGAAAGAAACGAAGACTTTTGGCTAGACTTGAAGGCATTCAAAGGAAGGTATGTTTAAGTTATAACCCCTATCTCAGTAAGCTTGAGAATGAGTTTTCTACTGAGTATAATTTGATCCTTGAGCAGGAAGAGTTGTTTTGGTTACAGAAGTCTAGAAATACTTGGTTAAAGGAAGGGGATAGAAACACTCACTTTTTCCACTTGTCTACTGTCATAAGGAGGAGGAGGAATAAACTTGAAGGTCTGAATAATGAGGCTAGAATTTGGATCACTAATAAGGTTGGAATGGAACTGACTATTGTCAATTACTTCCAAGGGTTGTTTGGTGATACTGGTCTGGTTGATGATTATAGGTTGCTCCCTCATCTTTTTCCAAGGTTGGCTGATATGGATTTAGAAGGTTTAAGTTGTGAGGTTACTAATGATGAAGTTAAAAACAGTCCGTTTGCTATTTGGGGATTAAAAACTCCTGGACCTGATGGTTTTCCTGCCCTCTTTTATCAGAAATGTTGGGGGATGGGTTCTGTTGATATTATTGCTTTGGTGAATGATTGTTTTTTAACTGCTTCTCTTCCTGAGAATATCAATGAGACGTTGATCGCTTTGGTGCCTAAAGTTGAGAGACCTGTTTCCAAGACTCAGCTTCGCCCCATCAGTCTTTGCAACACTCTCTATATAGTGATAATTTCTAAGATTCTTGTTGCTCGGCTTCGGCCCTGTATGGCTAGTTTGGTCAATCCTAATCAAGTGAGCTTTGTTCCAGGAAGACAAATTGTTGATAACATTGTTGTGGGTCAAGAAATGTTGCATAAGTTTAAAAGTTCTAAAGGGAGGAAGGGTTTCATAGCTTGGAAAATTGATTTATCCAAAGCTCATGATCGGTTAAATTGGGATTTTATTAGAGAAGTGCTTTGGGAGGTTGGGATTCGTGGGAGAATTCTTGAGCTTTTAATGCAGTGTATTAATTCGGTGCGATATAGGGTGATTCTCAATGGTGAATTAATTGATACTTTCTTTCCTAAATGTGGCATTCGGCAAGGGGACCCCATTTCCCCCTTTCCCCCTATCTTTTTGTTTTGTGTATGGAAAAGCTTTTGCATATTATCCAGCAGTCTGTCCAAGATAAGGCTTGGAAGCCGGTGCAGATATGCCAAAGCGGTCCTGTTATCTCTCATCTCTTCTTTGCTGATGATTTGATTCTCTTTGGGGAAGCTTCTGTCAATAAGGCTACTGTCATGAAGAAATGTTTAGACGATTTTTGTCGTCTCTTTGGTCAGAAGGTGAGTTTTGAGAAATCTATCATTTGTGTTTCTCCAAATACTTCTTCTGAGTCGGCTCAGGATATTGCAACTATTTGTGGTTCCCCTCTCACTACTTGTCTTGGCAAGTATCTTGGTGTTCCTCTTATTCACACATGAGTCACTAAAGCTACTTATCAAGAGATTATTGTAAAAGTCCAAAGGAGGTTATCTTCTTGGAAAAGTCATACTCTTTCTATGGCTGGTTGTCTGACTCTGTTACAATCAGTCACTTCTACTATCCTTATTTATTCCATGCAATCTGCTAAATTACCGGTTTCTATCTGTCAGAAACTTGATCAATTAAATAGAAATTTTTTATGGGGGCATACTACGGATCAAGCGAAGGTTCACTTGGTTAGTTGGGACACTGTCTGTAAGCCTAAATTTGATGGTGGCTTGGGGATTAAAATTCTACTTGGATGAATCAAGCTCTTCTTGCTAAATCTGGTTGGCGTTTACTGCAGCGTGAGCAAGGTCTTTGGGCTCAAGTGTTTAATGCTAAGTATCTAAGGCATTGCGATATCCTTGCCGCTAAAGATCTACATTTCCAGAGTAGCTCCAATGTCTGGAAGGGTATCTTATATGGTGCTCAAGTTCTTTCTGTTGGTGTTAAATGACGCGTGGGGTCTGGGGATGATATTTTGTTCTGGACTGATAGATGGCTTAGTTGTGGACCTTAACAATTTGCTCTAATTGATTTATCTGAGGACATCTTCATTTAAATGTTAGTGACTTTTTAGAGGATGGGGTTTGGGATTTCAATTGCTTAATGGAATGCCTGCCTATAAATATTGTCAACTTGATTCTTAGTATTCATGCTGGCTATAATGGGAGTGGGGAGGATAAATGCATCTGGCAGGCTACCTGTAATGGCCAATTTTATGTTAAAACTGCCTATAACACCTTTTATCTGGATGAGGGCAGTGTTAATTGGAAATGGGACTTTATTTGGAAGCTTCATGTTCCGCCAAAGGTTAAGACTTTCCTCTGGCTGTTGTGTCATAAGAAGTTACGTACGAATGCTCAAAGATTGAAGAGAAAGCTTACTAATGCTGCTGTTTGTCCCAGATGTGATTGTCCTTTGGAATCTTGTGCTCATCTCTTTATGGATTGTGCTGCCACTCTTGCTATTTGGAATAGACTTGGATTTGGGAGAGTGGAAGCTAGTCAGGATGATTTTGATGACTGGCTTTTGCATAATTTGAAATCTAAGAGGCTTGTTACCCATAGCCTGCCCTGGCACTTGGTTTTTGCTATCTTTCTCTGGTTCATATGGAAATGGAGATGTAAGGTGGTTTTTTATCAAAATTTTTCTTACTTGCTGAACCTCATCTGATGATTTATTAGTTTGCTTTGGAGTGGTGTTCAGCTTGTAATCCAATGGCTATTCTCCCGGAGCGTAGTGTTGCTTATCTCCATTGGATGGCCCCTCTTCCTAGTTGTTGTAAAGTCAACACTGATGGTAGCATAATTAATTCCTTTGGTCTTATTGGGGCTGGGGGTTTGTTAAGAGATTCTTGTGGGAATTGGATCAAGGGTTTCTTTGTGAATTTGGGCCATGGTTCCATCATTGAGGCTGAGTTATGGGGGATTTTTTGGGGGATTAATATGGCTTGGGATGTTGGGTTTCGCATAGTGGAGATTGAGTGTGATGCTACGTCTACTGTGGCTTTGTTAAAAAGTCCTATTTTGTCAACACACCCTCTCTTTAGTATTATCAACTGCTGCAAAAAGAAGATTCATGAGGATTGGTGCTGCTTTGTGAAGCATATTTTCCGTGAACAGAACTGTGCTGCGGATGCTTTGGCTGTTAAGAGTTATGATTTTGATCCTGGTCTCTATGTGATTTTGGAGGCTCCAGCTTTTCTTAGTGAGATTTTAGCTGCTGATGTTCGAGGTGTTGCTAGACCTCGTCTTGTCTCTTATTAGTTTCTTTTTGGCTTGGGGCTTTTAGCCCTCTTCTGTACCAAAAGAAAATAAATATATTTTTATGCAAGTCATAATGATCATGATAATAAAATAATACTATTTTCATTTCATAAAAGTCTTTCTGATAAGGATTGCCCGTAGATTTTTTTGGATCCACTTGCCTACTTTGGAATATTATAAGATCAATCTCCTCGAAGTCCACAACCTGAACCAGTTACCAAGTAACAAAATCTACGGAAAAGAGAAAGTTCGAACAACAATAAGATTTCATGTGAGCGGAGCTCTAAGCATGACCAATGGGAGTGCTCTCTCAATAAGTCAATTACAATTTACATTCGCAATAAGAGAAGTTAGTGGTTTTTCAAAAAAAATATATAAATAAGAGTGCTGTTATTTTTATCACTTGTTCTATTTTGTCACTCATCTTATTTTCCCACCTACTATGTAAATTCGAAAAAACACAATTTTATCTTTTCACTCACCTTTATTCTTAAAATAACCTTTAATTATAATTTGGTACTAAATGATAACATGTCATAATTTGGTTAAAAAACAGCCCATAACAATTATGAGTCTTGCCTCCATATTCGGCCTCCATAATAAATCAAGATATCAAAAACCCAAAAATATTACAGTGCCTAGTTTCTTGGGCTTTGGGAAGTGTTTTCCCAAGTTCGTTCTTCGTTTTTGAAGGAGTTAATGAGTCTTCGATGGTTGGTTTATGTGTTGCGAGAGATTTTAATATTTGTAATTTTTGTATTTGTTTTGTGTGTTTGCAATTCTTTCACTTATCATTAGTTCTAGTGGAAATATCTCGGTCTTCATGGGAGCAGTGGCAGAGGTACTATGGCTTTTGGTGGTGTTTCTGCTTTTGGTTGGCTCTAGCTTTATGCCAGTTTTGGACTCTAACTTTATGTCAGTTTTGGGCTTTGAATTTATGTATGTTCGAGTTTTATTTCTAGTGGGCTTCTACTGTTGCATTTGTCTGGACTCATTGTTATGAGTTCCACTATCATGTAATTGGCATTGGCTTTCTATTAATTAAACTTGATTTTGGCAAAAAAATTTTTGTCAAATTCCACCAGATACAAATATACTCAATTAAATAGGAATAAAAATAACTCATAAATGAAACTATATGTTTTACCAAAGAAACAAATTACTTAATAGCTACAACACAACAACCCTATAAATTGCTGTAAATTGTTCTCTCTGGGGTCCTAAAAAATCCAAAGCAATAGCTAAAAGGTGATTTATGATAAAGTTTTTGAAGTTTACCCTGTTTATTAAAAGACGAGATAATCACTTTTGGGAGAAAATAGCTATCGATCACCGTGATTTTGGAAAGCACCTAAGGGGCTGATTTTATTTCAACTTTTGCAAAAAGCAAAACACAAAACCGGTGGTCTTTAATGAATTCTAATGAAATGCCTATAATATCCTTGTTAACTTTTCTAACTTGATCAGAAGTTAGAAGCGCAACACATCCATCAACTCACATTCCATTCAAGCCCAAATTCGGGGCTTGGTGGTGGCACGCCCCGCATTCAAAAGAAGAAGGACCAAAAAAGTTCCTTTCGTCGGTTGCCCCGGCCTAAAAGAGGGAAACATAATTTGGCACGCCCGGTGGGACCACTAGGTTTTGTATGGTCGTAAACACTAGGAGGAATCCTAGAAGAGATCAAGAATTGGAAGAATCTAGATTTCTGTTGGAATCAGAGACAAGCATGGCTGGTTCACTCCCTATGAATACTCAACCACAAAATGTTCCAAAAGCTCAACAAGAGAAAAATGGCCTCAGCTGAACCACGGCCATCGGCCACGACCAAGTGTTAGTCGAAGATGTTATGGAAGTAGCTGAGGGACCAGTCTTGAGGCCAAATCCGACCACTTCATTGGAAGTCCAACAATTCATGCATGCCATGGAGAATATTGCCCAGACGATGGCCACTCAAAATGCTCAAATCAATGAGAGGTTTGATCGATTGTTAGGCCAACAAAATGGTCAAAATGGGAACCAAGTGGCACCTAATGGAGTGTCGGTGGCGAGACCCCAAGCTAAGGTCCAACCAAATATTTTTCGGGTGAATCTGCCCCAACCTAATCCACCAGTTGGGGCAACCCATCCCCAGCGGTTACTGTTCCGCCAATGAGCAACAACCGATATGCAGCGGCCAACCAATACCAAGTGTTCCCACCATATAATCAATTCCACCCATAAGCTCACCAAGGGGCCGGAGCCAATTATACTAGGCCTCATATCAATCAATTCGCTGGGGTCAGTGGGTGGAATACTGTCAGTGGAAATGTTAACAACCTGTTGCTAGGAAACCAAGCAATCGACCGAGGTGCAGTCGAACAAATGATTCAAGATATGATGCCCCATGCTAAGCATTCTTTATATCAAACTGGTGTAGTGGCCAATCCAAATTAGCTGCAAGGGACAATAAGACTCTAACGGTGTTTAACTTTGCAACTGGAGTAAATGTTTTTTCATAGTCTATACCATAGGTCTGTGTGTACCATTTTGCCACAAGTCTTGCCTTGTATCGCTCGATAGATCCATCTGCATTGTGTTTTATAGTAAACACTCATCTACATCCGATAGTCTTTTTTCCTCGTGGTATAATCTCCAATGTCCAAGTCTGATTTTTCTCAAGGGCTTTCATCTCCTCTTTTATAGCTTGGACCCACTTAGGATCTTTCAATGCTTCAAAGATCTTGGTTGGAATATGGAGAGCAAACAACTGGTGCACAAAAGCCTTGAGTGGTTCTGACAACTTCTCAATGGATACATGATTTGCAATTGGATACTTGGATATCTTGCCAATACCAGGTGAATAACGGTTTGGTGGCTTCCCACGATTTTTCCTGAAAGGTAATTAATATCCAATAGTTTTATCCTCTAAATGCACAAGTCTAGCAGGGGTAATTACCTCAAGGATATTCTTAGGAGACTGGTCTGTTGGTACTGTTGAGTTAGAAGGGGGTCTTCATCTTATTGTTCTGTATTGTCTGTAGGTACTGTTGAGTTAGAAGGGGGTCTTCATCTTGTTGTTTTGTATTGTCTGTAGGTGTAAGACTCAGATAAGAAATATCTTCATATGGATCAGATGGGTCAGGCAATTGATTGTTATGAATGGCCGATTGATTGCTTTTCGGTAGTGAGTAATCTCGTGCTCCAGACTAGAGAAGATCGATAATTTCTGTACAGAGCAGAATTTCTTCGTTTTCCAAGTTGCTCCAATTTTACTCTTCACTTCGTATCTCCCCTGAAGCGTAGAATTGGATAATGGGTCATGGAAGAACAGCTCAAATTCCAGAAAGGTAACATCCAAAGTGATATAGGTACGTCGGGTAGGAGGGTGATAAAAGCGGTAGCGTTTCTGATGAGTTGCATAACCCATAAAAACACAACGAAGCGCACAGGGATCAAGTTTCCTACGTTGACTTTTGTGGAGATGAACGAAAGCCACATATCCAAAGATTCGGGGCGTGAGTACCAAAATAGAGGGCAGAGGTCTGTATTGCGCAAGCACCTGTAAGAGAGTTTTAAAGGTTAATACACCAGAAGGCATGCGGTTGATCAGGTGAACTGCGGTGACAACAACATCATCCCAGTGATGGCGAGGAATATGAGTGCCAATCAAAAGTGCTCGGGCGGTTTCAAGAAGATGTCGATTCTTTTGTTCAGCAACATCATTTTGTTGCGGTGTCTGAGGACAAGTCGTCTCATGGATAATTCCATGTTGTTGGAAGTAAGTCTGAAAGTCATGATTGACAAGTTCTCCACCATTGTCTGAGCGAAGAATCTGGATTTGAGCATTAAACTGAGTTTTCATCTGTTTGTGGAAGGACTGAAAACGGGAAAACACTTCGTTTTTATTCTTTAGCAAATAAAGCCATGTCATTCGTGTACAATCATCTATGAATGTGACAAACCATCGAACACCAGAAGGAGCAGTGATAAGGGAAGGTCCCCAGACATAAGAGTGAATTAACATAAATGGAGTAGTATATTTGTTCGTACTCAACAGGTAGAGCACACGGTGACTTTTGGCTAAAATACAAGTATCACATGTGAAGTCAGAGTCCTTGAAACCTGAGAATAAATATGGTATAAGATACGGATGTCCCAATCGACGGTGCCATAACCATATTTGCTTTTGTTTGCTATCAAAGGGATGCGTCACACTGTTAGCCACGCCGGGACTGAAGTCATCGACATGATATAGCCCCCCCTCTCTTAGTACCACTACCAAGAATCTCCTTAGTGTGAATATCCTGAAGCAAACAAAAACTCGGGTAAATGAGTACACAACAATTCAATTGTTCAGTAAGCTGACTAACTGACAACAATTTAGAGGATAAAGATGGAACAAGTAAAGTATTAGACAGTGTGAGAGAGGATGAGAGTGCAACAGTGCCAGCCCCCGTCACAGGATAAGTAACGCCATTGACATTTTCAATACAGGTTTGTCGAGGTTGTGTAGTATTCAGAAAATTATCAGGATCAAACGTTATATGATCAGTTGCACCAGAATCAATTATCCAGCTCCTGGAATCAATCTTATCGGAAGTATGGAATCCATAACTAGTACCATTACTAGCCGTATTGCATTGTCTTCGATCTTTAAGAGTAGCCCACCAATCGGGGTAGCCGTGCAATTTAAAACAAGTTTCACGAGTGTGTCTTGGATCTCCACAATATGCGTAATCTGGTCCATGTGTCGAGGTCGTTAGTCGAGAAGTCATAATCTGTGCAGCGGAAGATGCATAGGATACAGGTTGAGTAGGAATTTGGATCGGGATCTAAGCCTGAGTTGGGGCCGGAGTTGGAGTCGAAATTGGGGTCGGGGTCTGAATTATAGACAAATTCGAGGTCGGGGTCATCATCGAAGTGGGGGTCGGGGTTGTTGTCATCATAGTCGGGGTCAGGTTCGAGGTCGTCAAAATAGGATCCTGATTCCGGATCGGGTTCGGGGTCATCAAAATAGGATCAGATTCGGGGCCAAAGTTTGCATCTGCAGGAGCTGAGCCATCTGGACACTCAACTCAGCTATGGTTAGTTGAGAAGGAGAGAAGGAGTCGGTGGTGCTACCTCTATTAGGGTTGAAAAAATCATCAACCCCTATAGCGACGGCGGAGGTTTGAAATTAGAGTCAGCAATTCCAAGATCGTCGCTCTGATACCATGCTAAAATATGAAAACTATGAGAGAATATTTGTTTGTGGGAATTTTCTATGTATTCTTCTCCTTGTAGGAGGTCATATTTATAATACAACAAAACTTGAATAGGCAAGTAAATAATAAATTCATAAATCTATTTACAGTAGGAAATCAAGAATTAAAGTAAATCAATTACAATTATAATGGAATTCTTGGTGTATAAGGAATGTAAGTCAATATCTACAAGTCACGCTAACAGATTTTGCCCCTAGGTTTGAATTTTGAAAGGATCTTTTTTGCATCTTTTTGTTGTAAACAAATAAAATGCCTGAATATAAAGTGAGAAAATGATTAATAACTCCAGAATGAGAGCCCACTTGATTAAGGACAGTACTTTTGAAATTTTTACTTTACAGTCCTTTTTTCAATAAAGCTGATGGTTGTTTATTTCTAAAATTATCTCTAATACCCTTGTAATCAGGACACGACTTTTTTTTGTTTCTCTACAACACACAATTTTCTATGTACCCCACTTAATGATATTAGTGCATGTGTTTCCTTTCTTTTTTTAATTTCTTTTTTTTGGATTTTGTATGTTTTATTTTATTTTATTTTTGAATATATATATATATATACACACACATAATATTAATGGTTCTATTTTACACAATTTTTTGTATGTTACTCCAAATATAGTTTCTAGAGGTTTTTATTTTTATTTTCCTACTTCTCTTTTGTCCACTTACACTCTTTTTTGTTTTAAAATATTTTTTAATCAATTTTTTTCTTTTTTTCCTTTCTCTTTCCTATTCTACTCTTATTTTATATTATTTTTTTTTACTTTACTTTTATATTATTTATTTTTCTTTATACTTAATTTTTTTAACTTGCAGCCATTTTCAACGGTGTTAATTATTTCTTACTCGATAAAAGGAAAAAATAAATTAAAAACCCAATTCCTCAAAGTTTGGGTAGGTAATCTCAAACGTTTTATTAAGGTTTCAAATAAGATTCTCGAAATTATTTTAGTTTCGATGAACTTTTCCAATCGATGGGATTTATCAATTAATATTAATGGATTTTTTTTTCTATGTTGTTGCTTAATTCTCAAGTGGTATGAATCATCAGACAATGCCCACAATTTAAATTCAACTTTTTTCTTCTTTTTTTGTTGAGAACTTATGGGTTGTTTGCATTAGATTTGAAGAAAAAAAGGGTTGACGTAGGCCTTAGTTGAAGTTGGAACAGCTAAAAGTGATATGATTAGGATTAAGTTCCTTAATTCTTTGTTCATATGTTCTGGGTTTGTTTTCTTTGGCTTTATATTCTCAACTACAATGTCCAATAACATGGTTATCGGTAATTTGTTCCTAAACTTAATTGTCGAAGTTTGGCTGGGTTGCTTTGCATTTGTGCAATAGGCTAATCCCCCTTGGGTTTCCATTAGTTTCTTTTGGCTGACGGCTGTGAGTGCAGAGATTGGAAAACTGATTTATTTTTCTTTATTTTAAAGTTTTGAATTAGAATAGTTAGGGTTTGTTTGAGTGAAATGTTTAAACTACTAATTATATGTATTATTGGAGAAGCCAAAGCAATCGATACCAATAAGGTTAATCATTTTATTAGCCCCCAATTTTGACCCGATTTGCATTTGAGTACCTTAATTTCCAAAATAGTACCCGTGGTCCTTTAACTTTAATATTGTTTGAACAACCAGTCCCACCATTACTTCTGTCAATTTTTTCGTTAAATTTAGGGCATGTGGGGAGTAGTTGAGCGACAAAAAAGACTTTTACTCTTATAGATTCTCTGATACGAGTTATAACACATCAGAACTTTGACCAGAGGTACGAACCAAACAAGAAAAGAAAAAGCTGAAGAGTCAACAGGATGAAGCTTTCAGACAAAAGCAAAAAAGCTAAAGAATTGGACTACAGTTTGAGTCGATTTTGTCTGGGTCATTGTGTATTAAGGTTGTATTAAGGTCGTCTAGGTTGATATGTGTTGGTTATCTCATTGTGGGGTCAATAGGTGTTGTTGACAACTTTGATGAAGTTTGAATTCAGGTACCCCCCCCCCCCCCCCCCATGCGATGCTAATGGAAGTACAAGAAATTTTTTTTTATATGTTAATTGCTTTATGTTGTTTTGGATTTCTGTCTGTGTTTGCTCCAACTATGTAGCAATTGAGGGTTTTGTTATTGTCTCTCTTTTGGGCAAATAAAAAACTGTTTTCTTTTGTCTTTATGTCAACACTGAACGCATACCTTGTGTTTTGGTCAGACATTGAGTGCATACTTGGTTATACTATCCTTGGTTGAATTTAAGGGTTTGTGGTCCTACTGGTATGATTTGTGTCAATTGATTGTACAGTTACACACACTAGCACACTTGGTATGTACTATTCTTGCTTTAATTGAAGTGTGATTTATCCTTATTTAGGTGAGCAGATATTTTAAAAATTGGTGTTTAATATACTGAACTGAGATTACTGCTTCATTTGTAGATAAGAGTGAGTTCTACACATTGGAAATTCACCATGGGCAAGATGGGGTGTATAAGAGGGGGGGACATTGTGTTATTTGGAGAACTGTGTGGATGATTATCTATCACTCTTGGATTTAAGGAAAATAGGTATAGCGTTAGGATATGAAGTGGACCTAACTAAGAAGGAGATATGTTTGCAAATATATTGTAAGATATATGATAGTGAAGCTCAAACTAATGTAAAGCTCATTGACAATGACAGTGTTATATGTGACATGGTTGGCTGCATAACAAGTAACAGAGTGTTAGTGTTATACTATAAAAAAAAAAAAAAAAAAAGAAATAAAAGACTCAAACATTTGTGGAATGGCCTAGTTTGCAAAGTGAAGAATACAACTATGGGAGATTTAATGAAGACCAAATGAACGAGGTTATGAGGCTTTAGATACTAATAAGCATGTTGTTTCTCTTGGAGATTGTGAAGCTGTAGTTGATGAACAAGAAGAAGATTCAGAGTTTATGGATAGTGATTATGCCTTTAGTGAAGATGAGGAGGCAAAGAAAGGTTGTAATGCAGACATAAATATGCCTTGCGATGAACAAGTGACTGTTGAGACTGAAACATAAGGGCCAGGAGAGATATCTGATGATGGGGCAGATTCTGATACTTCATATTCTGATGGGAACACCTCAGATGATGAGAATAGCAGTCGACATGTGACAAAAAACAGAGGATTCGCTTACCAAAGTTCAAGCAATATAGGAGAATTACTGACCTTAAAAATCCAAAATTTCATTTGGTGATGCAATTTGCAAATCGGGAGCACTTGAAAGAAGCAAAAAAGGAGTATGCCACTGTAAATGGAAAGTTGTTGAAATTTGATAAAAATGACAAGAGGAGAATGAAGGTCTTGTGTCGTGGATCTAGGAACTGTGCATTTGTTCTTTATGCATCTAGGATTGATAAAGAGGAATCCACTTTTGAAGTAAATGCTATACATGCTAATCATACATGTGGCAGAGTAGACAGGTTGAGATATGCTAATTCAACATGGATTTCACAAAAATTTTGTGATAAGATGAGAAGAAATCTCAATTGGAATGTAGGGCAACTTCAAGATAAGGTGAGGGAACATATGCGATGAATGTTACACAGAACCAAGTGTATATGGCAAAAAAATTGGCTAAGAAGGTCATTGAAGGTTCGTACAAGGAATAATACAAGAGATTAAGGGATTATGTGGAGCAAATTAAGAAGACCAACCTTGGAAGTACTGTGGTAATTAAAACTGAACTAGCAGGTGATGATGCATTGTTTGAACGGATTTATATTTGTTTAGCTGGTTCTAAAAAAGGTTTCTTAGAAGGGTGTAGGCCTGTCGTAGGTGTTGATGGCTGCCACTTAAAAGGACCCTTCTCAGGGTAGATCTTAACTATAGTTTGTGTTGATGGGAACAATGGTATGTTCTCATTGGCCTATGCTATAGTTAAAAGAGAAAGCAAAAGTAATTGGATATGGTTTCTGGAACTCTTAATTGCAGACTTGGGTATTCAAAATGATTTGGCATGAGAATTTATAAGTAATAAACAGAAGGGGCTAATTCCTGCTATGCAAACAGTTCTACCAAATGCTGAATACAGAATGTGCGTGAGACATTTGTACAACAACTTCAGAGGCCAACACACAGGACTTGCCCTGAAACATTTGCTATGGACTGCTGCGAGGGCAACCACATTGTCTTGGTGGGAAGCAAAGATGGATAATATGAAGAAGAAGGATGCAGATGCTTGGGGGTGGCTAATTGAGAGGCCAGCGAAAAATTTGGTCAAGATCTCATTTTGCAACACACTATAAGTGTGATTTGTTGTTAAATAACCTATGTGAAAGCTTCAATACAGCCATTATGGATGCAAGGGATAAGCCAATCCTAACATGCCTTGAGAGAATAAGGATGTATATTATGATTAGGATGGCATAGAAGGGCATCTTGTCAACATTTGAGGTATACTGTTGGTCCTAAAATCTTCAACATAATAGAGAAAAATAAGTTGGCATCAAGTCAATACATACCAAGGTTGGCTGGGGAGAAGAAATATCAA